TTTACTACTTTTTTTTTACGATTTACTACTATTTACTACTTTTTTCGACGATTTGCTACTATTTGCTACTTTTTTGACGATTTGCTACTATTTACTACTTTTTTTTGACGATTTGATACTATTTACTACTTTTTTTACGATTTGCTACTATGTATTTACTACTTTTTTGACGATTTGCTACTATTTACTACTTTTTTTTTGACGATTTACTATTTTCTTGACGATTTGCTACTATTGGCTACTTTTTAACGATTTGATACTATTTGCTACTTTTTTGACGATTTGCTATACTACATATTTACTACTTTTTTGACGATTTACTATTTTTTTGACGATTTGCTACTATTTGCTACTTTTTTTGACGATTTGCTACTATTTACTACTTTTTTTGACGTTTTGCTCCTATTTACTACTTTTTTTATACGATTTTCTACTATTTACTACTTTTTTGACGATTTGCTACTATTTACTACTTTTTTTGACGTTTTGCTCCTATTTACTACTTTTTTTATACGATTTTCTACTATTTACTACTTTTTTGACGATTTTCTACTATTTACTACTTTTTTTGACGATTTACTATTTTTTTTGACGATTTGCTACTATTTGCTACTTTTTTTTGACGATTTGCTACTATTTACTACTTTTTTTTATTTGTTACTCTAAAAGCTACTTTTTTCCATGTTTGAGAATTTACTCTACTTTAAGTTTGTTAACAATTGAAATTTTTATTTTTGTTTATTTAAATGGTAAACGGACTTACAAAAAAAAAATTATTTAAAAAAATTTTTATAAAGTTATTGAATAAAATTCAGAAGATTTTAATAAAATTCTTTAAAACGATTTAATTATTTTCACAAATTCTTCATAATTCAATGATTTTTAATATCTACTATTTTAATAAAAAATTTCACAAAGGAATAGAATTATTATTTTAAAAAAAAGGGTTTATAAACTTCTTCGCAAACATTCAATTATTTTCATAAAGAAAAAAATTTCCACAGGAATTCAATTATTTAAAACAGAATTTTCCTCATATTTTTCGAAAAAAAATCAATTTTTATAAAATTCTTCGCAAGAATTCAATTATTTTTATAAATAATAAAATTCTTCTCAGGAATTCAATTATTTTCATAAAAAATAAAATTCTTCCTAGGAATTCAATTATTTTTAAAAATTTTAATAATAATCTTTGGAAGAATTCAATTATTTTTATAGATAAAAAAATTCTTCTCAGGAATTTAATTATTTTTTAAAATTTCAATAATAATCGTTGCAAGAATTCAATTATTTTTATAAATAATAGAATTCTTCTCAGGAATTCAATTATTTTTTAAAATTTTAATAATAATCGTTGGAAGAATTCAATTATTTTTATAAATAATAAAATTTTTTTCAGGAATTCAATTATTTTTTAAACTTTCAATAATAATCGTTGCAAGAATATTATTATTATTATAAATAATAAAATTCTTCTCGGAAATTCAATTATTTTTTAAAATTTCAATAATAATCGTTGCAAGAATTTAATTATTTTTTTAAATAATAAAATTCTTCTCGGGAATTCAATTATTTTTTAAAATTTCAATAATAATCGCTGCGAGAATTCAATTATTTTTATAAATATGTAAAATCATCACAGGATTGTAATAAAATTTTTTGTAAGAATTCAATTATTTAAAAAAATTTGATATATTTTGTTTCTTAGAGTGTAATAATTATTTTCAATTCATTTTTAATTACATTTCTTGAATGAATTTAATTATTATCAAAATTTTTAATGCAATTGTTCGTAAAAATTCAATTATTTTAAAAATTGTTGATAAAGTTCTTTATAAGAATTAAAATTTAAGAAATATTCAATTATTCAATAGATTATTTATTTTTCTATTTAAATTATTGAATTCTCTTAGAATTTTTCTAATGAGAATTGATTTAGAATTGAATAAAATAAAATGATTAAATTTTTGAATAATTTTATTTATAAATTTCAAGAAAAAAATGATTGAATTTTGAAAGAATTACTTATTTGTAATTTTTAAAAATAGTTAAATTTCAAAAATGCGTAAAATTGAAACTATTTGAAATATTTTAATTCCTGTAGACTAAATAAATAGCTATTTAAATATTTATTTTAAAAAAATTATTCTATTTTTTAATGTAATTAAGAAATTAGAAAAAAAAATTGAGTCGTCAAGTTTAATTTTTTGATAGCTGCTTTTTAAAATTAATTATCCAGTACGGAGCCCGAAATACAATAACAGAAATTAAAATAGAAGAACGAAAAAAAAAGTCAAAAATAGATACTTTTTTCGAGAAATAGAAAAAGAGAGAAGGCTCTTTATCATATTAAAAAATGATTAACGAAAGAGCAAATCGAGTAGTAACTAAAAAAAGAAGAAACTTTCTGAATTTATGGTAAAAATACAAAAGTATTAAATTCTTTTTTCAATAATGTAAATATTTGATTTGATCAGAAAGAAAAACAACTTTAATTTCACAAAAATCAGGTGTCCTAATGAAAATTGGTTGATTCAATTATCTTTGATAGAATTACCGAAATAATTCTTAATCCCAAAGAAAATTAAATTAACCAGTTCTTGATTCAATTTGTACCCAAGTAAAATTCTAGGACAATCTAAATTAAAAATTTTCTCCAGAAAAAGAAAAATCACTATTCTACTGTTAATTCTTTAGAAAAAAAAATTATAATTCAATTTTCTTCTCTTCCTTTATAATTTAGAAAATTATTTTAATTTATAATTTTATTATATCAAATTAAAAAAAACCTTTCATCCTTTTTTTTCCACGAAAAATATTATTCTTTTCTTAGATATTAAAATGCGCGCAAGAAATCGAGTCCATACTTTACTGGGTCAAGCATCTGTTTTTCGAAATAGAGACGAAAGCTAAAAATGCACATTTGAGATGGATTTAAAATTATACAACATTTAAGTACTAAATAATTATGGTAGGTTTCACGATATCACGCGGTTAATGGTTGTGATGGGCTTTTAGCGACGTATCGTTAACATATATATATACATACGCGAGTGTCATGAAATGGAGTTTACGATTAATTTTACCGCTGTGTCTCGATTGCTTTTCGGCAGTAGATTTTATTTTGCAGCGAGAGAAAGAGATGAGGCACAAAAATCCGATTGATCGATTTTCTTCTTTTCCGAATTATTTATTTATTTCTCTTTCGAAAATCTGATGCGACTTTCTTTTTTGCTAGAGGCCAACCAAGAAAAAAAATAAAGACCATTTAAACCAATTTAAATAGAATAACAAAAAAAAAAATATAGATCTGCGATCTAAAGAAAAACCCTAGTTAGTCGCATTTGCCTTAAGGTTCTGAATATTTTGATAATAATTCTAGGTTATCCAACTGGAATTCTGGAAATTCCGATTGAAATTCTACACTTTTAACTAAAATTATGGGTTTTCCAACTGGAATTCTAGGTTTTCTAATTAAAATTCTGTGTTTTTCAACTAGAATTTTTGATATTCCAAAAAAAATACTAGATTTCCAACTAAAATTCTGGGTTTTTTAATTAAAATTCCTGATATTCCGATAAAAATTCTGGATTTCCAAATAAAATTTTGGGTTTTTAACTAGAATTCTGAATAATCCGATAAAAATTTCGGTTTTTCAACTAAAACTCTGGATTTTCTAATTAAAATTCTGGGGTTTCAACTACAATTATGGATATTCCGATAAAAATTCTGGATTTCCAACTAAAAATCTGTGTTTTTCAACTAGAATTACGGATATTCCGATAAAAATTCTGGTTTTCTAATTAAAATTCTGGGTTTTCCAACTAAAATTCTGGATATTCCGATAAAAATTCTGCTTTTCCAATTGGAATTCTAGATATTTCGATAAAAATTTTGGTTTTCCAATTAAAATTCATGATATTCAAATAAAAATTCTGGATTTACAACTAAAATTCTGGGTTTTCCAATTAGAATTCTTGGTTTAACGATAAAAATTTTAGATTTCCAATTAAAATTCTGGGTTTTTTAACTAGGGTTATAAATATTCCGATAAAAATTCTGCTTTTACAATTAAAATTCTGGATTTCGCAGTTAAACTTCTGAGGTTTTAACTAGAATTCTGGATATTTCGATAGAAATCCTTGTTTTCCAATGAAAATTGTAGATAATCCGATAGAAATTTCGGATTTTCATCTAAAATTCTGCGTTTTCTAATTAAAATATTGGATTTTCCAATTAAAATTCTGGATTTTCAACTGGAATTCTAGATATTCCGATAAAAATTCTGGATATTCTGATAAAAATTTCGATTTTTCAACTAAAATTCTGGGTTTTGCAATTAAAATTCTGGATATTTCGATAAAAATTCTGCTTTTCCAATTGGAATTGTAGATATTTCGATAAAAATTTTGGATATTCCGATAGAAATTTCGGTTTTTCAACTAAAAATTCTGGATTTTCAACTGGAATTCTAAATATTCCGATAAAATTTCTTGTTTTCTAATAAAAATTCTGGATATTCCGATAGAAATTCTGATTGTTCAACTAAAATTCTGGATTTTCAACTGGAATTCTAGATATTCCGATAAAATTTCTTGTTTTCTAATAAAAATTCTGGATATTCCGATAGAAATTTCGGATTTTCAACTAAAATTCTGGGGTTTCAGCTTGAATTCTGGTTATTCCGATAAAAATTCTGGTTTTCTAATAATTAAAATTTTTTCATATTCCGATAGAAAGTTCGGTTTTTCAACTAAAATTTTGGGTTTTCCAATGAAAATTCTGTATTTTGAACTGGTATTCTGGATATTCCGATAAAAATTCGGGTTTTACAATTTAAATTCAGGAAATTCCGATAAAAATTTAGGTTATTCAACTAAAAGTCCGTTTATGAACAGAATGAATGTTTTTCAACATTGAGAGATGTAGAGGAATTGAATGAATGAATATTTTCCAATTAATAATGAACATTTACTAATGACTCACTCGTTGCATTGCAGAAGCTCTGAGGATCATGTATCCAGCGGCGGTGGAGGAAGCGGCGTCGGCGGAGTTGGAGTTGGAGTTGGTGGAGGAGGAGGAGGAGAGACATTCGAATCGAGAGGAACGCACGGCAGTTTCTATGGTGGCGATGGCAGGAGCAACCGCGTGGGCGGCGGCAGCAGCGGCAGTGTTGGCGTCGTCGTTGGCCACCAGGTTGATCCGAGTTCGGTCGACCCCAGCGGATATATACCACGAGGACGTCCACCACCGAACAGCAGTTACCACGTGACGTCGACAAGGGCGAGGGATCGGCTCTATCCGCGAACAACTCCCTATTCCAGCGGTCCGCCACCCCCGCCCCATATAGACCGTCATCGCAGTTCACTCACCACCTCGACCTCCTGGTCCAGTTACGAATCCGCCAGCTCTAGGTATGGCTCTGGACCGCCGCCACCGTCGCCTGCCACCACAGACTCTTATCCCGACGAACCAGGTACGATCCTGAAAATTAAAAATTAATTCACTATTATAATACGCTGGAAAAAAAATTTATTTCATTCAAATAAATTTTTTTTCAAAAAAATCAAAAATCAGAATCAAAAAAATTTATTTGAGTCAAATAAATATTTTTTCAAAAAAATCAGAATCAAAAAAATTTATTTGAGTCAAATACATTTTTTTTCAGTGTATTAATACTAAAGAGAAAAATATCTTTCATTCTAAAGATAAAAATATTATCAAACTAAAGTTACCAACGTTGATTTAACGTAAAAATTAAAAAAAGAATTTTCTCTAAAAAAAAACTTCAGGATATAAATTTTTTTTTCTTGATTTTTAACCCAAGTAAACTCTCCAAACGCTAAAATAAAAAAAAAGACAATTTTTTTTGTCACGGATTTTCCGAAAATCCGAGAATTTCAAGTAAATTAATAATTCCTCGTCTCGGTAGCAATTTTTTTCTTTTGATAATTATTTATTTTAATATTAGACGCTATTTAAAAAAAAATTCCAAGTGATTCCAAGTCGAGGAAAGCAGAGATATTGGATTTTTTTGTGTCACGAATTTTCCAAAAATTTTCGAAATTTCAAATAAATTAATAGTTTCTTGCCTCAGTAGCAATTTTTTTCTTCTGATAATTATTTATTTTAATGTCACAATTAATTTAAAAAAAAAATACAAATTGTTTTAAGTTGGGAAAGCAGTGATTTTGATTTTTGTAATGAAATTCCGGAATTTTTGGAAGATCTACAAAAGAAAAATTCAAAATCACTGCTTTTCCCTATTTGGAATCACTTGGAATTTTTTTTAAATAGATATTTTTTATTTACTTTATTTATTATTTAAAAATTAATTTTTATAAATTTCGTATCACTTTTGTTCTAATTAGTTCAAAATTTTTAATAATTCAAATTTGTTTTGTTATAATATTATTACAAAAAAAAAAATTTTTAAATTAATTTATTATTCACTATTTTATAGGATGGGAAATTTTTCCTCTTTCAAATTTTTTCGACGAATTTAATTAAAATTATATTTTTTTTTAATTATTGTTAGAAATAGAAAGAATTTAAAATTAAATTTAATATTTACTTTTTTTTAAGTCTGTTACGTTGGACAACAAAATTCATAATTTTTTTATAAATTCTTGAAATTTTTATTCTTTGAGAATTTTTAAATCCTTTTGTTTTCAATTTAATTTCAAGAAATTTCGATTATTCTGACATTCTTGAATTGAATATATTAGAAATTGAAAACTTCAAATAATTAAAGAAAAATTTCACTCAACTTTTTGAAAAAAATTAATTCTACAGAATTCTTAATTAAAAGTATGAAATGTTCAAATTTTCAAAGATTTTAATTTGAAAATTCATTTTTAAATCAATATTTATAAGAAAATTCTACGAGAATTCAATTATTGTAAATAAAAAAATAAATATTTTATTATATTGCATGTTTCTTAAAATTAAAATTTCATAAAGAATGTTATCAATAAATTTTTTAAAAATTGAATTCTTTCGAAAAATTTTAATAAAATTGTTATTAAAATTTTTCGAAAAATTCGATTAAAATTCTATTAAAAATAATTGAAATTCGGAGAAGAATTTTATTAAAATTTTCGAAAATAATTGAATGTCGGAGAAAAATTTTATTATTTATAAAAATAATTGAAATTCTGCCAAGAATTTTATTAAAATATTTGAAAATAATTGAATGTCGGAGAAAAATTTTATTATTTATAAAGATAATTGAAATTTTGACGAGAATTTTTGTAAATTTTTGAACATAATTGAATTTTTTGCGAAGAATTGTATTATTTTTGAAAATAATTGAATTCTTGAGACGAATTTTATTAAAATTTCTTTTTAAATATTTGATTTTTTTTATGAAATTTTATTGTGATAGTAGATATTGAAAATAATTGAATTTTGACAAATTTTTTAAATTAATTAAATTTCAATTTTTATTAAAATAGTTTTGAAAAAATTTGAATTCTTACAAAGAATTTCATTAAAATTTTAGAAAATAATTTAATTTTTAATAATAATAAAAATAATAATAATAATTTTAATTTTTTTAGAAATTTAATTAAAAAGGTATTGAAAATATTACATAAATTCTAATAAATAAATTGTAGCAAAGGTTTTTAAAATAATTGAATTAGTTTGATAAGTTTTAATATAATTTTTAAGAACAATTACATTTTTTGAGGAATTTCATTAATCGTTAACTTCAACACATAATGAATTTCATTAAAACTGTATTAAAAATAATTGAAAGTCTGCGATGAATTTAATTATTTATGAAAATAATCAAATGTTTGCGTAGAATTTTATTAAAAAATTTGTTAACTAATTGAATTCTTTTGGAGGTTTTTTTTTTTATTAAAGTAGTATAGATATTAAAAATCATTGAATTGAGGAAAATTTTTGAAAATAATTATAATTTTGTCAAGAAATTTATTAAAATTTTTGAAAATAATTGACTTTCTGCAATAATTTGTAATTGCTTCAAAATTCAATTTGTTTTAGTGTTTTTAACTAAACTTCTTTTATAAATCCATTATTTTTAATAAAACTAGTTAAATGTATATTAAAAAGTTTAACTAATTTCAGAAGAATTTTAGTTATTAATAAACTTTTTTAATTTAGGTTTTTTAAAATTTCTAATTAAATTCATTTAAAATTGAAATTTTACAAAATTTTAAATTAAAATCTTTTTGAGTTCATATATTTATGAAAATTGTAAACGCAACTTTTTTGTTATTTTTGTTGTTTGGAAAATTCATGACATTAAAATAAGTAATTATTAAAAAAAAATTGCTACCAAGGCGAAGAATTATTAATTTACTTGAAATTTTGTGATTTTTTGAAAAAATTCGACAAAAAAATTAAAAATCGCTTTCCCCGCTTTGGATCCTCTTGGAATCTTTTTTAAATAGCGTCTAATATTAAAATAAATAATTATCAAAAGAAAAAATTTCGAAATTTTTATAAATTTCGTTGAATCAACGTTGGTAACTTCAGTTTCATAAAAAATATGATTAATACTAAAAATAATACTCTTTTTTTTGAAAATGTTTACAGGCAATGGAACGGGGAACAGTGGCAACAGTTTAAAGCAACACAAGAAGCAGAGGAGAAAATCGCGAAGCGGCAGCAGTTCACCGAGTGGAAGTAGCAGGTCAAATAGCAGCAGTAGTAGTCGTAGTGGTAGTTCTGGTGGTAGCAGTTCGGGTGGCAGTAGTTCGCCGGGTAGTTCGCCACATCGTACGGGCAATGCGTCGGTGACGGAGGATCGAAGGCCATTGGCGATATGCGTGAGAAATTTGCCGGCGCGCAGCAGTGACACGTCGCTCAAGGATGGTCTCTTTCACGAGTACAAGAAGCATGGCAAAGTCACGTGGGTGAAGGTGGTCGGCACTGCCGGCGACAGGTACGCCCTCGTGTGCTTCAAGAAACCGGAGGACGTTGAAAAAGCTCTCGAGGTCTCGCACGATAAATTATTTTTCGGCTGTAAAATCGAAGTCGCACCCTATCAGGGCTACGACGTCGAGGACAATGAATTTCGACCATACGAAGCTGAACTCGATGAATTTCATCCGAAGGCAACGCGAACATTGTTCATTGGCAGTCTTGAGAAGGATGTCACCGCTTCTGAACTCAGGAAACATTTTGAACCGTTTGGCGAAATTATCGTGAGTACACGATTTGGAATTCTTTCTTGCTTTTGGATTTTAATTGCATTTATTTTTTTGTTCTACTTTTCGTTCTTCTTCGGCAATAGAAAAGGAAACTCGATTGCAGGGGAAGCAAGGCTCGAAGCAGTGAAAGTATTTCAAAATACGGATTTTACGGAACAAAAATGAAAAATTACGGACCGATTACCGACAAAAATGTAAACTACAAAACATGAAGATATCGATAATTCCGAGTCTTCTTTTATAATATTAAAGATAACCGAGTGATAAAATCATTATCAATTCAATTATTATTTTCAACAATTTTATTTTTAACTAAAATGCTTCTTTAAATGAATTATTTTTAATAATTTTCAAAAAAGTTCTTTGCCAATTTTCAAATCTTTTTCCAATATTCAATTTTACAAAATTAAATTAAATTAATTCAATTAAATGTACATTAGAAAATAAAAACTTCAAATAATATTAAAAAAAATTCAATTAAACTTTTTCAAAAAAATTAATTTCAAAATTCAATTATTTCTAAATATTCGCACTCTATTGATTTAAGTATTCAATTATAATCAAAAATTTTAAATGAAATCCATTTCTAAATCAATGTTTATTAGAAAATTCTACTAGAATTCAATTATTTAAATACATAGAAACAAATTATTGAATAATTGACGAAGTTGAAGGCCACAACGTTTATCAATGAAGAAAATTTATTTAATGTATTCAAGTATTATTTTTATTTTAATATTTAATTGTAAAATAATTATTATCAAAATATAAACATTAATCTTTTTTTCTAAATATTTTTTTATCAATATTGCTGCGTCATTTTTAATTAATTTACTAAATGAACAATTTTTTTTCGTTTATTAACGTTGTAAAATTCAACTTTATAATAATTGCATGTTTCTTAAAATTGAATTCTCATAAAAAAATTTTTAAATAATTGAATTCTTTTGACGAATTTTAATAACATTTTTAAGAATAATTACATTTTTGAAGAATTCGATTAAAATTGTATTAAAAATAATTAAAATTCTACGACGAGTTTTATTATTTATGAAAAGAATTGAATCCCTAAGAAGAATTTTATTATTTTTAAAGAATATTTAATTTTTGCGAAAAATATTATTACTCTTAAAAATAATTGAACGAAAAGGAAATTTAATTATTAAATTTCCTTTTCGTGTTTTTAACTAAAATTCTACTATAAATGCATTATTTTTAATAATTTTTGAAAAAGTTCTTTGAAAATTTTCAAATTCATTTGTTTACAATTCAATTTTAATTATTCAATTTCAATTATTCGTAAATTTTTTAATTAAATATATATTAGAAAATAAAAACTTAAAATAATTTCAAAAAAAAATCCGCAATTAAAATTTTTCAAAAAAAATTAATTCCACAGAATTCTTAGTTAAAAATATAATAATTTCAGATTTTCAAAGATTTCAATTCAAACCCTTTTCAAAATTTAATTATTTCTAAAAATTCATGCTATAATATTTTTAATATTCAATTATTATCTAAATTTTTATCTGAAATTTATTTATAAATCAATTTTTATTAGAAAATTCTATCAGAATTCAATTATTTTAATACAAAAAAACAATTTATTGTATAATTGCATGTTTCTTAAAATTGAATTCTCATAATAAATTTTATCAATAAATTTTTAAATAATTGAATTCTTTCGAAGAATTTTAATAAAATTTTTAAAAATAATTACATTTTTCGAGAAATTCAACTAAAACTGTATTAAAAATAATTAAAATTCTGCAATTAGTTTTATTATTTTTAAAAATAATTTAATTACTAAAAAGAATTTTATTATTTACGAAAATAATTGAATCGCAGTAAAAATTTTATTATTTATGAAAGTAATTGAATGATTGCGAAAAAATTTAGAAAAAGAATTTGTAAATAATTAAATTCTTGTGAAATTTTTATTATTTTATGAAAATAATTAAAGATTTGCGTACAATTTTATTAAAATTTTCAAAAATAATTGAATTATTGCGAAAATTTTTATTTTAATGTTCAAAAAGAATTAAATTTAAGAATAATTACAGTTTTCGAGCAATTCTTGTAAAATTGTATTAAAAATAATTGAAATCCTGCGATGAATTTTTTTATTTTTGAAAATAATTGAATAGTTGCTAAGAATTTTTTTAAAAATTTAAGTAATAATCGAATTGCTGAGAAGAATTTTATTATTTATGAAAATATTTGAATTCCTGCGAAATTTTTCTTTTTTGATGAATGTAATTAAAAGTTTGCGTAGAATTTTGTTAAATTTTTTAGAAAGAATTGAATTTTTTTGGAAAATTTTATTAAAATTAAATTAAAAATCATTGAATTGAGGAAAATTTTTGAAAATAATTGAAATTTGGACAAGAATTTTATTATATTTTTTGAAAATAATTGAATTTCGAAGAAGAATTTAATTATTTCTAAAGATAATTAAAATTTTGACGAGAGTTAAAAAAAAATTGTTATCTGCATTCATTTGTAATTTTTCTAATATTTTCCAAATTATATCGTACAATTTACGAAGTTTTCGTCTTTTCTCTATCAAATTACGGACTTTACGGACCTTTTTTCAAAAAAATCGACTTTTACGAACTTGTAGCAAATTTACGGACCTAGTTCGAGCCCTAGTTATAAATCGTTTGGAAAATTATATTTTCCAATTATAATTATTCTCGACAGAGTAGAAAATGTCAATTTTTTTTCTTCCCCTGCAATGGAAAAAGAAAAGACCTATCTTTTTCTTTGTAAAGAAATGAAAAAAATTGACAGTTTTTGAAATGCTATAAAAAAAGAAATAAAAGACACAAAGATGAGAAATTAAATTTGCCCACAGGAAATTGACATCAAGAAACAGGGAGCAGTGACGAGTTACGCGTTTTGCCAGTACACGGACATAAATAGCGTCGTGAAAGCAATGCGGTCGATGGACGGAGAACATCTGGGCTCAAATCGAATAAAACTTGGATTTGGAAAGTCAATGCCCACGTCCTGCGTTTGGGTTGATGGCATTGGAGGTACGTTTCGTTTCTTTTTTCAGAAATAAAAATTAAAATACTGTTTGCTCTACTCTTAATCACCGGAGAGGGAATTAATTGATTGCGTTTGATTTGCAGAGTGCGTATCGGAAAAGTACATCAACATGCAATTTCATCAGTTTGGTCCAATCACGCAAGTGGTAGTTGATCGTGAACGAGGTCACGCTTTAGTTTTCTTTGAGCAAATCAGTTGCGCCCAGGCTGCGGTCAAGGAAATGAGGGGCGCGAATCTTCGAGGACGTCGTCTTCAGGTCGATTTTGCCTCGAGGGAGTGTCAAGAGACGTTTTACGAACACCTCGAACGACAGGGTTTCGCCGGTGAGAAACCCTGGGACACGAGACCATCGCCCGCTGCCACTTTTGACGTTGCGTAAGTAAAAATCAATTATCTAGTAAAAATCTAATAAAAATTGATAAATTTCTTTATAAAAATTGATGAATGATTGATCAATAATGAAAGAAAAATAAAATTGATTGTTTAGGAGGGAGAGGACCTTCGATTCGGCTGTGACGGTTCCAAATAGCGGTAGTAGATTCACACGTTACGAGACGCCGCCGAGAGCGAGGGCAGCGAGTTACAGTCGAACGCCGGGTGGTGGAAGCACACCTGGAGCGAGTCCAGCTCATCCGACGGCGATGTCTCGAAGTAGTCGACGATCGTATCAAGATCCGTATTACGAGAGTGATTACAGTGAGCCAACAACGAGGCGATTTCGCAGTTACGACGAGTACAGCCAAGGAAGCGGTGCGAGTCACGACGATTACGATGGCACGGTGATTAGTGAAAGCAAGCTCAACGACGAAGACTGTCCATCATTGGCGCGACGACACACTGTTCAGAGTGTCGTGTCCAGTATCGATTCTCCAGCACCTCCGCCTCCTTTATTACCTCCGCCTGATATCAGGCATCTCCAGAAGGAGCGAGTGCATTTACTCGAACAACTTGAGGAGTGTCACAGTAGTGGCGACGAAATCGCGTTCGCCCCAAAAAAGAGGCCAAAGCTCGACGGCTCAGCGACGTCGATTCCCTGCGAGGAGGAGGAGCCGGAAATCGCGTCGTTACTCGTCACCTCGCATTCCGGGAGGAAGGGAATGGAAGTCCGAAGGGTCAGTGACAGTAAAGTGATAATTCATCATGGATCGAGGAGAGGCAGTTGCGAGGGCCGAGGGCCTGGTCCCTGCAAGCGGCGGCGGGACACAGCGAGGCATCACGATCATCACGACGGTTCGCGGCCAGGAACGCCGCTGGTCGACGAGAGACCGGAAAATCTCATCCCCAGCGAACCACGGAGGTTTCGCGAGCGAAGTCAAGAGGGTCCTCTGTCATTGCCCCTGCCGCGATTCGCGACGCAGATGCTCAACAACAACAACACGAGCAATAGCAACAACAACAACAGCGGCACACCGAGAGCCAGTCACGTGTCTCTAGCGAAAATCGCCAGTCCACCTTGTGCGTCGACCGCGCCAACGACGAGTCCCCGCACGGCGCCGCAACCGCCAGCGTCGCCTCCTCCCCGACACATTAGCCCGAGTCCCACCAGTTCCGACAGCGAGGCAGCGCCCCAGTCACCGAGTCTCGAGGAGCGGATACGATCGCTCGACGAGAAGTACGAGAAGTGGTCGGGCTCGAGAGCGTTGAGCGCGGCTGGCGGCGACGCCCTCGCCAAGTTGGACGCCTCCGCCTCTGAGCGCTTCAGGTTTCGTCACAAACTACTCGACCTCGATCTCCATGAAGTGCAACCATCGGACATTGTCAAATCGGTCCTCGCTAAGCGCAGTGTCTTCGATGAGGACTCAAAGAGGCTTGAGAACTTTAACGAGAAATACGAGCCTCGCGAGTTCACGGGCGTCATTGGCGTGAGCTCAATGATCGGCAGTAGTGGAAGTCTCGCGAGTGTTGCTTGCCCGAGCAAGGTGTGTTTACAGTATCCATTTCCTAGTCATCCGCCGGTACAGACGGCGACGTCCAGTACGACACCCACGCCCTCAACTCACAAGAACGATCCCAGAACGGCGACACCGCACAATTGCGTGCACCCCACGACGCCCGTCACACCGGGCACGTCAATCAAGACAGTGAGTCCGGAGTTGCCGCCAGTCACACTACCAATCACGAATCAGAGTAGCGCGACTGCGGCCAGTAGCAACAACAACATCAACAACAGCAGCGGTAGTGGTTTAGCGTCAGCGAGTAATCTTCTTAGTAGCAACGGTAGTGTAGGCAATTTAAATAGTGTTCATTCCCTGAGCGCTTCGACGAGTCGAGTATTAAATCCCGTTGTCACTTGCCCTGTGATGACACCCCCGACAACGGGAGCAATAAACCCGACGATTATAAACACGGCTGTCACGACGTCAACGGTCCCGATCTCAACCGCATCGACCTTAACGTCCAACGCGAGTCATCATCAACCTTCCACACCTTCGTCTACCTCGTTATCAACATTGTCTTCATCGTCTTCTTCCTCCTCCTCCTCTTCCTCGTCGTCCTCGTCTTCCTCTTCCGATCTTTCCAAATCGAGATTAAGGAAAGAAACCCGCGATTCCAAGGACTGCAAGGACAAACACACGAAAAAGGAAAACAGAAAAGTCCGAAAAGACGAGTCCGAGGAGAAGAGCAGTCGCAAGGACGACAAGGAGGAGCGTCCAAGTCCAGCGGAGCGTATCGAGCCGGAGAAAGAAACCAAATACGAGAGGAAGGAGCGAGAGGAGAAGGAGAGGCGGGAGAAGGAGGAACTGATCGAGAGAAGGGAAAAGGAGGAAAGAGATCGACAAGAGCGGAAGGAACGCGAGGAGCGCGAGAGGCGAGAAAAGGACGAGGAGCGAAGGGAGCGCGAGAGACTCGAAAAGGAGAAACAGGAAAAGGAGCGAAAGGAAAGAGAAGAACGAGAGCGAAAAGAGCGCGAGGAAATTGAGAGGAGAGAACGCGAGAGACGTGAACGAGAGGAAAAAGAGAGGCGAGAGCGAGAAGAAAAAGAGCGACAGGAACGAAAAGAGAAGGAAGAACGCGAAAGGCGAGAGCGCGAGGAGAAGGAACGAAAGGAACGAGAAAGAATCGAGCGTGAAAAACAGGAAAAAGAACGCCTCCGAAAGGAGCGTGAAGAACAGGAAAAACGAGAAAAAGAAGAACGCGAGAGGATAGAAAAAGAGAGAAGACGCGAAGAAAAGGAACGACTCGAGAAAGAACGCAAAAGAGAACGAGAAGAAAAAGAACGTCTCGAGCGCGAAAGGAGAAAAGAAAAAGAAGAACGCGAGCGACAAGAGAAAGAAAAACGTGACAAAGAGGAAAAAGAAAGGCGACGTGAACGCGAAGATCAAGAACGAAAAGAAAAGGACAAGAGAAAGGAACGCGAGGAAAAGGAGAAGCGAGACGATCGAAGACCAAACGAAAATCACATTCATCAATCCACTCCAATTCCGGCGCCGATTCCCATCAAACGCCGCTGTTCCTCTCAAGACACGCCCATCGAAGACGACGCCAAGCGGATGAAAATCTCCGATCACCGAAGAGACAGCAAGGATCGTTCCAAGCAAAACCGAAGATCCGAGGATCGTAAACATCGAAACGATTCACACCGATCTAGTCGAGACAGTAGAGACAGTCGTGAAAGCAAAGACTCCCCCTCACAAGATTGCATCCAAGATCTTGCCCGTGACTCAAGTCGAGAAGGAAAGGAAAATAATCGCGACACCGTCAAGGAGAAGCAACGCAAAAAGAGTCGCTCCGAAAGATCCGAAAAAGAATCACGTGAAAGGAGTCCTAGAGTTTCTCAAGAACCCGACAAAGACTTTCTCTCGAGGCTCGAATTGGCCAAGAGAAACGACTCAATCACCAACGATCAAGACATCATTGGATCACATCACGTCAAGGACTTGCATCACCACCATCATCACCACCACCACCATCATCATCACCACCAGCAACAAAATCTACACAGCGACGTTGACGAAGGTGTCTTATCCACTCACGAAATGCAAGGAATGCGCCATCCGTCAGCCACCGACACCGACAGTGACGAACCCAAGAAGCATTCAATCTTCGACATTGTCGACGACGAGCCGGCTTACATCAGTATGTACGACAAAGTCAAAGCCAGATCAACCAAAAATATGCAGAAACTCGAGGAGGAGAAACGCCAAGTGAGATTGAAGGACAAATTCTCCCAATTGAAACAAAGTCGAGCGAGACGTGAGGAAAAGAAACAGAGCACATCCTGGGATGGCGATTCAGTGAGTAGTAAAGCACTCACCGAGGATGAAGCAACATCAGAATCCGATTCAACGAGAGCGAAATCAGTCTCGAGAAAAGGATCACGATCGCGAATTCATTCGGACACCAGCGAAGAGGATGAGTCATTCGACAATAAACGGACAATCATCAAAACCGAGAGGTTTCACGAAAGTGATGTCGATCTTGGTTTTGCTGATTCCGAAGAAAAGCATAATCCTCTCGACACAAAATCAAGCGTTGTCGTCAACAATGTCCGCGTTGCTATCAAGGAAGAACCTAAAACATCCGACGATGAAGAGAGAATATCCTTCTCCACCAATCATCCTCTGACGAACAATCATGAACGAGAAGTCCGCAAGAAATCGCACAAAAAGAAACAGAAGCGACAGAAGATCAACACTGGACTAAATGATGGACTGTTAATTCTGGCCAATTGTATCGCTAATAATCGAAAAGACGATGAGGAGGACGAGGAGGACGAAGATGATGGAGTTAAACACAAAAAGAAGCAGAAGCGCCAGAAGAATTCGATTGACAGTGAGGATGGACCATTGATTCTAAACAACTGTATCAAGAATAATATTAAAGAAGAAGAAGAAGAGGAGGAGGATGAGGAAGAGGACGAAGATGATGCCGTCAAACACAAGAAGAAGCAGAAACGTCAGAAGAATTCAATAAGCAGCGAAGATGGTTTATTGCTTTTGGCAACGTACATTGCGAAAAGCCTTAAAGAGAAGGAAGAAGACGAGGAAGACGATGGCATGAAACTCGAACCGTCCGAAAATATCGAGCACAGAAACACCAAGATGAATGCCAGTGACACCAGTCTTGAAAGTCGCAATCACTCGTCCGAGATGAATAACACCATCAACTCGAAGTCCTTCAACGCTTCGATTGTCGACAATCCCGAGGAGAGGATGCGAGCTGACAAGAACAAGAGGAACAAGAAGGAGAAGCGCAGAGAGAGGAACGGTGATGAAAAGACCAAAGCTAGACGAAAGAGGCTTAATAGACAAGAAGGTAGAGATAGTCAGAGAATGGAAGATATTTTCGGTCCTCTCTCCGACGATGTTGACGAAGCTCCATCCAACACGTTCTTTAATCGACTGGGCAGCATACCAAAGGAGAACAATGTCTACCACTCCGACAGTGACGGTGCTCGCAGTCCTGACGTTGAGACAATTCGAAGGAAGTCCGAAAAGAAGCGCAGACATCAGCCGCAGGATGAGAACAGTGTCGATCTAGCGGAAGCTGGACGTGAAATCGAGGCCAAACTTCTGGGCCTGCCGAATTCACCAAAGTCTGCAGTTTGCACCGAATCCACCGATCATGACGTATTCCGATTCACGGATGACAACGACAGTATCGAACCCTCAACTCCAAACACAGTTCCCGAGAAGATCAAGGAAAAGAAGAAGAAACGGAAAAAGTCGAAAGATGAGCGAGGACGAAAGGACTGTCACCACCATCACCATCATCACCACCACCATCATGACAAAGCTGGTGCTTTGCCTTATCTTGGATCGGAGTCTAGTCCTCCAAGAGCCAGTAGTCCAATCATCTCGGAAGAAATGTCTCCCACTCTACCGCCGTCCAGAGAATCAATGCCGAGCCCCATACCAAAAATTTCCACCAACATCACTGATATTTCTTCACCTCCAAGTGTCAACCAATCCAAGGAATTCAAAACAGACAAGAAGAAGGACAAATTCATACCCGGTTACGGAATTGAAATCGACGAGACGCTACACAACAATGCTGTGAAAAGTATTTCGGAACCTGAGGAAAGGGCCAAATCACAGAACGATCAGGAGGAAGAGGAAGCAACACCTCCATCCCCTCCGGCGCAGCCTGAAGACAAACCCAGAGTTGCCATCTCGCAAGAGGAGACGGAAGTCGCCGTTGCTGCCCTCATGGCAGAGAACTTTGGCGGACCCTCCGAGGACTATTCGTACGAAGAGGATGAGCCGGAGACCGTTTCTTCCAGTGAACCACCACCCGACGCTCCTCAGGAGGACGTCGAGGAGATGCAGCAAGCCGTCGAGAGTCTGAACGCCTCCTCCGGTGAGGCCGAAGCCGATCTGAAACCAGACACTCCCCAGAGCGAGCACGATCTCCAAATTGACACCGACACCGAAGAGGATCGCAATTACGAAAACTTTGATCTCTCTCAACCGCCCAAGACGCCTGACATTCCTTCTTTCTACAAGTCCAAGAATCCCGAGAAGACTCCAGAGAATCCCAACTACGTTGTTCCAACACTCGATCTGGTCTTATCCTACTTTGGGAATAAATATCCCGACAGTCGAGAAGTCACAAAAGTCACTCCTCAAGTCGCTTCTCAGGGCGAGCCTCTCAAGCCAAGTCTGGGTGCCACCGAGCCGGAAAGATCTGCTCAATCTCTACCCAGCGCTCCGTCTCTACCGCAAATTTCTCAAAGTTTGCCTGAACGGTCAACACCTATCGCCGTACGACCCACTCCATCTCTTGTCGAAAGATCTCCGGCCTTAATCGAAAGATCGACTCCATCCCTAACGGACAGACCAACGCCGTCACTAGTCGAGAGACCAACCCCATCTTTGGCCGAACGATCAGTACCATCCTTGACCGAAAGAACGATTCAACCCCTAGCCGAAAGAACTCATTCTCTACCAACAACTCTTCACTCCTCGGCAGAAAGAACAGCGCCAACGTCTCAACCACCAGCACCACAAGTCCGTCGAAACTCCACCTCGCCACCGCCTCAATTCAAATCCACCGGAATTCCCGTTTTGAACCAAATTCCAAGAATTCCGGCAGTCAGCCCGAGACCACCAATCGGCTACAAACCACTCCATCAAAGACTTCCGGTGACACCCCAAACTCAAATGGTTCCACTGCGACAAGTTGCTCCGAGAATGCCGAACGTGACAGCCTCATCGTCCGCCAACTTGGCGCCCGTTCCTCCACTCGTACCATCCAGGATGCCGCCACTCATCTCCTCGCAACTATCGCCACGAGTCTCGCAACCACTCTCGCCGAACGGTCAATGGTCCCGAGGAGCTCACGCTCCAAATGCCAGCAAACCGTCACCACCTCCACCACCAACACCCGTGAGGATTCCCGTGAGTGTTCCAATCTCCGCCCATCGACCCGACACTCCGATGCAACACATCTACTCCACCGCTGCTAGTCAACAGCCTGTGATACAACACGCGCCGGGAATGAGAGCCCTGGCACCCAACTACCCACGAGGTGGTCTTCCACCACTGACGCTCAACATTCCACCGAGACCCTACATGCCAAGCGTTCCACCACTCACTCCTGGTGTTCAGGTCAAGACCCCCAGGGACACAGGTCTCGGTGGGAAGTCAGTCATCGAGACGTTGATCCCCGTGAATCCAAGTGAACCCCCAAGACTCGAGGAACCGAAACTCTCGCCTGCTATCTTGCCGGAACCCACCAACAAGGCCTCCACTTCGCCCAAAGTTCCATCTCCGAATCAACCGCCTACTTACATTCCAGAGACGGCGAAAATCGAAATCAACGCCAGTACTTCGAGTCCGATCTTCGGCAAACCGGCAAATACTCTCGACACAATTATGCTCTCGCCCAGGCAGAAGCAACATCTGGACTCTGGTCTCTTGTCGCAGAAGCATCTTGAGAGTAATCTGATTGGTCCAAAGCATCTGGACAGTAGTCTGATTGGTCAGAAGCATCTCGAGAGTAATCTGATTGGGCAAAAGCTTCTCGAGAGTAATCTGATTGGGCAAAAGCATCTCGAGAGTAATCTGATTGGACAGAAGCATCTTGACAGTAATCTGATTGGCCAGAAACATCTCGACAGTAATTTGATTAGTCAGAAACATCATGACAGCAATCTGATTAGCCAGAAGCATCTCGACAGTAATCTGATTGGTCAGAAGCATCTTGAGAGTAATCTGATTGGACAGAAGCATCTCGAGAGTAATCTTATTGCTCAGAAACATCTCGATAGTAATCTGATTGGTCCAAAGCATCTGGACAGTAATCTGATTGGTCCAAAGCATCTGGACAGTAGTCTGATTGGTACAAAGCATCTGGACAGTAGTCTGATTGGTCAGAAGCATCTCGAGAGTAATCTGATTGGACAGAAGCATCTCGAGAGTAATCTGCTTGGACAGAAGCATCTTGACAGTAATCTGATTGGTCAAAAGCATCTTGACAGTAGTCTGATTGGACAGAAGCATCTCGACAGTAATCTGATTGGACAGAAACATCTCGATAGTAATCTGATTGGGCAGAAACATCTCGACAGTAATCTGATTGTCCAGAAACATCTCGAGAGTAATCTGATTGTCCAAAAACATCTCGACAGTAATCTGATGAGTCAGAAACACCTCGACGGTAATTTGATTGGCCAAAAGCAACTCGACAGTAATTTAATGAGCCAGAAACATCTTGATAGTAGTTTAATGAGCCAGAAACATCTAGACAGTACTTTAATGAGTCAGAAACATCTAGACAGTAATTTGATGGGCCAGAAACATCTGGATAGTAATTTACTATCACCCAGACAGAAGCAGGAACTCAATCTTCAACTGTTAACTAGAGTTTCCACTCCGAGTCCAGTGATTGTTGCCCACAGTCATCACAAAATTCATCCTCTGGCCACATCCACAGTTCCGACACCTAATCAGCCACTAATCAAGACCGTCGTTCCAATAGTTGACCACAAACTTAACGAGCCAAGATTCAATCAGAAATTCAAAATTGAAGAGAAATTCAGACCGGAAAATTACCAAACTGACGATAAATTCCGCGAGGTACCGAAGCAAATTCCGCCTCCAGCATTATTGACAAAATCGACCATTGCACAGACGAACGTATCGAAGGCGGTGACACCCACGGCCAAAGACATCAAGGATATGATTGATTTCCCCGAATTCAAGGAGATCAAGGAAATCAAGGAGATCTCGGAGAAGATCCTCGAGGACCGAACTGATTCAGAGGAAAGTCAACCAATGCTCCTAACACCACCGGTTCAGTCAATAAAATCAATCGAGGACAAGGAGAATCTTGCCAAAGCTAATGAAGAACCAGCTAAAGTTAAAGACGAGAAGATTAAAGATGAACCGAAGGAACCGAAGATCAAGGAAGACAAAGAAGTGGAAGTAAAGAAGGAACACGAGGTGAAGACCGAACTCAAGGAAGTCCTGCCAAAAGATCAAGAGAAAGAAAAGGAGAAAGTCGTTCCCAAGGAGATAAAACAGGAGACGGACGACGAACCAACAACGGATCCGCTCGCCCTGGACATTGCCAAGGAAGACCAAACCGACAGCAAAGAGGACAGTGACTATTGGTCAGCCAAGGAGGTCAACATCGAGAGTGTAATAAAGAAAGTCGACGCCCTATGCGACGGCGAGGACAACGACGTCGATGAAGAGACCGAAAATCACGACTCCCACGACACCAGCAAGAGCGAAGCCGACTCCTGGCTAGACTCCGAATCCATCGAAGGCGACAGCAAAAAGAGTTTCTCCAACGACGATCAGGACGAGGGTGTCGAGACCTGTGAAATCGAGACGAAATCAAGACGCGGACGATCGAAATCACGAAGAGGACGCGGCGGAGTAACAACACGTCGAGGAGCGAAAACAGTCGCCTCAAAACGTGGCGGAAGAACCGCTCGCGGTGGCAAACACGCCGAGAAGAACAAACCCACCGACGTCTACGAATTCCACGACGACAGCGAGGAGGACAACGCCGGTCGTCCCAGGTTGATCCTCACGATAAAATCCCCAGGTCCAAACGCAACCGGACCCAACGCTCAACCATCAACACCAGTCGCCGCCGTCAAGGAAGTGCCAGCCGAGGAATTCGTCTCCCCCGCCGTCAACACCCGCAAATCCCGAAGACTCGCCGAAAAGGACTGCAGTCGAACCTCCATCGACGACATCATCGAGGACGTGATTCGAGGCACGGCCAAGAACCCCGCGGCCACTCGCCGCAGCACCAGGCACAACAGCTCGCCCAAGAGCCAAATACCACCGCCCGTCGAGCCCAAGAAATCCACCCGCGGTGGCCGCAAGGGCCCCAGGCGAGTCTCCGAAAACAATGACGAAAGCGAAGAAAAACCCCCGGTGAAAGAAGAAGTCGAAAAGGAACCCGAGAGAGTCGAGGAACCGGAAAGAAAAGTAAAGGTTGAAGAGAAACCGGTGATAAGAAAGCCAGCCTCTCTCGAGCCGATGACTCTCATCGATCCCGTCACTGGAATGCTTATCCCAATGCGAGAGTCGGAAGAGGGACAGTACATTCCAGTCGCCACGGGACAGAACGCGAAGATCGGGGTCATAAACAAAGTCTTCGAAACCCCGGTTCCGAAGAAGGAGGAAGAAACCAAAGTTCCTCCGCCAACAACCGTCTCGACTGTCATCTCATCATCCACCGCAGTCACGACCCAAGCGCCAATCACAAAACCCCAGAGTCTGAAGGCCCACGTTCTCAACGCCGTGCAATCCCTTCAGCCAATCGTAGTCACCAAAACAGCAGTTCCAAATCAGGCAATAGTTCAAAATTTGACGAAACCACCGACCCAGACGGGTCTTCACCTACAAATCCCTTGCAACAGGGTCGCTTCACCGAATTTGAGTCCCCTTGGCGGTAACAAGCACGTACAATCAGCAAATGGAAAACCCCAAAGTCAACCTCAACCACAAGGTCAACAACAGGCGAAATCGCCAGTGTCGAATACTACAGTGACGACAAATCCAAAACAACATTTACTGCAAGCGGCTAAACAAACACCGGCGACGATAAATAGTCTTGAGCAGAAATTGCCGAGTGTGCATCCGGGAACTTTGGCTGCGGCGCCAGCGCAGAGAATTCACCAGGGCATTCCTCAACCGACAACTCTGAAAGCAATAAATGGACAATTACATCCTGTTAATCCGAAAGCTCATATACTGCAAGCTGTGGTTCCGCCAGTGATGTCCGGGGCTGTTGCGAGTCCACCCGCTCAGGCTCATGTCATTGGAGCTCAACCTGTCGTGGCTGGTGGCGCTTGTTCACGATCTGCGCCTACCAAAGCACAGGTAAATAAAGTATTTTTGACAACTAATTTTCCAATCGTTAATTTTTCGTTTTTAAATTTTATTTACAGTTTTTATTCAATATTTTTTTTTTAGAAAATTACTTCAAGACTTTTATTTTAATAAACAAATAAATAAGACTATTTCGTAATTGAAACGAAATAAAATGTCGAACTAGATTCATTTGAAACGAAATTGAATTTAGATTGATTTTTTGAAACGAAATACAATTTAATTAGGTTTTTTGAAACAAAATAGAATTTAATTAGATTTTTTTGAACGAAACCAAATTTAATCAGATTTTTTGGATCGAAAGCGATTTTAATTCAATTTTTTGAAACAACATAGAATTTAATTCGATTTTTTGGAACGAAACCAAATTTAATCAGAATTTTTTAATCGAAATCGATTTTTATTCGATTTTTTGAACCGAAATACAATTTAATTGGATTTTTTTTAAACAAAATAGAATATAATTAGATTTTTTGGAAGGAAATCGAATTTAATTATATTTTTTTCTTCAAAACCCAATTTAATCAGATTTTTTGAATCGAAATTGATTTGAATTCGATGTTTTGAAACAAAATGTAATTTAATTACATTTTTTGAAACAAAATAGACTTTAATTAGATTTTTTTGGAACAAAATCGAATTTAATTAGATTTTTTGCAACGAAATCAAATTTAATTAGATTTTATGGAACGAAACCGAATTTAATCAGATTATTTAAATCGAAATCGATTTTAATTCCATTTTTTAAGACGATATACAATTTATTTAGATTTTGTTAATGGAAATCGATTTTAATTCAATTCAATTCGGTTGTTCAAAAAATTTAATTATATTCTATTTTGTTTAAAAAGTTTGATTAAAATGTATTTCGTTTCAAAAAATCGAATTGAAATCGATTTCGATTCAAAAAATCTAATTTAATTAGATTTTGTGAATCGAAATCGATTTTTATTCAATTTTTTAAAACGAAATAGAATATACATAATTAGATTTTTTGAAAGGAAATCGAATTTAATCAGATTTTTTTTATTTAATATCGAATTTAAGTAGATTCTTTTAATTGAAATCGATTTTAATTCAATTTTTTGAAACAAAATACAATTTAATTTAATTAGATTTTACTTTTAGATCTTTTGAAACAAAATCGAATTTAATTAGATTTTTCGAACGAAATCGAATTTAATCAGATTTTATGAAAAAAATCAAATTTAAATAGATTTTTTGAATCAAAAATGATTTTAATTTGATTTTTTGAAACGAAATACAATTTAATTCGATTTTTCCATTCGAAATCAAAATTTAAAAATTCCATTTTGGAAATTCTGTTTTTGTAAATAAAGGAATTTGGAACTTTTTTTCTAATTTTTCAATTATTAATTTAAATTATTTAATTAATTATCTTTATCTATTACAGGTGACGGGAGCAATGGAACCTCCAAAAGTGGAAATTTCAATGTCTGGCTGCATTATGGCTTCTCCTGGTCCTCAACCACCTCGAGGAGTTCCAATTTCAGCTTATGAAGCATCACTGGTAAGAAAAATTGAAAATTTCCCCCTAAGCATGACATTCTTATTATCACTAATGTTGCTTTCTTTTAACAATAACTTGGGGCAATTAAATTATTATTTCTCAAATTACAGGCCTTGGATATTATGACTTTATCGACTGTTTTCAAAAAGAGAAACTTTTTTCGACATTTCTTCTAATTATTGCAAGTTTTTCTACTTTTTTTCTTAATATTACAACAAAATATCAAATTTTTAGTATAAAATGCAACTTACTTCAATTTTTACAGTGTATAATTAAAAAATTGTTGAATAATTGAAATTTTATGATATTTAATAAAATTAATTGAAAATAATTGATTTTTTTCAAGTATTTTATTACAATTTTTGAAAATCAACTTTTGAAGAATTTTAATTTCAAATTTAGATAAATAAAGTAATTTTAATAAATAAATCTTAAAAATTTGAATGAAAAAATCGTCAAGTGTGAATTTTGAAAATGAAAATTAATAAAAATTAGCTTTTAAAAATTATATAAAAATATTTTTACAAAAAGTAATTCTTAGAATAAATAAATTTATAAAATTTTTGTGACAAAACAGAATAAAATTAACGAATTTTTTATATTTTTAATCAACGGAAGCGTTTTGCTCATTAAAGTCGATCCGAGGCCTGAAATTAATATTAATATACATTTTAATTTTATTTTTAATTGAATACTATCAACGAAATGGACCCAAAGTTAAAAAAACAATTTTTTTACATTTTCAAACATTCGAATATTCATTTAATTTCCTTTCAAATTCAAGATAAATTTATTTCGTTTCAAAAAGAAAAAAAAAATTTGTATACAAATTCGCAACGATATGAAAAATTTGATTTAATTAAAGCAACTTTATTTTAATTTATTTATTTAAATTTATTTCAATTAAATTGAATTAAAAATAAAAATATTAAATCAGCAGAAGACTTTCGTCTTCTGCTGATTTAATATTTTTATTTTTCAAAATTTGCCGATTTGAAAAAGATTTTAATTTAATTCTTTTTTAAATAATGCAATCAATAAAAAAGTATGAAGATAAAAAATGAAAATCTAACATTGCTTGGTTTTGGTTAGCATGGAAGTGCGAGTGCAGCTCCAGCATCAGGGGGACAGTATGGACTCGTTCCCCCTCATCGCTCCCAAAGTCCTCCATTGCCCCCTGCCTATCATCACGCTAATGCTTCTCAGGTACTTACAACTCAAACTTTTACTAAAAACTGAAAAAAATTCCAAATCTGCATTTTATTTCCATCTAACAATTTTCTTGCTCCTACCATTTGAGATTTTTTGAATACAAAAAGGATTTTTCGACTCTCCAAATTTATCAACTAAAACAATGAATTCAATTATTTTCAAAACAATTTTAATACATTTCGAATAAATTTAATTATTTTAAAAAAATTTAAAGAAATTCTTCAAAAGAATTTATTTGGGATTTTAGAAAATTTAAATAAAATTCTTCGCAAGAATTCAATTATATTTTTATAAATTAGTAAAATTCAACAAGAATTTAAAATTCACTAAAAAATATTTTTAAAAAAATAAAAAATATCTCAAAATATTTTTTAAAAAATTCTGTATGAAAATTAAATTACTTTCAATGCAATTTTTAAATTTATTCGTCAAAAAATTGAAAGAATTTAATTATTTTCCAAAATTAATAAATTTCTTGTGATAAATTCAATTATTTTGAATATACTTAATTTTAATAAAATTCTTTACAGAAATTCAATTATTTTCGAAACAACTTTAATTAAATTTCTCGAAAAAATTTCATTATTTTTAAATATGTATTTCTATAAAATTTTTCATAACAATTTAATTATTTCTTAAAATTTTAATAAATTCTTCGAAACATTTCAATTATTTTTATAAATAGTAAAATTCTTTGCAGAAATTCAATTGTTTTCAAAACAATTTTAATAGAATTCCTAGAAAGAATTTAACTTAATTGTAGTCAATTTTTCATTAATTCGGTTTATTCGAAATATTTCAAGTAAAAGGAATTTTAATTCTTAACTTTTCATTTCTTTACATTATAATTCTTTATATTTTTTTATTTATTTATATTTAATCTATATTTATATCTTTTTTGTGAATTTATTATTTAATTTATATTTATTTATATTTAGTTTATATTTAATTTATATCTTTTTTTGTGAATTTATTATTTAATTTAATTAAATTAATGAAATCACTGTTCATATTTAATTTATATTTATTTATATTTCGTTGAATTTTTCAGGGCGATGTTGTCAATCCCTATGGAAATCTAACAAGAGCCGCGGAATTGCCGTCGCACTATATTCATCCCTATCAGTACATCCTTCGCGCCCAGCAGGAGGCAATGACGGCACCGCGAATTGCGTATCACGTACCAGGCACAAGATCGCCACACTTGCCGCTTGATCAAAAATTGGAAACCCCTGGCGAGGAGAATCCAAGTCCACCTTTGGAATACAGACGTAGCACGAGAACACCACAGGAAAGAACAACGGACAGTCCGCAAATTGCACCGGTCTACATGCATCATCAGAATGCTCGCCTCCCACCGCCACCGCCGCCGCAATTCAATGCCGGAAGTGCCGTTCAACGCGGCTACTACGATCCACCGCCAGTTCACATTCAATCACAATATCCAATGGCTGGCAGTGAAGCGCCCACTGAGCGCGCAATCACACCCGATCGAAGTCGAAAATTACAAGTGGCAACACCACCGCACGCAGCTCAAGTCCCACCGCAAACTGATTCGCTGCCAATGCTTCTTCAACGTTATCCGGTCATGTGGCAGGGATTACTCGCGCTCAAGAGCGATCAGGCCGCAGTGCAAATGCATTTTGTCTTTGGCAATCCAAATGTCGCCAGGGAAGTGTTGCCCTCGTGCAACAGTGATGGATCAACACCGCAATTGAGAATCGCTCAGCGCATGAGGCTCGAGCAGGCGCAAGTTGAGGCCGTGGTCAGGAAGATGCAGGTATTGTCTCTTTCTTTTAAATCAATTTTTCTTCTTCGTAAAAAAGGGAACCGTTTTTTCCCTTTGCAGGGCTCGAACTAGGATCGTAAATTTGCTTCAAGTCCGTAAAAGTCAGTTTTAAAAAAAAAAAAAAAAAAGTCCCTAAAGTCCGTAATTTCATTGAGAAAAGACGAAAATTTTGTAAATTGTACGATATAATTTGGAGAATTTTATAGAGAAATTACAAATGATTGCAGAAATTCAATTATTTTCAAAAGTAATAAAATTCTTCGCAAAAGTGCAATTAATTTCAAAAGTAATAAAATTCTTCGCAGAAATTTAATTATGTTCAAAATTTTTTTTAAATTCTCGTAAAAATTTCAATTATTTTTAAAAATACAATAATACTATAATAAAATTTTACAAGAATTGCTTGAAAAATGTAATTATTCTTAAAAAAATTAATTTCAATTTCTGGAAAAAATCAATTATTTATTTAAAAAAATGTTTTTTTAAAATTCTTTGGAAGAATTCAATTATTTTCAAAAATTTTAGAATTTTTCGCAGAAATTCAATTGTTTTCAAATATTTTAATAAAATTATTCGAAAGAAATAAATTATTTTAAATACAATTTTACAAAAATTTTTTTTTTGAAATAATTATATTATTTTCAAAAATTATAATCAAATTCTTTATAACGATTCAATTATTTTCGAAAAATATTTGAAATTCAATTATTTTTAATATCTAGTATTTTCATCAAATTTCGCAAAAAAAATCAATTGTTTAAAAAGAAATTGACAAAATTCATCCAAAATTCAATTTTTTTTTTATTTAATAATAAAATTTCCACAGGAATTCAATTAATTTAGAATAGCATTTTCAAAAAAATTTAGAAAAAATCAATTATTCAACAAAATTTTTATGCAATTCTTCACAATAATAATTCATGGAAATTCAATTTTTATAAAAAACGTTTTATAAAATTCTAAGCGATAATTCAATTATTTTATAAATAATAAAACTCATCGAAGAATTTCAATTATTTCTAATACTATTTGAAATTAATTAATCGAAAAATTCAATTCTTTTCACAAATAAAGTTTTCCACAAGAATTCAATTATTTAAAAAAACATTTTTATATTATTTTGAAAAAAATAATTATTTAATATAATTTTTTTAAAATTCTTATGAAGAATTCAATGATTTTCAAAAATAACAAAATTTTTCACGGAAATTCAATTCTTTTTGAACATTTTAATAAAATTTTTCGCAATAATTCAATAATTTTTGAAAATTTTAATAAAATTCTACGCAAACCTTTAATTATTTTACAAATTTTTTTGTAAATTTCTCCGCAATCATTCAATAATTTTCATAAATAATAAAATTTTTTTATTATTCTAATATATTAAATTGAAGAATTTCCGAATAATTGAAATTCTGTAAAATTAGATTGTAAACAAATGAATGTGAAAATTCTCAAAGAACTTTTTCAACAATTATTAAAAATAATGCATTTATAGAAAAATTTTAGTTAAAATTACGAAAAAAATTTTATTTTGGAAAAGTTACAAATTATTGCAGAAATTAAATTATTTTCAAGTGTAATAATATTCTTCGCAAAAAATAATAAAATTCTTAGGAATTCAATTATTTTCACTAATAATAAAACTCATCGCAGAATTTAAATTATTTTTAATACAATTTTAATCGAATTCCTCAATAAATGTAATTATTCTTAAAAGTTTTATTCAAATTCGTCGAAAAATTCAATTATTTAAAAATTTCTTGATACAATTTTTTGTGGGAAATGAATTTTAAGAAACATTCAATTATTCAATAAACTGTTTATTTTTTGTATTTAAATAATTGAATTCTAGTAGAATTTTCTGATAAAAATTTATTTAAAAATGAATTTTTTTAATATTATTTGAAAGTTTTATTTTCTAATAAATATATTTAATTGAAGAATTTACGAATAATTGAAATTTCGTAAAATTAAATATTGTAAAGAAATGAATTTGGAAATTGTCAAAGAACTTTTTCGAAAATTATTGAAAATAATTGATTTAAAGAAAAATTTCAGTTAAAAATTCTTGAAAATAATAATTGAATTGATAATGATTTTATTACTCGGTCATTTTCATTTATAGTTTGAAGTAAAATTTTCTCCTATTTTACTCGGACTGTTTATATTTCAGTCAGTAATTGGTCCTTAAGTTTTTATTTTTGGTCCGTAAAGTTCGTTTTTTTAATTACTTTCATTGGTTCGAACCCTGTTTTTCTTAAAAAATGGAACATTTTTTCCCTTCGTTAAAAAAAGAAACTTTTTTCCCCCTTTCTTAAAAAACGGAACATTTTTTTCCCTTCGTTAAAAAAGTGACATGCGACTGTTATTAAAAAAAAATCTTACCTTACAACTTTTTTTTTGAAGATATTAACAGAATTTTTCAATTTTTGTTTCCAGACCGACAATGAGCATTGCATATTGATGGCACTTCCTTGTGGTCGTGATCACTTAGACGTGATTCAGCAGAGCGAAAATCTTCAAAGTGCATTTATAACATATCTCCAAACGAAACAGGCCGCCGGAATCGTCAATATTGCCGTGCCCGGTTCTCAACAGGTTTGTACAAATTTTTATTCACCTACAAAATTTTCAAAGTTATTTATTTTCTAATAAAATAATAAAAAAAAAAACTGATGGATTTTTTAGAAGAATAAATAGTAATAATTGGTTGAATCAAAAATTTTTTTGTTTACAAATATATTTATTTGTAAACAAAAAAAAATTCATTTCTTTTGTTCTTTGATTTGAATAACAAGCCAAAAAAATATCTTCGTATTCACAAGTCCTAACAATTTTTTTGTTTCACTTCCAGGTTACCAATGTAATACACATATTTCCATCTTGTGACTTTGCAAATGAAAATCTCGCTCGAATTGCTCCTGATCTACTTCATCGAGTGGCAGAAATCGCTCACTTATTTATTGTGATCGCCACTGCCTGAGACCGAGTCACAAGAATTTTCATCGTGAAAACACTATTTTTTCTTCATCTCTTCTTTTTTTCTCGCGCAATGAAAAAGATGCTTTACATTATTGTGGCATATAAAGCCTTGAAAGAGAGAGGGAGAGAGAAAGATACGTTCTCAAAAACTGGACTTAGTTAAAAAAAAAAAAAAAGAAAAATCATTAAAGAACAGAAAAAAAGGACTAGAAGAAAAAAAAAAGAATTTGGAGTAAACCATTCAAAAAACCCTCTATACACGAGCTATACACGTTAAGAAATAGTCGTTAAAACTGTACCAATTTAAGCGAGCCGGCAAAGGCATAACTACTGTGATTTTAATTATTTAACGTATGTATCTGCATAAAAACATAAGGAAGACCGATTCTGGTCCGCGTATGTGTTTTTGTATAATATTAATCTATATAAATACCTATGTATTATATTACTTGTATCGATAGTCGCCGACGCCGTTGCTGCTCTTGTTGAGAGTTAGAAAGTAATTGAAAAGAAAAAAAAAATATTGAAAAAAAACTCTTAGTAGAGTTTGAAAAAAAAATTAATAAATTTTTCTTTTAAAGAAAATTTTTTTCCTACGAAGAAGAGAATTTTTCTATTCTGAACATTCTTTCTTTCGTGAAAAAGATCTATATTTTTTTTTTTTTGACGAAAGAAACATTTTTTTAGTTTTTTAAAAAAATACAAGTTTTTAGTTTTTTAAAAATATTTTGCAATGAAATTTTTTAATTCTTTAAAATTTGAAGAAAAGTTATATTTTGTTTGGAAAGTTATCTTTTTAACTGACTTTTTTTTCTACTCTTTGAAATTTTAGTTAAAAATGAATTCAGAAGGGAAATCGTTCATTTTTTAAAAAGGAGGGGAGAATTTTCTTAAAACAAAATTCTCCTCTTTTTTTACAAATCGAGTAAACTTTTGAAGAGTGGAAAAAATGGGAAGAAAGAAAAATGTTTTTTTGAGAAATAATTTTTTTGTACTCTTTATTTGTGAACATGTAAAATGTTTTTTAATTCTCTTCTGAATGTGGTAAAAACTTTTCGTTTTTTTTTTGTGAAAAAAATTTTTTTTTGAGAAAGAAACCTAGGAAAAAATGGAAGAATACCGAGGACTACTACTAGTGTATCATAGAATACCATAGCAGGATGTAACATATTATTCTAGTTATGTACATTATCGGAAGATTTGTAATATTAATGACTCGATTCTTTATTATCAAAATTGATACGATTATAATTATCTATTAATTATTATTATTACTACTTCTACCGACATACTACGTTACTATTCTATGCTATTACTATACTACTACTACTACTACACTACTACTACTATCGAACCTACTACTACTACTACCGCTGCTATTAATTATCATTAACGTTTACACAGGCTAGCTAGAAAATATTTGAGCGTTGAAAATACGAGAGAGAGAGAGGAAAAAAATTCCCTCTTTTCTTGTTTTTAAGGAGGTAAAAATTAAAAAAAAAAAAAAAACGAGGGCTTAAAAGCTGTCGTACCAAAGGGTTCGACTGATCTCATAATAATAAAAAAAAAACTTCCATCCTACAGTAATAATGCGCTTATGTGTATAGACAAGAAAATTTACAATTATATCACACAAAGAAAAAAAAACGTAAGAAAAAATTACGAGTAATAAATGAATTATTTACAGAAAAAATAAAAATTTCGCTGACGCGCATAGAGCGCGCTCGCCTCTAGTGGTAACGTAAAATGTAAAGATTAAAAAAAAATATATATTAAAGAAAAAAAAATCATTTAGTAATAAAGAGAGCGTTGTTTTTTGAAAAAAAACTCCGAAATTCGATACTCGCAATCGAAGACCAAATTTGCATAATTTTTTTTCTATTTTTTTTTTTAATGTTTTTTGTTTTTAGTTTGTGAAAAATTTTCCCGATTTTGAAAAATATTTAACGGGATTATTTGAAAAAAAAAAATCTGTGATTTTACTGTAGGCGATCTTTGTTTGCGATTATCCTGTGAAGGTATAATAATATCATTTTAAAAGTTTATATAAAATATAAAAAAAAAGAAATTGCAAAGAAAGATTTTTTTTGTTTGTAAAATTTACAACGCTCTCTTTCGACGTAAATTTGATAATTTAAGGCAGCGCAGATACTCGTTATGTACAGTGTAAAAGATGCGTTGTGCATATGTACAGTTATAGAAGTTAAATAAAAAAAAAAAAATACGAGCGAGCGAGATAATGAAAAAAAAACATATGTTACAGTTACAAGTTAAGTATATATATAAATATATATACGCATGCCGTGTATATCGTGCAACATTTTTTCAATTTATATTTAATTGCGAACGAAAGTCTTTGTTCTTATAATATATATACATATACATATATATATATATATTTTTTTTTTCTTTGCGGATGTTTGATTTAGGTATTAAAGTATCGAAAGCACAATATACACGTCAGCCGCGTCGAAAAAAAAACCTATCGTGTAAAATATCTGTGAATATTATAATTTAGTTTCTTCCTACTGGTATAGAAAAAAAAAGATTATGTTATTCGCATAAGGAAAATGTACAGATATCACATTTTTGTTTTGTGTTTTAACTGTAGTTATTGATAATTATATGGATATTAACGATAATAATAACTATGATTAAAAAAAAAAAAATTTCGACTAATTAATAGTAATCCTCGTCTCAAAAAATAAACACCTATATTTGCAAAAAGTAAAAAATAATTCGAAAGAAGAAATTCAAGAAATTCAGGGTTGCCACGATTTTGCTCTTTTCCAATTCCATGAATTTTCTAGGTTTAAAAAGGGGAATTTTTCCAGGTTTTTAAAACGAAAATTATTCGCAAACACCAATAACTTCTTCAAAAATTATTTTCATCATTGCGATTATTCATTTCTAGAATTTTCAACTAAAATTCTTCAATTTTTTAAAAATGTTCTTTGAGAATTTTCAAATTCTTTTGTTAACAATTTAATTTTTCGAAATTTCGATTATTCTGACATTCTTCAATTAAATATATTAGAAATTAAAAACTTCAAAGAATTAAAAAAATTCCATTAAACTTATTGAGAAAAATTAATTCTACAGAATTCTTAATTAAAAGTATGAAATGTTCAAATTTTCAAAGATTTTAATTTGAAATTCATTTTCAAATCAAAATAATTTTAATTGAATTCCTCGGAAGAATTCAATTTTTAAAAAAAATTTTAACACATTTCAAAAAAATTCAAATTTATTCTAAAATTTAAATAAAATCCTTCAAAAAAATTCAATTATTTTTATAAATAGAAAAATTCTTTGCAGTAATTCAATTATTTTCAAAACAATTTTAATTGAATTCCTCGAATGAATTCAAATATTTTTAAACATTTCCATAAATTTCAATTATTTCCTAAAATTTTTAAAAATCCTTCGAAACAATATTCAACTATTTTTATAAACACTAAAATTCTTTGCAGGAATTAAATAATTTTTAATCCAATTTAAATAAAATTACACGAAAGAATTTAATTATTTTCAAAAATTTCCATAAAATTCAATTTCAACAAGAATTTAAAATTCTCTAAAAATAATTCAATTATTCTCAAAATATTTTTAAAAAATTCTCTAAAAATAATTAAATTATTCTCAAAATATTTTTAAAAAATTCTCTAAAAATAATTAAATTATTCTCAAAATATTTAAAAAAAAATTCTATATAAAAATTAAATTACTTTTAATGCAATTTTTAAATATATTCATCAAAAAAATTGAAAGAATTTTCAATTCTTTTCAAAATAATAATTTTAATAGAATTCCTCGAAAGAATTTAAATTTTCAAATATGAACATAAAATTAATTTATTTTCTAAAATTTTAATAAATTCTTCGGAACAATTCAATTATTTTTATAAATAGTAAAATTCTTCCCAAGAATTCAAATTATTTTCAATACAATTTTAATAAAATCCTTCTTCATAAAATTAAATTGCTTTCAAAATTTTCAATTAAAATTTAAAATTATTAAAGAATCTCCATTAGTTTAAAAAAAAATTCAAAGAAATTCTTCAAAAGAATTTAATTAGGATTTTTAAAAATTTTATTAAAATTCTTCACGAGAATTCAGTTATTTTCCTAAATAATAAAATTCTTTGAAACAATTTGATGATTTTCAATACATTAATTTTAAAATTGAAAATAATTGAAATTCTACCAAGAATTTTATTAAAAGTTTTGAAAATAATTGAATTTCTGAAAAAATGTATGAATGTGAAAAAAATGTATAAAGATAATTGAAATTTTGACGAGAATGTTTCTAAATTTTTTAAACATAATTTGATTTATGCGAAGAATTTTATTAAAATTATTTTAAAGTAAATTGAATAGTTACGCAAAGAATTTCATTAAAATTTTTGCAAATAATTTTATTCTTTAAAGAAATTGAATTAAAAATGTGTTGAAAATAATATTTAAATTCTAATAAATAAATTGTAGCAAAGGTTATTGAAATAATTAAATTTCTTTGATAAATTTTAATAAAAAATTTTAAGAATAATAAGTTTTTTCGAGGAATTCCATTAAAATTGTATTAAAAATAATTGAAATTCAGCATTAAGTTTTATTATTTATGAAAATAATTGAATACCTGTAAAAAATGTTATTATTTATGAAAATAATTGACTGACTTTTCCAGGTTTTTTCAAAGTTTATAAAGTTCCCCGACATTTCCAGGTTTTTCAGGTTTCCAGGTTGCGTAGCAACCCTGAAATTCTCTCACGATTGAAATTAAATTCAAGAAAAACAAACTTTGGAAGAAATACAAGAAGAAAATTATTCGGCAATCTTTTATTTTCAGAATTTACATCGTAAACTTATTTTGCCAAAAAGGAGTGAAAAATCAAAAATAATTATCTTCTATGAAGAATGTACAATATTCTTTTCGAAATTTACACAACCTTTATATTATACTTTATTTTTCTTTCTTTATATTATTATCTCATTTGAAATTCAAATATAAAAAGCCCACTAGTTTTCGATTTCTCAAATCACTTTCAACTAACGCACAAAAAAATATTATATTAAATACTCGCTTCTTTTTCGTTTTCTCGCGTTCAAATAAAATTTCGCAAAAATCAAGAAATGATTTTAATTTTATTTTGATTTGAACAAGAGTTCGAAAAATTCTTCTAAAAAGATTCTATCTACAACATTTACAATTTTCATAAAATAGACTATATAATATTCCATAACTGTTTGTCAATATACGGTGGAATGTTTCTTTTTTTTATTCTTTGGTTCATAATTTAAATTACACGTTCCACACATTATTCTGAACAGCAAAAAATTAGTTAAAAGCAGAGCGTCTGTAAATTATTAAAAATCCATTTCTATTATAATTAATTGTTTATTTATTTATCTTTCTAATTACAATTATTATTTGAATACTTTTTTTGTTTTAAATTTTACCTTCTGAAATTGTTTCTAAATTTAAAAAATTTTAGTAATAATTTACAGACATTCTTTGTAAAGTTCAAGGAACGTAGAAAGGAAAACTTTTCAGAAAAATTTGTGACAAAACGAAAGAATTATGTAAAATACATTCTAACGATATTTTCATTGCATTTTTCCAGAAATCGTTTCACCAATTTCTATCTAAATTTTTTTTTCTATTTAAAAGGCAAGATTTTTCCTTTCAGTCTCCACAAATCCCATCTGGATATAGCTCACCAGATTTTGATATAGACAATCTTTTAATTATTGTTATTAATTATGAACTATATTATTATTTATTTGTAATAAATGATAAGTCTGTCGCGTTTATTTATTCTCAATTCGAAGAAAGGCAAACTTTCCAAAATTCTTAAATTTTATCATCACACACACATAAATTTGCGGAAAGTTCAAAAACTTTTTTTAAAGATATACTTCTCTTTAATGAATGAATGACTTTCATTTTATTTTTTAATAATACTTTAAGACCCACGACTTAGGAAAATACTAGCAATAATTTGTTTCATTATTTTTTATCATTATGAGGAAATTGAATTTTCTCTCTCGATTTTTAATAAATTAATTCGTGGATTTTAATGATTTTATTAAAAAACGATTTATTTTTATTTAAATACAATTGTTACGATAGAGAGAAAAGAACTTAAATAATTTCTAAGTATTTTTTAAAATTTTAATCAAATAAATTAATTTTATAAATTATTCTTATTACTAAACTTCTATTTAAACTTTTCTTATTTGGAAGAGAATTGAGAGAATTAAGAGAATTTTTTTAAGTATCGATGGATTTAAAAATTAATTTTTCTTTCTCTGTATCGTAACAAATTTTAATAAATATATCAACTGTTGAAAAGAACCTTCTACAAAAAAAACATTTTTCGTCATTTCATTTTACAAGGATCGTCTTAAATCGAATGATTAATTTCGATCATTACGTAGGAAATTTTCTCTTATGAGTAACGATTCTATGGAATGAAATTCGAAATAAAATGACAAAGCAATATTAAAATTGTCAACTATTAAATAGTCAATTTTGCGCCCTTCAGTGCTCAGTTCCCCTCAATAATTAACTCAAACAAAAATGAAAAATTCTCTAAATGTGAAAAAAGAAACTAAAAAATATACAATAAAAATTATTTTCATATCACAGTTGCTGGATCGGTGGAAAAAAATAAAAAAAGTGCAAAATTTTCTTTGCAAAAAACAACTCAGCACCGAATAACAACGCTCACAACGACGATAATTAGCAATGAAGGCAATTAAAAAACAACACTGAGAGAAACAATGTCACGAGAGAAAAAAATCTCCCTAAGGAAACGAAACAAAAAGAAAGAAAAATTACTCAAAATCCAGCCGATAATAAAAGTTCAAAATAAACTTTTTCAAACATAAATTTTGATTCAAATTAAATATCAAGAATTTTAGGAAAGAATAATTTTTTTAAGAATATTTTAGGAATATTCCCCTCAGTGTTTGACGAGCCGAAAGAATATTTACACTATTTTCTAACCGAACGATAAATCTTATCGATATTCGATTTTTCATTTGCACTAAAACCAAGAATACTTTCAATCGCATTTAAATGACCCTGATGATTCTCCTTATCGGTGAGGAAATAATAAATAGCCGACTTCAAAAATTGTAACGTAATCTCTGGATCGAGGACTGCCTGCGTATTCCTGGACTCCACTATTCGGCGATACATCGCCTGAGACAAAAAATTACTTCATTAGTCAAAATTTCAATTCCTTAATCCTATTTTTATCAACAGATTCAATCAATAACAAATAAATTAACAAACACCTAAAATTTCAAAATGCATTCACTATTTTTTCAACAAACAAAAAAGCGAAAACCATAACCAAGGAAATGAAGAGGCTGTTTCTTTTCAAAGTGCTTTCTTCAGCTTCTAAACAATGAAATAACAAAGTGCGAAAAAAACCCATAAAGCCAATTATCATGCACCTTTCTTTTAGTTATTGAAAAAAAGCTCAAGTAGAAGGCATTTGATGAAATCGATGAAATGAAATCACTATAATTTTAAAATTAGAACAACGCATGCTGTTAACAAAAATACTACTCGTAATGTTACATTTTTTCGATTTTTACTTTTTGGAGGATGAAATAATATTTTGTAAGAATTAAACTTATGAATAATTTTTTTTGCGGAATGAACAAAAAATGATTTAAACTATCGATTGAAATGGAAAAGTACAAATATAGCAGAAGAGAAAATTAATCACGAATTTTTACAAAAAGGAAGAAAAATATAAAATACCAAACGAGAGAATTGAAATATGTAGAAAACTATCACAGAAAAGAAAAAAGACAAAATTTTTCTAGAAATAAAATTAGTTAGCGAATTTTGAAAATTAAATTTTACTGCCACAGAAAATTAAAACAGATAAATTTCAAACATTAATTTAAATTTCTTTACACAATTAAGGTACAGTTAACTAAAATACAGTAACAGTTTAATTGAGAATTAAAACTATCTTAAGATTTTCAAATTTTCCTTAAAACGAAGAAAATTATAATAGAAATGTGATTTTTGATTAAAAATACCTTTTTCGTTTTTTTAAAATCGCATTTCAAATATAAACAAAAAACGAAAGAATTCAATTTTTTTTTAATTCGTTACAAAATTTTTCAAAAGAATTCAATTATTTTCTAAAATTTTAATAAATTCTTCGAAAACAATTCAATTATTTTTGTAAATAGTAAAACTCTTTGCAGGAATTCAATTATTTTTAAAACAATTTTAATTGAATTCCAAGGAAGAATTAAATTTGAAAAAAAATTTAATTCATTTCGAATAAATTCAATTATTATCTAAAATCTTAATAAATCAATTATTTTTATAAATAGTAAAATTCTTTGCAGGAATTCAATTATTTTCAAACCAATTTTAATTGAATTCCTCTGAAAAATTTAAATATTTTAAAATATTTCTATAAAATTCAATTATTTCCTAAAATTTTAATAAATTCTACGAAACAAATTCAACTATTTTTATAAATACTAAAATTCTTTGCAAGAATTAAATTATTTTTAATCTAATTTAAATAAAATTACACGAAATAATATAATTATTTTCAAAAACTTCCATAAAATTCAATTTCAACAAGAATTTAAAATTCTCTAAAACTAATTCAATTATTCTCAAAATATTAAAAAAAAATTCTATATGAAAATTAAATTACTATTAATGCAATTTTTAAATATTTTCGTCAAAAAAATTGAAAGAATTCAATTATTTTTATAAATTGTAAAATTCTTTGCAAAAATTTAATTAATTTAAAAACAATTTTGATAAAATTTCATGACAAATCAATTTATTTTTAATTTTCAATAATATTTTTCGAAAAAATTCAATTATTTTCTAAAATTTTAATAATCCTTCAAAACAATTCAATTATTTTTTTAAATAGTAAAATCTTTGCAAAATTTCAATTATTTTCAATAAAATTTCACGAAAGAATTCGATTTTTTTTAATTCGTTATTAAATTTTTTAAACGAATTCAATTATTTAAAAAAATTATAATAAATCCTTTGAAACAATTTAATTTTTTTTTATAAGCAGTAAAATTTATCGCTAGATTTAAACTATTTTTCATAAATAATAAAATTCTTGTCGCAGGAATTCAATTATTTAAAAAAGTTTAAAAAAAATTGTTTATTTTATTCAATTATTTTCAAAATTTTAATTAAAAATACAGATTTTCCTTTTTGAAAATCTGTATTTTTTAACTTAAAGAAATTCTTTAAAAGAATTTAATTATTTACACTCTAATAAATCTTGTTTAGAACAGTTTAATTTTCTATCAATAATTTTAATAAAATTCCTTGAATGAATTAAATTATTTTTGAAAATTGCATTAAAATTCAGGAAAGAATTTTAATATTTTCTAAGAATTCTAATAAAATTCAATATAATTAAATGTTTTATTTCAATTATTAAGAAACAAGATTATTTTAAAAACATGATAGCAATTGTTTATAAAATTCAATTACTATCAAAATTTCTAATTAAAATAATTAAAGAAACTCCGTTATTTAAAAAAAAATGTTAAAGAAATTCTTTAAAAAGAATTTAATTATGATTTTTAATAATAATAAAATTCTTTGCAAGAATTCAATTATTTTCATGTAAATAATAAAATTCTTCGAAGGAATTCAATTATTGTCAAATTTTTTGATAAAAATTCTAACTGCGAATACATTACCCGAAAAGTTTACAACGATTAATATAGAAGATTATTTTTGTCTTCTTTTAATTTTTAATTTCTGAATAATATTTCTAATTCATTAGATATTAAAATTAATTAATTCACAATTTTCATTAAAAACGACAAAAATAATTGATTCAATTTTACATTCGCTAGTAAATTTTTTTTTTCGTGTCTCTAAAAATAAAATGAAAATTGAATGAAAATTTTTGCAAAAGTGGGCAAGTGCTCTTAAAAATAGGTGCACTGCGTGATAAAATGCAAAATAAAGGAACACCGAGTAAGAAATCGCGAGGCATTTGAGTAAGGAATACAGACCTTACGTGTACCAAGCACCCAGAGAGAAACAGCCTCCTGAGCACTTAATAAACACGAACTACGTTCTGCTGAACAATTCGGTTCAGACGAATAGTATGTATCCTGGAATGTGAGCAGCGGCCAAAAATATATTTATTAGCATCGTTAGTAGACAAAAAAACAAAGGAAAAAAGACCTCATTTTTAATATGAGAATTTGAAAAAAGAAAGGAAAAGAAAAGGTGAGTTTTAAAGGTGTTTAAGTGTTAGTGAAAGAGACAGAGAGATAGAGAAGTTACACAAGGGATGCGAAATTGTGAGAAGCATCAGAAATTTCAGAAACGAAAGACAATCACACAATATTTCTCAGTATAAGCAATTAGTCACGACTTTGCAAAATAATTCTCCCCTTAAAAAATTTGAGAAAATTATCTGACATGTATAATTAAAAGAATTAAAATTCTTTTAATTTGTCACATTGCTTCTTTTTCCACTTTTCATCCTGGGTTTTTCTTTTTAGATCCAAAAATTTCGAAGGACAAGTTTACAATGTAAAAGTAGAGAAAAAAATGGTATAGAAAAATTCTTGAATAAACTGACCTTAATATTTTCTAATTCAGCTTGCGTGACTGTAAGTTGTTGAAGGAGCTCGGCTACTGTTACTTTCGGCGGCGTTTCATGGGCGTGCTCAAGAATCTATGAAAATAATTCAGGTCAAGAATCAACTATTGTCTCGCTAAAAAAAATCTTCAAATAGCTCTGGGACTTTTTTCTCAAGAAACACGAAAAAAACTGGTTTTTGTTTCAGGAAAATTAAATTTTTACTCCTCTTCTTCTTCTTTACTTTGTCAATATACAAGAAATTTACTCCAAAAAATTCACAATGTTCAAAAAAGGACAAATTTTTAAATTCATAATAAATAAAGTGAAAATAAAGTTCAAACAGAATAGAAATATTTTAAGAAAAAAAAAACCAATTTTTTTGTTGCAGTCTTGTTTTTTCATTATTTTTATGAATTTAGTAAACTTACCTGATCAGTTTGCTCGATTCGCGCAGCCTCTTGACCTTTGGCGAACATTTTCAGGTACATTTGCTTATTTCTCTCTTCTTGATCGCTTAATAGAGCCTTTTGCTCCATAAGTTCGGACTTGAGAGTTTCGAGTTCAGTTTCTAATTCTCGAACTCGAACCTCCGCTGTATCCAAGGACGGACGAATTTCACAATATCGCTTATTAATCTCGGCCAATTGATTCAATAAACTCTCGACCTGAACAGAAAGAAATTTTATTTTCAAAGTGAAACGAAAATTTACCAATAGGAAAAATTATACCAATTTATAGAAAACTGAAAATAAACCAGACTTCGCACTCGATAATTAATTTTAAAAAAGTGGCAAAATATATGTATGTAATTGAATTCTGTTTGGAAATATTATAAAAATAGTAGATATTGAAAATCATTGAATTACGAAAAGTTTTTAAAAATATTTAACTTTTACAAAGAATTCTGTTAAAATTTTTAAGAATAATATTGAATGTCTATGTGGGATTTTATTAAATATTTTTGAAAATAATTGAATTCCTAAAATGCATTTTATTATTTATGAAAATAAATGAATTCTTGAGAACGATTTTCTTAGAATTTTTTAAAAATAATTGAATTTTGAAGAAGAAATTTATTACTTTTAAAAATAATTGAATTTTTGTGATGAATATTGTTATTTATGAAAATAATAAAATTGAATTTTGCAAATAATTGAATTTTCGGGAATAACTTTGTTATTTATTGACATAATTGAATTTTTTCGAAGAATTACTTATGGAAATAATTGAATTCTTGGGAAGAATTTTATTAAAATGTAAAAGAATAATTTAACTATTTCAAAAAAATTTAATGAAAATTGTATTTAAAATAATTTATTTATTTCGAATAAGTTTATTCAAATATTTGAAAATAATTGAATTCCTGTAAACAATTCTATTATTTTTGTAAATAATTAAATTCTTCTAAAGAATTTAAAAAAAAAAAATTTTTTTAAATAATTGATTTTTTCGAGGAATTGGAATTAAATTTAAAAAAAATAATTACATTTTTTAAGCAATTTCTGTGAAATTGTATTAAAAATAATTTAAAAACCTGCGATGAATTTTAATATTTTTGAAAATAATTGAAAAGTTGCAAAGAATTTTAAAAATTTTAAAAAGAATTTATAATTTATAATTTATTTATAAATAAATAATTGCATTCTTGCTTAGAATTTTATCAAAATTTTTTTAAAAAATTGATTTTCCATGAAAAATGTGATTATTAGTAAAAGTAATTAAAATATTGTGTAGTGTATAAAAATTTTGTGAAATATTTGATTTTTTCCAAATTTTTTTGAAAATGCTATTCTAAATTAATTGAATTCCTGTGGAAATTTTATTATTTATAAAAATAATTGAATTTTGGATGAATTTTATCAATTGTTTTTTAAATATTTGAATTCTTTTGCGAAATATTATGAAAATACTAGATATTGAAAATAATTGAATTTCGAATTTTTTTTTAAATAATTGAATCGTTTTAAAGAATTTGATTATAATTTTTGAGAATAATTTTTTAATTTCTAGTAATAGCGAATTTAAAGTAGTGGAAATTCTAAAAAAAAACAGAAACAGTAGGTTTTAGTAGCTGAAATCTAAAAAAAAGTACCCAAATTGTAATAACGTAAAAAAAGTAGTAAATAGTAGGTTTTAGTAGATGAGTGCGAAACCTGATATACAGAAAAGAAAAAAAGTAAAAAAAGTAAAATACAGAAAGGGAAAAAAAGTAAAAGAAATAAAATACAGAAAGGAAAAAAAAGTATTAAAATACAGAAAAAAAGAAAAAAAGGAAAGAAAGGAAAATAATTAAAATACAGAAAAAGAAAAAAAAGAATTCAAAGGCAAAAAAAAATTAAATTCCCAACTTACTTTATCGTTATGTTTCTCCTTGAGTTCCTGGAGATCATCAATATGTCTACGATGCAATTCCTCGATTCTACTTTCATAATGATCAACTAGCTTCCTTCTCTCTTCATCCCAATCAGGAATCTCGACAATCGAATTAAATGTCGAATTCGGCGAATTCTCATGTTGAGCGATATTACTGATCGTGGAAGTGATGGTATTATTATTATTATTAACGACAGCGGCTTCGGTGAGAAAACCAGCTTCCTTCAAGTGAATGGAACTATCCTCGAAGTGTCCAGAATCGGCCAACGACGAAGGAACTTCCGAGGACACTTGTATCTCGGGACTAGTTGGACTCGCGTTTGCCTCAAATCGCCCCTCATCTGGAAGATCTCTCGTGGGCGATTGAGGTGAAAGTGGATCATTCTCCCTAATTGTCGGCGCATCACTACTGTCCGTTTTTTCTTCTGGACTATTTAACGACGCCTTATAGAGACGCAATTCAACAACTTCCTTCGTCAGTCGAACGATTTCCTGATTCTTCTCCTCGATCTCCTTTCTCGCCTCTTTCAGGAGGATCTGCCGCATAATTTGGTAGAAATTAGAAAAAATTGGTAAAATTAGTATGATAAATTGAAAAAATAAATAAATTAAGATTTTTAAAAATTTTAAATTCAACCTTTTTTGAAAATAAACAATTTATAAAAAATTGTTATAAAACATAAAGAAATCGATCACTCCGAGTCTTCGACTAGGAGCAATCGATATCTTCATGTTTTATAAATAAATTAAAAATGACCGACTGATAAAATCATTATTTTATATTATAAGAATAGTGTTACTCTAATTTATTCAAAATTACTCTCATCACTTCAATTCAATTATTGTTTTCCAGAATTTTTAACTAAAATTCTTCTTTATAAAGTGTAAATTAATTATTATTAATAATTTCTGAAAAATTTCTTTCAACATTTTCAAATCCTTTTGTTTACAATGCAATTTTACGAAATTTTATCGATTATTCGGAAATTCTTCAATAAAATATATATTAGAAAATAAAATTTTAAAAAAACTTAAAAAAAATTTAATTAAACTTTTTCAAAAAAATTAAATCTACACAATTTTTAGTTAAAAGTATGAAAAATTCAAACATTCAAAAATTATAATTTAAAACCTTTTCGAAATTCAATTATTTCTAAAAATTCACGCTATAATAGTTTCTCTATAAATTTTGATTAGTAAAAATGTTTACTAAATGGAATTAGTGACTGAATTTTTGCTTTTGAATTAGTAAATTTTACTATTAAATTAGTAGAAACGACTATTTATTAGTAAAATCTGCTAATACAAAATCAAAAATTCAGACAGTAATTCAAATTAGAAAACATTTTTACTAATTCAAATTTAGAGTTTAATATTCAATTATTATCTCAAATTTTAACTGAAATTCATATTTAAATCAATTTTTATTAGAAAATTCTACGAGAATTCAATTATTTAAATACAAAAATAAATAATTTATTAAACAATAATTAAATGTTTTTTAAAATTGAACTCTCATTTAAAGAATATTATTAACAAATTGTTAAATAGGTAATTAAAATTCTTTTAACGAATTTCAATAAAATTTTTAAGAATAATTTCATTTTTCGAGAAATTAGATTAAAATTCAATTAAAAATAATTGAATCTCTGTAAAAAATTTAATTGAATTGGGAAAATTTTTTTAAAATAATTGAAATTTTGACAAGAATTTTACTAAAATTTTTGAAAATAATTGAATTTTGGAGAAAAATTTTATTATTTACAAAGATAATTGAAATTTTTTAGTGAATTTTTTAAAATTCTTGACCATAATTGTATTTCTACGAAGAATTTTATTACTTTTGAAAATAATTGAATTCTTAAGACGAATTTTAATAATTCTTTTTAAATAATTGAATTCTTTTGTGAAATATTTTTGAAATAGTAGATATTGAAAATAATTGAATTTTGATAAATTATTGAAATTAATTAAACAATTAAAAACAAAATTTTAAAAATTCACTTATTAAGTACAAAATTAATGATTACTGTTCATATTTTCAAAAATTTTAAGAAAGTTTCACGAAAGAATTCAATTATTTTCTAAAATTTTTAAAAATCCTTCTAAAGAATTCATTAATTTTTCTAAGTAGTAAACTCTTTACAAAAATTCAATTATTTTCAAAACAATTTTAATTAAATTCCTCGGAAGAATTCAATTTTAAAAAAAAATTTTAACACATTTCGAAAAAATTCAATTTTTTTCTTAAATTTTAATAAAACCTTCGAAAAAATTCAATTATTTTTATAAATAGTAAAATTCTTCGCAAGAATTTAATTAATTTTATAAATAGTAGAATTCTTTTCAGGAATTCAATTATTTTTAAAACAATTTTAATTGAATTCCTCGGATAAATTCAAATATTTTTAAATATTTCCATAAATTTCAATTATTGTCTAAAATTTTAATAAATTCTTCGGAACAATTCAATTAATTTTATAAATATAGTAATAAATTCTTCGCAGGAATTCAATTATTTTCAAAACAATTTTAATTAAACTCCTCGAAAGAATTCAATTTTTAAAAAAATTTCAACACATTTCGAAAGAATTCAATTTTTTTCTTAAATTTTAATAAAACCTTCGAAAAAATTCAATTATTTTTATAAATAGTAAAATTCTTCGCAAGAATTTAATTAATTTTAGAAATAGTAGAATTCTTTGCAGGAATTCAATTATTTTTAAAACAATTTTAATTGAATTCCTCGGATAAATTCAAATATTTTTAAATATTTCCATAAATTTCAATTATTGTCTAAAATTTTAATAAATTCTTCGGAACAATTCAATTAATTTTATAAATATAGTAATAAATTCTTCGCAGGAATTCAATTATTTTCAAAACAATTTTAATTAAACTCCTCGAAAGAATTCAATTTTTAAAAAAATTTCAACACATTTCGAAAAAATTCAATTTTTTTCTTAAATTTTAATAAATCCTTCGAAAAAATTTAATTATTTTTATAAATAATAAAATTCTTCGCAAGAATTTAATTAATTTTATAAATAGTAGAATTCTTTGCAGGAATTCAATTATTTTTAAAACAATTTTAATTGAATTCCTCGGATAAATTCAAATATTTTTAAATATTTCCATAAATTTCAATTATTGTCTAAAATTTTAATAAATTCTTCGGAACAATTCAATTAATTTTATAAATATAGTAATAAATTCTTCGCAGGAATTCAATTATTTTCAAAACAATTTTAATTAAACTCCTCGAAAGAATTCAATTTTTAAAAAAATTTCAACACATTTCGAAAGAATTCAATTTTTTTCTTAAATTTTAATAAAACCTTCGAAAAAATTCAATTATTTTTATAAATAGTAAAATTCTTCGCAAGAATTTAATTAATTTTAGAAATAGTAGAATTCTTTGCAGGAATTCAATTATTTTTAAAACAATTTTAATTGAATTCCTCGGATAAATTCAAATATTTTTAAATATTTCCATAAATTTCAATTATTGTCTAAAATTTTAATAAATTCTTCGGAACAATTCAATTAATTTTATAAATATAGTAATAAATTCTTCGCAGGAATTCAATTATTTTCAAAACAATTTTAATTAAACTCCTCGAAAGAATTCAATTTTTAAAAAAATTTCAACACATTTCGAAAAAATTCAATTTTTTTCTTAAATTTTAATAAATCCTTCGAAAAAATTTAATTATTTTTATAAATAATAAAATTCTTCGCAAGAATTCAATTTATTTTATAAATAGTAGAATTCTTTGCAGGAATTCAATTATTTTCAAAACAATTTTAATTGAATTTCTCGGATAAATTCAAATATTTTTAAATATTTCCATAAATTTCAATTATTTCCTAAAATTTTAATAAATTCTTCGGAACAATTCAATTATTTTTATAAATAAGTAAAATTCTTCGCAAGAATTCAATTATTTTTAATGCAATTTTAATAAAATTCTTCTTCATAAAATTCAATTGCTTTCAATATTTTCAATTCAAATTATTAAAAAAAAACTCCATTATTTTAAAAAAAATTCAAAGAAATTCTTCCAAAGAATTTAATTAGGATTTTTAAAAATTTTAATACAATTCTTCGTTCGCGAGAATTCAATTATTTTCCCAAATAATAAAATTCTTTGAAGGAATTCTATTATTATCAAATTTTTTGATAAAATTGTTTGCAACAATTCGATGATTTTTAATACATTAATTTTAAAATTGAAAATATTTAAAAAAAAAAAATTATAAAAAATTTAAGAATAACAAAAAAGCAAATATCAACTAACTATTTATGAAAATAATTGAAAACCTATAAAATAATTGAATTATCGCGAAGTTTATAAAGAATTTGTATAAATAATAGAATTCCTGTGAAATTTCAATTCTTTTAAAATTGAATTAATTTTGAAACATTTAAGTGAAATTAGTTTTTAAGAATAAACTTTAGAAAACAACAATTTTCCAGGATTTCGATCAAAATTCCCTGACTTTTCCAAGTTTTTTCAAGGTTCATAAAATTCCCTGACATTTCCAGGTTCTCCAGGTTTCCTGGTTGCGTGACAACCCTGTAAAACGATGAAATGAATTATTTTCGAATAAAAGAAGAGGAAAATACCTGAAATTTGCGAATTTGTCTGGCCGCTCTCTGAGTGGGAGTGAGGTACTGTTCAGTGTCTCCGCTGTGATTTGAGCAATGAACAACGTACTTTCGTGATCGACCTGACCATGTGGTGCCATTGAGGGCAAAACTTGCATGATCGCAGGCACTCGCTGTACTGCAGGCACTTCCGTAACTTTTGACACTCTCGACGTCGCTGTCGTCGAACCCAACAATACAGCTCGAGGTCGTGTGGATTGGTCGCGGCCTTGCCGGCGTCAGTGATAAACTCTGAATGAATAAAAACACATTCATATACATATAGATATATAGAGCAATATATAACAAAATGTATATTATAAACTATATTTACTGTTATCAATCGATAACAAGTGTGTCATTCTTTTCCTACATTTCATCAGATACTAATTTTATAGCATATTGAAATCAATACTATTATTATTAAATTATTTCAAATTTCTTTTTCAATTATATTGACCAATTAAAAATAATTAATAACTAATTAATAATAATTAATTATTACCAATAGTCAGCAAATATAATAATTATTAAATTTCAATTATTAACTAACTAGCGCCGTCGCATTCAATTTATTATTATGCAAATTACAAATCTTTTTATTTACAAATATAAATTTTTGAATAATTTCATAATTAAAATTTAAAAAATTTACTTATTAAGTGCATAATTCATTATAATTGTTTATATTTTCAAAAATTTGAATACAATTCTTCTGAAGAATTCAATTATTTCCATAAATAATAAAATTCTTCGGAAGAATTCAGTTATTTTTATAATTAATAAAATTTATTGCAAAAATTCAATTATTTTCTAAAATTTTAATAAATCTTTCAAAATTCAATTATTTTTTTTAAATAGTAAAATCTTTGCAAAAATTCAATAATTTTCAATAAAATTTTACAAAATAATTAAATTTTTTTCTTAATTCGTAATAAAATTTTCCGAAAGAATTCAAATATTTTCTAAAAATTTAAAAAAATTCTTCCTAAATATTCAATAATTTTCAATACAATCTTAACTAAATTCCTACAAAGAATTTAAATTTTCATTGAAACAATTATATTATTTTTCAAAAATTTTAATAACAATCTTTGCAATTCCAATTATGTTCAAAAATTTTAATAAAATTCTTTCTAAAAATTCAATTATTATCTTCATAAAAAGTAAAATTCTTTGGAAGATTTCAATTATTATCATTAATAATAAAATTCTTTGGAGGATTTAAATTATTTTCAAAAATTTTAATAAAATTCTTCGCAAGAATTCAATTATTATCATAAAAAATAAAATTCTTTGGAAGATTTTAATTATTTTCATTAATAATAAAATTCTTCGGAGGATTTCAATTATTTTCAAAAATTTGAAACAAATTCTTGTCAAGAATTCAGTTTTTTTTATAAATAATAATTGAATTCTTTGCAGGATTTCAATTATATATATTCAAAAATTTGAAACAAATTCTTGTCAAAAGTCCAATTTTTTTTATAAATAATTAAATTCTTTGCAGGATTTCAATTATATATTCAAAAATTTGAAACAAATTCTTGTCAAGAATTCAGTTTTTTCATAAATAAAAATAATTGAATTCTTTACAGGATTTCAATTATATTAAAAAATTTTAAACAAATAATTGTCAAGAATTTAGTTTTTTCATAAATAAAAATAATTGAATTTTTTACAAGAATTTCAATTATTTTCAAAAATTTGAAATAATTTATTGTCAAGAAATCTTTTCGAAGTAAAATTCATCGAAAAAATTCTTTTGTAAATTATTTTAAAAAGTTTAAAAAATTCTTTGTTAAATTCAATTATTTTGAACATTTTCAATTGAAATTATTCAAAAAACTAGGTTATTTAAAAAAACACAAAGAAATTCTTCAAAAGAATTTAATTATTTTCTATATTTTAATAAAATTCCTTGAATAAATTTAATTATTTTAGAAATTTGTAATAAAATTCTAAGCAGAATAATTTAATTATTTTCTAAAAATTTTAATAAAATTCAATATTTAAATGTTTAATTTCAATTATTAACTAATTAATTATTAATAGTGAGCAAATATAACGACAAAAATAAGTAAAAAAAAATGAAAATGAATAAAAATAATAATAAGAAGAAATGAAAATAAATAAAAAATTTTCATTTCATTTCGAATAAATTTTCCAGTTCGTGTAATTATCAAAATGATAACTTATTATTCCTTTCAGGGTATCATTAGAAGTTTATTACTTTTCTGCACTCAAAAATTAAATCTCCTGTATACCGAGAATTTTAATCGAGAAATTGATTAATTATTAACTAAAGATCTGATATAAACATTTTGGAAAAATGCTACATGATATATTTTTGTAATTTTCGTAATTAGATCAAAAAACATAAATATTGTTGAATTAAACAAACTAAAAACTGTTTAAATTTTAATGAAAATTTAATTTAATATTTATTGAATTTATTTTCTTTAATGTCATTTACTAATATTTTATTTATTTAATTTTCGATTTTTGTGTAGAGAATAAAAAATACTGAATATTCACATTTATCTTTTTACTGTATTTTAATTGTTATTTTTATTACAATTTTTTATTGAATGAAGTAAATTTATAAATAAAAAGTTATTTATTGCTATTTTAGATATTTGGTTAATTGCACTATTTATAAATATTTTATTTATAAATTTATTTAATATAATAAAAATGGTAATAATTGAATTTTTACATTTATTTTTTTATTTCAATTACAATTTTTATTAAATTAAATAAATTTATAAATAAAACTTTATCTATAGAGATATTTATTTAATTTCAATATTTATACCTAATATTTTATTTATAAATTTATTAAATTGTCTAAAAATTGTGATAAAAGTAAAAATTAGATTGAAATAAAAAAATGTGAAAATTCATCACTTTTTTCTCTGGATAAAAATCGATAAAAATTTCAAAAAAATAATTCTTTCGATTCGAAAATATTTCTAAAATCAATTCTTTATAATTTAGATAAATAATTAATAAGAAGAATTATTTTATGGAAAAGCGAAAATAATTAATACTTTTTTAAAGGGAAAATTTAAACCAAAAGTAATAATTTCCAAAAAAGAAATAATAAAAATCAAATTTCAGTAATAAATTTCCAAAATGTATCAAATAAATAATAAAATAGAAATAATCCACTTAACAAAATTGTGGTTACAATCTCTTAATCTTGATCTAGATCTTGATTAGAAAATTTATTAGTTTCTTTAAACTAGTTCATTAGAAATATATTCAAATTTCCCAATTTTTTGAAAACTGGGAAATTGTATATTTTTAATGAATTAGTTTGAAAAAAAAACTACTATTAGAACAATGACAAAATATTTATTAAAAGAATTAAGAAATACACCAAAAATAATTAAAAAGTAATTGCAAAAATTTGAATAAAAAAAAACAAAAACACCATCGAAACGAACAATTAAAAAAATTATTTCATTATTTAAAAAAAAAAGGAAACTTATTCCCGGATCTTTTTTTTTATTCTCCTCAAAATCACACCACTATATTCTTAAGACGCAAAACGTGACTTCGAAAGAAGACTGTAAAGTTTGAAAAGCTTCACTATAAGAAACGAATAAATGTGAATGACACAAAAGACAATTTACATAATAGAGTAAAAATATCCATCAGGAATAGGAGAAGAAGAAAACTTTCATCCTTTTAAAGACATACCGAGGGACAACTGCGTGAATTTCTTTCGTCGTGCGAATCCATGCGATATCGACACTGGATAGACGAATAAATCACCGTAAGGACGAATTTCCATGAAGAGAATTTATATTTTTAAATACCTAGTATTTTTTTTTTAAAGAAAAAATTTGATTATTTTTTTTTTATTGGACGGAAAAAATTATCAAAAATCCAAGGATTTATGTGGACGTAAAGAAGGGTTTGTTCGCGTGGACGATATTAACAATTGGGGACGAGACACTGTTCACCACTGACGAGGGAACCTACGTGTATCGTGCAATGATAGAAATCTGCGCCGACGCGCTCGTTGGTAAAGGTCAGGAGCTCCTCTCATTTTTCCTTATATTCGTGAAAATTCACTTTGAAATTGGAGCAAAGGAGGCAAAAGTTCTTGCAGTCCGGAAGTGAAAATTGCATAATCCCCACAATTATTATCAAAATAAACAGGAATTTTATTCTTGAAGATTTTGAATTTAATCCCAAATTGTTTATTTTTTTTTTTACTTTTTCTTAGTCAAATGAAGGAAAAATTCTTTTTTTTCTCTCTGCAACAGGTTTTCAGCGAGATCCTGGAAAAATCGATCATTTTCTCCCTGCGCCTTCACAATTGGGGTCGTTTTGGAATTATAAAATCAGGATTGTCACAAAAATTTAATTTTGTTCTTCCCTGACTTTTCCCTGACTTCCAGACAAAATTTTGACAATTTCCCTGAGCCTGAAGAATATTCAAACCTTCTGAAATTCAATAACGTATGAGAATATTATCAAACTTTTTCAAAAAAATTAATTCTACAGAATTATTCATTAAAAGTACGAAAAATAATAATTGAATTCTACGAGAATTCAATTATTTAAATACAAAAATAAATAATTTATTCAATAATTGAATGTTTCTTAAAATTTAATTTTTACCAAGAATTTTATTAACAACTTTTGAAAATATTTAATTTCTTTTAAGGAATTTAATTAAAATTTTACTAAAATTTATTATATTGGAGAATTTTATAACAATTTCTGAAAATACTTGTAAACTTTTTAAAGAATTTTTTTAAACTTTTAAAAATAATTTAATTCTTGAAAAGAATTTAAATGATAATTTTTTAAAACAATTGAATTCATGCAAAGAATTTTATTAAATTTTCTTTAAATAATTGAAATTTTGTCAAGAATTTTATTAAAATTCCTTAGAATAATTGATTTTATAAGAAGAATTTTCTTATTTATCAAACTAATTGAATTCTTTTGCAGAATGTTATTTATGAAAATATTTGAATTATAGCAACGAATTTTATTATTTTATTGAATAATTGAATATTTCTTAAAATTGAATTCTATTTTCAAGTTTTAATAAAAATTTTAATAATAATTGCATTTTTCAAGGAATTTATTTAAAACTAACAAATGTTACGCGCGCGGATCGAGATATTCAGTTTATTATTGTTATGCAAATTACAAAACTTTTTATTTTCAAATATAAATTTTTAAAATAATTTCATATTCAAAATTTTAAAAATTCACTTATTAAGTACAAAATTAATTATTACTGTTCATATTTTCAAAAATTTTAATAAAATTTCACGAAAGAATTCAATTATTTTCTAAAATTTTAATAAATCCTTCTAAAGAATTCAATTATTATTTTTTTAAATAGTAAACTCTTTACAAAAATTCAATTATTTTCAAACCAATTTTAATTAAATTCCTCGGAAGAATTCAATTTTTAAAAAATTTTTTAACACATTTCGAAAAAATTCAATTTTTTTCTAAAATTTTAATAAATTCTGCAAAAAAATTCAATTATTTTTATAAATAGTAAAATTCTTCGCAAGAATTCAATTAATTTTATTTCCATAAAATTCAATTTCAAGAAGAATTTAAAATTCTCTAAAAATAATTCAATTATTCTCAAAATATTTTAAAAAAATTCTATATAAAAATTAAAATACTTTCAATGCACTTTTTAAATATATTCGTAAAAAAATTCAATTATTTTCAAAAAATAATAAATTTCTTGTGATGAATTCAATTATTTTGAATATACTTAATTTTAATCAAATTCTTTAAAGAAATTCAATTATTTTCGAAACAACTTTAATTGAATTTTTCGAAAAAATTCTGCGATAAGTTGTGTTATTTACGAAAATAATTGAATTTTTGCAACAAATTTTATTCAAATTTTTTTTTAAAAATTAAATTCCGGAGAAAAATATTATTATTTAAAATAATTAATTTCTTGTGAAGAATTTTATTCAAATTTTTGAAAATAATTGAATTTCTCAGAATTTTTTAAAACTTTTTGAAAATAATTCATTTTCATCGAGAAATTCCATTAAAAAATTGAAAATAATTGAAATCAAACGAAGAATTTTATTAAATTTTTTTTTAAATAATTGAACTCATATGAAAAATTTTAATTTTATTAAATTTCTTAATAAATTGAATTGTTTTGAAGAATTTTATTTTTTACGAAAATAATTGAATTATTTCGAAGATTTTTACAAACATTTTTGATAATAATTGTATTCCTAGGAAGAGTGTTATATATTTTACGAAAATAATTGTATTCTATGATCAATTTTATTATAATTTAAAAAAAAATTGCAATTTTATTAACTAAATCTTGTAAAGAACTTTGTCAAAATTTTTTTAAAAATATTGGTAAATAATTGAATTCCTGTGAAATTTTTATTAAAATTTGGTTTAAATAATTGAATTATTTTGGAAAATTTTATTAAAATAGTAGATATTAAAAATAATTGAAATGAGGAAAATTTTTGATAATAATTGAAATTTGCCCAAGAATTTTATTACACTTTTTGAAAATAATTAAATTTCAGAGAAGAATTTTATTATTTATAAGGATAATTGAAATTTTGACGAGAATATTTTTAAAAATTTTTGAACAGAATTGAATTTAAGCGAAAATGTTTATTACTTTTGAAAATAATTGAATTTCTGTAATCAGTTGTTCTTAAAATTCCTATTTAAAATTTTAAATTCATTGAAAATTGATATTTTCTAAAATTTCAAATTAAAACCTTTTGAAGTTAATTTATTTATGAAAATTGTAAACGCAACTTTTTTGAAGTCCAATTAATTTTGAAATTTCGAAGTAAAATTATTCATTAAATAAGTTATAAGTAATAATTTTATGATAGTTCTTTAAGAATTAATTTATTTAAAAAGAAATTATTGTCAGAAATAGAAATAATTGAAGGTTTTGTATTAGAATTCTTGTCAATTTCATAGTTTATGAGGCAAACAAAAAAGACACCAAAATTCCGAATTTTCTTATAAATTCTAAAAATTAAATTTCTTCCAGTACTTTTAATAAAAATTCCATTATTTTTCCCTGATTTTCCTAACCAATTCTAATTTCCCTGACTTTTCCCTGAATTTCCTGACTTCCCTGACCTGTGGCAACCCTGAAAATCAGGTCTATAACAAATTTCCATTAAAAAATTACAAATTAATAATTTAATTAATAAATTGTCTCAAGTTAAAAAATTGGAAAAAAAATGTAAAAGAACGTTAAAAAAAGGAAAAAAATCGTTTCAGTGTTAAAAAACGAAATAAGAAAAAGAATCATTAAATTCAAAAAGAGGAAAATTCACTTACCGAGGAACGATGTCTAGGCGAATCGGATCCATTTTCATTGATAATGGGAAAGAAATCCTGCGCATTTGCCTGCGATTGATGGTAATTATGAAGGTGATTACTATTGTTTCTTATTTGGTAATTGTGAATAGTCGAGCTGACAATTGGCGATCGTAAATGCGCACCGCGTTCTCCTCGTAATCGTAAACTTGCCGAGCGTCGTAGAGCCGTTGGCGATGGTCTAGGAATTCGCGATTCCGTTGGTGAAAGAGGGGAAGAACTCTTTCCTGTTTCCGTCTCAATTCCGGATGTTACTTTTGTTGAATGCACATTCAACGTTGATGGCGTGAGAGCAGCATTTCCAGAATTCATCGAGAGAGAATGTAACGATAAATCCGTTCCTTGACGAGCCATTCTGCTCGTCCAGCTCATTCTATCTAGAAAAAAGAGAAAAAATTTAGAAAGGGTACATTTCAATTTTTTAAATTTTAATTAAATTTTTTTATCACATTTCCTTTAATCGAAGAAAACAATTTTTCTCTTGAAAATTGAAAATTAAAAAAAAATTGATAATCTCTTGAAAAAAAATAAAAGAATAAGAGGAGAAAAAAATTATTAATCTATTGTCTCTATTGAGAACAAATAAGATAACAGTCATTGAAAGATAATGAAAAAGTTACTTTAGATCTTTTAGTTAAATATTAAAAGAAACTAAATAAATACTAAAAAAATATTAAATATTAGAACATTTAAAATAAATTTTGCTTTTAAAAATATTTGTTTCCAATTTCTTAGCAGACTTTGCACTCGATTAATTAATTAATTAAATTCCTGGAAATTTTATTATTTATGAAAATAATTGAATTTTGGATGAATTTTATCAATTTCTTTTTTAAATAATTGAATTCTTTTCCGAAATTTTATGAAATCTAAAAAAAGTACCCAAATAGTAGCATAACGTAAAAAAAGTAGTAAATAATAGGTTTTAGTAGATGAGTGCAAAGCCTGCTATCGACAAAAAAATATTTTTCCCAAGATAAACAAGAGAAGAATTTTTGTGAAAATTCCCACAATTTTTTCTAATTGAAGAATACAGTTAATCAACATTGAAATTTCATAACAGTTAATTCTCCACAGACACACAAGAGTGAGAGATACGGTGTGCCTCTCTATAAGACATGAAAAAAGAAACGTTATGCAACGACCGTTCATTTAATAAGGTTCATCAGGAAGTAGATTAAATTTTCTTATTTATATTAACGTCCACATTGCAAAGCATCTTTTTTTACTCTCCTTCTACATTCTTCGAATGTGTAATTAATTTTTTTCTTATCTGTTTCAACATATGCAAAAAAAATTTCCCCTCCTCCTTGGAATTTAAATTTTCAAGACTTTCGTTTACAAGAAAACCTGTTTTCTGAATGATTCATGTGATATTGTTTTGATTACTTTTTTTTCAAATGGAAACTAATTTTATGAGTTTAATGACTGGAAAGGAAATCAGTTGAACTAAAAGTTACAATTTTCGTTCGTAATTCAGAATTATAATAACAATAATAATAATAATAATGATAAATAAATAATAATTCAGAATCAAAATGATCCTAAAGTTCTAAACGTTCAAATAAATTAAATTCGTTAATTTTTTTTTAATTAAATTTCCATTGCAATAATTTTTTTGTCACTGTCAAAAAAATTAATTGTCTCCAAACAAAAAATGACGGACAAAAATAAATAAAAAATTAATAAATTAAATTAAATAAAAAAATTAATAAATAAAATTAAATAAAAATTAATAAATAAAATTAAATAAAAAAATTAATAATGAAATAGTAAGTAAATATAAAACAGGAAAATAAATGAAAAACGATCTGTAAAATTTCGGTTTCAAGTTAAAAAAAAAGAACTGATTTACGTGAGAATTTATAATATTCACAGCCAAGTAGGTAATAAAAATACGAGAACAATGGAACATTAGAAACATTGTAGTTCATATTTACTAAAATAAGTTATATGCTCATAAGTGCCGTTAAAAGACATAATATAAGATAAGAGGTCAAGAACTGATCGATCATTTTCGAGTCAATGATCTGAGTTAAGGGTTTAAGCGCAAGTTGAACTCTATTTCATTTATTCTAGGATTACTATTCACTTATTATCATATTTAATAAAGATGATAGATGATAAATATCTTGCAAAATCTAAAAAAATAAAAATGAAAAGCAAAATAAAGAATCAAAAATAGAAAACGAAATTACGAAATAAAAAATAAAAAGCAAAATACAGAATAAAAATGTAAAATAAAATAAAATAATAAAACAAAAATACAAGACAAAATAAGGAAATAAAAATACAAAATAAAATAAAAAACAAAATACAGAATAAAAATTTAAAAACAAAATAAAATAATAAAAAAAAATACAAGACAAAATAAAAAACAAAAAACAAAATTACATTTATAATAATAAAAATAAAAATACAAAACAAAATAAGAAAATGAAAAACAAAATAGAAAATAAAAATACAAAACAAAATAAAAAATAAAAAACAAAATAAAAATACAAGTCGAAGTAAAAATAAAAACACGAAAAATTGTATCTACATAATGAAATTTGCAATATTAAAAAAAAAAAATTTTAAATTGTTTGTAAAAAATTAAAAATAAAATTGTCGACTTGATGGATAAATAGATTTCCCAGATTTCTCTATAAATTTTATACGGAACAATGAATCTCGAAATTTCCACGGACTAGTGCCTTTCGCTGATTGGGAATTTGCACTTAAAATCATTGACCGAATCGCGGTAACTTGCTTTTCAATGTGGATCGTTTGTCATTTGGAATTGAGAAACCAGTTTCATGAAAAAATGTAAATCTAGAAAAAAAATCTCATATAATCATTTTGCCAACTATTAGGTAATTTTAATTATATAAATTGAATTTCTACTAACGAGAAACTTTCCGTTAACTCACAAAATATTAAACTAAAACTCAATTTCTGAAAACTCGAGTCAAAACCAGATGATTCTTGATTCTTCAAAAAAAAAAAAAAAAACGAATTTTATTAAATTTCTAAATAAAATATTCAAAATATTTAAATATTAATTTTAATATATACAAAATATTTTCCATGTTGTAAATATATTTTTTATTTATCGTACAAAGAAAATTTTTCTTCTATAATATTTTTAATTTATTGAATTTTTGAAAAGAGTAATTTTTTTTCTTTCAAGAATTTTGTTCGATTCGGAAAAAATTGAACGTTTCAAACTTGAAAAATAAAATAAGTGTTTAAAAATTCTTATCTTTAGCTGCAGTTGATAAAAAGTACCTTGAATAAATTCAATTTTCGAACGTCTAAAATGGTTTTTTTTTAAAAGTTGAATACCAGCCAAGTTTTCATGTCCATTCTTTTTAAATTCTTAAGAAAAAATCTACAATATTTTGGAGAATATTTTACAAAAAAGATTCTTTCTCTTAAAAATACTTGGAACTTTTTTTAAAAATACATTTTTTATCAAACAATAACAACATACGACAGTTTGTTAAAGTTATAACATTACTTATGTATTTTCTAAATTATTATATTACTAATAAACGCCACTTTTCCTCAAATCGATATTTCAACAACAGAAATAAAATATATTGACTTTTAATAAAAGGAAAATGACGAAATTCACTCTGTAAATTTCATTAAAAAATTTAATTTTAAACTTAAAAAATATATTATTTAAATAGAATATAGAAAATAAATTTGTTATAATAATTAGAAAAGAGACTTTTAATTAAAAGTTTAAAGTTGTATTAGTGTACTATTAAAAATATTAATTGTGATTAATTAAAAATATTAAATTATATTTACATGATAAAAAATGAGAATTTATTCACACTTATCGATTTTTTTTTCGTCAAAAATTAAATTAATATCCGAAATACAAAAAATATTGTATAGGTTAAGAATCTCTAATTTTTTCTAGTAATCAAGAATCATTATTTAATGTTCTGTCAAAAGTAAATTAATTCCACACGTGTATTAATTAAAATTTGTAATTGTCACTGTAAAAACACATGCCACGTCGCTTACGTAAAATATTAAATAAGAATTGTTGAAAAACTGCATTGCTTCATTGTTAAAATTATTTCGCCCCGCAATATATTGAGAAAAAAATAAAATTAAAAGACTCACCATTCGTAATTGTAGACTCAAACCATTTTATCCTCTTAAAGTCTCATCGCAAGGAACTCAATTATAAACACAAACTTTGCAAATCGGGAAAAATCTGGTCTAATCATGAAAAAATGACTGATTATTTTAAGAAATCAGCTGGTGGCTGAAGTGTAAAATTATACAACTATGCGTTTCAAATTAGATGTCACTATTATCCTTGAAAAACTAGTATTGCCCTCTAGTGATTACTAGTTGCATTCAGTTCTGAAATACTCGGTCGATATTTTTTTATTTACCTGTAAAAAAGAGAAAAAAACAAACTACAAAAAATGCTAATTCGGGTTGACACAAAAATTTAAATTTATTTTTCTCTGACTTTTTCCCCTTTTCCCTGATATTTTCCAAATATAAATTTTTTAAATAATTTCATAATAAAAATTTAAAAAATTCACTTATTAAGTACAAAATTAATTATTTCTATTTTTAGAAATTTTAATAAAATTTCAGGAAAGAATTGAATTATTTTCTAAAATTTTAATAAATCCTTCTAAACAATTCCATTTTTTTATTTAAATAGTAAAATCTTTACAAAATTTCAAATATTTTCAAAACAATTTTAATTAAATTCCTCAGAATTCAATTTTTAAAAAAATTTTTAACACATTTCGAAAAAATTCTTTGAAAAAATTCAATTATTTTTATAAATAATAAAATTCTTCGCAAGAATTCAATTAATTTTAAAAATAGTAAAATTCTTTGCAGAGATTCAATTATTTTCAAAACAATTTTAATTGAATTCCTCGGATGAATTCAAATATTTTTAAATATTTCCATAAATTTAAATTATTTTCTAAAATTTTAATAAATTCTTCGAAACAATTCAATTATTTTTATAAATAGTAAAATTTTTCGCAAGAATTCATTTATTTTCATTACAATTTTAATAAAATTCTTCTTCATAAAATTCAATTGCTTTCAAAATCAAATTTTTTGCAACAATTCAATGATTTTCAATACATTAATTTTATAATTGAAAATATTTGAAAAGAAAATTTATAAAAAAGTTAAGAAACAACTAACTTCAAACTGTAAACAGAAAAATAATGAAATTGATGAAAATAATTGAAGTTATTAATGAATTTTTTTTATTTATTAAAATAATTGAATGTTTTCGTAGAATTGTATTAAAAAAATTTTTCAATAATGAAATCTTTTTATAAATTTTATGAAAATAGTAAATATTGATAATTATTTAATTGCGAAAAAGTTTTGAAAATAATTGAAATTTTGCAAAGAATTTAATTTGAATTTTTTGAAAATAATTGAATTTTTGGCGAAAAATTTTGCTATTTGTAAAGTTAATTGAATTCTTGATGAGATATTCGTTAAAATTTTTTAAAATAGGTAATTGAATTTCTTCGAAGAATTTTATTACTTTTGAAAATAAATGAAATTCTTGGGATGAATATTGTTATTTATGAAAATAATTGAATTTTGTAAAGAATTTCCCTGAATTCCCTGACCTGTGGCAACCCTGTAATTTTTAAAAGAATACAAAAAGATTACAATTTTTACAAAGTAGTAATTTTATTTAAAAAATTGTCAAACTTACTAAAAGAATTCTAATTTTCAATACGTAAAATATGAAGTAAATATTACAAGAAGTCTCTTTTTTTCGTAAAACATTTTTTTCAAAATTATGTCTTGAGACTATTTATTAATTCTTGCAAATTTTTTCGCTTTTCAGCAACAAGTCTTTTAACACTCTCGAAATCACAACCCTTTACTTTTGAATGTTTTGTAACGTGTTCAGTGAGAATGTCAGTAATGCACATCACAAATATTCCACAATCGTAACAATTTTCCTGCTGTGGACAATTAACTTCAATGAATGTTCCTTTATCACCAATTAGAAAATATTTATCGAGATTCCTCATGAAATTACGAGCAATACTTTCATTTGATTTACTCAATGAATCAAAGTGAAAATATGTATTTTCCGTTTTTGAAAATACCAATAAACTCCAATGTGAACCACCAATGGAATTTCGTCGTTCACAATTATTTAATGGGAAGAATATAAAATTTTTCTGCGATGCATTCAATGGATCAAGAAAAAATGACACCTCCGAGGAGTCGGTCATTTTTAATAATTGCGTTAATTCAGGACTTGCATAGAGGATTTTTGCGAAATTCGGTAACTTGAGTGTTTTGCCCAAATATTCCAAATAAAATCCAATGAGTGCGTCATTTATCCAATTTGGCTCTGACAATAGATCGACATCTGATTTACGGAGTAGACAATCGTGATAACTTAATATTATTTTATCGATGTCAGTCATTGTTTTTATTTTTTTTTTTTGAGAAAAAAAGAGAGAAACTCCTGCAAAAAAGAGAGAAATTTTTTTGAGGTTATGTTTGTGTTTAATAAACAGCGCCCACTCAGCGACTTAATATTTATGCTTCAAGAAATACTTGTGTTGATAAATATACATTTTTTGTTTATCAATAAAATTTGGTGCAATACTTACAAATTATGTGTTTATCATTATTTTTATTGTTTACTTTTGCGATAAATTATCAAAACAACGTCTAACGTGAAAGTTCAGAATTTAGTTTTCAGTTTACACTGAAAGTCGTGTGGTGGCTCTACTGTCGCTTTGAAATTAATGGAGCGAATTTTTAAATCCGATGTTCAAAAATATTCTTATTATTCTTATTTATAATAATAATATTATATAACAATTATTATATTAAATTTAATTTTTTTATACTCTTTATTTAAAGTTAACGATATAAATATTTTACTTCATTAAAAATAATAGTCCAAGAAAGAATTCTTGTTCCGATTTTACAACAAAATGAAATAAATAGTAATTTAATTTTGAAAAGAATTTTATCAAAAATTTAAGAATAATTGAATTTCTCCGAAGAATTTTATTATTTATGAAAATAATTGAATTTTATAAAGAATTTTATTAAAATGCCTCAAAACAATTGAATTTTCGGAAATAATTTTGTTATTTATCTTTAATAATTGAATTCTTTGGAAGAATAATTTATGTAAATAATTGAATTCTTGCGGGAAGAATTGAATTAAAATCTAAAGAATTAAATTATTTCAAAAAAGATTTCATTAAAATTGTATTTAAAATAATTGATTTCTTTTGAACAATTTTATTAAAATATTTGAAAATAATTGAATTCCTGTGAAAAATTCTAATATTTTTGTAAATAATTGAAATTTTCCAAAGAATTTTATTTTTATTATGATAATTGAATTCTTACGAAGAATTTTATTAAAATTTTTGAAAATAATTTAAATCTTTCGAAGAATTTTATTATTTAAGAAAATGATTGATATCTTCAAAAGAATTTTACTTTTTATAAAAAATTGAATAATTGATAATTGAATTTTTAGGAAGAATTTTATTAAAATTTTTGAACATAAGTGAAATCTTTTGAAAAATTTTATTATTTATGAAAATAATTCAAATCTTGCAAAGATTTTTATTAAAATTTTTGAAAAATAATATTCAATTCAATGAAAATTTAAATTCGTTGTAGGAATTTAGTTAAGATTGTATTTAAAATAATTGAATATTTAGGAAGAATGTTATTAAAATTTTAGAAAATAATTGAATTCTTTTGAAAAATTTTACAACAATTGTATTCTTTCGTAAAATTTTATTAAAATTTTTTCAAAAATTTAATTCTTTCATGAAATATTTTTAAAATTGTATATTAAAAGTAATTGAATTTTTGCAAAGAATTTTTAAAAATTTTAGAAAATAATTGAATTCTTTCGTGAAAATTAAATTGAATTCTTGCATAATAATAATTTGCATAATAATAATAAATTGAATAAATATCTCGTTCCGCGCGCGTAACATTTGCTAGTAATAATAATATTTACTAAAATTAAATTAAATTTTAAACTTTTTAGTAAAAGAGCCTTTTTACTAAAATTTAATTTAATTTAATAATAATAATAATATTTACTTAAATTTAATTAAATTAAATTTTAAACTTTTTAGTGAAAGTGCATTTTTACTCAAATTTAATTTAATATATTAATAATAATAATATTTACTAAAATTAAAGTATGCAAATAAATATTTTTAAATTCCAATCATTTAGTGAATTAAATGTCGCTCATAAATTTTAACCTCAGTGAATATCGGTGAGTCAATAAGAAAGTGACATTACTGTCACTGCTAATTTACATATCATTATTCTTTCAACTTACATAGTAGGTTACAACCTGCACATGTACAATGTCACTGAAAGTTATAATTAAATAATTCCACGAAATATTTTTCACATCTCTTTAGTTTTAAAGAACTTTTCTTTTTTTCCCAATGCATTTAATAACAATATTATATTTTCTTATTCGTCATTTTATGAATCGTAAATTAAAATTCATACCCGACAAAGAATTTATGTCAAATACTTTAAGAAACTCAAATAATAATATGTAAAAATAAATAATAATAACAAAAAAATAAAATAAAATAATATTAGAAAAATGACAATAATAGAACAAAAATAATATTAGAAAAAAGCAATAATATAAAAATAGTAATAATTAAAAAAATAATAATAGAAAAAATAGTTTACAAGAAAATGAAAATTAATGAAATGAATTACCTGAATCTTGACCTGAAACAAAAAGAAAAACAAAAATTAGATTTTCTATTTAAACTTATTCTTTAAAAATAAAATAATTTAGATTTTTTATTTAAAAATTAAATAAGAAGACTAATGAAAAATCTAAAAATTGTCTTATTTGGTAAATTAGGAAAATTTTTCCAGTTCAACGAAAAAGATAACTTGAGCTAAAGTCAAATCAAGAAATAGAAAGTAAATCAATATTTTTCAATATTAAATAGAGAACGTTCCCCAAAAGAAAACTAGTTATTTGAGCCATAAGTTTCAACAAAAAAAATTAAAATCAACTAATATTTTTGCGAAAAACGAGACTCGAATCGTGAAACATTGAAGAAATTTTCCTTCATCAAAATAAGACATTTCCAAGTCAAATCAGATTAAAAAGTTCTAATGAACGTACCATGGCTTCTAGAATACGACGCACATGGGATTTTTTTTTCTGATGAATACGCGAACGGGGGCCTCGTGACACACATCAATGGCCAACGCTTCTATAACGGTACCACTTTGTGACCTACTCTCGTGGAAGTCTCTCTCTCACTCTTTTCTTCTTCCTCGTGATTGAACTCTTGTATGATGATACCCAATGTATGTATGTGTGAGCTCTTTTTTTCTCTCCTCACACATCTCTCTTTCTCACTTGGATGGCCTTTCCTTTCCTTTTTTTTCCACCATCAGCAGGTTTCCATCTCTTTCTCACCGATCGCTTGGCTACGATCTCAGCAAAACGTGTGGTCAGACTTATTTCAGAGGTTCGACGATCGGGGTACACTTTTTCCTCTTTGAGGAACTTCCTCTGATGGCTATAAACTCAACGATTATAGGCAGAGGCAGTAATGAAAGCGGCCTGGCTCGTGAAGGTGCTGCTTGTCATGAGGCTGCATCCATTCTCAAGTTGCACCCTCGCCAGCAACTTTTCATTTCCGGTGTATTAATTAAAGAATCGATTATTCTTCAAAGTCATACAGTAGTTTTTTTTTTTTTGCAGCTAGTGATCTCATTAGTTTCGATATTATTGGAAGAAGAAAAAAAACTCTCGAGCAGGAGAGTTTCAATAAAATTTCCCTCAGTCTTGTAATTGTTGGAAGATATGAGAGTTTTCGTATTATTGACTCTTTTGGTGAGTCGATGAACCTCGATTGTTTTTTCATCTCTTCTTCTTCTTCTTGTGCGTTTCAAGTGATCATCCAATGTGACGTGATTATTCTGCTTCCTGCAAAAAATCGACAAATCAATAAATTGAACTTGGATTTATTCGATATTTTTTTTTATTTCAGTGTTTTTTTTTGGCAGTTCAGCTATGACAGTATTTAATAGCGAATAAATTTAAAAAGCTATCATTTTTAATTAATAATAATTTAAACTAATTTTTGAAAATAATTGAATTTTTATTAAAACTCATATGAAAATAATTGAATTTAAATAATATTTTTAAAAATAATTCTATTCTTTCGAGAAATTCTATTCAAATTGTATTGAAAATAATTGAATTTCTCCGAAACATTTTTTTATTTACAAACATAATTGAATCTTTCTGAAGAATTTTATTATCTATGAATTGGAATTTTTTTGAAATAATTGAATTTCCAAGAAAAAGTGTATTGCTTTTGAAAATAATTGAATTCTTGTAATGAATATTGTTATTTATGAAAATAATTAAATTTTCCAAAGAATTTTATTAAAATGCCTCAAAATAATTGAATTTTCGGGAATAATTTTGTTATTTATCTTTAATAATTGAATTCTTTGGAAGAATTATTTATGTAAATAATTGAATTCTTGGGAAGAATTGAATTAAAATCTAAAAAATAATTGAATTATTAAAAAAATTTAATTTAAATTGTATTTTAAAATAATTGACTTCTTTCAAACAAACTTTTATTAAAATATTTAAAAATAATTGAATTCCTGTGTAAAATTCTAATGTTTTTGTAAATAATTAAATTTTTCCAAAGAATTTTAAAAGAACATTTTTTTTTTAATAATTGCTTTTTTCGAAGAATTGAAATTAAATTTTTAAGAATAATTACATTTTTTGAGCAATTCCTGTAAAATTGTATTAAAAATAATTGAATTCCTGAGAAGAATTTTAGTATTTATGAAAATAATTGAATTAATGCAAAAAATTTTATTAAAATGTTTAAAAATAATTGAATTTCTCTGAAAAATTTTCTTATTTTTGAAAATAATTGAATTCCTTTGAAGAATTTTCTTATTTACGAAATTATTTTCATTCTTGCGAAGAATTTTCTTATTTATGAAAACAATTAAATTTTATCTTAATTTTTGAAAATATTTCAATTTTTTAAAGGAATATTATAAAAAATTTTTGAAAATAATGAAAGTAAATAATAATTTTAATTTTTTTAAAATAATTTCATCAAAATTGTCGAAAATAATTGAATTTATATTAAAATTCGTGAAAATAATCTTATTCTTTCGAGAAATTTTATTAAAAATTTCAAAAATAATTGAATTATTGCGAAAAATTTTATTAAAATGTTTAAAAAGAATTGAATTTCTGTGAACAATTTTTTTATTTTTGAAAATAATTGAAATTCTTGCGAAGATTTTTCTTATTTATGAAAATAATTGAATTCTTGCGGTGGATTTTACAATTCATAATAATAATTGAATTGTTTCGTAGAATTTTATCTGAATTTTTTAAAAATAATTTTATTTTGTTCAATGAATTCTATTAAAAATTTTGAAAATAATGATTTTTTAAACAGAATTTCATCATAATTGTCGAAAATAATTGAATTTATATTAAAATTCTTTTGAAAATAATTGAATTTAATTAATTAAATAATTATGTAATAATTAAAATAATATTAAAATTACGAATGAATAATTAAATTTAGTAACTGAGAAAATAGTTAAAATAGTTAAAACATTTGGAATAACTTTTTGTAAATTAAAATGCAATTTCAATTTTGTTATTGATTATGTTAATATGCAAAATTAAAATGTAATTTCAATTTTCTAGTTGAAAAAGAAAGATTTTAATTATTATGATTAAAGTAAATTTATTTAATATTATAATTAATTAATTAACAACTAGTAGTTTTAAAACTGAATCAATTTTTCTTAGTAACTTTCGTCGCAAACTGTCACAAATAAATTACCTTAAAAAATGGAAAAAAAATTCTATTTTTATCTTTTATTTATTCTATTTTTGATCTATCATCAAAACAAAGAATCGACTGTGAAAAAAGCAATTAAAATATTTATCAGTTAATCAAAATATTCTTCAGTCGATCAAAATATCTAAAAATTAACCCAAACAATTAAAATTTTATCCAATTTTATTCCAAATATGGAAAAAAGTCATCAAAATAATACAAATAAAATTATAATTTAAAATTATTCGAAATTATGAAAAATTATTTGACGAAATTTGCTTTACGAAAGGATAGAATATTTAAAGTTTTGTGAAAAATTGAGATTATATAAAAAAATTTATTGAAATAATATTTTATTTCCACGTGGCAAAATTAATTGAAAATCTTGTTCGAAAATCAACCTTATTGACAAGATTCAAGAAACGAGTCTAACGGTATTTCGATATCTTGTAGTATGCAGAAATGCATATTTAACTTTTTCTTTCGAAAAATTAAACACAATTTCTTTCCGAAAATTCACCAAGAAAATTTGAATCTAAAACAATTGGTTCGAGCTTTTTTTTTAGCTAAAATTATTAAATTTCTTTTTTTATGTATTTTTACACAGTATTTATATTAAAATATATTTATATTGAAATATATTGAAATTGAATATATTTATATATTTATATTGAAATTGAATATATTGAAAATATCTCTTTAAAAAAATTACGTTTCTATCAAATTGTATTTAGAAGAAAATGCGAGAAAAGAAAAAAGAAAATCGAGGAGCTTTCAAACCGAGTTTCTATTTTTCTTCTTTATTTTATTTTAGCAGTGAGAAAGGGGAGGGTGTGGTGAATTTCGCTTGCGGTTTTAATGACAAGAAGAAGAAAGTATACACCTTGGAGTGAAAAATATAAAAGAAATAGAAAGTTGAAAGCAAATTAAAAGAGGTAAAAATAATTTGATTGTAGGTAGTCAGACTGCATTTAGCGAGATGTCAGGGATTCGGAGGTGGTGGTCCAAGTACTTTCGGATATGATGCATCATCAGCATGCAGCAAACCATACTCTCGTGATGCTCGCGTTTTATTTGAAAATCTCCCCTGCGACTTTCGCCGACAAAATTGGTGCACAGTCGCTGGCAATACATATCCATGGTTAGTGAATCATCAAAATACTTTAATTTTCTCGAGAAGAATGAAAATTTAACCTGTTGCTTCTAAAATTCTACTTTGGATCATGAAAAACACAATTTTGTCGATGACGAATACAAATTTTTCCTTTTGCCTCTAAAATTTTATTTTCGATCATCAAAAACATTTTTTCGAGACGAATACAAATTTTTCCTTTCATTTCCAAAATTCTATTTTAATTTACTTAATTTCTTGTATTCAATTTCAATTCCAGTTCTGTTTTTATTCAATTTCAGTTTAATTTCAATTTAATCTTAATTCAATTTCAATTCAATTTAAATTCAACTTCAATTCAATTTAAACTCAATTCAATTTCAATTTAATTTAAGTTTAATTTCAGTTCAATTTGAATTCAATTTCAGTTCAATTTTAATTCAATTGTCAATAAAATCTAACCAAAAATTTGAATTTCTCACAGGCAAGCAGTTCGAAGATTCGTCAAGGAAAATCAAGGCCTGATGAGAAGAATGTATGGAGACGAGAGGCACATTAATATTTTGAAATCAGAACTGGAGAAAAATGACATTGAGATAGAAATCGAATACAATTATCAAAGATATCCGGAAAAATCCAGGTGAGTTAAGATTACAGAAAGAAAAATAATTTTTCAATGTACAGAATTGCCACAAAAATTTAACTTTGTTTTTCCCTGATTTCCAGACTTCTTCCTGACTGATTTTGACTTTTTCCCTGACACTAAAGAATATTCTGATTCACTCTAAAAATAATTAAATACTCAAAAAATGTTCTATTACATTTATTTATGAGTTTTTTTAATTTTAAAATTCTTCGAAAACAATTGTTTTATTTATCATTATTATTTTTCTATTGAAATTAAGATTTTCAAAAATTTCAAATTCAAATCTTTTAAAATTTAATAACTTATAAGAATATTATTATAAACATAAAGAAGTCAATCACTCCGAGTCTTTGACTCGGAGTAATCGATTTCTTCATGTTTTTATAATAATTAACGATAACTCAGGGATAAAATTATTATTTTATATAAGAATACTGTTACTCTAACTTCTTCCAAATTATTTTCATCATTTTAATTGAATTATTATTTTCTAGAATTTTTAACTACAATTCTTCTTTAAAATAAATTATTAGTTAAAAGTACGGAAAATTTAGATTTCCAAAGATTTGAATTTGAAACCTTTTCAAAATTCAATTATTTCTAAAAATTCATGCTATAATGCTTTTAATATTAAATCATTATCTAAAATTTTAACCGAAATTCATTTTCATTTTATTTAAATCAATTTATATTAGAAAATCCCATGAGAATTCAATTATTTAAATAAATAAAGTAAATAATTTATTCAATAATTGAATATTTATTGAAATTTAATTTTTACGAAGAATTTTATTAACAAGTTTTGAAAATAATTAATATCTTTTAAGGAATTTAATTAAAATTTTACTGAAATTTATTATATTAAAGAATTTTATAACAATATTTTCGAAAATAATTGAAAACCTTTTGGAGAATTTTATTAAAATTTTTAAAGATACTTGAATTCCTGAGAAGAATTTAAATAATAATTTTTGAAAATAATTGAATTCATGCGAAGAATTTTATTAAACTTTGTTTAAATAATTGAAATTTTGACAAGAAGGATATTAACATTTTTGACAATAAATTTAATTCTTGAGAAGAATTTTGCTAACTATTTATAAAGATAATTTAATTCTTGATGAGGATTTTAAAAATATTTTGAAAATAATTTAATTTCTGCAAAGTATTTTATTACTTTTCAAAAGAATTGAATTCTTGTGATGAATTTTGATACTTATGAAAATAATTGAATTTTGGAAAAGAATTTTATTAAAATTCATTAAAATAATTGATTTTATGGGGAGAATTTTGTTGTTTATCAAGATAATTGAATACTTTTGTAGAATCACTTAAAAAGTTTTGAAAATAATTGCAACGAATTATATTATTTTATTAAATGATTGAATGTTTCTTAAATTTGAATTCTTTCGTCAAGTTTTAATAAAATTTTTAAGAACAATTGCATTTTTCGAGGAAATTATTTAAAATTGTATTAAAAATATTTAAAATTCTGTCGTGCAAATAATTGAATTTTGCAAAGAAGTTTTTTAAAATTCCTAAAAATAATTAAATTTTTGTAATGAATTTCGCTATTTATCAAGATAATTGCGTTAAAACTTTTGAAATAATTAAATAATATTAACAGGGTTACCACAAAAATTTAACTTTGTATTTCCCTGAATTTTCCCTGATTTCCAGACAGAAATTTATAAAAATTTTTGAAAATAATAAATTCAAAACTTTTTAAAGAATTCTATTAAAATTTTTGAAAATACTTGGATTTCTGAGAATAATTTAAATAATAATTTATGAAAATAATTGAATTTTGTAAAAGAATTTTATTAAAATTCCTTAAAATAATTGATAATTTTTGGGGAGAATTTTGTTGTTTATCAAGATAATTGAATTCTTTTGCAGAATTACTTACAATTTTTTTTAAATAATTGATTTCCTGCGACGAATTAAATGTTATTTTTTGAAAACAATTGAATTATTGCGACGAATTTTATTATTTTATTGAATAATTGAATGTCTATTAAAATTGAATTTTTTCGTCAAGTTTTAATAAAATTTTTTAAGAATAATTACATTTATCGAGGAATTTATTTAAAACTATGAAAAATACTTTAAATTCTGCGATGAAAATAATTGAATTCCTAAATGAAATTTTATTTTTATGAAAATAATTGAATGTTTTCGTAGAATTGAATCAAAATTTTTTTTCAATAATTAAATCTTTTTATAAATTTTATGAAAATAGTAAATATTGAAAATTATTTAATTGCGAAAAAGTTTTGAAAATAATTGAAATTTTGCAAAGAATTTTATTTAAAGTTTTGAAAATAATTGAATTTTTAGCGAAAAATTTTGCTATTTGAAATGATAATTGAATTCTTGACGAGATATTCGTTAAAATTTTTTAAAATAATTGAATTTTTTCAAAGAATTTTATTACTTTTGAAAATAATTGAATTCTTGTGATGAATATTGTTATTTTTGAAAATAATTGAATTTAGCAAAGAATTTTTTTTAAATTCCTAAAAAATAATTGAATTTTTGTGATGGATTTTGTTATTTATCAAGAGAATTGCATTAAAACTTTTGAAATAATTAAATAATATTAAAAAATTCATTCTGGTCAGGAATAGAATTTTTCTTATGAATTCCAAAAATTTAATTTTTTCCAGTACTTTTAATAAAAATCCCTGAATTTTTCCTGACTTTTCCATGAATTCCCTGACTTGTGGCAATACTGATGTAAATTCATGACGAATTACTAATTACATTTAAGGCGCTTCGACTATGACGAATGGGAATTAAATGATCCAAGATATCCCAGCATCCTTGACGAGGAACCAGAGAGAAGAGGATACACGAGTCGATCTCTAAACGACGTGAAACTAAAGGTGGATAATAAATTTTTCAAACTGGAAGAACGAGTGAAATTCCAATTCAAACCCTTGGAAAATCCAACCAGTACATCAACATCGACAACAACTTCAACTTCTGCTCCTAGTTCTACTCTTCCGTCAACAAGTTCATCTGATAAAATAACTTCGACAACAACTACTACTGCTGGGACTACTACTAGTAGTAGTAGTAGTACTTCTACTACTTCTACTACTTCGACTACTTCAACCACTTCTACTTCCACTACAACAACTACGACAACACCACCAATGACATCGCCAATTTCCAATTTTCTAAATTCATCAGATTCGAAATACAATTCTACAACTCCAAATGTGGAGAATAACACCGAATCACATTCCACCTCAGCGCCAATCACACTGGCCGACATTGCAAATATTCAAAATTTCAGTATTAATGAAATTCCGGGACAGAATATTGAATCTAATGAGGAAATTGCCGATGATGAATTACCGACGACAAAATTTCCCGATTTAACGAGTATCGATCGAATCGATGAGATTGTTGACAATGAGAATGAAGATAATGATGATGATGATGATGAGGATGATGGTGATGGTGATGAAAGCGAGGAGGAAGAAAAATTGGAGGAGGTGATTGATCAATTGGCGGAGGAGAGCGAGAAACGCCATGAATTCCGACCTCGACCCGAGTATCGTCCATCCGAGACGAAAAATAATGGTTCCAGTATGCAAGGACAATTATTTCAAGACGTCGCTGCCAAGGAGAAGCAGAAGCAACCGATCTACAAGGGCCCTGGAATGTGAGTTATTTTCCAAATTATTTTCCCCAAAAGAAAAATGATCCATCCTTTTCCCTTAAGGATTTTTTTCTTCGATTTCTTAGATTCTTTTCCCGAAAGGAAAAAATAAACAAAAGTCGATTTTTTCCTAAAAGAAAAAAGAAACAGAGATAGATTAAAAAATTATTACAGAACAAAAAATCCAATCCAAAAAATACAGACCGAAAAATCCAAGAAAAAAAGTCCAAAGTACAGGCCTTGAATATTACTACTTTTTCGACTTTTTTTTCCAAAAATGCGACTTTTTCTACTTTTCTTCCAAATATTGCATCAAAATACCACATTTTTAGTATAAATTGCAAATTATTTCGATTTTTCTAGTGTGAAAAATAATTATAGACAAATCTTTGAAAAATTATTTTTGAATAATTTTTCTAATTGAATTTTTGAAATATACAATTAAAAAGATTTGAAATAATTGAAATTTTGTAAAATTTAATTGAAAATAATTGATTTTTTCAAGTATTATTATTACAATTTTTGAAATAATTGAATTCTCAAAAAAATTTAATGAAAAATTTCCAATATATAAATTTATGAAAATAAAAATTAATGAAAACTAGCTTCTAAAAAATTATATTGAATTTTTTTTTATTATAAATTTTTTAAATTCAATTATTTTCAATAGTTTTTAAAACATATTAATTCCGTAAATACAAAAATAATACAAATATTAAAATTTTTCAGAATTATTTTTAACATTTTGAAGAAAATAATCATTGTGAAAATTTTTAATTAAAATTCTTCAAAAAATTACTTAGTTTTTTTAAATTAGGTATACAAAAATTCTTTTAAGAAATTCAATTATTTTCGATTATTTTCGAAAAATTACATTAGAATATTTTTAAAAAACTAATTCTTAGAATTGTTTTATTATAATTTTTTAAGATTTACTTATATCGAACAAAGTAAACTAAATTTTTTTTAATTTACTTCTTTAGATTCTTATTAAAATTTCCGAGAAATCGTGTTTATTTTTGTAATTAAAATTATTCAATAATTTGAATATTTATTTTATATTTTTTAAAAATCCAATTATTTTTAAATGGTTTTATCAAATTTCAATTATTTTTAAAAGATTTTGCCAAAATTCAATTGTATGGGAATTTTTTAATTGTATATGTAATTGAAAATTGAAAAATTATTTTAAAATATTTTTTAAAAATTGATTTTAAGAGTTTTTTTATTATAATTTTTTAAAAATATAATAATGATAACTTTAAAAAAACATGGACAATAATTACAGTTACAAGATAAAATTTTTGTTGCAACACTGAATTAAATAAACGACTTTTTCGACTTTTTTTGTATTTTTAATCGATTAAAATTAAAAGTGACTTTTTTTTGTCTTAAAGTCGATCCGAGGCCTGAAAGTACAAAAAATCCAAAATAAACAATGAAACATGTGAAAAAGCCACGTTTTTACTTTTTACGCTATAAAATCGGAATTTAAAATATTAATGTTAAATTGCATGATTTTAATTATTTACATAAATAATAAAATTCTACACAAAAATTCAATTACTTTCATAAATAAAAAAATTCTTCACAAAAATTAAATTATTTTCATCAATAAAAAAATTTCTAGAAAAATTTCAATTATTCTATAAAATTTTTAAAACAATTATTTCAAGAAATATAATTTTTATTTTCAACAATTTTGCTAAAATTCTTAACAAAAATTCAATTATTTTTTCAATATAATGCTGATTTTTAATTTCTTTGGACTTTTTTGACCAGGAAAAAAATTCAAATCAAAATTCGGATAAATGCGAAATCGATAAAATAGAAAATCGTAGAAATGAAAATTCTCAAAGCGAATTCGGTTATAAATTAAAAATCGATCCAATGGTAATTTGTCAGAAAGAAAATTTTGTATAATTTTCCCGGGGTCAATAATAAAAATCGGAAAACTATCTAAATGATAATTCTCGAAGCGAATTTGAATTACGAAAAATTCAACCAAACAGAAGTTTCGTTAATTAAATAAAAATTTAGTCAAATTCAATTCGATGCTTTGAAAATTCGAAATAGGAAAAACTTATGATCAAATGAAATTTTAACTGAAGAACAATTTGATTAAACCAAAAAATTGAAAATTGGAAATTAGAAATTAGAAATAACGAAAGTTTCATAAAAATAAAATCCCACTCAGAGTAAATTAATAAGTAAATAAATGAATAAAAAATAAATAAATAAAAATAGAATTCTAATTTTCAATTAATTCTAATTATAATTCGGCTAATTTGTCTTAATCGAAATTTCCCAATCAATTTGAATTATAATTTCTTCAAATAGAGAGTTGACTTTGTTTGCTAAAAAAGTAATACTCACTCGAATTTTAATAGTCGTCGATAATTAATTCCAAATCCAAAATCAATTCCTTCATTGAAAATAATAATTTCCAGAAATGCTTGTCCAGTCAAGGAAGAAGTGGTGGCTCCATTTTGGGCGAATAACACTCGTGGTGAAGTCCTGGCTCTATTAAATCTTTATCCCTTCGAGCAATACGTCCATTGGGAAAAGTGCACGTAAGTGAAAAGTTTATCTGAAAAAAATGAAAATTAAGTAAAAAATGGACTCATTTAAAAATAATACAATAAGTAAATCATAATTCATTAATAATTTCAACTGAAAAATTAATTAATTAAATAAACTGAAAAGTTACTTAATTTAATTTAAACTGAAAATTTAATTAATTAAAATTAAATTGAAAAGTTACTTAATTTAATGTAAACTGAAAAATTAATTTAATTTAAACTGAATGAAAATTCATATTATAATATTAAAAAGAAACAAATTTTACTAAAATTAATAAATGTTAATTAATGAGAAAAAAATACTTGTTGCCAGGCACGAGGACAAACAAATGAATTGCCGAGATGGTTGCAAGTGTGAACAACAGTACAGATTACACAGATTATTGGCCTACGATCCAAATAACGAGTGTCGTGGAATTTTCAGTGATTGGTTCAAATTTCCCAGTTGCTGTTTGTGTCGCTGTTACAATATTCCTGTTGAATTTCGTGTCACATCTCGTTCACCTCGCTTGCAAAAACAAAAAGTAAAATTACGAGTTTCGCGAAATTAAATTTAAAAAAAACCCTCTTTTCATTTTTTTTTTTTTTTTAAATCGAAATAGAAAATTTCAAATTAAATTGAGAACATTAATAGTTTTCTTAATTTATCTCTATTTTTTAAATAAAAAAAGAAATTATTTTCTATTTCGATTGAAAAACGAATTTTTCTAGTTTTTATAGATAAAAAGTTGCGTTAATACAGTAAAAAAATGAGTTATTAATACTTTTTTGAATTGATTTTTAAACAACGTAAAGAAATTAAAAATTAGAAAAAATTAGTAACTCATTTCTTTTTTGTTTTTCGAATTTGAAATGCAAGGCTCGTGATTGAAATGATTTCGCCATTTCTTGTTTATTTGTTTACGTTATATTTGAACATTTTTTTTTTTTATTTACTTGATAAGTGAATAGTAGGTGCAGAAATATTCTTTCTTGAAAACTAATTAAATTGTAAAGTATTTTAAAAATTAATACTTTAAACATATATATTTATTTATAATTGCACTAAAATTAATTTATTAACCAATTACTATATAAATATTAAATATAAGAGCCTCACATTTGACAGATTAGAAAAAAAAACATAAAAACTTATGGTATATTATAAAAAATCTAATTCTAAACTATATAAATGAATTAAAAATTTAATTAATTTAATCATAGATTAAAAGAATGCAAACTTCATTGAATTAAATTACAGACAAATTAATTAAATAAATTAAAACAAATTACAAAATTGAAATTAAATTAAAAAATAAATTAATGAAGTAGCATTGAAATGTAATTAAAGTTCGTCGAGTGGTGATTAAATTAATTAAATTTCTAATTAGTTTGTAGTTTGTAGAACAAAATTGTACGATTGAGAATTTTATTGTAATTTTCTTCTACAATAAGAGAACGGTATCTTTTACAAGAGGTTATAAACAATAACGAAAGTTAACGTTAATACTTTTTTTTTCTGGGCGTCCACTCAAAATTGGAGCAGCTCAACAGTAATACTTATGCGCCTACATTACACTTTTAATCAATGTCACATATACATATATAATAATATATATTTTTATAATATTACAAACGTCGTGTTGTCATTCCGTTTAACAACATATGTATGTACATATAAAATAATATATACACACATATCTATTTATACGTATGTATGTATAAAGAAGTCGTATGTTAAAAAGAACTTTTTATATACCAGTATTTATTTATATAAATAAATTATTTATTTTATAAATAAATCTATATAGTGTATTTATATTATTTATTTATTTTATTTATGTATATAAATGAATACGGATTTTTCTTTTTTCTATAACATTTGGTATCAAAACCATTGCAGGAAAAACGTTCGAAAAAGTCGAAAAAATTTAACATCAAATATCCTCATGTAACAGACAAATTTTTTTTTCTTTCTAATATTTCAATTCCTTTTACTAGTTTTCTATTCTACAAGCACGTAATAAGAATAGTTCTTTTTTTTTTATTTTTTTTTAGTATAAAGTCGTGTCCCAGTAGAAAAGTGGACTTTCTAAACTCACCTACTTTTTACCTTTTCATTTCTTTTTCTATACAAAAGGTGACGATTCGTTTCCCCATTTGTCTTATTAATTTGTTGCTCTCGCTCTTTCTCTAAATACCCTGTATTTTTTATTTTAAAAACTAGACTTTTCTTTTTAGAGAAAAAAAAATAAATCCAAAATTTAACTAATTTCGAAATAATATTTACAGGAAATTTTTAAATTATAAAAATATTTTTGAATTTTCTTTAAAGACAATGGAAATCTTGGATGGAATAATAATTCGAGGAAGACGGAAGTTTTGAGAAAGTTATTCGACTGGAAGCTCAGATTTTTTTTACAAATTTCAATAATTAACTAATTAAATATTGAACTTAAAAAAAATTGACTTTATTTATAAAACCGAAAGTTTCAACTTTTTGCAGAAAATTAAATTTTCCTTAAAATTTTAAATCACTTGGAAGATTAATTATATCAATTTCAAAGTCATTTGAATCACAGAAGGCACTGACTAATTCTCTAAATTGAAAATAAAATTTGAAACTTGATTTAATTTCACATTAATTACTAATATATGTAATTAAAAATTCAATAATTGTCTATTTAATTAAACAGTTCAGTAATTATCTGTAATTAAATAATTAATTATCATAATTAATTAAATAATCAAATGTGTCAATTAAATAGAAACAAAATGCCAAAAAATCAAAGTAAAAAGTACATGAATGTCAAAGAAAAAGAGTCATTTCTACGGGACAATTAAAAATTGTATCACAACCATTTCGAAGGCTGAAAATTCGATAGCATTTTCTAATTCACAAAATTCTATATGACTAATTTCTTTTTAACAATCTCGCTCGCCTATATTACAATATTCATCATTTTTGGAAACAATTTCCAATTACAAAGACTTTTATAAAAATTTCAACAAGTTTGAGCATTTATCTTGTTTGTCTTTCTTTTTTTTTCATTTAACAAATACAAAATCGAAGAAATTTCACTAATCGACGAACATAAAACTAATTATTTTTTTCTGAATTACAAAAGTAACCTGCAAAAGTAATGATCTACAAAATGTATTGTTTCGGGAAATAAGAATTTTTCCAAAGATCTCTAATTTCGAGAAAATGATCTGAACTCCATGCAAATTTTTGTCAAAAAAAATGTTTTCTATTTGTTTAATTTATTTTTCGTAAACTAAAATATTTCCAAAGAAATTTTCGAAATATTGAAGTTTCGTAAAAAAAAATAATTTTCGAGATTTTAATAAATAAAGAATTTAATATTCAGAACATTTTCACGAAGTAATTTTTTTTTGAAGAATCTACACCGACTGGTCTACATTAACTAGAACGAGAGAATTGAGATGAAAAAATGGTCCACCAAGAAAAATCTGAAGAAAACCCGAAAACATCAACCAGAGAAGAATATCTGAATAAAGTTTAAAGAGAAATAGAGTAGAAATAGTGATAGAAGAGAATAACAAGAAGTATAGAATTTTCCGAAGTAAAAGTGTGAGAAAAAACATGAAAAAGAGAAACATATGTAAATTGTAGAATACTATTCGAAGACTAGTCGTGATTTCCGTCATAACGATCCCTAGTCGGACTCTAAAAAAATGACAACAAAAAAAAAAGAGCAAAATTCATTAGAATCTCGAACGTGGATCAATAAAACGTAATCTACGTTTCTGCTTCTTAGCTACGCAGTATATCACCATTTACGCTTTAATGATTATCGTAATAATAGTCGTATTTTTTTTTTTTTTCTTTAAGTCGAGATGAATGCACCTGGCTTTTTATGCTAAATTGAGTTTAAGATCGATATTTAAATTATCGTAACATTTAACTTAACTGTTTTATGTTTAAAAAAAAATAACGTGATCAAATAGTGCTTGATGCAGAATATCAAAAGTGCGTCACTAAATATATTTTATATATACCTATATTTATATATTCATATATACACAAGGCGTGTCAAACAAGTTTCCTGTTTAAAACAACAACGATAAAAAAAATTTCTCGTCGAATTTAATTTTTAATTAAATTCAATAAATATTTTTCAAAAAAAAAATGGATGCTTCCTTTGACTCGTCTCGTTTAAAATATTAATCAAGGCGTATGATTATCGTTAAAATTTTCATAATTCAATATTTTCATAATTCAATATTTTCATAATTTAATATTATGACTAACAAAGATAAAAAATTTAATATTAAGTTAATATTAATTAATTATAGTAATACCTACTTGATATATAATTAACTGACGAATTTTTTCAATCTTGGAATAAAGAAAAAAATCCGATTTAAAAATTCAAAATTTGAAAATTCTCTAAAAATTGAGAATTTAAATTCAAATAAATAGAAAACAAAAAATGTGGCACAAAAAAAGGTTAAATTTGAAGAGGAAAAGTAAAATTCGAACGATAATCACGAACCTCAATTATAATTATTATCAATAAATATATTATGTGTTTATTTACACACACTTTGTAATTTTTTGTATACGATGCCGAAAATAAGTGAGTATGGTCCGATTTTAAAAATGATATGCCGTCAAGTATGTCTCATATCACAGAATTGTGATTTTAAATTCTCATTATCACGTTTCTATTATGACAAAAAAAAAAAAAAAAATTTCACAGAATGTTTACCAAACCCGAAAGAAAAACATTATTTTTTTTATTAAATTTAAAATTTCTTTACTTTCTATTATAAGAAAATTAAATAAAAAATCTTCCTCCACGAAAAAGGAATAGTAAAACATACCTTTTGAATAAAATAAATATAAAAGAAAAAGAAAAATTTTTTAATTTTGTAAAAATAGAAAATGTCTGAAAAAGAAAATGAATAATAGAAAATAAAACAATATTCGAAAAAATTTACGAATTTAAAAAAAAATCCATTCTTTCGATCAAGTAGAACATTCTTTGAAAATTACCGGTATGTTAAATGCGATAAATCTCGAACCAGTATTTATAAAAATTTTCTCAGCAAAAATCGGAAAACAATTGAGGAAAAAAAGAAGACTAAATTTCTAATAATCTCGTTTTTGCTGCCAATGAAAGTTAAATTAAATCATTATATTAAAAAAAAACAACCCCTATCAATAAACATCAATATTTAATTTTTGGTCTCGGTGTGTAACTTACGCCTATATATTATTGTTTTTTTTTTTCTAGAAAACTCAATTTGATGGTGAAAAAAAAATTCACAATCTCGACAAATTCGAAAGTTGCGCTACCAATAATTCTTGATTTTCTAATCATCGAATATCTTTGATATAACGAAGAAAACGAAAAATCAACAAAATCAAATTATCGGTTTCTTAAAAAATAAAGAAAATAAAAAAAATAAAAAAATAAAAAAAATAAAAGAAATAAAATAAAAAAAGTAAAAGAAAATAAAAGAAAAATAAAATAAAAAAAAATAAATAAATAAAAAAAAATTAAAATAAATAAAAAAAAATACAATAAAATAAAAATAAATAAATACAATAATTAGAAATTACAATGTAAATAGAATAGAAGTCAATAAATAAAAGAATAAAACCGAAAATGAAGAAAATTTTGTCTCAAATCTCAATAGATTGAAAAAGTTTGCTTCTTTTTTTGGTAGGCACTTCGAGATAACAGTTTAACAAGTACCGTGAAGAACGGTAATAAAAACAATTCTTATTCTAAATTTACTCTTGCACCATGAGGAGCGCATTTAAGCTCGTTGAATATTCCCCTTAATTATAAATACGATCAAGGCGAAAAGGGGAACAAAAAATCCCCTATTATTTTCAATAGAGATAATAAAAAATCTGTACAAAAAGCGGCGAATTATCTCCCTAAACTGAATAATATTTGTTAGTCGCGTTAAATTGTCGAGTTAACGAATGTCTCTACATACAAAATATTTACAAGAACCGAGGTGTTAAAAAACATAAAAAGAAAAAAATCAATTCCAACAATTCCGTCACTCTCTATACGTCTAAAAAAATATCAATTCCAAAAATTACGAACAACTTCCTTTTCTATAAACGAAGACTGTATCGTAAATTTTCATTTTTCAACTTTTACAACAATGTAATAAATTGCGATACAGTCGCTCACTTTAATTTTCACAGACTGTGCTTCTATTTTATTTTTCTTCACTAACTATTAATTTCTTTCTTTTCTTAAATCTCCCCTTGTGTTACTAAAAAAACAGTTGACAAAAAACAGTCAGATTTCAAAAAAACTGACAATAAAAAATTAGAAGAAATTACCAAAACCCAAATACTGTCGTCAATGAGAAAAGAAAATACTGCATGATGAGGAGACGAAAAAAAGAAAAATTGAAGAAAGTGGGGAAAAACGAAAAATCAAATCACAACCGACGAGAATAAGAAACAAAATTGTTTCATAAATTACTTCCCTCAAGAAGCAGAAAAAAAAATTGGCTCGAGATCATAAACAAAAAATGATTGTAAATGGAGAAATAAAAATATTTCTTTCTTTTCTTTTTTTAAGAATTGTACGCATAGTTTAGACGAAAGGGTCCCCTGATGGAATTAGATTGATTTCCACTGCGGTTTGTTGGGACCCCCCCTTAAATGTCAGGGAGGCCCTCGAGGTACCCATAATGCTTTGCTTTGCTCGTCGTCGACGGCTGCTTTTATCTGCGTTACGATACATGCGACACTAACTCCAGCAGGAATTATTGCTGCAAAAATAATATTACTTTTTTAAAGAACTTCCTCTTTTCCATTTAATTTAATTAAATTAAATTGAACCCCCCACCCCAAGAAAAAAAAGAATTTTTAAAAAATTTACTTACATTATTAGTACTACACTGTGTGTAAAAATAAATGTCGAAAAAAAGTGTATTTTCCACTTTATTTAAACCAAAGGCTATTGACAATTAAAAAAGAAAATTGAAAATAAAATTAACAATCAATAAATAAAAAGAAAAAAGAATTTATCTCATAAAAAGATTATTCTATACAAACTGATTAATAATAATAAAATACAATCATCGTTTTTTTACTATTAATATTATTATATAATAATAATAATAATATAATCATGATAATATAATATTATTATAATTATCAATAAACTAATAATAATAACAGCCCTCGGATCGATTTTAAGACACAAAAAAAATCGCTTTAGTCGATTAAAAATACAAAAAAAGTCGAAAAAGTCGTTTATTTATTTGTTTCAACAAAAATTTTATCTTGTAACTGTAGGTAATTATTGTCCATGTTTTTTTAAAGTTACTTAAGGTGTAATATTTTTAAAAAATTATAATAAAAATACTCTTAAAATTAATTTTTTCTAAATATTTGTAAATAATATTTTAAAGATAATAGTCTTTCAATTATACAATTAAAAAAATTCCAAACAATTAAATTTTGGTAAAATCTTTTAAAAATAATTGAAATTTGATAAAACATTTGCAAAACAATTGAATTTTGGTAAAATCGTTCAAAAATAATTGAAATTTGGCAAAATCTTTTAAAAATAATTGAATTTTTGAAAAATATAAAATAATCAAAATTTTTAAAAATTTTTATTATAAAAATATAAACATGATTTTTTCGAAATCTTAATAAGAATCTAAAGAAGTATTATATTTTAAAAAAAAATTTAATTTACTTTGTTCGAAGATAAGTAAATCTTAAAAAATTATGATAAAACAATTCTAAGAATTAGTTTTTTAAAAATATTCTAATGTAATTTTTCGAAAATAATTGAATTTCTTAAAAGAATTTTTGTATAATTTAAAAAAAAACTAAGTAATTTTTTGAAGAATTTTAATTTAAAATTTCCACAATGATTGTTTTCTCCAAAATGTTAAAAATAATTCTGAAAAATTTTAATATTTGTATTATTTTTTGAATTTACGGAATTAATATGTTTTTGAAAATATTGAAAATAATTGAATTTTAAAAATTTGTAATAAAAAAAAATTCCAAGAATTACTTTTTTAAAAAAATTTCAATATAATTTTTTAGAAGCTAGTTTTCATTAATTTTAATTTTCATAAATTTATACTTGAAAATTTTTCATAAAATTTTTTTGAGAATTCAATTATTATTTTCACAAAATTTGCAATTAAATGTCTTCAAAAGTTGATTTTCAAAAATTGTAATAATACTTGAAAAAATCAATTATATTTCGAATTAAAACTAATTAACTAATTTTCGAATTGTTTTATCATAATTTTTATCGAACAAAATAAATTAAAATTTTTTAAAAATTACTTTTTTAGACTTAGATATTAAAATTTCGGGGACATCATTTTTAATTAAAATTCCTACAAAAATTTGATTATTTTTTTAATATTTTTTAAAAACTCAATTATTTTGAAAAGATTTTTATCAAATTTAAAATAATTTTTTAAAAGATTTTACTAAATTTTAATTTTTTGGACATTTTTTAATTGTGTGTAATTGTAAAAATATTCTCATTGAAAAATTATTCCTAGAAATATTGAAATATTGAAATTTTGTAAAATTTAATTGAAAATAATTGATTTTTTTCAAGTATTATATTATAAATTTTGAAAATCAACTTTTGATGAATTTCAATTTGCAAAATTTTGAAAATAATTTAATTCTAATAAATTTTAATGAAAAATTTTCCAGTGTAAATTTAATAAAAATGAAAATTAATAAAAATTAGTTTCTAAAAATTATATTAAAATATTTTTGAAAAAAGTCATTCTCAAAATTTTTTCATTATAATTTTTAAAATTCAATGAGGTATTTTCAATATTTTTCGATTTTTTTTATACCTATTTTTTAAAAACTCAATTATTTTTTAAAGACTTTATCAAATTTCAATTGTTTTTCAAAGATTTTACCGAATTTCAATTTTTTGAACATTTTTTAATAATTGTAAAACTATATTGTCTTTCAAAAAGTATTTAAAAATACTTTTAAAAAATTAATAAATATTAAGAATTTCTTTATTAAAAATTTTGACAATATTCTACCTTAATATCTTTAAAAAGAAAAATGAACAGTTTTAATTACTATAAAAAATTTAAGGTTTGTATTTAAATAATTGAATTCGCGAAGAACCTTCGGAAAATTATTAAAAATTAATATTGATAATTGATTGAGAGTTGAAGTTTAGTTAAAAATTGTAGAAAATATTTTACTCTTGCAAGGGTTACAGTTATAATTTTTAGAAATTAAATTAAATTAAATTTATAAAGTTTCAGAAGTTGAAATTTTTTAAATTTTATTTCCTGGGCAAAAAGAAATAAGTAGTATTTAAATATTTATTTAGCCTAAAATTATTCGAGTTTTGATTAATTGAATTTAGAAATCAGTGAAGAATCACAGAAATACAAAATAAAATTTTCTGTGACAACACTGAATTAAATAAACGACTTTTTTTCTATTTTTAATCGACTAAAGCGACTTCTTCTTTGGCTCATTAAAGTCGATCCGAGGCTTGAGTATTTCAATTTTCATAGGTATTTATAAAGATAAAAATAAATAAATTTCTATAGATAAATAAATAATTAAAGTTGTACTTACAGGAGATGAAAAATCGATATTCAGCCTCCGACTTGAGTGCTTGTTCGTACATCTCCTTAGCTGCCTTCGCGCTCACCTTCTCGCCAGGATACCTCGAATCCTTCACCTCCTTTATTTGTTTTGTGCTCTTAAACTTGATCAATAGAACAATTGGATATATTTGGTGCCTGTGGAGTCTTTCGATCGAAGCAATCGATATATCCAAAAGACAGTGCGAATTCTAAAAGAAATTGAATTGAATTAATATTTTCCTTCAAAAAAATAAATTTCTACATTTAAAATCTAACTATTTAAAAAAATAAGTGGAGTAAAATATATTTTATATTTATTATATTATATAATTCAATATATTAGATTGAAGAAAAGAAATTTTAATATTTAAAAACTCCTACCTTTTCACAGATGTCCTTTACAGCCTGAACAGTTGTGCATTCAAAGTAACTACCTTTCTTTCTGTAATCAACGTACAGAGAATCTCGTAAACCTTGCTCGAGTGTTGCTTGCGAACAGTGCATTGCTTCGGGAAGACATCTTGTGAATTGTCCGGGAAATTCCTGAAGCAATCTTCCCAGAACACATTCACTGAATGGACCAATTATTAAAATTGGTCTTAGAGCTGGATCTGAAATAATAATTGTCAAATAATTCGAAACTATGTATGAATATTTTTATTGTAATATATTAATAATAATTATTATAATTTTAATAAATTAGAAATAATTATAATTATTAGCTATATATTTTCAGAGATTTTATCAAAATTTACAAGTTTTAATCCTCTTTAGAGAAGGATGCTTACAGTCAAGTCTTTCAACTCGTTGATAACTGGCTGGCAAATTTTCCTCATTGAGAGTTCCACTGTCACTGTACCATCCCATATTAACGCCTGTTATGTGCGAGAGTTCCTTGCTGTCTCTACTGGATGATCGTTGATGCTGCTTTTTTCTCCGGAAGAAACTGCGCCGAGCACTTGTAGTTCCTCTTCTGCCGGCATCAGTCTCTAAATCACCGAGGGATCTTCTCAACAACATCTCCTCCTCGACTCTAAATAATTTTAACAATTTAATTAACAAACAAAATTAAAGGAAAAAAAATAAAGGAAATTACGAAAAGAATAAAGAACGATGAAATAAATACAAAAATCTATAGTGATAATAAAATCATTGTATTCCGGTAATCTGTTCGCAGTTTGAAGTTAGTTCCTGTTTGCTTATTTGTTTCCTAACTTTTTAAATAATTTGTCTTTTTAAATATTTAAAATTTTTAAATTAATGTTCTGAAAATCATTGAACTCTTGTAAAGTATTATTTATAAAAAAATTTGAAAATAATTGAATTTTATGAAGAATTCAATTATTTTCAATAAAATGCTTTAGTCAACTTATAAATAATAAAAATCTTCGTAAGAAATTCAATTATTTTTATATAAATAATAAAATTCTTATCAAGATTTCTCTTATTTTAAATAACATTTTAATTAATTTCTTTAAAAATATCAATTATTTTTAAAATCTTGTCAAAATTCTCCGAAAAAATTCAATTATTTTAAAAATAATTGAATTTTTCACAGGAGTTCAATTATTTAAAAAACTTTGAATTAAATTCAATTCAAGAATTCAATTATTTTTAAAAATTATGAAATTTTGTTTCGCTAGAATTAAATTATTTTAAACTAGCCAAACTATCCGCGCGTAAGCGCGCGGGAATGTTGTATGGGGCTGCTTATTTTAAACAATTTAAAAAATTTTAAAGAAATAATTATTATAACCTAACAAAGAGATTTAACTAACTAAAATTCAAATAATTCCACTCAATGGTCTCAATTTAAATAGAATTTACATTACTAGACTTAAACTATGGCTAGAAAAATTACAATTAGTATCTGGGTCATCTTTTGCATTGCTTATTTTATAAAGCCATTTTAAATTAAATACTTTTTAAAGAAATAATAATTATTACACACTGAAAAAAGTTTTACTTGAAATAGCGATAAGTTTCTCTAGAATAACGAAAGTATTAATTGAAGCACTGAAAAATTTCGCTACTAAAGTGAAATCTGTAGTTCATCCAGCTAAATATTTTTTGCCGTGCATAACGAAAAAAGAATTAAATTAACATCAGATTTTCTACATTCAAAAAAAAAACGAATTCAAATAGAAATTAATCATTTTACAACTTAACCAAATTCACCCCAGAAATCACTGAATTCGATAATTTAGAAGAAAGTCAGACAAAAGCAGGGTTCCTACAGAATCTGGAAATCATGGAAATCATGGAAATGGTATGGAATTTTTAAAAGGCTTCTGGAAATCAGGGAAATCATGGAAAAGGCCTGGAATTTTTAAAAGTTTCTAAATTTTTTCAGTTTTCCATTTTTTCTCTTGAATAAAAATTAAAATAATAATAAAGCTAAATGACATAAAAGAGAAGAAAAAATGTTAAATTTTAAGAAATTCGATTTTTCGGATTTTTGATAATTTTTAATAATTTTTGATTTTTTACCAAAGAGTAGAGACAATTTAATAAGTAAAGTATTTTCCAAAAGCACAAAAATAATTAGGCTAAATCCCATAAAAGAGAAGAAAAAATGTTGAATTTTAAGAAAAACGGATTTTTGAAATTTTTCGAATTTTTGATAATTTTATATTTTTTACCAAAAAGTCGAGACAATTTAATAAGTAAAGTATTTTCCAAAAGCACAAAAATAATGAAGCTAAATCCCGTAAAAGAGAAGAAAAAATGTTGAATTTTAAGAAAAACGGATTTTTGAAATTTTTCGAATTTTTGATATTTTTAGATTTTTTACCAAAGATTCGAGACTATTAAATAAGTAAAGTATTTTCCAAAAGCACAAAAATAATGAAGCTAAATCCCATAAAAGAGAGGAAAAAATGTTGAATTTTAAGAAAAACGGATTTTTGAAATTTTTTAAATTATTCGAATTTTTGATAATTTTAGATTTTTTACCAAAGAGTCGAGACAATTTAATAAGTAAAGTATTTTCCAAGAGCACAAAAATAATGAAGCTAAATCCCATAAAAGAGAGGGAAAAATAATGAATTTTAAGAAATTCGGATTTTTGAATTTTTTCGAATTTTTGATAATTTTAGATTTTTTATCAAAGATTCGAGACTATTAAATAAGTAAAGTATTTTCCAAGAGCACAAAAATAATGAAGCTAAATCCCATAAAAGAGAGGGAAAAATAATGAATTTTAAGAAATTCGGATTTTTGAATTTTTTCGAATTTTTGATAATTTTAGATTTTTTACCAAAGAGTCGAGACAATTTAATAAGTAAAGTATTTTCCAAAAGCACAAAAATAATGAAGCTATATCCTATAAAAGAGAGGAAAAAATGTTGAATTTTAAGAAATTCGGAATTTTGAATTTTTGATAATTTTCGATAATTTTAGATTTTTTACCAAAGAGTCGAGACAATTTAATAAGTAAAGTATTTTCCAAAAGCTCAAAAATAATGAAGATAAATCCCATAAAAGAGAAGAAAAAATGTTGAATTTTAAGAAATTCGATTTTTCGAATTTTTGATAATCTTTAATAATTTTTGATTTTTTACCAAAGAGTCGAGACTATTAAATAAGTAAAGTATTTTCCAAAAGCACAAAAATAATGAAGCTAAATCCCATAAAAGAGAAGAAAAAATGTTGAATTTTAAGAAATTCGGATTTTTGAATTTTTTCGAATTTTTGATATTTTTAGATTTTTTACCAAAGAGTCGAGACTATTAAATAATTAAAGTATTTTCCAAAAGCACAAAAATAATGAAGCTAAATCCCATAAAAGAGAGGGAAAAATGTTGAATTTTAAGAAAATCGGATTTTTGAAATTTTTCGAATTTTTGATAATTTTAGATTTTTTACCAAAGAGTCGAGACAATTTAATAAGTAAAGTATTTTCCAAGAGCCAAAAAATAATGAAGCTAAATCCCATAAAAGAGAGGGAAAAATAATGAATTTTAAGAAATTCGGATTTTTGAATTTTTTCGAATTTTTGATAATTTTAGATTTTTTATCAAAGATTCGAGACTATTAAATAAGTAAAGTATTTTCCAAGAGCACAAAAATAATGAAGCTAAATCCCATAAAAGAGAGGAAGAAATGTTGAATTTTAAGAAATTCGGTTTTTCGAATTTTTTTGAATTTTTGATAATTTTAGATTTTTTACCAAAGGGTGGAGACAATTTAATAAGTAAAGTATTTTCCAAAAGCACAAAAATAATGAAGCTAAATCCCATAAAAGAGAAGAAAAAATGTTGAATTTTAGGAAAATCGGATTTTTGAATTTTTTCGAATTTTTGATATTTTTAGATTTTTTACCAAAGAGTCAAGACTATTAAATAAGTAAAGTATTTTCCAAAAGCACAAAAATAATGAAGCTAAATCCCATAAAAGAGAGGAAAAAATGTTGAATTTTAAGAAAAACGGATTTTTGAAATTTTTTAAATTTTTCGAATTTTTGATAATTTTAGATTTTTTACCAAAGAGTCGAGACAATTTAATAAGTAAAGTATTTTCCAAGAGCACAAAAATAATGAAGCTAAATCCCATAAAAGAGAGGGAAAAATAATGAATTTTAAGAAATTCGGATTTTTGAATTTTTTCGAATTTTTGATAATTTTAGATTTTTTATCAAAGATTCGAGACTATTAAATAAGTAAAGTATTTTCCAAGAGCACAAAAATAATGAAGCTAAATCCCATAAAAGAGAGGAAGAAATGTTGAATTTTAAGAAATTCGGTTTTTCGAATTTTTTTGAATTTTTGATAATTTTAGATTTTTTACCAAAGGGTGGAGACTATTAAATAAGTAAAGTATTTTCCAAAAGCACAAAAATAATGAAGCTAAATCCTATAAAAGAGAGGAAAAAATGTTGAATTTTTTGAAGGAATTTTATTAAAAATTTTGAAAATAATCGAATTTAATTAATATTTTTTAAAATAATTGTATTCTTTCGAGAAATTTTATTAAAATTGTAGTGAAAATAATTGAATTCCCCCGAAACTTTTTTTTATTTATGAAAATAATTGAATTCCTTTGTAGAATTTTATTATTTATGAAAATATTTTAATTCTTGCGGAGTATTTTACAATATTCATAAAAATAATTGAATTGTTCCGAAGGATTTTGTCTGAATTTTTGAAAATAGTTGAATTTTTTGAAGGAATTTTATTAAAAATTTTGAAAATAATCGAATTTAATTAATATTTTTTAAAATAATTGTATTCTTTCGAGAAGTTTTATTAATATTGTAGTGAAAATAGTTGAACTACTCTTAAGAATTTTATTATTTAAGAAAATAATGAATTTATTGCGAAAAATTTTATTAAAATTTAAAAATAAAATAAAATAAATAAATAGAATTTTTATAATTTAAATAATGTGAAAAAGTATCTTACTTGTATTTACTGGGAATGATGCCGCAGGTTTGTCGTCTTCCAGTCTGATCAACAAGCCAAGCTCGCCAATGTCCAGGCGTTCCATTAAACATCGTGTTATCAACATAGAGAATATCATCTTTATTGAACCTCAATTGCAGACTATCGCCAACATCACCGGTTCGATCGAACATTGCCTTCACGTAGAAACTGTCGCCAGGTTTATCCTTCACCTCATTATACCTCTCGGGTATAAATTGTGCAATCAATGTCACTTTATCCGTGGGTCTTGCCAATTCCAAAGCAGCTTGCTCAGCAGTCGCTTGTCTCAAATCAACGCCATTATACTCCAGAATACGATCACCAGTTCTCAGTCCCGATTTTTCCGCCAAACATCCCGGCTGAACGGAATGAACAAATATTCCAACTCCATTGCCGCCAACAAGCGATATTCCCAAATTCGAACATTTTCTCGTTTCAATGAACAAATATCGCGGTTCACTTGGTGGCAATGTTGCCTTTTGCGATTGATCCTCTTGCGTTGGACTTCGAACTGTTGCATTTTGACGTTGCAATGTTGTTGCTGCTTGATTAATTTGTGCTCTTGTCAATGTGCCCGTTGCACTTCTCAATGAATCGAGTGTCGCGGAATTTCTCATATTCTCGAGTGTCGCTGAATTTCTTAATTCTGGTTTTCTAATATTAATGTCAAGCGATGCTGAACTACGAATTTCACGTTCTCTCTCCTGTGTTGTTCTCACGTCAAGTGACGCTGATGCACGTACTTCACGTTCACGATCACGATCTCTGTCGCGATCACTTCGCATTGTATTCAAAGATGACGAACCATCGCGTTCAGGCTCTGATGATTCCATTGGTTCATTGGTGGTTTTTCTTGGTACTTCCGGACTATTGCATGGAGTTGGTGATCCACTTCGACTACCGGCTTCCTCTCCGCCAGCTTCCGATGAACTTGACGAGGCCGAACCGTCTTGTTCGTTGAATTCTTTAAAGAAAAATGTTTTTTTTAGAAACTTTTAATACTTTTATAATTCTATTCAATTTCTGTTCAATTACAAATCGATTTTTGTCCTTCAATTTCTATTTTGTTTTTTAATACTTTTTATTGAATTAACTAAGATAATAATCTGATAATCGTCTTTCATTTATTTATTCTGTCCATAGTTTCAAAGTTATTTAAAAATAAAGGAAAAAACTGTTTATAAATTCTATTTGTCAATTACAAATTTTAATTGAAAATAAATTGAAAATTTTTGTATTAGAATTCGTGGTAATTTCATAGTTTATGAGGCAAACAAAAAAGACACAAAAATTCAGAATTTTCTTATGAATTCTAAAAATTTAATTTTTTCCACTACTTTTATATAAAAGTTATTAAGTTCGAAGTTATAGTTGAAAAATAAATTCCCTAAGTTCAAATTGTTTTTCACTTAAATTACTTAAATCCTCAGAATTAACGCAGCAAAAGAAAGCTTGAAATTAATTAATAAATGTGACGCGTTCCGAAGAAAGAAACAACACAAAAATAATTTTAAAATAGTTTGCTTCGTAATAAGGTAACTTTCTTCGGAACGCATCAAAAATGCAGAGCTCGAACCAATGAAAGTATTAAAAAAACGGACTTTACGGATCACAAATAAAAAATTACGGACCAATTATTTTTAATAATTTTTAAAAAAGTTCTTTGACAATTTTCAAATCCATTTGTTTACAATATTCAATTTTACCAAATTCCAATTATTCGTAAATTCTTCAATTAAATATATATTAGAAAATAAAACCTTCAAATAATATAAAAAAAATTCAATAAAACTTTTTCAAAAAAATTAATTTCAAAATTCAATTATTTCTAAAAATGCACGCTATATTCCTTTAAAATTCAATTAAATTATCTAAAATTTTAACTGAAATTAATTTTTAAATCAATTTTTATCAGAAAATTCTACTAGAATTCAATTATTAAAATAAAAAAAAACAATTTATTTATTGAATGTTTCTTAAAATTCAATTCCCATGAAGAATCGTTATCAACAAATTTTCAAATAATTGAATTCTATCAACGAATTTTTAAAAAAAATTTTAAGGATAATTACATTTTTCGAGAAATTCGATTAAAATTGTATTAAAAATAACTGAAATTCTGCGATGATTATTTTTTAACAATATTTAAGTTTTGCGAAGAATATTACTATACTTATGAAAATAATTGAATTTCTGCAATAATTTGTAACTTTTCCAAAGCTAATTTTTTTTCCGTATTTTTAACTGAAATTCTTCTATAATTGCATTATTTTTAATAATTTTTAAAAAAATTCTTTGAGAATTTTCACATTCATTTGTTTACAATTTAATTTTACAAAATTTCAATTATTCGTAATTTTTTCAATTAAATACATATTAGAACATAAAAACTTCAAATAATTTTAAAAAATCCGCAATTAAACTTTTACAAAAAAAAAAAAAGAATTCCACAGAATTGTTAGTTAAAAAAATTAAAAGTTGAAATTTTCAAAGATTTTAATTTGAAACCTTTTCAAAATTCAATTATTTCTAAAAATTCACCCTTTAATAATTTTAATATTCAATTATAATTAAGGAATTCGATTAAAATTATTTAAAAATAATTGGAATTCTGGAATGAATTATTATTTTCTCTGAAAATAATTGAATTCCTAAAAAGAATTTTATTATTCACGAAAATAATTCAATTGCTGTAAAAATTTTATTATTTATGAAAATAATTGAATGATTGTGAAGAAATTTTTAAAAAATTTGTAAATAATTGAATTCCTGAGAATAATTTTATTATTGATAAAAATAATTGAATTATTGCGAAAATTTTTATTTAAATAATGTTTAAAAAGAATTGAATTTCTGTGAAAAATTTTGTTATATTTGAAAATAATTAAATTCTTCCAAAGAATTTAAAGAAAAACATTTCTTTAAATAATTGATTTTTCCCAAGAATTGAAATTAAATTTTTAAGAATAATTTTACATTTCTCGAGCAATTCTTGTCAAATTGTATGAAAAATAATTAAAATCCTGCGATGAATTTTATTATTTATGAAAATAATTGAATAGTTGCTAAGAATATTATTAAAATTTTCAAAAATAATTGAATTTCTGAGAAGAATTCTATTATTTATGAAAATAATTGAATTGAGAAAATTTTTTATTTTAATGTTTAAAAAGAACTGAATTTCTGTGATAATTTTTGTTATTTTTGAAAAAAAGAAAAGAATTAAAAAAAACAATTTTTTAAATAATTGATTTTTTCCAGGAATTAAAATTAAATTTTTAAAAATAATTACATTTTTTGAGCAATGCTTGTAAAATTGTATTAAAAATAATTGAAATCCTGCGATGAATTTTATTATTTTGGAAAATAATTGAATTGTTGCTAAGAATTTTTTTTTAATTCTCAAAAATAATTGAATTTTTATAATAATTTTGTAAATAATTGGATTCCTGTGAAATTTTTATTAAATTCTATGAAAATAATTAAAGGGTTACGTAGAATATTATTAAATTTTTTAAAAATCATTGAAATTGTGGAAAATTTTTGAAAATAATTGAAAATTTTGTCAAGAATTTTATTTCAATTTTTAAAAATAATTGAATTTCGGAGAAGAATTTAATTATTTCTAAAGATAATTGAAATTTTGACGAGAATTTTTAAAAATAATTGAATTTTTGCGAAGAATTTTATTACTTTAGAAAATAATTAAATTTCTGCAATCATTTGTAATTTTTCTAAAATTCTCCAAATTATATCGTACAATTTACGAACTTTTCCTATTTTCTCAATCAAATTACGGACCTTTTTTCAAAAAAAACTGACTTTTACGGACTTGAAGCAAATTTACGGACCTTTACAGTATTTGCAAACCTAGTTCGAGCCCTGAAAACATTTTTTTTCTTTTTAAATTAGTTGAATAATAAATTAGTTACATCGAAAATATTTATCACTGAAAATACTTAAATCCTCGATATTGACGCAGCAAGAAGAAACATTAGATTAATTATTATATTAATATTGACGACAAACTACAAAATTAAGTAAATTTTTTTCAAAACTAGAAGGTGATCTATATTTTACTACAAAGAATTGAATTCAAATACTAATATATGAAAAAGATTTAAAAAAATACTCGAAGGAATGGAATGAATCATACTTACTCTCAGGACTGTACTGGACCAGCATCGTAATTGAATTACCGCACTGTCTTAGGACATTAGCTGCCAATTGATAAGTAGCACTCCTCATATTAATTCCACAAACTTCGAGTAATTGATCGCCAATTTGTAATCCAACACGTGACGCTAAACTGTGTTCAGAAACAGTTGAGACAAAAACACCACCGCCATCCAAACAGGAAATTTGTATTCCAAGCGGCTCCACGGACTTATCAATATAAACCCTTCTCAATTCACCACTCCCCCCACCTGTACCTGGACTCAACACTTCCACATGAAATGTCGGCATTGGACTCCCTCTCTCCGATGTTCTCTCAATACTTCCCGTTGATAATTTACCAACGCTATTTTTTGGCGTGACACTTGGATTCGATGGTATGCGAAATCGTTGATTCTCCTTTTTCCTCGGGAATGTTCCGCCCTCATAGCCATGCGTGTACGACGACGGAACATCGTATGGACTCAGTGGATGTGCTTTATTACTCTTGTGGCAGTGAAGATCGGCGGATGGTGTGTACAAGTGTTGTCCGTAAACGGGTTGTGGTCCAGGACTGTAGGGTGGTTCAAAACAAAAGGAGCGTGCATCGGGCAGGCCAATGGACTCGCCTGATTGTGCCGAGGGTAATGAGGGTGGTGATGGATATCGCGAGAACAATGAATTTTGCTGATGTGGATGCGGATGTGTGTGCGTGTAAGGTGGATATGAAAAATTACTACCAGCGAGTTGTTGTTGTTGTTGTTGTCGTGGGCCAGTCGATGAACTTCCCATTCCGGTGTAAAGTTGCGAGTGAGCACGATTGTGCATTGAATCCTGAGTGGAATCGGTTGGTAAATATTTTGCCGAGCGTTTCTTCGCGTAATAATCCATATCCTTGCCGGATTTCACTGAGAAATCGATACTCGTCTCGGATGGTGCGAGCGTTGAACCAAGACGACTTTCACCATGATCGAATTCATTACTCAGCTTCTTGTCCTTTGTGTCCTTGAATTGCACTCCAGGTGTGAATGATTTCTGACTGAAGAGCTGACCTGATTTACTGGTATCCGAAATAAAAACAGTATGCCGATTACTGGCATTGGAAAAATTAGTTAGGGGAATGGGATTTGAGATCCGATTGTAATTATAACTCTCGTACTTGGGTGGTTGATTGAGGAGAACGCTGAGCGGTAGTCGTTCCTTGGTTTTACGTGGATGGAGAATTGTTCCGGTGCCGTTTTGCAGAAGGGGTCCACCACGTGCCTTTGGCCATGTGCCGCCGTTCTTTTCCGCTTTTTCCGCGCCACGACGTTTACTGTGCTTTAGCACGCCATTATTCGCCTTCTTGTGATAACTCTCGATCACTGAATCGAGTTCCGCTATTGCGTCCTGCTCCTGCTCGAAAGTACTTGGACTCGAGTTACGGTGTCGCTTCTTCTTGTCCTCTCGATCCTTACTGTGTCGCCTCCCTCGGACGATGTCAATTTTCTCACGAATATTGTCCCAAGCATTGCTGATTCCACTCGCTTTCTCACCGCTTATCGATTTTGACACTTTGTAGACAGTTCGATCGCCGAAATTCGAGGCGATGTAACGACGATCGTAATCGTCGGATGTCGTTTTTAACATTAGACGCTCGTGTTCCGTTTGTGAGCAGCTATTGACCATCTTTTGTTTCTCAGGACTAAAACTGCTGTCTAGGGGCATGGAGTCGGAACTGGTCACTGTCGGCAGGGGAATGCCCTTTAATGTCGTGATTGTCAGAACATCCGAAGAATTGTCGTTTAGAATCGCCATTGCTTCATGAGAGGACGTCACATTATCCATTGGTTTGCTGTTTATCTGCAAAAGTTAAAAATACTCGTAACTAATTTTGAACTAATTAAGAGTTCCAACGATTTTGCTCAATTCAAATTCCCTGATTCTTCCAGGTTCAGGGCTCGAACCAGTAAAAGTATTTAAAAATACGGACAATACGAACAAAAAATGAAAAATTACGAACCAATTACATTTTACTTTAAACTATAAATTAAAATGTTTTATATTAAAGATGGCACAGTGATAAAATCATTTATTCAGGCCTCGGATATTATGACTTTTTCGACTATTTTCGAATAATGAGACTTTTATAGACTTCTATTAAAAAAATTTTCATTTCCATAAATTCACACTTGAAGATTTTTCATTAAATTTTTTTGAGAATTCAGTTATTTTCACAAAATTTGCAAATAAATTTCTTTAAAAGTTGATTTTCAAAAATTGTAATAAAATAATACTTGAAAAAATCAATTATTTTCAATTAAATTTTACAAAATTTCAATTATTCCAAATCTTTTTAATTGTATATTTGGAAATTTAATTAGAAAAAATTTTTCAAAAATAGGTAAATTTTAAAAGATTTGTCTATAATTATTTTCACACTAGAAAAATCAAAATAATTTGCATTTTATACTAAAAATTGTGGTATTTTGTTGCAAAATTTAGAAGATAATACCACAATTTTTAGTATAAAATGCAACTTATTTCGATTTTTATAGTGTGAAAAGTATAACTATAGACAAATCTTTGAAAAGTTATTTTTGAATAATTTTTTTATTTTAATTTTTGAAATATACAATATTAAAAAAATTTTGTAAAATTTAATTGAAAAAAAATAATTTTTTTCAAGTATTTGATTACAATTTTTGAAATTAACTTTTAAAAAATTGTAATTGAAAATTTTTGAAATAATTGAGTTCTCAAAAATTTAAATGAAAAATCGTCTTAAGTGTAAATTTAGAAAAAAATTAAAATTAATGAAAATTAGATTGTAAAAATAAAATAAAATTTTTTTGGAAAAAAATAATTAAAATTCTGCAATGAGTTTTAGTATTTATGAAAATAATTGAATTTCCAAAAAGAATTTTTTATTAACGAGAATAATTGAATCTTGTAAAAATTTTATTATTTATGAAAATAATTGAATTATCGCGAAGAAATTTTATAAAAAAAAATTGTTAAAAATCATTGAATTGAGGAAAATTTCTAAAAATAATTGAAAGTTTGCCAAGAATTTTATTTAAATTCTTGAAAATAATTGAATTTCGAAGGAGAATTTAATTATTTATAATTTCTGCAAAGAATTTTTCTACTTTAAAAATAATTGAATTTCTACAATCATTTGTAACTGCTCCAAAATTCATTTTCTTTTAGGGTTTTTAAGTAAAATTCTTCTATACATTCATTATTTTTAATAATTAATTAATAGTATATTAAAAAATTTAACTAATTGTAGAAGAATTTGAATTATTAAAATTTTTTGCAATAATCTAAGTTCTTTCTAATTAAATTCATTCAAAATTGAAATTTTACAAAATTTAAAATTTTTTTATTTATTTATTTATTAAAACCATTTGAAGTTAATTTATTTATAAAAATTGTAAACGAAACTCTTTTAAAATTGAATTAATTTTGAATTTAAGTAAAATTATATTTCAAGAATAAGCCCAATAACATTAGAAAACAATAATTTCCCAGGATTACGATCAATATTCCCTGACTTTTTCAAGGTTTATAAAATTCCCTGACATTTCCAGGTTTTCCAGATTTCCAGGTTTGCGTGGCAACCCTGTAATTGCAAATGAAAAAAAGTGTAGAGAAAAATTCTTACGTTTAAGACACGATCGCCAACGGCGAGATATCCGTCCTTTGCAGCCAGACTACCGGGAGAGATTTTCGAGATGTAAATTCCAGTTTCGAGAGTGATTCCATGCGGTACGGTACCAACAGGTAATTGCGTGGTTCTCAATGCTCGACGACTCATTCTCCGCCTTCGGACGGTCAACGTCGCTATTCCCACAGTCGATGAACGCAAAGTCTCCAGAACCATTCTCGTCGACACCGACGTGCAATCGACATTATTCACCCTCATTATACAATCATTGACTCGCAATTTCCCGTCCATAATACTTCCCTGTATCACTTGCGCCACATAAACCCCAATATCATTCGGATAATGAGGATTCTCACGTCCTCCAACTAGCACCAAACCCAAATCTCGATCAGAATCCAAACAAAGTCTACCGAGATCATGATGAACAGTCAACACGTCCCATTCATTAACTTCCGTTTCAATTGTACCATCGTGACCATACTGACTCGTTCTCAACGAATGATCACCCGACTCAATCTTCTCCTTAAGATCCTTCAATTCCTTCGACGCTTCATTTCTCTGCTTCTTAATATTATCCGAATCCTTCAATGCACTCGCCAATTCGGAAACAGCTCGATCTCTCTCCTTTCGCAGTCTATCGCAAAGTGTTCTTATTGTTTCACGCTCGAGGACAATTTTGTCACGTTCACTGAATGCCCAATCGCGTCTTCGTTTTGACACCTCTGCCTCTTGTACGGCCTCCTCAAGATCCGCTTGCAGTGTATCGACAAATTTACGAAGTTTATCCAATTCAAGATTGGCTTGATCTAAATTATCCATTCGTTCCTTCTCGCGTTTCGCGTAATCACGAATGCTCGTGTCCTTCTCGACTTCCTTGTTTGCATTGTCTCGCTCACGACTATAGGAATGAAGTTCAAGGCGATTTTTATAATCTCGACTTGCTCCTTCGGAGAAATCGCCAAACTTTTGCCGCAGTTCGTTGCATTCTTTTAAAGCCTCGTCACGATCGTGAAGCGCCGATGAGATCTCTCGTTGTAACGTTTCAATTTGATAGGAAAGTGTCTTCTTCTGAAAACAAGTAATATTTTTAATTACATTCATGGAAAATAGTCGTAAACAATAATCGAAAATATCTAATAAAGAATAATTTATACTATTAAATTATTTTCAATATAAATAAATAAATAGATAAAAATTTGATTTGAATTGCAAATCGAATGAAAATAATAGAATAATCAAAACGAATTAAGAATTAATTTTTAACTAGCAAATGATTCATTTTCTTTAGTGATAAACTGATTCTTACTTCATCAACGAGTTGTTTATTCTGATTTTCCAAATGCGTGATATGCGATGTGGCCTGAGCGAGATCCTCACTAAGTTTTTCCATTTCCTTATGCACCGTATCTCTCTCGCCCATAATCAAACTATATTCTTGTAATGCAGCATTTCTTTCTTCCGTTAAACGTTTCATATCTTTACTCGTCTTCATACGATGAATCATTGCATTATTAATTTCCTTCACCGCTTCCTCATGCTGCTGTTGTACTTTAGCGAGGGCTTCCTGATATTCCTTCTTCTCCCGTAACGCAATATCCCATTGACGAATCGCCGCCGTGCACTGCTGCTTAAATCCATTTCGTTCTCGTACAACAGTATTTCTCTCCTGGCCAACTTCCTCAATTTGTTTCTTCAGTCTTGCAGCCTCTTCTTGTACCAATTCCAACTAAAATTCATATTTAATTTAAATGAGTGAACAAATTTATCAGAATTATTATTATTTATTAAAACATCTTTATATTATTATTAAAAAAAAACTTTATATTTCAGGGTGGTCACAAGTTTCAGTTTATCAATTTTCCTGACATTTCCCTGACAAAATTATTTTTACAGGAAAATATGAATGTTTACGGAAAATGAGTAAAATTTATAAATTTTTATAATTTCTAAAAATTACAATTATAATCCTTATTCCTGAATTCAATTATTTTCTACAATTTTCAACTAAACTTCATCTCTGGATCAATTAATTTAAATAATTTTCCAAAATTTCTTCTAGAATTCAATTATTTAAATACAGAAACTCAATTTTTTATAATAATTGTAACTCTCCATAGTTTTTATTAAATTATTAAATTATTTAGAAAAACTGACTTTATTCAGATTTTTAGTTTTAAAAAAAAAGGAAATATTTTAGAAAAACTGAATTTATTTAGATGTTTAGTGTATAAAACATGAAAATATAAAGTAAATAAAAAATTCTAAAGCGATTTTTTTAGTACTTAAAAAATTGGAACATAATGAAAATTTGACATTGCAAAATGAATCGAAGTTTCTAGAACATGGTTGCCACAAAAAATTAATTTTCTTTTTCCCTGACTTTTCCCTGATTTCAAGACAAAATTTTGACTTTTTCCCTGACCCAAAAGAATATTCTGATTCTCAAATTTAAACCTTTTGAAATTCAATAACTTTTAAGAATATTTTTATAGAATTCGCAAGAATTCAATTATTTTTATAAGTAATACAATTTTTGACATCAATTCAATTATTTAAAAAATATAATAAAATTCGTTGTAAGAATTCAATTATAAAAAATAAAATTTTTCCTGCGATTTAAATTATTTTTAAAACAATTTTAAATGAATTCCTCGAAAAATGTAATTATTTTCAAACATTTTTTGCAAAAATTCAATTACATTTTACAAATAATCAAATTCTTCGCTGAAATTCAAATATTTTTAAAATCTGCTATTTTAATAAAATTTCTCAAAAGAATTTAATTACTTACAAAAAAAAAAAATGTAGATAATAAAAATTCGTTGCAAGAATTTAATTATTTTCATAAATAATAAAATTCTTCAAAGGATTTCAATTATTTACAAAAAAATTTAATAAAATTCATTGCAAGAATTCAATTGTTTTCCTAAATACTAAAATTCTTCACAGGATTTCAATTATTTTTTAAAAATTTAATAAAAGTTCGTTGCTAGACTTCAATTATTTTTATATATAACAAAATTCTTCTCAGGCTTTCAATTATTTTTAATACAATTTTAAGTAAATTCTTCGAAAAAATTTAAAAAACTTTATTAAAAAAAAAATTTTTTTTCAAATTCAATTATTAAATATAATTATTATTGATTATTTTTAATTTTTTATCTGAAATTCATTTTTAAAACAATTTTTATTAGAAAATTCTACGAGAATTTAATTATCTAAATAAAAAAATATATCATTTATTGAACAATTGAATGTTTCTTAAAGTTAAATTCTGATAAAGAATTTTATCAACAAATTTTTAAATAATTGAATTTTTTCGATAAATTTTAATAAAATTTTCAAAAAGAATTACATTTTTCGTGGAATTCGGTTAAAATTGTATTAAAAATAATTGAAATTCTATGATGAGTTTTATTATTCATGACATTAATTGAATCTTTGTAAAAACTTTTATTATTTATGAAAATAATTATATTTTTGCGAAGAAATTTCTAAAATATTTGTAAATAGGTAGTTAAATTTCTGTGAAATTGTTATTATTTATGAAAATAATTGAATTTTAGAGAAGAATTTTATTATTTTTAAAGATAATTAAAGATAAAAGTAATTGAATTCTTCCAAAGAATGTTATTATTTATGAAAATAATTAAATGTTTGCGTAGAATTTTATTAAAATTTATGAAAATAATTAAATTGCGGAGAATAATTTCATTATTACTTCCTCATAGAGGAAGTATTGTAATACCGAAATTTTTCGAGTTCGATTTTTTGACATATCTTTATGTTATTTGACCTCAGGAGTTCAAAAATGACATTTTTAAAAAATGTCATTCCGTATGTGTGTGTGTGTGTGTGTGTGTAAACATCACATTTTTATAAATATCTCGAAATCATGAAGAGCTTTTGGGTTGAATTTTTTTTTTAAATTGTAGATCTCACCTGCGGACATAAAATGAGAGTACTTTCTAATATATTAATAAAGTTTAACTAAAATTTTTTTGGATTTTTAATTTTTCAAAAAAACGTTTTTTGCCCATAACTTTAAAAAAATGTTAGGACACCTATAAATGTTTTTCCATAATTTTGTAGAGTTTTTTTAGACGCATCTATTGAGCCCTAATTGAACATTTTTCGTCCATATTAACCGGAGTTATTAAACTTTTAAAAATCAAAAATTTTGGAAAATAAGACTTTTTTGAAAATTTTGTTGAAAAAAGTAGAAGTAATTTTAAAATTATCGTTATCAACTTGTAGAGCATTAAAAAACGCTTCGATTGACCTATTTTTGAACCTAATTCGATAATAAATTTCGAAATTATTGGTATTTTAAAAACCAAAAATTGTGAAAAATGCCATTTTCTCAACTTTTTTGTTTGAAAATTTTTATTTAACTATTAAATTATTGTAACTATTTTGTAGGATATTTAAAAATACATTGATTGACCCAAAATTCAATCACTTTTACCATATTTATAAAAAGTTATTCATATATTTCTATTATTTTTATCTCTATGAGGAAGTAAAGTGTTCATGAAATGACCACCAAAATTATAAAAAAAATACAACTTGGCAGCGGTTTTTATAAAGGTATGTAATTGAAATTTTGAGGAGAATTTAGAAAATTTTTTAAACATAATTGAATTTCTGCGAAAAATTTTATTACTTTTGAAAATAATTAAATTGTTTTTTTTTCGAATTTTATGGAAATTTATGAAAATAATTGAATTCTTGTGAAGAATATTTTTTAAAAATAATATTCAAAAGAATTTAGTAAATCTGAAGAATTTTGCTATTTATAGAAATAATTGAATTCTTGAGAAGAATTTTTTTTACAGTTTCTAGAAATAATTGAATTCTTTCGACGAATTTTAATAAAATTTTTAAGAATAATGACATTTTTCGAGGAATTCGATTAAAATTGTATTAAAAATAATTGAAATTCTGCAATGAGTTTTACTATTTATGAAAATAATTGAATATAGTGCGAATAAATTTTTAAAAATAAAATTATAATTATGATGACTAACTTCCCTGGATTATTTTCGAAAAATTTTAATAAAATTCTTTTAAAGAATTTAATTATTTTTAATAGAATGTAAAGAAATTTCAATTATTTGTTTATTAAATATCAATTATCCAGAAACAATAGAATTGAAAAAATTCAAAACTGACTTTTGACTGACATTACTGACTTGTGGCCAACCTGATTATTTATTACCAGAAAGATAACAAATATAAAAAATTCAAAATAAAGAGGATAAAGAACATTTTCCATTTTTCTCTCTAATCAAAATTTTAAAAAATGAAGGTAAATAAAAATAGAGCAGGAAAAATAAAATAATAAAAAAAATCGATAAATTATAGAATGAAAAACTATAAATAATTATTATTGCAATTTAGAGCACGAACCTTGTTTACAACGGAGGAATGAGATGATACGAGGTCATCGTATCGTTTTCTCAGGGCATCGTACTCGTCCTTGACGGCCTCATATTTCCGAAGAGCCGATATATAATGTTGATTTATACTATCGCTATTACTTGAATCAGCGACAAGTACTTCCTGATTTTGTAGTCTTAATTCCGAAACTTCTTTCTGTAAGCCCTGGACCTCACGATCGAGACGTTGATTATCATTCATAAGTTCACCGTACTTGCCCCTAAGAGCTGAACTCTCCTGTGAATTTGCTTCCAGTTGATTCATGGCTGCTCTATGCTGTGTTCGATAGTACTCCAATTCCTTCATAGTATGCTCATACCTATATAGATAAAATTGCGTACAATATATTAAACATTACACATTCGATTATTGATTTTTCTTCCAATATATGTGCTCTATTTATACAGCAGCAGAAAATAGAACTGTAAAACGATGGTCAGGAGCAACAAATAAATATTATAAACTAGGATAAGCATTGTTCTCGAGTTTCCAATTCCGAATAAATAGTTCATGTCATGAGAGAATCAATTTTTTAATGAAAAAAAATACTATTTAAAATTAAGAACGAAAAAATAATTCAAATTAAATACTAAAAAAGAAATTTCTTCTTTGAATGATTTTTTTTACTAAAAAAAGAAGAAATTAATTTGCTTTTCTTTTTTTTTAGTATTTAATTTTAAAATATAATTTAAAACAGAAAAATAAAAAAATAAGGCAAAATAATTGAAATACAAAATTAAGAACAATGAAACAAAAAAAAATTCAGTTATTGTTTTAATAAATTAGGAAAATAAAAATGCGAAAAGAAACGAAAAAAATTAACAAACCGTCGAATAGTTTCGTTGTGCTTATGTCTAAGGAGTTGAAGTTGATGCATTGCTTGCTCGCATTGATTCTGTAAACCGTCATAGTCCCGACATTCGAGGCCCCGGACAGGACTTCCGACACCGCCGTAGCCTCCGCTATCCCTCTCTACATGCGTTAAATTAAAAGGAAAAAAAAATCCAGGGAAAACACAAAACAATTATAAATTGTGAAGGAGAAAAAATTAAAACAGTGCAAAGGAAATTTTTTGTTCTCAAAAAAAGAAAAAGAAAATTCAGTTTTCAAATTCTCTCTTAAAGTGAAGGACTCGCGTTTTTATTACCAATAAATTTAAATGTGGCTAAAATCCCTAACGTTTTTAAAAACGAAAAAATATTGGGACTATTTTTTTATTTTTGATTCTAAATCATGTCATTTTTTTTAAGAATTGTGTCTTCAGTAACAAAATTAATTTCTTAGGAATTAATTTACACATAATTAATTAATTTATTTTATTTATTCAAAATTGTTGTTCAAAATTCATTTACACATAAAAATTAGAAATGAAATTTGAAAAAAAATAATTTTTTAACTTTTTGTTTTTAAAAACGTTGCGGACTGCAGCTTCATAAATTTAAAAGTCTAGAAAATAAATATAAATCGTATAATATAACAGGGTTGCCACAAAAAATTAATATTGTTTTTCCCTAATTTCCAGACTTTTTCCCTGACCCTAAAAAATATTCTGATTCACTCTAAAAATTAATTAGATACTCAAAAAAAAAGTTCTATTACATTTATTCACGAATTTTTTCAATTATAAAATTATCCGAAAACATCAATAACATCTTTTTTAAATAAATAATATTTAATCTTTTTTTTTTAATTATTATTTTTTCGTAGGAATTAAGATTTTTAAAAAATTTAACTTTAAAACTTTTGAAATTCAATAACTTCAATTTCCATAAAATTTTTCAAAAAAAAATTAAATTATTTACAAAAATTTTAATAAAATTCTTCACAAGAATTCAATTATTTTTATAAGTAATACAATTTTTTAAATCAATTCGATTATTTAAAAAATGTTATAAAATTCTTTGTAAGAATTCAATTATTATCATAAATAATAAAATTTTTCCCGACGTTTTAAATTATTTTCAAACATTTTTTGCAAAAATTCAATTACATTTTACAAATAATGAAATTCTTCGCTGAAATTCAAATATTTTCAAAATCTACTATTTTAATAAAAATTCTCGAAAGAATTCGATTATTTGAAAAAATGAAATAAAAATTTGTTGCAAGAATTTAATTATTTTTATAAATAATAAAATTCTTCACAGGATTTAAATTATTTAAAAGAAATGTAATAAAATTATTTGTAAGAATTCAATTATTTTCATAAATAATAAAATTTTTCACCGCGGATGTCAATTATTTAAAAAAAATGTAATAAAAATTCATTGCAAGAATTCAAGTATTTTCCTAAATAATAAAATTCCTCACAGGAATTTAAATTGTATTTTTAATACAATTGTAAATTGAAAATTTATTTTTTAATAAAAAAGTAAATTCTTCGAAAAACATAATTAATTTCAAACATTTAATTTGAATTCTTCAAAAGAAATAAATTAACAATTATCAATTATTTTTAATAACTTTTGCAAAAGTTTCTAAAGAATTTTCAAATCTTGTTAGCAGTTCCATTTTACAAAATTTTGATTATTTAGAAATTCTTCAATTAATTATTTAGAAAAATAAAAACTTGAAATAATTTTTTAAAAAAATCCAATTAAACCTTTTCAAAATTCAATTATTTCCAAAAATTCATTCTATAATTTGCTTTTAATATTCAATTATTATCTAAAATTTTAACTGAAATTTATTTTTAAAACAATTTTTATTAGAAAATTCTACGAGAATTTAATTATTTAAATACAAAAATGCAAAAATTATTGAATAAATAAATGTTTCTCAAAATTGAATTTTCATAAAGAATTTTATCAACAAATTTTTAAATAATTAAAGTTTTTCGACGAATTTTAGTAAAATTTTTAAAAATAATTACATTTTTCGAGGAATTTAGTAAAAATTGTATTAAAATTAATTAAAATTCTAATATGAGTTTTATTATTCATGAAAACAATTGAATCTTTGTAAAAAATTTTATTATTTATGAAAATAATTGTATTATTGCGAAGAAATTTATAAAAAATTTGTAAATAGTTTGAATTTCTGTGAAATTTTTATAATTTATGAAAATAATTAAGTTTTAGAGAAGAATCATTATTTTTAAAGATAATTAAAAATTTTTACGAGAATTTAAAAAGAGTTTTGAACATAACTGAATTTCTGCAAACATTTCTATCTTCTTTAAAATTCAATTTTTTAAGTGTTTTTATCTAAAATTCTTCTATAAATCCATGATTTTTAAGAATTAATTAAATGTAATTATATTAAAAAATTAAATAAAACTAATTATGAATCCTGCAAATTTAATTTTTTTCAGTACTTTAATAAAAATCCCTGACTTTTCCCTAATTTTCCTGAATTCCCTGATTCCCCTGACATGTGACAACCCTGAAGAATTATAATGAAAAAAATTAATAAAATTGAAAAGAGAATTTGAAACCCCGAAAAAGAAAATTAAAATTCTGTGCTGTGCAGAATTGTCTAAGATCAAAAAATATAAATATTTACTCAAGGAATTTGCAAGCAATTTTTAATTTTCTGAATCTGGAATTCTTACCCATATTGAGAGCTCCATCTGAAAATAACAAAAAATAAAGTATTAATAATTATGAATTATTTTGAATATTTTAGAAATTTATACACAATTATTGTAAATATTTCAAAGTATTAATAAAGTATTAATAAATTAATTAATAAAATATTTCCAAACATTAAGTTAAAAAAAAAAATTCTTCTCTATTAAATTATGAAATTTATTTAAATAATAAAAATATTCCAAGTTATGTCTAACATTCAAAATATATTTTCACCAATATTATTACTTCAGTTTCGACTGTATTCTCAATATTAGTCGCTGATTATTATCGATAAGATGCAATCGGACATTATTAAAGAAATTGAGAAATTTTATTCCCATCTTAAAAAAATAATTAACTCGTTACAGTGTCTAAAACAATATAATTAGTGAAGTGTTTACTTTCACCAGGAAAGAAATCATGGCTCATGCATGTAAACATCTTGATTTACGATTTTGTTGCATTAGTGAAACTAGAAATTAAGAAATTATAATTTCATTTGAGCAAAAAATTTTCGAATTTCGTGTAAAAACATTAAGAACTTAATTTTTCAACCAAAATTTTTTGCTACAAATTAAAGCAAAATTTACATTTTGCCTGCATGCATTCACCATTACTTTATTTTTCGCTTTTACAAAATTATAAATGGCAAAATTAATTAAGAAAAATTTTACAATTTTGATTAGAGTTTATTAAAAATTGATTCAAATGAAACTATTTTAGAAAATTTGAGTTTATTCAGATTGTTAGTGTATAAAAAATAGTAGAGTATAAAATATAAAAATATAAAGTAAATAAAAAATTCTAAAGCGATTTTTTTTACATAAAAAATTGGTACAAGAAAATGAAAATTTGACATTGCAAAATGAATCCAAACTTCTAGAACAGGGTTGCCACAAAAAATTAATTTTCTTTTTCCCTGAGGGGTCGTTCATAAACTACGTCACACTCCTAGGGGTGGGGGGGGGTGTCAAGCTGTGTAAGAATTCAATTATTATCATAAATATAATAAAATTTTTCCCAGGATTTAAATTATTTTTAATACAATTTTAAATCAATTCCTCGAAAAATGTAATTATTTTCATTCAAACATTTTTTGCAAGAATTCAATTATATTTCATAAATAATGAAATTCTTCGCTGAAATTAAAATATTTTCAAAATCTACTATTTTAATGAAATTTTTCAAAAGAATTCAATTATTTAAATACCTATAGAAATGAAAAAATTATTGAATAAATGAATTTTTTTCAAAATTGAATTCTCATAAAGAATTTTGTCAACAAATTTTTAAATAATCGAATTTTTTCGATGAATTTTAAAAAAATTTTCAAGCAGAATTACATTTTTCAAGGAATTTGGTTAAAATTGTATTACCAATAATTAAAATTCTATAATGAGTTTTATTATTCATGAAAATAATTGAAACTTTGTAAAAACTTTTATTATTTATGAAAATAATTGAATTATTGAGAAAAAATTTATAAAAAATTTGTATGTAGTTGAATTCCTGTGAAATGTTTATTATTTATAAAAATAATTGAATTTTGGAGAAGAATTTTATTATTTTTAAAGATAATTGAAAGTTTGACTAAAATTATTTTAAATTTTTGAACAAAAATTTTGTAAATTTCAATTTTAAATTTAATTTTTGCAAACATTTGTAACTTCTCTCAAATACAATTTTTTTTTCGTGTTTTTAATTAAAATTCTTCTATAAATCCATGATTTTTAATAATTAATTAAATATATATTAAAAAATTAAATAAAACTAATTATGAATCCTGCAAATTTCAATTTTTTTCAGTTCTTTAATCAAAATCCTTGACTTTTCCCTGACCAATTCTACTTTCCCTGACTTTTCCCTGAATTCCTTGACCTGTGGCAACCCTGCAGAACTTTTGTTAAATTTCGCAAAATAAATTTTGTAATGTAAAAGATGAGAAGTTTATAAAAATATAGATCACAAGGATAAAAATGAAAAAAGGTGATCGTGAGCAAACTGATTTTTTTTCTTTTTTGCAAAATAAATCCAGTGAATGGAAAATTCGAAATAGGTAAAATTAGTAGGAAAAAAATAGTATTTTTTTTTGAAAAAAACTCACCACTGCTACCAGCACTGTCCAAGGAAGACGCACCAGAAGCCATAATCCCCGATGAAACTCTACCTCGTCCACTAGTGTAGCAAGATAATCACTAGGGTTCGCCTGAAAAATAGCGATGCGCTGTACTTCACGGAAGAGCGAACCCTTTGTGAATTAATAAAAAGTAGCCTTCACAATGACAATTCATGTATAGATAAATAGGCCTTCGCGATTGTTGTTAGAAATACCTTTTTTTCTCTTTTCAATTATCCATGATATTCATATTTATTGGAAACACCCGTTTATTTAAATGACAATTTATATACAATAGAAATTAAATAATTGCAATATCGTCCCCCACAATGAGAATTCTGTCTTTTTAAAGCAATATTTTTCCATATAAAAACCATCCATCGTCGTAGTGGGTAGGAGGAGAGGCTTATGTTTTCTGAATCGGTCATAGGAAATTAATCTACGTTTTGATGATGTGTCTCCAAAGAATATTTTGGAAAAAACTCCTATTGACACTTATTTCTCTTATTATTAATTCATAATTTTAGGTTAGGTGGAGAATGTACTGAATTTGTTTTCTAATGGAAAACTTTTTAAAAGTCGACAATCAACACTTTGTTTTTAAAAAAGAAATGAGATCAAATAAAGTTTAAAAGACGATTCTCTCTCTCTCTCTCCTGTTGCTCTCATCAGAATTCATTATTTTTATCGTCACATTGAGGAAATTTTGCGTGAAAATTATTTTAACATTAATGCGAAGAAACAATTACCACTAATGACCGCACCATTCTTTATGATTCACAATAATTATTGAAACATTTAACAACATTGAATTGCTCACCTTCTGCACGTCTGACAATTAGCCATTTTCAATTTTCATTAGCTACCAATGCTACCATAGAATATAAACTGCATAAACGCGTTAACACTCTCACGACACGATCGTGAGTTATCGACCGAGGGAAGAAGACATTATCTAAATATGGTACACTAGAAAATTCCGACCTGGAACAAACATTCAATTTCGATATTAATTTTCTTCCTCGATTTCCTCAATTTTCAATATAAATCAATATAAATAATTAATTATTGTTGACAATAAAAAATAAAATATATAACTACTTGTCAGGAAGTTTCAAGTTATTGATTGCTTTTTGGTTTCCTAACTTTAAAAAAAAATTTTTTTTTTTAAATATTTTCAATTTTAAAATAGTATTGAAAATCATTGAATTCTTGCAAAGAATTTTATCAAAAAATTTTTAAATAATTGAATTCCTTCAAAGAATTATTTTTTTTATTTATAAAAATAATTAAATTCTCGGGAAGAATTTTATTAAAATTTTTAAAAATCGTAATTAAATTTCTTTTGATGAATTTCTTTAAACTTTTTTTAAATAATTGGAGTTTCTTTAATAATTTCAGTTGAAAATTGTTAAAGCAATTGAATTTTATGAAGAAAAATTTAATTATTACTTGGATTGAAAATAGTTGAATTCCTGAGAAGAATTCTATTATTTATTGAATTCTTCCGAGAAATTCTATTAAAATTGTTTTGAAAAGAATTAAATTTCAGCAAACGATTTTACTATTTATAAAAATAATTGAATTCTTGCGAAGAATTTTACTATTTATAAAAATAATTGAATTTTTGCGAATAATTTTATTACTTATAAAAGAATAAATTGAATTGTTTCGAAGGATTTATTAAAATTTTTAAAAATAATTGAATTCGTTTAAAAAATTTGATAACGAATTAAGAAAAAAATTGAATTCTTTAGTGAAATGTTATTGAAATTAATTGAATTTTTGCAAGAATTTTACTATTTAAAAAAATAATTGAATTCTTCCGGAAAATTTATTAAAATTTTAGAAAATAATTAAATTCGTTTGAAAAATTTTATAATGAATTAAGAAAAAAATTAAATTCTTTCGTGATATAATTAAATTTTTACAAAGATTTTACTAGGTATTAAAAAAAATAATTGAATTATTTTGAAGAATTATTAAAATTTTAGAAAATAATTGAATTTTTGCGAAAAATTTGATAACAAATTAAGGGAAAAATTGAAATTTCGTGAAATTTTTTTTTAAATAATTGAATTTTTGCAAAGATTTTACTATATAAAAAAATAATTGAATTCTTCCGGAAAATTTATTAAAATTTTAGTAAATAATTGAATTTTATGGAAATATTTAAAAATATTATAATTCTTTCGAGAAATTCTATTCAAGTTTTTTTGAAAAGAATTGAATTTCTGCAAAGGATTTTACTATTTATAAAAATAATTGAATTTTTGCGAAGAATTTTATTATTTATAAAAATAATTGAAATGTTCCGAAGAATCTATTAAAATTTTAGGAAATAATTGAATTTCATGTAAATATTTGAAAATAATTAAATTCTTTCGAGAAATTCTGTTAAAATTTTTTTGAAAAGAATTAAATTCTTTTGAGAAATTCAATTAAAGTTGTTTCAAGCGTAATTGAATTTATGTCAAGAATTTTATTATTTTTTGAAAATAACATTGAATTCTTTCAATTTTTTTTCGACATAATTATATTTAAATTGAATTAAAAATATTTGAATTCCTTAAAAAAATTTTAGTATTTATAAAATTAGTTGAATTGTTTCAAAGAATTTATTAAAATTTTAGGAAATAATTAAATTTCATGTAAATATTTAAAAATAATTAAATTTTTTCGAGGAATTCTGTTAAAATTTTTTCGAAAAGAATTAAATTCCTACAAAAACTGTTACTATTAGTTAAAATTTAAGTAAATAATTGAATATTTAAAGCGGTATAACAGAAATTTTAGAAATAAATTAAATTTTAAAAGGTTTTTAAATTAAATTCCTTGAAAATTTAAGAGAAGCAAAAGTATAAAAATATTCAAATTTGTGTTATTTTAAAAAAATTATTAAATTATTTTTTCTTTAAAAATTCTTAAAGTTTTAAATAATTTAATTTAAAACTTCTAAAATATTATTGAATTTTTGAATAATTACAGTTGCAATTTTTAGAAGTACATAATTAAATTTCATGAGGTTTTTCATTGAAATTATTTAAAATTTTAATTCCTGTCGAAAAATAAATAAGAATAAGTTTTTAAATTTTTGTTTAACAAAAAGTATTGAAGTTATTGAATAATTTAATTCAGAAATTCCGAAAAATTGTTTCTTGAAAAAATGTAATTAAAATTTTCTAAAAATAATTGTATTTCCGAAAATAATTTTTAAAAAAATGGAAACAATTGAAAATTTTGTCAAATTTCATTTCATTGAAATAAGTTGAATATTTTAATGAATTTTATTTGTTTACTTTTAAAAATTATTTTGAAATATAATCGCATTTTTTAAAAATTCTAATTCAAAATTTGAAAAATAATTGAATTTTAAAAAAATTTAGAATAAACTTATTACCAGGATGGTTCGAGTGCTACTCGAGTACCACTGGAAAGTTCAATATTTATTTAATCGAAAATATTTTACGTTCAAGTTGCTGATAGAAATATCTTGGCGATTTCTATACGAGTTGTTCAAATAATTAAATTTAAAGAAAAAGTGTTAGAAAAATTATATTTTTTAAAAAATGAAGAATTTTTATTAAATTTAAAAAGCAAAACTTTTAAAGTAACAACGGCAACGAAAATTTCATGCGCGCTTGCGTGAGTGTTATTTTTTCAAGTTAATAATAATTTCCTTTGTTATTTTCTATACGTACAATGAAAATTATTAATTAGCAACTTGAAAAAGTAGTATTTTAATTTTTAATCTTATGAAAATTTTTAAAAGTCGATTTTACAAATTTCCCCTGCGACTAATTTCCAAATTAGTGTCACAAAATAAATGCTAATTAGAATATTTATAGAAGATTTAGAATATTATAGAGACGAAATAATAGAGATATTCCTGAATAATTAATAATATTCTTTCCCCAAAATAGGGGAAAATATGGGATAATTGTCAGTGGGAGGAAAATGATATTAAATCCCTTAAACAGTATTAAAAATGTGGAGAGAAGCGCGCGCGCTGCTCTATCGACCAGTTTCATCGTCCCGCCAGGAACGAATTTTGCGACATACAATAATTATTGTCGTCTAACTGACGGCTACGCCTTTATCTACAACAATATTCTAATTTTTTTTTTTTTTTTGAATAAAAAGAAACCCCTATATTATTCTTCAATGAGAAGTGAAATTCCCCTGACAATCGTCACATAAAATATCTAAAGAAATAAATAATTCAAATCTGAAATACGAGTCAATATTCTCATAGAGGGAAATTTTCGAGAATTCTAAAAAAAAAATATTTTAGAATCAAAAATGAAAGAAATTTATAATGAAAATTCATAATAACCAAGGAAAATATTCGAAAATGGTGAGATTAAAATTTCCAGAATTTAGGTAAGTGGTTGTCAAAATTAAAAAAATTTTGATGAGGACAAATTTTTTTTTTCTTCAACTAGTGCTTACTCTCCAAAAACATATTGATTAAATTCTAAACTGTTGATTGCGTTCTTTTCGTGTTACATTTAAAAATTTTATTTATTATCAGTTTTGTTCATTATTTATAATTAGCTTTGCTTATTTATTTTTAATAATAATTATTTTTAATAATAATTATTTTTAATAATAATTATTTTAAAAAAATATCTAATTCGCAAAAAATTTATAAATTTAAAAACAGTTTCAACAAAACAGCAAAAAAAGTAATTACACTACATGGTTATCGTAGGAAAGATAAAAATAATTGTCACTATTTTTGCTACCATCGATAATATTTGCAAACTTTATAACAAATAATAATAAAGAATTTAAAAATTGTTTTCCTCTTTTAAAAATCTTTTTTTCGCCTGTAAAATATTTGATAAATTCTATTATTTATTATTTTAATTTTAAAGGCACAAAAAATTTTTCTTTCTTTCATTCTCTCTATACAGATATATTTTTTCGTATTAAAAATATATCGCGATAACTTGTTCCGCCCGTTTTTGATAAAATTTGTTGCTTTCGATTCTAGTAAACGAAAAGAAAATGTTTGTCCTTAATTCGGTTAAATTCAGTTTCAAAAGATTTCTCTAGCAATTTCCAACTTTTTAATTGTTGCAAAAATACTTTACAGAGAGAAAATAAAAAATTCTCAAACTGTCTACCACAGGGACTATTTTCAATGGGGCGAAAAAGATTTACTTTCGAGGTACGTTAAACACGAGAAGAACTTTTTTAAATATTATTATTTTTTTTATATATAATTATAGATTTTGTTAATTCATTGTAATGAAAAGTATTTTTCAATTTTAGAATATCACTTAGTCAATGCGAGTGATTCTCAGAATGATCATCAAATGAAGAGACAGATAAAAAAACTTGGGTGCCTAAAGAAATGGCTCATAGTGATAATTATATTCATCTTAGGATATTTAATTGCAATTAATAGTATTTCATTCCGACAGTTTCGACTCGAATCGTACTTAAATAATTTATCTCAAGGTAATGTAATTCTTTTTAATTACACCAAAGAAAAAATTAATAAGCGATACTTTTTTACAATTTGAATTAAGACAAAAATTTTTTTTCTCCTTCACAGGAACTGATGTTGAATCACGGCCTCATTTAGTAGTAATTAATAATTCTGGTTACCTAGTACAAAAGAAAGGATGTCGAATTCCATCAATGGATCCTCATGATCCGGCAATTAAGAAATATATAGAAATTGCTAAGCCTATAAAATGCAATAAAGAAGATTATTTATCGCTTATAGAATCAAACAATACTGCAATTTTTGTTAATAATGAATCAAAAGAGCGTTTCTATAATGAGACTGAAATCGCCGATTGTTGTTGGCAGGCGTTTTGGCGAACCAAGAACGAGGATAATTCTTACACGTGAGACACAATTTTTTTTAACTTTAAAATATTATTTCATATTACAGGCTTTGTACTTATCTACTAAAATCTACTATTTACTATTTTTTTTACGATTTGCTACTATTTGGAAACTTTTTTTTTTAGAAGAAAATTCTCGAAAATTTTAATAAAATTATTAGAAACAATTCAAAAAATCTATATCTTCTTCTATATATTAAAAATCGTTGTATTCCGGAAATCTGTTCGCAGTTTGAAGTTAATTATTTATAAAAAATATTTTAATTTTTGCTTTAATTTTACTTCGACAGGATTTCTTGACAAGAATATGTTTTAAATTTTTTAAAATGAATCTACTAATGAAAAAAATTGAAATCTTTCAAAGAATTATATTTTTTATAAAGATAATTGAATTTTATAAAAAGAATTTTATTTAAATTTTTGAAAATTATTGAAATCCTCGAAAGAATTTTATTATTTGAGATAATAATTGAAATCTTCAAAAGAATTTTATTTTTTATGAAGACAATTGAATTTTTAAGAAGAATTTTATTAAAATTTTTAAAAATAATTATCATTCTCAGAAAAATTTTATTATTTAAGAAAATAATTGAAAGCTTCGAAACAATTTTTCTTTTTCTAATGATAATTGAATTTTTAGGAAGAATTTTATTAAAATTTTTGAAAATATTTGAATTCTTTTGGCAAATTTTATAACGAATTAAGAAAAAATTGAATTCTTTCTTGAAATTTTATTGATAACAATTGAATTTTTAAAAAGAATTTCATTAAAATTTTTGAAATAAATTGAATTGTTTTGAAGAATTTTTAAAAAGAATTTCATTAAAATTTTTGAAATAAATTGAATTGCTTTGAAGAATTTTTAAAAATTGTATTAAAAATAATTGAATTTATCAAAGAATTTTTTCAACTTTTTAAAATAATCGTGTCTTTTAATAGTTATAATGAAATATTTGATTATTGAACGTTATTAAAAATTGTATTGAAAATAATTGAATTCCTGAGTAGAATTTTATTATTTATAAAAAAATAATTTAATTCTTGAAATGAATTTTATTATTTATAAAAAAATAATTTAATTCTTGAAATGAATTTTATTACTTATAAGAATAATTGCATTGTTTCAAAGAATTTATTAAAATTTTAGAAAATAATTGAATTCGTTTCAAAAATGTTATAAAAATTAAGAAAAAAATTGAATTTTTGCAAAGATTATACTATTAAAAAAATAATTGAATTGTTTTGAAGGATTATTAAAATTTTAGAAACTAATTGAATTTTTTTCAAAAAATATTATAGTATTTATAAAAAATAGTTGAATATTGTTTCAAAGGATTTATTACAATTTTAGAAAATAATTTAATTCTTTCGTGAAATTTTATTATAAAATTTAAAACAAAATTGAATTTTCATTAAATTTTATCAATATTGTATTAAAAATAATTAAATTTTTAAAAAGAATTTTACAATTTATAAAAATAATTGCCTTGTTTCGAAAGATTTGTTAAAATTTTATATATTTAATAATTTAATTTGTTTGAAAAATTTTATAATCAATTAAGAAAAAAATTTAATTCTTTCGTGAAATTTTATTGAAAATAATTGAATTTTTGCAAAAAATTTTACTATTTACAAAAATAATTGAATTGGTACGAAGAATTGATTAAAATTTTAGAAAATAATTGAATTTGTTTCAAAAATTTTATAACAAATTAAGGAAAAAATTGAATTTTTGCAAAGATTTTACTATTTAAAAAAATAAGTAATTGAATTATTTTGAAGGATTATTAAAATTTTAGAAAATAATTGAATTTTTACAAAAAATTTGATAACAAATTAAGAAAAAAATTGAAATTTCGTGAAATTTTTTTTTAGAATAATTGAATTTTTGCAAAGATTTTACTATTTAAAAAAATAATTGAATTGTCATGAAGTTTTATCAAAATTCAAAATTGTTTTTAAACTAATTGAATTTTTGCAAAGAATTTTACTATTTATATAAATAATTGAATTCTTTCAATTTTTTCGCCGAAAATATTTAAAATATAGAATTTTTTAAAATATTTTGAGAATAATTGAATTATTTTTAGAGAATTTCAAATTCTTGTTGAAATTGAATTTTATCGAAATTTTTGAAAATAATTAAATTCTTTCGTGCAATTTAATTAAATTAAATTAGATTAAAAATAATTTAATTCTTGCTAAGAATTTTACTATTTATATAAATAGTTGAATTGTTTCGAAGGATTTATTAAAATTTTAGAAAATAATTGATTTCGTTCAAAAAATTTTATTATAAATTAAGAAAAAATTGAATTTTTTCGTGAAATTTTATTAAATATTTAAAACAAAATTGAATTTTCATTAAATTTTATTAAAATTGTGTTAAAAATAATAGAATTGTTTCGAAGAACTTATTAAAATTATGGAAAATAATAAAATTGAATTCGTTAGAAAAATTTCATAACGAATTAAGAAAAAAATTGAATTCTTTCGTAAAATTTTACTGTAGATAATTAAATTTATGCAAAGATTTTACTATTTAAAAAATAATTGAATTGTTTAGATGAATGTTATTATTTACAAAAATAATTGAATTCTTGCAAAGAATCATTTAAAAATTTTTGAAAATATAAACAATAATAATTAATTAACGAGTAAGAAGCCTGATACTATTTTAAAATAATCATTTGAATGGAATTTGTGATAATTTAATTCTAATAATTTTTTTAATTAATTTGTGTTTCAGACATGAAATGCAGTGTCGTAAATTTGAAAATTCAGTGAACATTTCGGAAGAATTCATTCAAGTCCAATGCTCAAGAAATAATAAGACTATTTATAGAGACTTTCACGCATTTCTGCCTCGAAAACCCGATGTTGAGGCACGAATTGAAAAGGCAAAAAAATCCGAAAAACCTCATCTCAGTCTATTAATTGTAGGAATAGATTCTGTCTCGAGACTCAATTTTCATCGTATGATGCCAAACGCGGTGAAAGCTCTTCGCGATCTCGGCGCTGTGGAAATGCTTGGTTACAATAAAGTTGCGGAAAATACTTATCCAAACGTAATACCAACACTGACAGGTCTCTCTAGTGAGGAGGTGCAAAAAACCTGTTGGAAATCAGTGAAGAGTCCCTTCGATCCTTGTCCATTTATATGGAAGAATTTCAGTTCAGCCGGTTATCGTACAATATTCGGCGAAGACGCCTGTGACATTTCGACATTTAATTACCTGAAACCAGGATTTCGCTCTCAACCAACAGACTATTATCTCCGACCCTATTGCATCGCTGCCGAGAAGGAAATTGGAAATCACCACAAAGTTAATACAAATCTCTGTCTTGGGGCGAGAAAAAATTTCCAAGTTCTTCTTCAGTATTCATATAAAACAGCTCTTGAATTTAAGAACGATCCATATTTTGCATTCTTCTGGCAAACGAGTCTCACTCACGACTATCTGGAAAATGCCCAATTAGGCGATGAATCATACAGTGAATTTATCATAAATCTAAAGAAAAATAATCTCCTCGAGAATACGGCATTAATCATAATGAGTGATCATGGCTTAAGATGGGGTTCATTTCGTCAGACCTATCAAGGACGAGTCGAGGACAGTCTACCATTTGTTTTTCTCGTCATACCCGATTGGTGGAAGGAAAAATTTCCCGGTCCCTGGGTGAATTTACGAAGAAATACCAAGAGTCTAACGACAGCTTACGATTTACACGAAACATTAATGGATCTCCTCAATCCCCAACAATTGAACGAAGAAACAATGCGACAAAGAGGTAAATATGTTTTAAAAAAAGAAACAAGAGGTATTAGTTGGTTTCTTCCGATTCCCGATTATCGAACATGTTCAATGGCGGGAATTCCCGAACATTGGTGCATGTGTCATGGTAATAAGAATGTTTCTCTAATTGATCCAAATGTACAGAGTAGCGCTAAATTTATAGTTGACGAATTAAATCGAATGCTTGGTAAATTTCCCCAGTGTGCTAAATTGAAATTAAAACGATTGACTGAAGCGACAATGTTGTCAAAAGAAGAGAAGAAAATTAGTAAAAAGAAGAAGAAGAAAAATGAAACATCAGCGCCTTGGTTTGATTTCACGATAACATTTGAAACGGAGCCGGGCAATGCAATTTTTGAAGGATCCGTTAGATATAGAAATAAGAGTGAAAAAATAGAATTAACCGGAACTATCAGCAGATTAAATGCCTATGGGAAGCAGAGTGCCTGCATTGACGATTTCAACATGCGTTTATACTGTTATTGTATTTAGAGACGCATGTACATATCTAGGGAGAACACATGTGATATTTTATAGCAATGGGAATAAAATTCATTATATATTGTTGAATAATGCTTATTTTTTATTATTTAAATAATTTAAGATTCTAATCTAAAGATTAAAGTTGCTTTTTTCAATCCCCAGAACAGATAAACTAGTTTCACTCGAGAAAAGTAATTGCAGGCATCACAGTACTTTTTTTCCTCAAAAAAGATGAAAAGGAGAATTTTTTTCCTCAAAAAGGGGACAAAAATTTATTTGTTTATATAATTCAAATTTTTATATAGCTTTTAGAAAATTGTTTAAAACTGATTCGTTTTTAATCATAGTTGCCACAAAAATTTAATTTTGTTTTTCCCTTGACTTTTCCCTGATTTCTAGACAAAATTTTGATTTTTTCCCTAAAGAATATTCTGCGATTTACTCTAAAAATGATAAAATAATTAAAAACAAATGTTCTATTACATTTATTTACGAATTTCTTTAACTGTAAAATTATTCGAAACAGCAAAAACTACTTTTTAAAAAAAATATTTAATCATTATTGTTTTTCCATAGGAATTAAGATTTTTTAAATTCAAATCTTTTTCAAATTCAACAATTTATGAGAATATTATTATAAAACATGACCGAGTGATAAGATCATTACTTTCTACTATAAAAAATATTTTTACTGTAACTTTTTCAAAATTATTTTCATCATTTCAATTCAATTATTATTTTCTAGAATTTTTAACTAAAATTCTTCTTTAAATCAATTATTTACAATAATTTTTTTTAAAAATTCTGAGAATTTTCAAATGTATTTTTTTACAATTCAATTTTACGAAATTTCATCGATCATTCAGAAATTCTTCAATTACATATATTTATATTTGAAAATAAAAACATCGAATAATTTCAATTAATCTTTTTGAAAAAAAATTAATTCTACAGAAATGTTTGTTAAAAATATGAAAAATTCAGATTTTCATAATTTCAAATTTGAAACTTTTTCAAAATTAAATTATTTTTAAAAATTCACGCTTTAATGCTTTTAATATTCAATTAAGTAAAATTTTAAATGAAATTTACTTAAACCAATTTCTTTTAGAAAATTCTAGGAGAATTCAATTATTTAAATACAAAAATAAATAATTTATATTGAATAATTGAATGTTTCTGCGATGAGTTCGATTACTTATGAAAATAATGGAATCATTGCGAAGAAACGTAGAAAAACTTTTGTAAATAATAGAATTCCTGTGAAATTATTTTATTATTTATGAAAATAATTAAACGTTTGCGTAGAATTGTAATAAAATTTTTTTTAAATAATTGAATTCTTTTGGAAAATTTTATTAAAATAATAGATATTGAATATCATTGAATTTAGGACAAATTTTGCAAAAAATTGAAATTTTGACAAGAATTTTATTAAATTTTTTGAAAGTAATTGAATTTTGAAGAAGAATTGAAATTTTGACGAGAATTTCTTTAAATTTTTTAATATAATTAAATTTTTGCGAAGAATTTTATTACTTTTGAAAATAATTAAATTCCTGCAAAGAGTTTTACTATTTACAAAAATAATTGAATTGTTTCCAAGAATTTATTAAAATTTTAGAAAATAATTGAATTTTTTAGAAAAATATTATTAAAAATTGTTTAAAACTGGAATTCTTTCAAAACATTTTATTAAAATTGTATGAAAAAACTATTTGAATTTTTGCAAACAATTTTACTATTTATAAATATAACTGAACTTTTTTTGAAGAATTTATTAAAATTTTAGATAATAATTGAATTCTATTGAAATTTTTTATAACGAATTAATAAAAAAATTGAATTGTTTTGAATATAATTGAATTTTTGCAAAGAATTTTACTATTTAAATAAAATAAATAAAATTGAATTGTTTCGAAGGATTTATTAAAATTTTAGAAAATAATTGTTTTCGTTCGAGAAATTTTATTAAAATTTTGTTTAAAAATAATTCAATTTTTGCAAAAAATTGTACTATTTATAAAAATAATTGAATGCTTATGAAGAATCTTATTATTTATGAAAATACTGAATTCTTTGCGAAGAAATTTATAAAAAATTTGTAAATAATAGAATTCCTGTGAAATTATTTTATTATTTATGGAAATAATTAAACGTTCGCGTAGAATTTTAATAAAAAATTTTTTAAATAGGTAATTGAATTCTTTTGGAAAATTTTATTAAAATATTAGATATTGAATATCATTGAATTTAGGAAAATTTTTGCAAATAATTGAAATTTTGCCAAGAATTTTATTAAAATTGTTGAAAATAATTGAATTTCGAAAAAGAATTTTATTATTTATAAAGAGAATTGAAATTTTGACGAGAATTTCTTTAAATTTTTGAATATAATTGAATTTCTGTGAAGAATTTTATTACTTTTTAAAATAGTTGAATTTTTGCAATCATTTGAAACTTCTCCAAAATTTAAATTTTTTTTGTGCTCTTAACTAAAATTCCTCGTTAATTTCTTTATTTTAAATAATTAATTAAATAAATAAATATATATTGGTAGAAACATACCAAATGAAGAACATTTTCCTCAAAGGCGATTTTTCCTTCTGCTCCTCCATTTCCTTCTGAATTCAAACGCACATCCCTTGCAAAAATTGAAAGAGTTGATATTTTTTTTGCATTTTTTGCTTCTGATCCTTTACTTCCTTCTGAATGTAAACACATCCTCAGAAAAAATTGATAGCAGTCCAGTAAATAAATAAATCTTCTAAAAAATATCCAGTAAATCCTCTAAAATGTTGTTCTGAAAAAGAATTAATAGTTACTATAATATAAAACAAAACTAGCAAAACTGTGAAATTTACGTTACCGTTTTTATTTTAAAAGATCTGCTTTTTGAACTTCAATGCAAATTCTTTTTTTTTTTTAATAATTTTTCTAACAGTTTTTCTTTAAATTTAATTATTTGAACAACTCGTTTAGAAATCGCCAAGATATTTCTAACAGCAACTTGAATGTAAGATATTTTTGCGATTAAATAATTGAACTTTCCAGTGGTAATCGAGTATCACTGGAACTATCCTGGTAATCAGTTTACATATTCTAATTTTTTTTTAAATTCACACTTATTATAATTGTCACTTATAACTTCACTTGAGGACAGATTATATCAATTATTATAATAAATAATAAATAATAATTACAATGAAAAAATATTTAACCTGTTAACTACTTAAAAAACAATAGAAGAAAATAATATTCGTCACCCCGGCATCCTGTGGACAGAGAGATCGCGTCGTAACTTGCAGAGAAAAAAGTGAAAATCCATCAAGTGAATCCAAAACTGCATCTGACGAAAAAACGACTTTTTAATTTACGAAATTTTCAATTCTCCCATTAAAATTAGGTAATTATACCGATAGAATCGTAGGTTTTAAAGGAAAAACCGTTGGAGAAAAATAGCTCTAAAAAAGATCGGTTACGACGGTTACGACTATATGCGCGAAGTAAGTGGCGCGTCATACGTCGTGCAGTATTGCCAACATTTCGAAAAATGTAAATAAACAAATGGCGCCATTCTTCAAATGCTCTTTACTGCAATTTTATTAACTTTTAAAAATAAAAATAATAAAGTTACTAAATCTTTGTATTGTAATAAAGTAAATTTTCTCACTTTTATTGTTTTTAAACTAATAAATATTTCGTAAATTCCATATCACGTCACGAAGTAAAATTTAAATTACGCCCTTTTGCGCACGCGCAATACTTTGAATTTCCGCTCTTTAAATTTTGTTCAACACCTAACCTAACTTTTTCTCAAAGTAACAAAAATACAATAATCACAATAATTTATTGTTTGCAACTAAAGAAAACAATATTAACTTTAATTAATTCAGTCTAAATTGATTCCAAATGATTCTGATTGATCAACAAACGTAAATTCATAAACCTTTTCGAAGAAATACTTACAAACGAATTTGACAATTTCGGTATGATAAAAGCGTGATGACTGCAGGACATAAATTAAAAATTATGTAAATTATACATTAGAATGCAATAATTTCAAATGTTTCAAATGGAAGTAAAATATGAGAATCAAAGGCATATTGCAAGTGCAAATTAATAGGTAAATCAGATAATGGATTAAAATATAGATTTAAACAAGTAAACATACCGGCATCGTGTGTAAATATGGGGACTTGCGTCGTCACTTTTCAAGAAGAACCAGAAGAACGAATTTAGAAGAATCATGTAAAACCACAACTGCATTTGTAGAAAATAAGTCTATTTTTATAAAATTTGTAAACTTTCTGTTAAAATTAAGTAATATATGTCAATATAAACTTACTTTCTGAAGGAAAAACAGAGAGAAAAACGGGAGAACAACAATCGGTGAACAATCAGTTACAAGATGCGCGAAGCAAGTGACGCGTCGTTTACTTCCTGCCAGTGTTGCCAATATTCCAAAAACAAAAATGAATATGGCGCCGTTTTTCAAATTTGTCTTCATTGCTCAATTTTTATTTTCACTTTTAAAATTATTTTATTATTAATAAATTATTTTCAATTACAAAAATAATATTAGTAACTAGAAAATGTTACGCGCGGAACGAGATATTCAATTTATTATTGTTATGCAAATTACAAAATTTTTTATTTTCAAATAAAAATTTTTTAAATAATTTCATAATCAAAATTTAAAAAATTTACTTATTAAGTACAAAATTAATAATAATTAATAATTAATAATAATAATTAATAATAAATTAATAAATTATTAATAATTAATAATAATTAATATTAATAATTAATAATTTTCAAAAATTTTAATACAATTTAACCAAATAATTCAATTATTTTCTAAAATTTTAATGAATCCTTCTAAACAATTCAATTACTTTTTTAAATCGTAAAATCTTTACACAAATTCAATTATTTTCGAAACAATTTTAATTGAATTCCTCGGAAGAATTCAATTTTTAACACATTTCGGAAAAATTAAATTTTTTTACCTATGTTTTAATAAATCCTTCGAAAAAATCCAATTATTTTTATAAATAGTAAAATTCTTCGCAAGAATTCAATTAATTTTATAAATAGTCAAATTCTTTGCAGGAATTCAATTATTTTCAAAAAAATTTTAATTGAATTTCTCGGATGATTTCAAATATTTTTAAATATTTCCATAAATTTCAATTATTTCCTAAAATTTTAATAAATTCTTCGAAACAATTCAACTATTTTTATAAATACTAAAATTCTTCGCAATAATTCAATTATTTTTATAAATAGTAAAATTCTTTGCAGAAATTCAATTCTTTTCAAAACAATTTTAATAGAATTCTTCGAAAGAATTAAAATTTTTTAATATTAACATAAAATTCATTTATCTTCTAAAATTTTAATAAATTCTTCAGAACAATTCAATTATTTTTATAAATAGTAAAATTCTTCGCAAGAATTCAATTATTTTCAATATAATTTTAATAAAATTCTTCTTCATAAAATTCAATTGCTTTCAAAATTTTCAATTAAAATTATTAAAGAAACTCCATTAGTTTAAAAAAAAATGCAAAGCAATTCTTCAAAAGAATTCAATTAGGATTTTTAAAAATTTTAATAAAATTCTTCGCGAGAATTCAGCTTTATTTTTCTAAATAACAAAATTCTTTGAAGGAATTCTATTATTATTAAATTTTTTTGATAAAATTCTTTGCAACAATTTGATGATTTTCAATACATTAATTCTAAAATTAAAAATATTTAAAAAGAAAAATTATAAAAAATAGTAACAAAATAGTAATAATAATAATTAATATAATAATAATAATATTAATATAATAATAATAATTAGTATAATAATAAAAATAGTAGCTTAGTAAAAACTAATTATAAAAAGTGAAATAATCAAATATTCCGAAAGAATGAAAAAATATTTGCATAACTGAATTTTATTGTCGAATAACAATTGCTAAAAGATAGATTATAGTTACAGTGTTTGATAATAATAGCAATGATAATATACTTTCAATACATATCAAGAAAAAGATTTGATACTTGGACCTTGTAGAATACACAAATTTTGTCTTTTTCTTTTAAATTCAAAGACGAAATTGACAGTATAATAAATGCTTTAAATTTCATTGTTTAAAAAAACTGCTTATCCGATTATAATTAAATTCATTGAATGTAAATTTAATTAAGATCTATGAATATCTCAGGAATGAAAAATTTACAATCTTTTGTTTTTTTTCTCTTCTCGTGTTTTGCAACGATTCTCTTAACTTAATTCTTTCTTATTACATTGCACGATTTGATCTTTTATACACGCACATTTTAAATTATCCTAGGCAGGTGAATTCTTTCTTTCTTTCTTTTTTTTTTTTTTTGATAAAAAATATTCTCTTAAAAACTAGAAATGGAATATTCACGCGACAGCGCGTGCTTCAGGTAGAAAACTCTCCCAATGTTGAATCAATTGATTTTGATGTTTCAACATATTCTCTAAATATTGTATTAATTGTTTCTTAAAATCATCGACTCTTATCAATTCAAATCGTTCCACCTCTTTTTTTATCATTTGCGAAATTTTGTCAAATTCCTCTTGACCCCGTTCGACTTTTGATTCCCATTCGACGACCTCGGTTGCTGCTTGACTTGTTTTATCATTGCGACCTGCCTGCTCGAGACGTGCTTTCTGCTCACGCTTTTTGTTCAACATCATTTGTGCGTGTTGCCAATTTTGAAAAACTTTTACTCTCTCGTGAAACACTTCCTGTGGGGAAAATTGGAAAATTAAAAATTCATTCAATCAATCACGTTTATTGTCGTAAATTTAAATGATTCCAATTTGATTTAATTATAATAATTAAATTTCGAATATTTGAATTTAATAATTTAATAATTTAGATCAGGGTTGCCACAAAAATTTAACTTTGTTTTTCCCTGACTTTTCCCTGATTTCCAAACAGAATTTTGGCTTTTTCCAGAACAATTGTTTAATTTATCATAATTATTTAATCATTATTATTTTTACATTAAAATTAAGATTTTCAAAATATTCAAATTCATATCTTTTAAAAGAATATAGTTACTCTAACTTCTTCCAAATTATTTTCATCATTTAAATTCAATTATTATTTTCTAGAATTTTTAACTACAATTCTTTATTAAATCAATTATTAGTTAAAAGTACGGAAAATTTAGATTTCCAAAGATTTGAATTTAAAACCTTTTCAAAATTCAATTATTTCTAAAAATTCATACTATAATACTTTTAATATTAAATTATTATCTAAAATTTTAACCGAAATTCATTTTCATTTCATTTAAATTAATTTTGATTAGAAAATTCTACGAGAATTCAATTATTTAAATACAAAAATAAATAATTTATTAAATAATTGAATGTTTATAAGAATTAAATTTTTACGAAGAATTTTATCTACAAGTTTTGAAAATAATTAATATCTTTTAAGGAATTTAATTAAAATTTTACTAAAATTTATTATATTAAAGAATTTTGCTTTTTTGTTTCTTAACTTTTAAATAATTTTTCTTTTCAAATATTTTCAATTTTAAAATTAATGTATTGAAAATCATCGAATAGTTGTAAAGAATTTTATCAAAAAATTTGATAATAATAGAATTCCTTCAAAGAATTTTATTATTTAGAAAAATAACTGAATTATCGCAAAGAATTTTATTAAAATTTTTAAAAATCCTAATTAAATTCTTTTGAACAATTTCTTTGAATTTTTTAAACTAATGGAGTTTCTTTAATAATTTTAATTGAAAATTTTGAAAGCAATTAAATTTTATGAAGAAGAATTTTTTTAAAATTGAATTGAAAATAATTGAATTCTAGCGAAGAATTTTACTATTTGTAAAAATAATTTAATTGTTTCGAAGAATTAATTAAAATTTTAGGAAATAATTGAAATTTATGGAAATATTTAAATTCATCGGAGGAATTTAATTAAAATTGTTTTGGAAATAATTGAATTCCTGCAAAGGATTTTACTATTTATAAAAATAATTGAATTATTGCGAAGAATTTTACTATTTATAAAATAAATTGTTATGAAGAATTTTATAGAAATATTTGATAATAATGAAATTTTTTCGAGAAATTCAATTAAAGTTTTAAAATAATATTGAATTCTTTCAATTTTTTGACGAATATATTTAAAAATTGCATTGAAAGTAATTTAATGTTTATATAGAATTTTTTAAAAATATTTTAAGAATAACTGAATTAATTTTTAGAAAATTTTAAATTCTTGTTGAAATAGAATTTTATGGAAACTTTTGAAAATTAAATTGTTTCGTGTAATTTTATTTAAATTTGATTAAAAATAATTGAATTCTTTCATGAAATTTTATTAAAAATTTTTAAAATATGAACCTTTTGGAGAATTTTATTAAAATTTTTAAAGATACTTGAATTCCTGAGAAGAATTTAAATAATAATTTTTGAAAATAATTGAATTCATGCGAAGAATTTTATTAAATTTTGTTTGAATAATTGAAATTTTGACAAAAAGTTTATGAACATTTTTGACAATAAATTTAATTCTTGAGACGAATTTTGCTACCTATTTTTGAAGATAATTTAATTCTTGACAAGAATTTAAAAAAAATTTTGAATATAATTTGAATATAATTTAATTTCTGCAAAGTATTTTATTACTTTTCGAAAGAATTGAATTCTTGTAATAAATTTTGATACTTATGAAAATAATTGAATTTTGGAAAAGAATTTTATTAAAATTCCTTAAAATAATTGATTTTATGGGGAGATTTTTATTGTTTAACAAGATAATTGAATTCTTTTGCAGAATTACATAAAAAATTTTTGAAAATAATTGATTTCCTGCGACGAATTGAAAGTTATTTATGAAAATAATTGAATCATTGCAACGAATTATATTATTTTATTGAATAATAAATAATTGAATGTTTCTTAAATTTGAATTCTTTTGTCAAGTTTTAATAAAATTTTTAAGAATAATTGCATTTTTCGAGGAATTTATTTGAAATTGTATTAAAAATATTTAAAATTCTGTCGTGAAAATAATTGAATTCTTAAATGAAATTTTATTACTTTTGAAAATAATTGAATGTTTTGGTAGAATTGTATCAAACATTTTTTTCAATAATTAAATTTTTAGGTAAATTTTATGAAAATAGTAAATATTTCTAATCATTGAATTACGAAAAACTTTTGAAAATAATTCAATTTTGAAAAGAAAGTTTTTTAAAATTCCTAAAAATAATTGAATCTTTGTGATGAATTCTGTTATTTATCAAGATAATTGCATTAAAACTTTTGAAATAATTAAATAATATTAAAAAATTCATTCTGGCAAGAAATAGAATTTTTCTCATGAATTCTAAAAATTTAATTTTTTCCAGTACTTTTAATAAAAATCCCTGACTTTTCCCTGTCCAATTCTATTTTCCCTGACTTTTCCATGAATTCCCTGATTTCCCTGACTTGTGTCAACCCTGTAGATTATTCTATTAAAAAAATAATTTTTTTTCTTTTACAATTAGAATTATATTTCGACTTAATAGTAAAATATTTAACATACCTTTATGGCTGTAATTAATGTAACGTATTCTCGTAGCATTTCACCAAATTGATAGAGATCACTATTGCTTTGTGCCTTTCTGACGACCTCGATTTTCTCCAAAGTTTCAGCTAATTGTGCTAAAGCTCTTCCAAGGGCAGCTTCCTGTTCGCCATGCCCGAGAACAGCGATTGCTTTTGCCGTTGCACCAGTGCAATTTGCAAGCTCTCGCCTCTGATATGTCAATGTCTCGACAGCGGAATGTAAAGCTCGTAATTGCGTATCCAAGGAGTCAATTTGTGACGTTCTCTCCTCGAACCACTGAAATAAAACACTCTTTTAATCTCAAATTTAAAATCACCATTCATTTTTAATAAGCAAATCAAATCGAAGGCTTTTGCAAAAAAATTTGCATTTTTACAACAGAAAAATTTCTACTGCTATAAAAAATAATTATTAATTATAATCACATTATCAGTTGAATTTAGTTCAAAATACTTGAATTCAAAAATAGTAATAATTTAATACCTATAATAATAATAATAATAATAATAATAATAATAATAAAAATAATAATAATAATTATAGCAATAAATAACTATAAATATACATATTAATTTTTGTTCCTAAATTGCGTTCTCATGAGAAACTGCATTACTTTTTCCGATTGATATTTCAAAAAAGTGAAAAGCTAAAACTAAAAATTACGGATAAACTATTTTTGTTTCTAATTCAACATACCTTACCTTCCTAATATTGTAAGCAACAGAAAATGAGTCATATCCGATCTTAATTGATACGTGCAGATTTTGTTTTTTGTTTTTTTTTTATCAAAATAAATTTCAGAAATTTTCACTCACCGTATCAGTTTCGTCCATTTTGTAAGCGATCTTATTCACTGTTTCTCCAACTTTGTTGAATAACCTCATCACTCCAGCTCCACTCAATGCGGAAGTATTCGTTGATTTAGGCAATTCCATATCTAAATAAAAAGCGAAATAAATAACAAAATACGTAATGAAAAACAATAAATTTTGTTTAATTTCTATTTTTTCTTACCGGTCTTTAGAAAATCGATGAAATCGGGATCAACGCCAAGCATTGGATGGGCGGCTGTACGATTCAAATATCTCTCTAAAGCTGATCGGCGACGTTCGATAAACTCAGTTGAACTTGAATTTGTCTCCTGATTCTTATCGCCTGACATTTTTATTTTTGTCATACCTGAAAATGAGAAAAATTTTTCCGATTAGTTGTAAAATTTGATAATTAAAATTCTACCGAGATTTAATTTAAATTTTTGACGCTTACAGACTTCGCATTCGATAATTAATTTAAAAAAAGTAGCTTTCAAACTAAAAAAAAAAGTAGTAAGAAAGTAGATGTAGAAAAACTAAACTTGACGACCAAAAAACTCGTCTTAGAAACTTCACAAAACTGACAAAAATTCCATTCTATATTTAATTTTCCTGACTTTTTCCTAATTTTCATAAAAAATAATTGCTTCTTTCTTATCCTGCTATTAAATTGAATTCCTGCAAAGAATTTTATTATTCATGAAAAAATTTAAATCCTATAAAAATAATTTAATTCTTGCGAAGAATTTTATAAAAAAATTTTAAATAATTGATTTCTCTCGACTAATTTTATGCAAATTCTAAATTAAATAATTGAATTCCTGAGAAATTTTTATTATTTATATGAAAAGAATTGAATTCTTACGAAGATTTTTACAAACATTTTTTTAAATACTTCAATTCTGTTTGGAAATTTTATGAAAATAGTAGATATTGAAAATCATTGAATTGAGAAAATGTTTTTAAAAATAATTAAATTTTACAAAGAATTCTATTAAAATTTTTGAGAATAATAATTGAATATCTGTGTGGCATTTTATTAAATTTCTTTTAAAAATAATTCAATTCCTGAAAAGAATTTTATTTTTAAAGAAAATACTTGAATTCTTCGGAACAATTTAATTGAAATTTTTTTAAATAATTGAATTTCCAAGAAAAAATTGATTACTTTTAAAAATAATTGAATTCTTGTGATGAATATTGTTATTTATGAAAATAATTGAATTTTCCAAAGAATTTTATTAAAATGCCTCAAAATAATTGAATTTCCGGGAATAATTTTGTTATTTATCTTTAATAATTGAATTCTTTCGAAGAATTATTTATGTAAATAATTGAATTCTTAGGAAGAATTTTAATAAAATCCAAAGTAGAATAATTGAATTATTTCAACAAAATTGAATTAAAATTGTATTTAAAACAATTGATTTTTTTCGAACAATTTTATTAAAATATTTGAAAATAATTGAATTCCTGTGAAAAATTTTTATATTTTTGTAAATAATTGAATTCTTTCAAAGAATTTAAAAAAACATTATTTTAAATAATTGATTTTTTCTAGGAATTAAAATTAAATTTTTAAGAATAATTACATTATTCGAGCAATTCCTGTAAAATTGAATTAAAAATAATTGAAATCCTACGATGAATTTGATAATTTATGCAAATAATTGAATAGTTGCAAAGAATAATATTAAAATTTCCAAAAATAATTAAATTCCTGAGAAGAATTTTATTATTTATGAAAATAATTGAATTATTGCGGAAATTTTATTAAAATGTTTAAAAAGAATTGAATTTTTGTGAAAAATTTTATTTTTGAAAATAATTTAATTCTTCATAAGAATTTTATAAACATTGTTTTTTAAATAATTAATTTTTTCGAAATATAATAAATTAGGAAAATTTTATTTAAATAATTGAATTCTTGTGGAAAATTTTGTTTGTGAAAATAATTGAATTTTTCAATTAATTAATTTAAAGCAGTATTAAAAATAATTGAAATTCTTTGATGAGTTTTATTATTTATGATAATAATTGAATTTTTGCTTAGAATTTCAGCAAAATTTGTTTAAAAAATTGAATTTCCATGAAAAATGTTATTATTAGTGAAAGTAATTGAATTATTGTGAAGAATTGTATAAAAACTTTGTTAAATAATTGATTATTTCGAAATTTTTTTGAAAATGCTATTCTAAATTAATTGAATCCCTGAGGGAATTCTAAAAAAAACAGAAATAGTAGCTTTTAGTGGCTGAAATCTAAAAAAAGTACCCAAATAGTATCATAAAGTAAAAAGTAATAAATAGTAGGTTTTAGTAGATTAGTGCGAAGCCTTCGTTTAATTTTGTGTTATTGAAAATTAATACTTACGATAAAATTAAATAGTTACTTAAAAAAGAATAATTACTTACCGATGACACTTTTTTCAGGAGCGGGCGGAATGATTCTACCATTTCTAAGATATTTAACCGTTAATTTGTCATGGAGTCCAAGAAAATCACTAAATCGTCTAACTACAGTGAAATTTCGGCTTCGAAAAATGGGCATATTAGTTTTTGTTTCTACTCGATAGGCAACATAGGCTCCCATTCCCTCGCCGACTTTTTGCGGTGAAGTCACGGTGATTTTCAAAAATGTCTCCGACGATTCTGTTGGTGTCTGCAATTTTATTTTAAATTTAGTTAAAATTCAGAATTTAAATTTTAATTACATCACCATAGATATTAATTTTATCAGTTTTATTTACCATTTCTTGACTTTGTGACTGTAGAATCGTACTTGATTTATTATCCACATTATCGTTGATTGGAACATCTTGAAGATCATCCATATCTTTTCCCATGAGAGGACTCAGTGGTCCAGGGGCAGGACTCGAAACTGTAGAAAATGAATTTTCTTCAACTGTGTCTTTCAGTGATAATTTTGGTAATTCTGATTGTGCTGATGAAACTCCATTAAAGGGAGATGACCTTTCCATAAATGAACGATCCTGAAATAAAGGAAAATTTTTACTTCAATGATAAAATATACAAAATTACTTACATAAACTTACATAAATAAAATTTTTATTCATTAAAAATTTTATCTTGAGAATCTATTATATAGCTAAAAAGCTATTCCTTGCGAAATGAATAAAATATTCTCTCTGAACGAAACAAGAAGCAATGGATAAGAGACGTGATTAATGAAGCTCTACTGCGATAAATCAGTTATTTAGAGATTTATTTTTCGCTTAATCTCTTATTCTAGAAATTAAATACGCATGCGCTTTTTTTGTATTATCAATTATCAGAACAACACCCGGTTGAAAATTGAAATATGAAACAAAAATCGGATTATATTTTGATATCGACAAATATTGAGAGAGAATCTAATATTTTAACAAAATATGTTATTATAAAAATAACTGTTATTAAATTAAAATTCAATGGAATATTTTTAATCGTTTGTTATTTTTCCTCTCAAAGAAAAATTATCAATATATCATATTACATAAAAATAAGATTGTATTCCTGAGGAAAATAATTTGTACAATTACACATTGTACAACTCAATATTTATCGGTACTTCAAAAAATTAGTGACAGGTAAATTCAATGCCACGTCGCAATTTACCTTTCTGTACAAAACATTGACATTGAGGATAAAAAATCGAACTGATATTAAGACAATAAAGTAATAAGAATAAAAGAAATTAATAATAATTCCGAATATTGTTAATTTAACAAAAAGAAAGGTAAATACAAAAAGAGATGAGACATAGCTGTCAAATGAATTTACTCGAATACTATGGAAGCAATTGATCGAATTCTTTCACAAATATAATCATTAAACATTACCTGTATGGCGGATGCAAAAATGTCATCATTATCATCATCTAAATCCTTTGTATCACTATTAATATCATCAAATAACGGCGGAGGTTCTTTATTGACGTCCATCTTTTATTTCTTGTCAATGAGGATTTGAGGAACGCCCCCTAATGACAGAGTCAGTCGTACCAACTTGTTGTGGTTCAATTAAAGTCTCATCCACATGTAAATTTGGTCAGGTCCATATGAAAAGAAGAGGGAAATTAGAAAAATAAGTAAATTACTACAAATTAGATACTATTCTTATTTTATTATTTAGACTTTATTTTACCAACAATTGATTTCAATTTTTGTTGTAATAATTTTAAATAATTACCTTCAAAAATCATGCAACCAATATCGACTGATGTGTCTCTTTTATTCTTAAGTCGTAAAAAAAACATGGCGCTCGTGTGTGCTCGGTAATTGGCAAAATAGAAACATTAAAATAATAAGAAATTTAACAAAAAGTTTGAAATATTGTTTGATTTATCAATATATTAAAAATGTCACAGTGCTTTCGTACAATCTCTTGTAAACTCCCACCATTTATTGGCACTAAAAAACAAGTCTCACAAATGAGCCGACAGCTGCCAAAACACATAAAATGTTCAACATTTTTGGAAGAAGTAACGTCAAAATTTTAATTATCATGCAAATTTTTTTTCACCATTCGATAATTTATATCATAAAGTATCTATCATTTTAAATTTATCAATAATCTCAACTATCTGTCATTGTTTCTTTTAATCATTGTCCCGAACCACGTTGTACATAACCTTAAAATTATTACATAATATCAATAAAAATACGCAAATTATTACGTTTTTAATGAATTTAATTGTTAATTAAAATACTTGCTAATTTTTACAAGTATACTGTAAATATTATTCATCACTTGGATTTCTTTTTAAAACTTAAACATTAAATTGTCATTTGATTTAAAAATATGATTTTTTTTTAATGTAAACAAATTTATTTTTCAGTTTCTTGGATCGCGAAACGTTTTAAATTCACAAACGTTACGTGACGTATCAAATGAGATTGTTTTACCTTATCTTGCATTTAAAAATAAAATTGTCTCGTCACTGGATATTCCTCGGGAGAATTTAATTGCATTGAGGGAAAATGTTCGAAAGGATATGAGGACAGCGAGATATAATGACGTTCGTAGACATCATCTTCTGGAGGAGAAACCCATTGATTTATTATTACAGGAAAATTTGAGGAATAGACAAAAATATTCAAAAAATTTTACAAAAAAGCAACAGACAGAGAATGTGATTTTTTATGAAAAATCTTCGTCCAAATTCAATGATTATAGCTGTAAAATTATTCCACCGAATATTGAAAATTCCGGTATTGTTTTTATGACCGATGATGTAAAACCACAGATAGAAAATGAAAAAAATGTCTCTAATATTGGAGGGAAACCGAGTAAAGAGCAACTTGAATTTATATACGAAAAACTAAAAAAAGATGTAAATATTTTTAATGATTTTAGTTTTTATAATTAAATTAAGTAAAGAGGATAATGAACAATAATTAATAACAAAAAATGTTTTTTAATTTTCAGTTACCGCAGTTATTTGTCAGAACGTTTGATTATAGAATATACCATAAAGATTTTGTATTTGAAAACAATATTCGAGGAACAAGAACAATGTAAGTATTTTAAATCAAAATTAAAAATCTAAATTTTAATAATCGTTTTATTCCGGTAATCTGTTCGCAATTTGAAGTTAGGCGTTTGCTTTTTTTCTTTCCTAAACTTTTTTAATAATTTTTCTTTTCAAATATATTTTCAATTTTAAAACCAATCTATTCAAAATCATTGATTTCTTGCAAAAAAAAATGTCAAAAAATTTGAGAATAATTAAATTTCTTGAATTTCTTCAAATTTTCTTCTTTTCATTATTTATGAAAATAATCGATATCTCGTGAAAAATTGTATTCAAATTTTTAAAAATCCTAGTTAGATTCTTTTGAAGAATTTCTTTAAATTTTTTTTTAAATAATGGAGTTGTTTTTATTAATTTTAAATGAAAATTTTGAAAATAATTGAATTTCATGAACAATTTCTTTTAAGTTTTTAAAATAATCGTGTTTCCTAATAATTGAAATTAAATAATTAATTATTGAATTTTATTAAAAATTTTAGAAAATACTTAAATTCTTCTCATAATTTTATTATAATTTTCTAAAATAATTTAATTCATTCAGGGAATTTTATTAAAATATTAGAAAATAATTTAATTCTTTCAATTAGAATTTTATTAAAATTATTGATAGAAGATTAAACTCTTTTGAAGAATTTCTTTGTGTATTTCTTTTAAATAATTTTAATTCAAACTTTTGAAAATAATTGAATTAAACAAAGAATTTTTTCAACTTTTTAAAATAATCGTGACTGTTAATAATTTATAATGAAATATTTTATTTAAGTTTATTAAAATTGTATTAAAAATAATTGAGTTCCTCAGGAGAATTTTATTATTTATAAAAAGTAATTTAATTTTTGCTATTAATTTTACTTCGAAAGGATTTCTTGACAAGAATATGTTTCAAATTTTTGAAAATAATTGAAATCCTTCGAAGAATTTTTCTACTAATGAAAATAATTGAAATCTTTCAAAGAATTTTATTTTTTATGAAGATAGAATTTATAAAAAGAATTTTATTTAAATTTTTGAAAATATCCTCCGAAGAATTTTATTATTTGAGATAATAATTGAAACCTTCAAAAGAATTTTTTTTTTCTGAAGATAAATTGAATTTTTAAAAAGAAATTTATTTAAATTTTTGAAAATTATTGAAATCCTGGGAAGAATTTTATTATTCAAGAAAATAATTGAAATCTTCAAAAGAATTTTTCTTTTTATAAAGATAATTGAATTTTTAGGAAGAATTTTATTTAAATTTTTGAAAATTATTGAAATCCTTGGAAGAATTTTATTATTTGAGATAATAATTGAAATCTTCAAAAGAATTTTATTATTTGAGAGAATAATTGAAATCTTCAAAACAATTATTTTCCTTTTTTATCAAGATAATTGAATTTTTAGGAAGAATTTTATTAAAATTTTTGAAAATAATTGAAATCCTTTGAAAAATGTTATTTTTTAAAATAATTAAAATCTTGCTGAGATTATCTTTAAAATTTTTGTAAAATAATATAATTGTTTCAATGAAAATTTAAATTCTTTGGAGGAATTTAATTGAGATTGTAATGAATGTAATTGAATTTCAAGAAAGAATTTTATTAAAATTTTTTAAATAAATTGAATTACTACTCATAAAAAAAAATTGAATTATTTCAAAGGATTTTTAAAAATTTTAGATAATAATTGAATTTTTTCGAAAAATATTACCAAAAATTTGAAAACAAAATTGAATTTCTTTCATGAAATTTTATCAAAATTGTATTAAAGATAATTGAATTTTTGCAAAGAACTTTACTATTTATAAAAATAATTGAATTGTTTCGAAGAATTGATTAGATACAATTTTTTATTTTAGAAAACAATTGAATTTGCTTCAAAAATTTTATAACGAATTAAGAAAAAAATTGAATTTTTTTGTGAAATAATTTACTATTTAAAAAAATAATTGAATTGTTTCGAAGGATTATTAAAATTTTACAAAATAATTAAATTTATCAATGAATTTTTTCAACTTTTTAAAATAATCGTGTCTGTTAATAATTATGATGAAATATTTGATTATTGAAGTTTATTAAAAATTGTATTGAAAATAATTGAATTCCTGAGTAAAATTTTATTATTTATAAAAAATAACTTCATTGCAATGAATTTTATTATAAAAATAATTGAATTGTTTCGAAGGATTTATTAAAATTTTGTTGAAAATAAAAAATTTTGTAATTTCCAGAGGCATTTTTCCCTACGTGAGGCAAATTTCCTTATTGAGAACCGTTGGACATTTAAGATTTGCATACGTCAAATTGGATATATTAAAAATTACAATTCATCCAGAAGACGACAGTGTTAAAGTTCGTTGGCGTATTGCTGGTTTGCCAGGATTTAAAGTATTCCTGATGTTTTGGAAATTTAATGTTTTTAAACTTAGTGAATCGATTAAACATCAAGAAGCGTAAGTATTTTGTTAATTAAGCTTTTATGTCATTTTTGAATCGAGACTGAAAATACAAAAAAATTTTAATTATTCCAGATGGTATGATGGATTCTCGACATTTTACATTGGAGCAGATGGATTAATTTCAAAGCACATGGCTGATAAAATGATGCCAGATCAGGATAGTGAAAAGGAAAAGAAAAAAGAACCAAGTCCAGTTGCTGCAAAATTAACATTATTTTCAAATTTCAAGAAAATTGAATTATTCCCGCAGATTTCATTTTCTAATATCGGCAAATTTTTATCACACTCAGGACGAAAATGGACACTCTTTGAAAAGATTGCATTTAAAATGAAATAGGTAAATTTTCACTATTAATAGATTAAATTCAAGTTTTTTTTTTCTTTTTTTATTATAGAACAATTTTTTCAATTAAGCTTAAAAGTAGTTCTGAGTACAAAAGAAACGAAACTTAGTAATATAAACTAAACGAGTTCGCTTTTACATTTTTAATATAAATTAAAGTTTTTGAAGCACTTCGTATATTTATTTTTTGGTTTTGATTTTTATTGTCAAAAAAAAAAAAAAAAATTTTCTTCTCGTGATAAAATATCAGTCTCGCACATATTTTAGAGAATGATTTTAAATAAAAATTTAATTAATACTTAAATTGAAAAATTAAAATGAGAATTATTTTCTGATATGTACATTTAATTAATATTTTAAAGAAAGAATAATTCTCAATCGACCAAAAATGATTGAAATCTCTATTTCCTTTTTTTTAAACATTTGTTTCTTTTCAATTGTTTTAGAAATACATGTTAAATGATTCTTGTAATTCAATTACTCATTAGATATTTAGTTGTATATAAACCTAAAGTATTTTTTAAAATAAAGTTATTATTAATAAAAAATATAAATAGTATAAAATTTCACTCTCCACTCAATGGAATTCATGAAGTGTGTAGAATTTTCTCTCTTAATTGCAGGTTAAACCTGAAAAAAACAAGTTTATGAAATAAAAATAATAATAATACATAATAATAAATAAGAATAATAAAATTACCTAAATAGTCGTCCATAAGTGTTCCAATGGCGAACTAAAATATAAAAATCGAATTAATAAGCAGAAAATTGAAATGAATTGAATTTAAAGACTTTATTTTGAATAATTACAATTCCATTGGCATCCACTCTCGTTCCGACAATTTTTATTCTTATTTCATCGTCAGCTTGTATAACAACGTCTTCTTCTTTCGACTTGTAACAAGGTGGATTGATGTTTGGACAAAATTGCATTTCCGACGGAATTGACTGAAAATAATTAATTTTTTTTTTGTAATCGACAATTTAGAAATGTTGCAATTTTTGCCAACTTTGAAAATATTTAAATTTTTTATAATTTTTAAAAAAACATACGTGATGGGAAATAAAACACGTCAAGGGGCCAATTTCAGCAAATAATCCGACCTGAAAGAATAAATTTTTTAAATTACAAGAATTACAAGAGAAATATTTCTTTCTAAAGGTGTAATTGAAAAAAATAGGAAAAATTTTTAATCCAATCATTATAGTGACAAACAATTCAGTTTACTTTTTTTAAAACCGTAATTACCTTATTGACTTGGACAACAATTCCATCGAGAACTTGACCTTTAAATGGTCGGAAAACAATAGCTTTGTATTTTACAGGATAGAGAACGAAACCTTGACCTGGCTGAATGATACCAGCACCTATATTATCGATTGATGTTACAGCTATCACAAAACCATATCTGCAAATAAAAGAAACAAAAAAAGTAGAAATCATAATTTTTGTTTGCATTTTTCTCTAACGAAATTTAAAAAAGTGTCAAAAAAAAAAATTTATTACATTAATTAAAATCCAATTATAAATAAAAAATTATTTAAACAAAAGATTTTGACAATGCTAATTAAAAAAAGCGATTACTACAATAATAAAACAAAAGAGTGAGTAATTAATATTTCTAACAATTTAAAAACAAAACGGAGCAAACCGGAACAACAAAGTTGGGAAATTTCACTTAAAAAATGTTTAAAATTCTGCAAAAATTTACATACTTTCCATTACAAGTCCCTTCGACTTCCGTGTAAAGTTTCTGTTTAACAGTATCGAGTAAATGTGGTCCAAAATATCGAGGATGTAACAAAATATCATGATCCATCGGTATCTATTTTGAGGTTAGGAATTTTCGATTAAATCCAAATATTACTAAAAGTACAAAAAAAAGAATCCAAAAACCAAACTCACATGATAGAACATCTTGACAATTATTCTCCAATTCACAAACTAGAACAAAAATTACAAATTTAATAAAACATTTACATACGATTTTACACTAAAAAAGAAGAGAAAATTTTCCCAAAGTAAGCGTTTTTCCCTTTCAAACGCACGAAACGCACCAACGAAAAAGCGCCAATAGCGGAAAATTTGGGAAACATCAGGAAAAGACAACAAGCGAACGCCATATCCCCGGGTGAACCAATCAGCTGCTCGGTAAACCACCATTCGCGAGACCTCGAAAATCTGTCCGCAAAACGAATGACAACAAAAGAGACAAGAGAGACAGAGTGTGTGTGTGTGTATATTTCGCGAGAGTGCGTTTTTTCGCCAAAGTTTATATACTTTTTTCCGTTGTGTTGCCGCCGCGAATAACATTGCATCAGAGTGGTGAAAGTGTCAAAGAATATGAAGAGAAGAAATGCCGAGTGCGGCAAGCTCCGGAGGCCCTTGAAACGCAACAAGATCACCGAAGGAATCTACGGAAGGCAAGTTTTGGTCGGCCATATGCGTTTGCATCACAATGGCCGATATCTTTAAAAATAACCAAAAACTCGATATGTTTACCGCTAAAACAATCACTTCTGTTTAACACACAATCCCCATTGGAGATGATCTTCTTGTATGCATTCACATTCCCCCTGCGGTGACCTGTAAACATAGCCTATAATCACCCAGGGGGGACAATGGAGCACTTTGGTGTGATGATTGTTTTAAAGCACGATACCCCGCGCGTTTTCTTTCGTCAAAATTCATTTGCACCTGCTCCTTGATAATCCTTACGAAATATCCTCTATAAATCCTTTTTCCTTTTCTCATAATTTTCTCAATAGTCATTCATAATTTTAATTATCATAATATTCTCTCAGTCATTAAATATTTATGTATGTGACAATTCTACCCCCTGCGTTGATTTTTGATTCTTTTAGAAATTTCTCGATTAAAAATTCTATAGAACAAGAAAAAATTGTCATACCTACTTTTCTGTTGACAAACTTTCATTATGCAAACAAAAAAAATTGTTATATTTTTAAATTAGTTTTCTCTCTTAGCAACAGTTTAGTAAACGAAAATTATTTTTTTATTCCCTTATAATCAGGAATTGTTTTCGAAACTTCTTTTTTTTTATCTTTTATGCTGTAGTTTGACAATATTTTTTTTCTCAAATTATTAATTTTAAATTTGGTTTCTATAATTCTAATTATGTGATGTATTTTAATCTAGGAAAAAATCAGAGAAAAAAATCGATTTTCCTTTCGAGTAAGTAAAAGAGAAAGTGAAAAAAATACGTTATTGGAAAAATCTATATTTGTATATAAAGCTCATAATCAATTAGTTGAAAACCCTAAATTGATGCCCTATTTGATAATATTACTTTGTATTTACATATTTGTTACGTTTTGTATTATTTTACGAAAATTCTCTTTTTGTGTTTGTTTCTTAAACTTTTTTTTTAAATAAAGTGTTTCATTTATTCTGTTGCAGAAAAAATAATAAAAAGGTTTTATATAACAAAAAGTTTAATTCGCTATAAAAAATTCTAGTTGAATTTAAAAAATTTTATTTTAAAACACATTTATCACACTCCCTTGTTTGCGTATATTTTTAAAAATAGACAGAAATTGACACACGTTTGGTATTTAAATTAAAAATAGTAAATGGAATTTTTTTTTATTCCATTCTTTAGTTTTTGTTTTATTTTTAATTTTTTGGGGTATTCTTTCGTGTTTAGTTTGTTTAAATACTTTAAATTAATTTTACATTTTAAATTCACGTTTTTTATTTTTATTTTATTTTTTTCGAATATTACTAATTTTTATTAAACTTTCTGTTACAGCACTTTACTTTACTTAAAGTTTCTTCTGCTATGGGCCATGGTGATATTAGCAGACTTCATTTTAGAATTTCGTTTTGAATTTTTGTGGCCATTTTGGCTGCTTCTTCGAAGTGTTTACGATTCTTTTAAATATCAAGGTTTGGTAAGTTGTCTTTCAATTTCCTTCGTTTAAATTAAATTACAAGTAAATTTCTAATAAGAAGAAAAATATTTCCAGTTGGAAGAAAAATATTCATATAAGGGAAGAAAATATTTCTAATGGAAAGAAAAATCGAAATAAGGGAAAAAAATATTTACAGTGTGAAGAAAAATCAAAATAAGGGAAAAAAATATTTACGAAAGGAAAAATATTTATTGGAAAAAAATATTTTTGCTTACAATGAAAATATAGTATTTTTAAGAACGAAAAAAGCACTTTGTTTGTAAATAAAAATAATTTTTCTTTTGCAGGCCTTCTCAGTGTTTTTTATTTGTATCGCACTCACATCAGACATGATTTGTTTCTTTTTTATCCCAGTACACTGGCTTTTCTTTGCCGCCAGTACATACGTTTGGGTGCAGTATGTTTGGCACACAGGTAATTTAAATTATAAACAAAAGAATTAATTAAAAAAAAAACATGTTGATAAAAATTGATGTTAACTATTCAAATGTTTATTACAGACAAAGGTGTTTGTCTGCCAACTGTGATGCTGTGGCTTCTGTTTCTTTATATAGAGGCAGCAGTTCGATTAAGAGACCTACGACATATGCCATTTCATTTAGATCTTTGTAGGCCATTTGCTGCTCATTGGTATGTTTCCTTTTCTTCATTTTTTATCACTCATGAAAAATTGTAAACGAAATTAAAATTCTCTTCTCATATTCTCAAATTAATTTCAAGGAGTAATAAATTTTTATTTTTTCAGTATTGGTTATCCAGTAGTTACATTAGGATTTGGTTTTAAAAGTTACGTAGGCTACAGAATGAGACAGGTGAGTTGGGAAATTTTCTACAAGTAAAAATAAAATTTTAAAAATTAGAAAATATGTAAGTAAAAAATAGCAATTTACGAAAGAGTAATATATAAACGTTTCGTTCTTTTTGAATTTTCAGAGAAAACAGAAAGATGTTGCGAAAGAAAATGATTTCTACGTGCAACTGTTACAGCAGGCATTGCCTGTTGAACAACAAGCGGCAAATATTCGACAAATTCAACCCCAAGTACAGTTACAAGCACAGCTTGTAGCGGCGCCTTTAGATCATTCAAAATCACAGTCTCACAGGACAAATTCGCAGTACAATCACAGTCCGGAAAAAAGTAGAGGTAGCATGTATTTACACCTTGTTTTCTTTACTTTTTCTTTATAGTTACAAAGTTTCTCTTTTGTTCAGAATCAATTTCTATAACAGGACTCGAACTAGGTCTGTAAATTTGCTTCAAGTCTGTAAAAGTCAGTTTTTTAAAAAAAGGTCCGTAAAGTCCGTAATTTGATTGAGAAAAGACGAAAAGTTGATAAATTGTATGACATAATTTGGAGAATTTTAGAGAAATTAGAAATGATTGCAGAAATTCCATTATTTTCAAAAGTAATAAAATTCTTCGCTGAAATTCAATTATGTTCAAAAAAATTTTTAAATTCTTGTCACAATTTCAATTATCTTTAGAAATAATTAAATTCTTCTCCGAAATTCAATTATTTTCAAAAATTGAATTAAAATTCTTAGCAAAATTTCAATAATTTTCAAAAATTTTTCTCAATTTAATATCTATTATTTTAATAAAATTTTACAAGACTAATTATTATTAAAAAATTTAATAAAATTTTACGCAAACCTTTAATTATTTTCATAGAATAATAAAAATTTCACAGGAATTGAATTATTTACAAATTTTTTTATATATTTCTTCGCAATCATTCAATTATTTTCATAAATAATAAAATTCTTCTCAGGAATTCAATTATTTTTGAAAATTTTAATAAATTTCTTAGCAAGTATTCAATTATTTTCATAATTAATAAAATTCATCGCAGGATTTCAATTATATTTAATACAATTTTACAAGAATTGCTCGAAAAATGTAATTATTCTTAAAAATTTAATTTCTATTTCTAGAAAAAATCAATTATTTTAAAAAATGTTTTTTTTTAAATTCTTTGGAAGAATTCAATTATTTTCAAAAGTAACAAAATTTATAACAGAAATTTAATTCTTTTTAAACATTTAAATACAAATTTTCGCAATAATTCAATTATTTCATCAATAATAAAATTATTCTGAGAAATTCAATTATTTTTGAAAATTTTAATAAAATTCTACACAAACCTTTAATTATTTTCACAAAATAATAAAAAGTTTCACAGGAATTCAATTTTTTATAAATTTCTTCGCAATCTTTCAATTATTTTCATAAATAAAAAAATTTTTACAGAAATTAAATTATTTTCACAAATGATAAAATTCTTCTTAGGAATTAAAATATTTTCATAGATAATAAAATTCATCGCAAGATTTCAATTATATTTAATACAATTTTACAAGAATTTCTCGAAAAATATAATTATTCTTAAAAATTTAATTTCAATTTCTAGAAAAAATCAATTATTTTAAAAAATGTTTTTTTAAAATTCTTTGGAAGAATTCAATTATTTTCAAAAATAACACATTTTTTCACAGAAATTCAATTCTTTTTAAACCTTTAAATAAAATTTTTCGCAATAATTCAATTATTTTTATCAATAATAAAATTATTCTCAGAAAATTTTTTAACATTTTAATAAAATTCTACGCAAACCTTTAATTATTTTCACAAAATAATAAAAGTTTCACAGGAATTCAATTATTTATATTGTTTTTTTTATAAATTTGTTCGCAATCATTAAATTATTTTCATAAATAAAAAAATGTTTACAGGAATTCAATTATTTTCGTAAATAATAAAATTCTTTTTAGGAATTCAATTATTCTCGAAAATTTTAATCAAATTCTTGGTAGAATTTCAATTATTTTTAATACAATTTTAATCGAATTCCTCAAAAAATGTAATTATTCTTAAAAATTGTATTAAAATTCGTCAAAAGAATTTAATTATTTAAAAATTTGTTGATAAAATTCCTTATCAGAATTTAATTTCAAGAAACATTCAATTGTTCAATAAATGATTTATTTTTGTTTCTAAATAATTGAATTCTAATAGAATTTTTTAATAAAAATTGATTTAAAAATGGATTTCAGTTCATATTTTAGATAATAATTGAATATTAAAAAAAATTAACTTTGGAAATGTTACAAATTATTCCAGAAATTTAATTATTTTCAAGAGTAATAAAATTCTTTACAGAAATTTAATTATGTTTTGAAAGAATAAAATTCTTCTTAGAGATTTGATTATTTTTATAAAAAATAATACTCATCACAGAATTTCAATTATTTTCAATACAATTTTAATCGAATTTCTCGAAAAATGCAATTATTCTTAAAAATTTTATTAATATTCTTTAAAAGAATTTAATTATTTAAAAATTCTTTGATAAGATTCTTTATGGGAATTGAATTTTAAGAAACATTCAATTGTTCAATAAATTATTTACATATTTTTGTGTTTAAATAATTGAATTCTCGTAGAATTTTCTAATAAATATTGATTTAAAAATGGATTTCAGTTAAAATGTTAGATTATAATTGAATATTAAATGCATTAGAGCTTGAATTTATAGAAATAATTGAATTTTAAAAAGATTTCAAATTAAAATCTTTGAAAATCTGAATTTTTATATTTTTAACTAACAATTCTGTAGATAAAAGTATAGTTTTAACTTTTTTAAGTAAAAATGTTCTCTTATTTGACTCGGACTGGTTATATTTTTGTCAGTAATTGGTCCGTAATTTTTTATTTTTGGTCCGTAAAGTACGTATTTTTAAATACTTTCACTAGTTCGAGCCCTGCTATTAAATTTTATTCTATTTTTAATTTTTTATTTAATCTTTAAATACAAGGTTTGTTTTTTTCTTTTCGGACAATTTATTTTTTTTAAAATGTTAAAATGTTAAATTTTGTGTTTCTGTTTTTTTTAGGAGCCGGTGGCTCGACAGCGGAAACGAGCATACAAAACGGCAGCATTCACAATGGAACACAGACTATGTCACAAGCACAAAATTCAGCCACAAAAAATATACACAGAAAATCACTTGATAAGGGAGAAAAGTCTGAGGAGCAACACAATAAACACAATAGCAATGTCTCGCAGTCTGAAAAAAATGACAAGAGATTTATGCATATAAATGGTTCCACAGTACCTTCAAACGATTTGCAATTTATCGAAAGAATTGGGTGAGAATTTTTTACATAATTTTCCATTCTTCATTTTTTTTTTTTTGTTCACTAGATAGTGACACAAACACTAATTTAAAGAATACAATAATTTTGAATCTATAGAAAATATTTTCAAATTTGTAGAAAATATTAAAATAATAAGTAGAAGTAGAAATTGCAAAATTTTTAAATCGATATTATTGATTTGCAGATCGGTTAATGATTTTGACATAAACGAAGTAGAGAAGGATAAATCGTTGAAGGGTGGCTCAGTGAAAACACAATCAAATGGCTCGGCAAATGGAAAATGGAATAATGTCAAAGAAAATCGTGACTCATCGACGACGAATAATCAACGTGAACGTAAAGGTCGTCAATCGAAAGTCACGAGTGACGTTATTTCGGATAACCAAAAGCAACAAGACGAGTATTGCCAGAGGTATTTTTTTTTCTCTCGAATTTTCTCTTCTTCTCACAAATATTTTCTTTTACATTTAAATTGCTTTGATTTTTTTACAACTTGAATATTTAATTCGTTACTTTAGTTAACAATTTTCACAGAACATTTCACAGATATTTCGTTTTCTATTATTTTAACTGCAACTATTTTTTAAATTGAAACAAATTGTAGTTTTATTTTATTTCAACTATATTTTCGAAATAAAACAAATTGCAGTTCTTTTTTTAATTTTATGTCAACTATTTTCAGAATATAAAACAAATTGAAGTTTATTTTATTTTGATTATTTTCAAAATAAAACAAATTGCAAGGTTTTTTTAAAATTTGTTTCAACAGTTTTACAAATAAAATGAATTGCAGGTTACTAGTTTGTCGTAAGCTTGAAGCTGACGTGAAACGTTTAAAATCAGACTTACAAGCGAGCAGACAAACCGAACAAGAGCTTCGTTCACAAATTAACACGTTGTTGAGTGGAGAGAGACAAACAAAAGGTGACCTCCAACAATTACAACATGATAATGATCAGTTGCAAAGCAAGTAAGTTGTTAATTTTTATCAATTGTCATTTAAATTAATTTCATAATTTAATTCTTGGCAAGATTTTTATTAAAATTCTTTAAAATAATTGAATTGTTTTTAAGAATTTATTTCAATATTCTTGAAAATAGTGGAGTTTTTTAAAAATAATTTTTACTGAAAATTTTGAAAATAATTGAATTTTATGAAGAACTCAATTATTTTCAATAATTGTAGTAAAATTCTTTGCAAAAAGTCAATTTATTTAAATTATAAGAATTTTCGTAAAAAAATTTAATTATTTTTGTATAAATAATAAAATTCTTATCAGGATTCCAATTATTTTTAATACAATTTTACTTGAATTTCAGGGAAAATTAAATTATTTTTAAACATTCTTTTTTTAATCCTTCGTATGAATTCAATTATATCAATAAATAGTACATTTCTCCCAGGAATTCTATTATTTTAAATACAATTTTAATAAAATTCTTTTCAAAAATCCACTTATTTTTTTCAATTTTGCAAAAATTCAATTATTTGCAGAAATAATAATTTTTTTTCGCAGGAATTCAATAATTAAATTGTCGATTGACTGAAAATCATTGAATTTCTGTAAAGTATTTATAAAAAAATTTGAAAATAATTGAATTCATTTCAAGAATTTTAGCAACATTTCTTTCAATAATTAAATTCTTTTGAGAAAATGTAATTAAAATTGTATTGAAAATAATTTAATTTTTGGATAGATTTTTATTAAAATTCTTTAAAATAATTAAATTGTTTTGAAAAATTGATTTCAATTTTCTTGGAAATAAAGGAATTTTTTTAAAAATAATTTTTACTGAAATTTTTGAAAATAATTGAATTTTAAGAAGAGTTTCATTTAAGTTTTAAAAATAGTTGTGTTTATTATTAATTGTAATTAACAATTTGCCTATTCAATTATATTAAAATTATTCATAGAAAATTAAATTCTTTTAAACAAGTTTATTAGAGTTTTTGTAAATAATTACATTTTTTTTATTGAAATATTTCATTAAATTTCGTAAAAATAATGATTGTAATTTTTAAAAGTAATTATAATTAAAAATTTTGAAAATAATTGAAATTTGCAAAGAATTTTATTAAAAACTTTTGAGAACAATTATTGAATTGTTTAGAAAAATGTTATTACAATTTTTAAAAATAACTGAACCTGTTAGAGAAATTTTATTAAAATTATCTTGAATATTGATTTTTTTCATAGAAATTTAATTAAAATTACTTATATTAAAAATAATTTAACTTCTCAGATAAATTTTATTATTTACAAAAATAATTTAATTCCTGAGAAGAATTTTACAATTTATAAAAATAATTGAATTGTTTCGAAGAATTTTTTATCAGAATTGTTGAAAGTAACAATTGAATTCAAATAATATTTTTAAAAATAATTGTATTCTTTCGAGAAATTTTATTAAAATTGTATTGAAAATAATTGAATTGCTCTAAAGAATTTTATTATTTATGAGAATAATTAAATTCTTGCGACAAATAATAATAATACATAATAATAATAATAATAATAATAATAATAATTAGGAATTAAATATTTTGTATAGAAATTAATTTATTTTCTTTGAAAGGTTACACGGATTAGTAACTGCCCGTCAAGTGGACAGACAAACGATGTCCACATTAGAAAAGAGAATTGCAGAGGAACGAAGGCAGCGTAGTGCGTGCGAAGTGTCTTTAGCTTCGGAGAGAAGGGCTCGAAGAGCCGCTGAAGAAGCTAGATCCGCAGTACCACCACCTCCACCTCCATTGGTTCGTCAAGAGTGCACTGACGTCTGCAAAACACGAAGAACACAACTCGAGCAAGACGTGAAAAGCTTGCGAAGAGATATCAAGTCGAAAGACGATAGGTACGCTAAAAGTTCTTTGAAAATTTTCTATAATTATTTTTTTAATACTAATTTCAATTTAGTAATCTGAGAAATTAAATTTAAACCACATTTAAAAAGTTATTCGTCATATTTGTAATTTGGCAGCAAATTAATTTTTTTTATTTTTATCAGCAATTCTTTTTTCTTTTATGGATTTTTATTTAATAATTTTGGTTTTTATTTTGTTTTCTTCTTATTAACTGACGAGTCTCGTTTATTAATTTTTTTCTTTGTATTTGTATTTTTTAATTACATAGTTTTTATTTTTATTAACCAACGAATATCTTCCCAATTTTTTTCTTTCACTATTTAATAATTTAATTAGTTTTTTTATTTTGTTTGTATTTTTATTAACCAACAAGTCTCGTTCACCACAAAATTATTTTTTGTATTTTTATTTAATAATTTAATTAGTTTTTTATTTTTTGTTTTTATTCTTATTAACCAACAAATCTCGGTTATTGGTACAATTTTTTTCTTCTGTCTTTTTATTCAATAATTTAATTAGTTTTTATTTTAATTTTGTTTTTGTTCTTATTAACCAACGAGTTTGGTAATTTTTCAGGTACAGTTCTTTGGAAAAGGAAGTGTCACGGTGTAAGGAGAATCATGGAGAAACGGAAATCTTGTTAGGAGCGCTAAGCGCTTTACAAGAAAAAAATACTCATCTTGAAAACAGCTTAAGTGCGGAAACTCGCATTAAGCTCGATCTCTTTTCCGCTCTTGGTGAAGCTAAACGTCAACTCGAAATCAAAGAGAGTAAGTTGACTTTTTATTCTACACTCAATCAACTTAATTATTAATTTCAAAAACCCTTATCGAAATCTAATCCATTTTTCTTTCTTAGTTTATTTATTAGAAATGTTTCTTAGTTTATTCATTAGAAATCTTTCTCTATTTATTCGAAATCTTTATCAATCTTTATTTATTGGAAATCAAGAGAAAAAAATCTGTCCTCATGTAAAGTTAGTGTTGTTTTATTCCAATTTATTTTGTTTTATAGTTGGAATTGTTATGTCAAAAGTTTGACAGTTAATTAATTTTTTTTCGCAGGGATTCAATTATTTAAAAAAGTTTTAATAAAATTCTATTCAAGAATTCAATTATTTCCAGAAATAATTAAATTGTCGATGTACTGAAATAATCATTGAATTCTTGTAAAGTATTTATTAAAAAATTTGAAAATTAAATTCTTTTTAAGAATTTCATTAAATTTTGTAAAAAAATGTAATTTTTTAAAGTTATTTTAATTACTAAATTATTGAAAATAATTGAAATTCTCAGAAGAATTTTATTATTTACAAAAATAATTGAATTGTTTCGAAGAATTTTACAATTTATAAAAATTATTGAATTGTTTCGAAGAATTTTATCAGAATTGTTGAAAATTATTGAATTTTTATTAAAACTCTTGAAAATAATTGAATTTCAATAATATTTCTTAAAATAATTGTATTCTTTCGAGAAATGTTATCAAAATTGTATTAAAAATATGTGAATTCCATCGAAACATTTTATTATTTATGAAAATAATTGAATTCCTTTGAAGAATTTTATTATATTTATGAAAATATTTTCATTCCTGCAAAGAATTTTCTTATTTATGAAAATAATTGAATTCTTGCCTATGATTTTACAATTCATAAAAATAATTGAATTATTTCGAAGAATTTTATGTGAATTTTTAATTTTTATAAATACAATTGAATTTTTTGAAGGAATTTTATTAAAAGTTCTGAAAATAAAATTTTTTTAAAAGAAGTTCATCAAAATTGTTGAAAAGAATTGAATTTATATTGAAATTCTTGATAATAATCAATTTCAATTAATATTTTTAAAAATAATTGTATTTCGAGAAATTTTATTAAAATTGTATTGAAAATAATTTAATTTGCTCTAAAGAAATTTATTATTTATGAGAATAATGAAATTCTTGTTGAATACCTAATAATAAACAAGACTATTTCATATTCTGTACTTAATAAGTGAATTCTTTAAATTTTGAATCTGTTTTCATTCAAAAATTGATGTTTATTCTTGAAAATATAGAATTTTGGAATTTACAAAATAATAATAAATATAATTTAGCATTCTGCGCGTATCATTTGCTCGTTTTTATTATTAATAATAATAATTATTATTATTATATTATATTATTAATAATAATATAATTTCAAAAAGTAAATTTTGTAAAGCAACAATGGTAACGAAAATATTTTTGATAGTTATTATAACAATTGATTAATAAAAATTCTTTTTTCTCCAGGTATGATTAGGAATCAAGAGAAAGAGGTTGAGCTGCTAAAGGCGAAAATTGCGCAAGACTTGGCTGTGATGCCGCAGGACACATTTGGATCGGCAACAACCTGCACGACGTCGAAGCTCCGTCTCGGTAATGACGTCAGGGTTGGTACGAAACTTCGTGCAAGTGATAATTCCTGTCCGGGATGCACAGTTTCAAATCTCGATCCCAATGCAACGGCGTACACACCTAAAGGCTCGTTAATAACGTCTACGGAAGCTTAAGAAAGAAAAGAAGAAGAAAGAAAAAACACTCACAAAGTAAGAAAACTAGAAAAAAAAACAGCTTCCTAAAATTCCAATATGTGGAATTTTTTGTGCACTTTTGAAAAAAGAATTCGATTTTTGTCCCTTGTGGGTAAATTCCCCTTTAAAACCACCCCCCGTTTTCTTTTTATACCTAAAATTACTCAAATCTCGAGTTTTTTTATTTTTCATCTCTTTCTTTTTTAATTCCTGACACTCGAGATTAAGGTTTTTTAATTCTATTTTTCTTTTCGAAACCCAAAGAAAAAGAATATTCTCAAAAAGTGCGCTTTGCCTTGAGAAAAAGAGAAACCTTACCAAAATGGCTAAAAAAAAAAATCGATTCCTAAATCTCCGGTGAATTTTCCACTGTCAGTGGCTTCAAAAATTTGAAATTTATATGCTGTGAGTTGTTCACGCAAGAATTTAATTTCTTTTTCTTTTCTTTCTCAGAAACTTATTTTTCTTTTAATAGTTTCTTTATTTCAGTGTTTGGGAAATCACTTTAAAACTAAAATCCCGAGGAAAAAAAAACACGCTTTTAAAAAAAATACTCACATGAAGGGAATTTATTTATGAAATTTTTCTTTAGAATTGAAAATTTGTTGGGTGTGTTGTGTAATTAAAACTTTAAAAAAAAGGACATGAAATGTCACTGTTGAATATCGATTTGAAAAATCAAGGAATCAAAAAACAAACTACGTTTTATTAGGATTTTTCGTCAAATTTTGGTCTATATACATTTTTCTTTTGTAATGTATAAAAAGAATTCTCTTGTAAATTGAATTTCTCAAACGATTTTTAAATCGTTAACCGATTCTTGACAATCTACTCACAGCATATGCTAATCATTGCATATTTTTGCGACTCAAGTCGCACTCCGAAGCTAGTCCATCGTATAAAATAATTATTAAAGAGAAAAAAAGAAAACAATCATTGGGCGTATTAAAAGCCATGTCATTTTAACATCATTAAAACAGCCATCTACTCATAAACAGAATAAAACAAAAAACAAAAGGAGGAGTTCGTCGTTCGCAAAGAAACAGGATTTAGGCTTCTTGTTCTCATTGTTATCGTTCTACTCACATCATTTTCAACTCAGTCAAAAACTGTCTCGCTCTCGCTTCTCTTTTAAAACCGACTTTTCATTTTATCACTGGCTTTATTGAATTTTTTTCCCCTTTTTCTTCTTTTATCAGCTATGATAGAATTTTGAATCCCAAAAAAAAAAATGATTTGAATCTTTTAAAAGTTTGCAACTTGAGAAATGTTTAATTTTTTTTTTTTTTTTGACTGGAAATAATTTTATTCATTTCGATGATTAGAAAATAGAAAGTAGTTGCAATTAAGAAACTAAAATTGTTTTAATATAGAAAAAATCTTGTAAAGGATAATTAATTAATTGAACAATTAATTATTCTTTACAAGATTTTTTCTCTATTAAAACAATTTTTTTTTTGTCTTGAAATGGAAAAAAATTCAAGAGGCCGGTTAATTGAGGAAAAAAAATCATCTACTAGACATCATTTCATAAATGTAAATACACGGCATTGTCATGACAATTAACTTATTACGTGTTGTAATGGCAGTAAAAGCCGACTAGTCAGAAGAATGAGGTTCTGTGAGCACAAATAAATTTAGATGTTTAGTGAATGTAACTCCTTTTTCTAAAAATCTTTTTCTGAGTCGATATCTTCGCTACAAAAACACTCTCTCTTTTTTTTCGTTGAAAGAAGTCTTTCAAACAGAAATTCCAAATTAATAATTAATAATATTAATTCAGAATTTCAAAAAAAAAAATTGTGATTTGTGCTCACAATTGCGCACTTTTTTTTTTACTCTTACGGTCGATTAATTAAGGACTACAAAAAATTACCTTCTAAGCTGCAAGGCAAAAAAAAAGAGATATTTGCGTGTCACAGTCGTTCATTGTACAAGGTTGTTATTTTTTAATCTATTTATTGACTAAGGAATCGTTCTTAATTAGTTTCGCCAAATGCTAAGAACTTTGATTTTGAAGCAATTTTCTCATTTATTAATAATTAGAACAAATTTTGGGTTATCCCAAATTTTTCTACAACTGTAAAGCTTTCGACAATTTTTCGTTTCTAAAATTGCTTACAGTCATTGCGATTTAAAAAAACGAGCTTTCGACAAAAAAAAAAGATATTTATAAACCTTAGGAAATAAGAGAATTTAACGAAACGAAAAAAAATTATTTTGTTTCGAACAGTGATAGAAAAGCTTTAGCTTTAGCTTTTTTTTTTGTTCCGTTTTAAAAAGCGAACAATTTTTTATTTAAAAACAAATTTTTTCGTATTAAGTTTTCCAAATTTTATCGCTTTAAGTAAATAAACTTTAAGCTATTATCCCGAAATTGTTAAAATCGAGGTTAAAACTCTGTCTGTTGAATTTAATTTAAAAAAGTTCATAGAGTGTAAAATTTATAAAAATTAGGATTTTAACGTTTTTTTTAATCGTTTTTTTATAATTTAAATCTTTTTCCGAAAGATTGGGAAAATTTTTATTAAAAGCCAAAAATTGATTATAGTTATTTTGTAACTGTAGAATCTTGAATCTCTTTATAATTAATTAATCTGTATTGTTTAAATTTTCTTGTAATTTTTTCAAATTAATCCAAATTTTCGATTTTTGAAATGTTTTTTTTTCTTTTCAGTTTTAATTCATGGGAATTGAATTTCAAATTTAAAAAATCGAAAAATGTAGAATATAACGAAAAGTGATAGAAAAGCTCGTGATTAAATCGAAATTTTTTTGTTTGTTTAATTTGTTGCTTCAAGAAAAAGAATTCTTAGCGAAGCTATTTAATCGTACTTAGTCGATTAAAAGTTCGTTTGTGATATTTTTTATCTACGATATATAAATATAATTACATTAATCCTGCCTTTTGTAATTTTTGAAAGAAAAAAAAATGTGGGACGTTTTATTTAATTTATGATTAATTTCATTTGGAAAAAATTAGATAAGTTCATTTTCTTTATCTATTCCAGTACTTTTTTTTTATTTGCTATTTTACATTTTTATTGTTTAAAAAGCGATTTTTTTCGCGAGAATTGTACTTAATGTAATTCTTTTTTTTTACTCTCTACAAACACTCTCTTTTTATTAATATTATTAATTAAAATATAATTCATTATCTAGATAGTTCAAAGGTTAGCACAAATTTTGGGTGAAACGGTTTTATTCCGTTACCTGCTTCCCATTCTCGAAAGACTTCATAATATTATTTCGACAAATATCAATAGAATTAGTTATTTATCTCATTAAATATTTATGTCAAGTACTTTTAGTTCATTGTTTGATGACAATAAAAGTTGATTGTTGTACTTGCGAGAAAGAGATTTAAAAAAAAAGTTGTCAAGAATAAATGAATTCACGAAATTTTTTTTTGTATTCTAATTATTAATTTTTGTCATATTTAATATTTCTAAAGAATTATTATTCGAAATTTGAAAACTTATTTTATTTTCGGAAAATAGGGAAAAAATTCGTTGAATTCATTTATTTGGAAAATAATTACCGATTTAATTGTGTAAAGCGCTTCCAACAATTTCACGATGTACTTATTTGTATATTTTTTAATTAGACTTAAGTTAATAATGGCAAAGGGCAAAGGACTGGCTTTATAAATTTGCCAAGTCATTGATCTCACAAAGTTAACGACAAGACACGCAAATTACCTCTCAAAGTGATTACTTATATTTATATTTAAATAAGCTGAATGTGGTGGATTCGACTCAGTTTTTCAGTTGAAAATGTTCTTTTTTTTCCCTCCGCCCTCTCTTAGTTTTTGTATTTTCAAAATAGAAATAGAAATTTTGTCACGATTCAATTTGTAAAAAGGAAAAAAAAGAAAATGTAACTTAAATCTTCCAAAAAAAAAAGGTTTTCAAAAATCTAATTTTTTTTCGGCTCGTTCGCCTTTTCTTTGCGAAAAGAAAATAAATGGGAAGATTCAAGAAATTTAATTTTTAATATAAACAAAGTAAATTGAATACTTTGAAAAAAATGAAAAATATTGGAGAAAATTATTTTTTCCTCTAGAGAGAAAATTTGTTTTTCTCTTTTTTGACTGATCATTAATACGATCCGTTATTAATAATAATTAATAAATTGCGTATCGCTTAGATTAAGAATGCACGATTTCATTTCGAATTAAAACTCGAAAGTACAAAGTACATGAATCAAATACAAAAAAAAATACATCAGAAGACTAGAAATTTAAAAAAGAAATGCAAGAAACGCATTGTCGAATCGTAATTTTTTTCAGTTAACTCTGTTAATTTTTCTTTTTTGCAAAATGTAAATAATGTATGAACTTCGAAAGATGGACATCGCTCTCCTTTTCTAAATATAGCGTACTTTTCGTGGTGAAAAAAAAGAAAGAAATTTGAAAAAAAAAATGTTTTCGGCACTTTCTGCCAGAGTGCAAAAAACTATTTGTTTAAGTTTTGTGTTTCTCTTTATTTTGTAAACCGTCGAATCGATATGCGAACGCAAAATTAAAGAGTTACACAAGTAACAGTGAGTTCAACGAGAATTTGATATCGATGAAATGTGAAATAGATTCATCAATTTTTTTTCGTTTTTTTTTTCATATACCGATCTTGATCTTTCACAGTGTATTATGTATCATCTATTACGATATAAATATTTATTAAAATAAAAATTCCAAACCAAAAATAAGTTTCTTTTTTCCTCCTTTCAAATCTATATCACATTTATTTACGAATTTCCTTAATTCGGAAACTTTTTAATTAAATATTCAAATTAGAAAATAAAAACTTGAAATAATTATAAAAAATTTCGCTTAAGCTTTTTGAATAAAATTAGTTGCATAGAAGTTTTAATTAAAAGTATGAAAAATTTAGATTTCCAAAGATTTTAATTTGAAACCTTTACAAAATTCAATTATTTCTAAAAACTGCAATTACTAGTAAATTCTCCAAAATTCAATTATTATCTAAAACTTTAACTAAAATTAATTTTTAAAATCAATTTTTTTTATTGAATAATTGAATGTTTCTTGAAACTGAATTCTCATTAAAAAATTTTATCAATAGATTTTGACAAAATTGAATTTTTTTGACATCATTGTATTAAAAATAAGTAAATTCTTAAATTATAAAGAATTTTATCAAAATTTTTTACAAAAATTGAATTACTACAAAAAATTTTATTATTTAAAAAAAAAATTAAATTTTTTCAAAGTATTTAATTAAATTTTTTTCTTTTAAAGAATTTTAATGAAATTTTTAAAAATAATAAAATTTTTGCTAGGAATTTTATTCAAATTATTTAAAATAATTAAATTACTGCGGAGAATTTTATTAATTATTATAAAAATAATTCAATTCTCATAAAAAATATTATCAAATTTTTCAAATAATTGAATTTGTTCGAAAAATTTTATTAAAATTCTTTAAAATAATTTAATCCCAGGGAAAAAATTATTAATTATGAAAATAATTGAAATTTTTGCTAAGAATTTAATTAAAATTTTTCGAAAATAATTGATTACTTCACAGGAATTTAATTAAAAATTAATTTAAAATACTTCAATTCCCATAAAAAATGTAATCAAAATTATATAAATACAAAAATACAAAAATGATTGAATAATAGAATGATTCTTAAAATTGAATCTTATACATAATTTTTATAACAAATTTTTAAAAAATTGAATTCTTTCGACGAATTTTAATAAATTTTTTAAAAATTATTACATTTTTCGAAGAATTTGATTAAAATTGTATTAAAAATAATTGAAATTCTGAAATTCGTTTTATTATAATTATGAAAATAATTGAATTAGGTATTGCCAAGAATTTTGTAAAGAAGTTTTAAACAATTTGTTTTTTTCGAAAAAATTAATGAAAATTCTATTTTTAATAATTATTGAATTCCTGTGAAATTTTTATTAATTTTAGAAAATAATTGAATATTCATGTAGAACTTTGGCAAAATTGTTTTTAAATAATGGAATTCTTTTGGAAATTTTTATTAAAATAATAGATACACGAATTATTGAATTAAGAAAAATTTTGCAATGAATTTTATTAAAATTTTTGAAAATAATTGATTTTTATTACTTTTGAAGATAATTAAATTCTTCTGATGAATATTCTTATTTATGAAAATAATTGACTTCCTCCGAATTTTATGAAATTCCTACGAATTCAATTATGAAAGTAATTAATTCCCTAAAATGAATTTTAAAAATTATGAAAATAATTGAATAGCTGCGAAGAATTTAATGCTAAATTTAAAAATTTTTGATTTTCTCGAAAAAACTTTTGCAAATTCTGTATTTTAAAAAATTGAATTCTTATGAAATTTTCATTTTTTTGGAAAATAATTGAATGTTTGTGTAGAATGTTATCAAAATTTTTGTTTAATAATTGAATTCTTTTGAGAAATTTTATTAAGATAGTAGAATACTTAAAATCATTAAATTAAGAAAAATTTTTGATATTAATAGAAATTTTATAATGAATTTTATTAAAATTTTTGAAAATAATTGAATTTTGCAATGACTTTTATTAAAATCCCTGAAAATAATTGAATTTTGCTATTCATTTATAAAAATAATTGAAATGTTGATGACAATTTGTTTTTAGATTTTTTGAAAATAATAGAATTTTTGCGAAGAATTTTATTAATTTTCAAAAATAATTGAATTCTTGCGATGAATATTCTTATTTATGAAAATAATGAAATTTTACAAAAATTCCTAAGTATAATTGAAGTTTGACGAAGAATTTTGCGATTTATGTATAAAGATAATTGAAATGTTAACGAGAATTTGTTTTAATTTTTGAATATAATTAAATTTATGGAAAGAATTTTAATATTTATTAAAATAGTTGAATTCTTTCAAAGAATTGTTTAAAGATTTTAAAAATTGAAACATTAAATGATTGATAAGTAATATAACTTTATGGCAGTTCTTCAATAGAATTAAGTTATTTAAAATAAATTATTATCAGAAGTAGAAAAAATTTAAGATTTTTTTTTAGAATTAGTGATAATTTCATAGTTTTCGAGGCAAACGAAAAGAAAAAAAAATTCTCAATTTTCTTATAAATTCTAAACATTTAATTTTTTCCTGCGCTTTTAATAAAAATCCCTGAATTTTTTCTGATCAATATTCTACTTTTCCTGAAAAATGTGAATTAAAAAAGGATTTTTGCAAAGAATTGTGAAAATGAATTAACAAACTTTCAAAATTTATTATACTTAAAGTTTATTTCTTACGAATAAGAAGTGGAGACAGTTTATCTGTTTGATTTAGCGACACGCTCAAGTTCGTCCTTCTTCTTAATGGCATAAGAATTTGATGAACCTTTCGCAGCGTTAATCAGCTCGTCGGCCAAGCATTCTGCGATTGTTTTAATATTGCGGAATGCAGCTTCCCTGGCTCCAGTGCAAAGTAACCATATTGCTTGATTAACACGTCTCAATGGAGAAACGTCAACTGCTTGACGTCTCACAGTACCCGCACGTCCAATTCTCGTTGAATCTTCCCTTGGTCCTGAATTTATAATCGCCGTAACGAGTACCTTTATCAAAACAAAAAAAATACAATTATTTTTCCGAAAAATGACAAAAAATAGATCAAATAGATAAAAATACACAAAGAAAAATTTTTACCTGAAGGGGATTTTCGCCAGTCAACAAATAAATGATTTCAAACGAATGCTTCACAATACGCACGGCCATGAGTTTTTTACCATTATTACGACCATGCATCATGAGCGAATTGGTGAGACGCTCAACAATGGGACATTGGGCCTTACGGAAACGTTTAGCCGCATATCTGCCTGCAGAGTGAGGCAAATATTTTGCATTCTTTTCCTTCACGGCAATGTAATCCTGCAAAGACATATCACTGACTTGCACATCCTCGCAATTCCAACGTCCAAAAAGTTTAATCTCCGGTAATTCCGCCGACCATCCGGCTGGCATTGTTTCGGTCGTCGCTCCGAAATCATCAAACGTCTCCATATTATCTGCCATGGTGAATCTAGAAAAACAAAACAAATTGATAATTACTTTCAACTCACCTAAAAAAAATACGATAAAAAATATATTTCTCCCGTAAAGTTATAAGCCGCAGAGGAATTCACTTTCTACATTCATTTTGAGGTTAGGAAATCAAGAAGGACTTATAAATAAATAAAATCGAAAAACAATTTAACCGAGTAATTTCAATAAACAACAGTGCTGGAAATAGCAAGAAAAGTAAATAATAATAAACAAAAAGACGATATAGAGAGGAAAAGAAGTAAATAAATATGCGACGAGTCGAATTCGCGTGATACATGAAATTGATTCACCTGGTAAAACTTAATAACTACACGGAAACACTTTTTTTAAATTTTATTTTATAAAGAAATACTTGAAATTTATTCAGGGACACTAAACAATTAATTTTTTTTATTTTTCTTACCGTTAATTTGTCAAATAACGTCTCTGTGTTTCAACCACGTGTAAAATGACGGAGGCGTACACAGGAAAAGACCATATGACGGGCGGAAGTAACCACACGAGTCAGATTATTCAAAAGCGAGAAATTTGAAAGTTTATAATAAAATTTTATTGTTAAATTTAAAAACAATGTCTAAAATTTGTTCATTTATTTATCCTCTTTATTATTCTAAACTAAATTTTCAATTTCTTTTTAATTTTAATTTTGTTTACAAAGTATTTTGTAAGCAATTATTAATTTTTAATAGTAACTATTTATAATAATTTTTAACTTTTACTATTTATGTTATTTTATCAATTTTGATTTTAATTTCATGTGAAATATTAACTTTTCTTGAATTTTTTATTAGTTTGTAATATTTATATTATTTTAGAATTTTTTTTTATCATTTTTTTCCTACGGACATTTTTTTACCAGTAATTTTCTTTGTTTAATATAAAATGTATAAAATTAAACACAAACAACTTATATATTATAGAATCGTAATTAAATAACTATTTAACAGATAATTCTCTAATTATTTTAACCCACAAATTAAGAAAACTCATCAGCTTCTGCCACTTCTTAATTCAAAATCATAAAATCCTAATACGATTTAAGCATTTCTAACCGCATTTTCATCAGTAATTTAAAAAATCGTATCAGGAATATAGAATGCTGTGAGAAGTGGCACAAGTGTCAACTAATCAGAATGCACCTTTAAGTTTCACTAATATTTGAGCCCGCGAAAATTTGAAATTAATTAAAGTAAAATTCTGATTGGCTGACAAACGTGCCACCTCTGTTTGTTTCTGCTACTCCTAATATTTCCCGCTAGAATATAAAGCAAAGGTTAAAGAAGCATTCTGATTGGTTGACATTATGCCACCTCTCATATTGTCCTATGATCCTGATACGCTTCTTTCAAATTTTGAATGAAAATGTGCCGGTAATTCTAACTTGAAAGTTAATATAAAATGTCTATAAAAGTTATAAAAAAAACAATTTCTACTTTATTATTTATTTAAATTGAATTTATTACAACTAAATAAATTATTTATACGTTTATAATTAATTAATGTAATGAATTAAAGTATTTTATTAATAAAATTAATTCACAATTTGTTTATTATTTGTAAACAGCAAACTATGCAAAAATTGATTTTTTTATTGTTATTTATTTATTAAATATTGTATGAATTCTCATGAATGAAATAAGAAGGATTTTTATTTAATTAAAGCATTTTTTAAATTTTTGTTGCAATTTGTAAAAATAATATTTATAATAAAATATTTATAAATAATTAATAATAATAATAAATAATAATAAAATAATAATTATTATTATTAACAATATTTCAAACTAATCATTAATAAATAATAATAAATAATTATTAATACCTAAATAATTGAAAATCAAAAATATAAATAACAATTAAATCAATTATTAGAATTACTATTAATTTATATCCTCAGTTATTAGTAAAAAAAATTATTTTATTTGTATTTTTAAAAAAATTATTAAGAAAATAATAATATATTTAAATAATTATAGTAAATTATCTTTTAGTGATTGATTAAAATACAAAATATTGAATTTAAAAAGTTTTTATAACATTTCTTTATTTCCTTTTGTTTTTTCTATTTTCTTTTTTTTTAATTCTTTTTTTACTGTTTTATAATTTTTATTTCCTTAAATTAATAAAATTATATTTATCAGTATAAATATATTTTATGAACTCATTTCTACGTTTAATTTTATTTATACAGTAGTGCCACTTCTTATTTTAATATACATAGCCTCTAATACATTCAATGCAGTGAAAAGGCTATTTTCTCAGTTGAAATATGACAAAATCGTATCAGGAGTATAGAATGATATGGGAAGTGGCATAGTGTCAGCCAATCAGAATAATCCTTTAGGTTACTACTACTGCTGTGCGGGAAAATTCAAAAGTACATTAAGCAGCTTTCTGATTGGTTAAGAATAATGCCACCTCTGTTTGTTTATACTGCTCCTAATACTTCCCACTGTATTGCAAGTCAAGTCTAAAGCAGCATTCTGATTGGTTGATACTATGCCACCTCTTATATTATTCTATGATCCTAGTACGAATCTTTCAAATTTTGAATGAAAATTTGCCGGTAATTCCTATAACGTATTAGGATTTTATGTAACTCAAAAGAAGAAGTAGCACAAAATGTACTTGGAGTTTTCTCGAATTTTAGATGTTAAAAATCATCTATTAATTAAATAATTATGTGTAATAACTATTATTGCTTTATAAAAAATTAGATTTTATAATTAAAACCGTGAATAATATTCTTAAATATAACAGAACAAGTGACAGAAATGTCGATTAGATTCTAACCTCAAAGTTATGACTTGTTATAAAAAACAGTCTGTACTTTATTTATTCTCTATTTATTTATTTGTTTAAATAAATAAAGAAAACCATAAATAATATTTCTAAATAACAGAAATAATAGAAATGTCAACAGATTCTAACCTCAAAGTTATAAACTGTCAAAATTTGTTACAATAAAAATCTCTAATTTCTTTTTCTCTCTCTATTTTTGTTTATATTGGTTATATTTGTTTGTCTTGTTTAATCACAGACAATATTTTTAAAAGTATTTAAATAACAGAAATGTCAACAGATTCTAACCTCAATGTTATCAACTGTCAAAAGTTATTCATAAAAAAAACTATTTCATTTCTTGGACAATTGTTTAATAATCGAATAAATTTTTTAATATTTTGAATTACATATTAATTAAAAAAATTATTAAGAAAATAATATTGTATTTAAATAATTATAGTAAATAATTTTATATTTTAGTGATTATTGATTAAAAAATAAAAAATATTGAATTTAAAAAGTTTTTATAACATTTTTTTATTTCTTTTTACGAATTAAAAATTCTTTTTAATTATAATTTTTTGAATTATTAATCAACAATTTTTAATTATTACAAAACCTTTGCAATTTTAAGAAATAATTAAAAATAGAATAAACATCAAATAGATTTTTGAACAATGGACAAAATTTATTTCATTATTTAAATTTCTCTGTTTACAAAATTTTCTGAATGCACATAATTTTTTTTTTGTTAAATATTTATAATAGAAAAATTGTTCACAAATTTTAAGTACAAAAAAAAAAGAATAAATTAATAAATTAACATTCTAATTCTCTTACAATATTCACAAGCTTTATTTACAAACAAAGAAGTCGAGAACAATTACTCACTTCATTCTTAAATTTATTATTTTTTTTATGAACATTAAATAGTGTGATTTTTCATTAAAATTACAGACATTTCACCTTTTATAAAAAACAATTCTCTCTTTTTTGCAAGTGAAATTAGCAAACATTTTTCTATTTAAAAAAAAATGAAGGAATTTTATATAATATTTTTTTTTTTGAATAAATATATGTTTTTTTCTTTCTTATTATTATTTAAAAATTAATAATCTTTTCTCTTTTATTCAGAATCATTTAAATTCATTTCTAGTTTATAGAATCAAATTTTTTTTTTCCTATTTTGTTTCGAAATATGATACAAATTTTAATTTAATTTTTTTTTTTTTTAATGGATTATGAAAATATATTATTGAAGCACTGCGGCGTTAGCAGCTATACTAGGATTATTAACCACTTCTCCCAAACTCTCGAGTAATTCTTTTCTATAATCATCGAAATCACCATCAATTTCATTGATTTGTTGATTTTCAATGACATAGAGACAACAATCAGTTTCTCTTATTAGTCTCTCGTCGTGAGTTACAATAATAACTCCGCCCTTATATCCATTAATTGCTTCGGCCAAGGCATCAATTGATTCAATATCTAAATTATTTGTCGGTTCATCAAGAATCACGACGTCAGGTGCATTTAAACAAAGTTCAGCCAACGCAACACGCGCCTTTTGTCCTCCTGATAAATCTTTCATTTTAATTGTATGAGCATGTGAACTGAGACCAAATGTTCCCAATTGTTTTCGCGCTTTTTCATAAGGCAAATCAAAAAGGCGCATTAAATATTCCGATGGTGTTTCCTCTGCCGTTAAATGCTCACCCGAGTGCTGATCAAATCTTCCTATTCTCTGTAAAAAACAATTCTTTTTTTATTCTTCAAATAAAAATCAATTGAAAAGATTTTTACAAAATTTCATTTAAATAATTTAATTAATTTAATTAATTCATTTAATTAATATACAAAATTTAATTTGACAAGTTCTTTCTCTTTACTTACCAGACGGTGATTTTTTATTAATTCTCCTTTCATGGGAGTTAAATCAGCCATTAAGAGTTTTAAGAAGGTTGATTTTCCCACTCCATTGGGTCCGACAATGGCAACACGGGAATTCAAATCAATTCCAAAATCGGTTTCAATTAGAAGTGACTTTTGTCCATCATAAGCGAATGTCACATCTGAAAACAAAATTGGATCAAGTTTTGAAAAATTTGAAAATAAAATTTAATTTTAACAATTAAGTAATAGATTAAACAGAGTTGCAACAAAATTTAACTTTGTTTCTTCTCTGATTTCCAGACAAAATTTCGACTTTTTCCATGACCCTAAAGAATATTCTGATTCATTCTAAAAATGATTGGAAACTAAAAAAATATTCTATACTTTTATTTGCGAATTTCTCTAAAAATAAAATTATTCGGAAACATCAATAACTTCATTTTTAAATAAGTACATATAATAATATATCTTGTTCATTATTATTAAAAAATTGTAATAAAATTTGTCGCAAGAATTTCATTATTCTCATAATTCATAAATAATAAAATTCTTTAGAGCAATTCAATTATTTTTAATACAATTTTAATACAATTTCTCGAACGAATACAATTATTTTAAAAAATATTAATTAACAACAATTTTAATGAAATTCTTTTAAAAAATAAATATTTTGAAAATTTTTAATAAAATTCCTTCAAACAATTCAATTATTTTCAAAAATTCAAATAAAATTCTTGGAAATAATTCAATTATTTTTATGAACTGTAAAATCCTCCGCAAAAATTCAATTATTTCAGTAAATAAGAAAATTCTTCGCAAGAATTAAAATATTTTCAAAAATGATAAAATTCTTCAAAGGAATTCAATTATTATCATAAATAATAAAATGTTTCGAAGGAATTCAATTATTTTCAATACAATTTTTAATAAAATTTCTCGAAAGAATACATAATTATTTATTTAAAATCAAATTGATAGGAAATTCTTCATTTAAATAAATATTAGAAAATAAAAACTACTAATAATTTCAAAAAAAATCAAATAAAATTTGTCGAAAAAATTAGTTTCACAGAATTTTTAATTTAAAAGTATGAGAAAAATTCAGATTTTCAAAGATTTTAATTTAAAACCTTTTCAAAATTCAATTATTTCTAAAAATTCACACTATAATGCTTTTAATATTGAATTATTATCTAAAGTTTTAACTGAAATTCTTTTTTGAAATAAACTTTTGTTAGAAAATTATTCTACAAGAAATCAATTATTTAAGTAGAAAAATAAATAATTTATTGAATAATTGAATGTTTCTTAAAATTCAATTTTTATGAAGAATTTTATTAACAACTTTTGAGAATAATTAATTTCTTTTAAGGAATTTAATTAAAATTTTACTGAAATTTATAGAATTAAAGAATTTTATCACAATTTTTGAAAACAATTAAAAATTTTTGAAGAATTTAATAAAATTTTTAAAAATACAAATTGAATTCATGGGAAGAATTTAAATAATAATTGCATGCATGCGAAGAATTTTATTAAATTTTGATTAAATAATTGAAATATTGCCAAGAATTTTTATTGAAATTTTTGAAAATAATTCACTTCTTATAGAAGAAATTCGCTACCTATTTATAAAAATAACTTAATTCTTGACGAGAATTTTTCAAAAATTTTGAAAATAATTAAATTTCTGCAAAGTATATTTTATTACTTTTCAAAAGAATTGAATTCTTCTGATAAATTTTAATATTTATCAAAATAATTAATTTTGTAAAAGAATTTTATTAAAATTCCTTAAAATAATTGATTTTATGGAAAGAATTTTGTTGTTTACCATGATAATTGAATTATTTTGTAGAATCACATAAAAATTTTTGAAAACAATTGATTTCCTGCGACGAATTAAAAGTTATGTATGAAAATAATTGAATTATTGCAACAAACTTTATTATTTTATTAAATAATCAAATGATTCTTAAAATTGAATTCTTTTGTCGTGTTTTAATAAAATTTTTAAGAATAAATTGCATTTTTCGAGGAATTTATTTAAAATTGTATTAAAAATATTTGAAATTCTGCGATGAAAATAATTGAATTCCTAAAAGAAATTGTATTTTATTTATAAAAATAATTAAATGCTTTCGTAGAATTAAATCAAAAATTTTTTTTCAATTAAATTTTGTGATAAATTTTATAAAAATAGTAAATATTGAAAATCATTGAATTACGAAAAACTTTTGAAAATAATTGAAATTTTGCAAAGAATTCTATTCAAATTTTTTGAAAATAATTGAATTTCTGGTGAAAAATTTTGCTATTTATAAAGAAAATTGAATTATTGACGAGATATTCTTTAAAATTTTTTTAAATAATTGAATTTCTACTTTTTAATAATTGAATTTTATTACTTTTGAAAATAATTGAATTCTCGTGATGAATATTGTTGTTTATGAAAATAATTGAGTTTTGCAAAGAATTTTATTAAAATTCCTAAAAATAATTGAATTTCAGTAAAGAATTTTGTTATTTATGAAGTTAAAGTTATTTTAACGCAATTGCGTTAAAACTTTTGAAATAATTAAATATAATAAAATTAAAAAATTAATTCGTGTCAGAAATAGAAAAAAAATTTCAAGAATTAGAATTAGTATTAGAATTCGTGGTAACTTCATAGTTTATGAGGCAAACATAGAAGACACCAAAATTCAGAATTTAAATTTTCTTATGAATTCTATAGAAATTTAATTTTTTCCAGTTCTTTTATTAAAAATCCCCGACTTTTCCCTGGTTCCCCTGACCTGTAGCAACCCTGGATTAAATTATTGAGTCAAAAGAAAAAATAGCTTACTATGAAGACCAAGAATCGGTGGCTGAAGAGGCGGTGGATCAGGAAAGCTAAATTTAACAATATAATCCCTAGGCTTTTGTAACAATTCCTGTGGTCCTGTATCCTCCTCTTGTTTCTGTATTTTCGTACGATTCTTCTCCTGTTTCCTCGTGAGTACTTCCTTTTGTTTTTTCTCCGCTTGCTTTTTACTCTGTCCAGCCGCTTTGAGATCCTTAATTTTCTTCTCCTGCTTCTCATAAGCCTTTATCATTTCCTTTCGTTTTTGCTCGTACATTTTCTTAAACATACTATAATTTCCCTTGTAGTAAAATAATTTCAATTGATCCAAATGTATAATATCCGTGCAAACATTGTCGAGGAAACTTTGATCGTGAGAAACTATTAATAATGTCTTTTTCCAGCATTGCAGATAATTATCGAGCCAAATAACGGCATTTAAATCCAAATGATTCGTTGGTTCGTCAAGTAAAAGTAATGTTGGCTCAAGAAAAAGTGCACGCGCCAATGAGACACGCATTCGCCAACCACCGGAGAAATTTTTCGTTGCTCGATTTTGCATTTCACGGGAAAATCCCAAACCCGCTAGAATTCGTCGTGCTCGCGGTTCCGCTGAATCGGCGCCAATTGCCTTTAATTCTTCATAAACCTGGGGAGGAAAATATTTTCTTATTAAAGTAAGAGATTTATCTCGAAATTGATTAATTAGAAAACTTAAATAATTGCAAATTTTTTTATATTAATAATCGGTGTATTCAGGTAATCTCTTCGCAGTTTGAAGTTAGTTCTTAATTGCTTTTCTGTTTCCTAACTTTTTAAAAAAAATTATTTTCTTTTTAAATATTTTCAATTTTAAAGTTAATGTATTGAAAATCATTGCATTCTTGCAAAGAATCTTATCAAAAAATTTGAAGAGAAAAATTGAATTCCTTCGAAGAGTTATTTTATTTAAGAAAATAAATAATTGAATTCTCACGATGAATTTTATTAAAATTTTTAAACATCCGAATTAAATTTTTTTGAAGAATTTCTTTGAATTTTTTTAAAATAATGAAGTTTGTTTAAAAATTTTAATTTAAAATTTTGAAAGCAATTAAATTTTATGAAGAAGAATCTTATTACAATTTATTGTATTGAAAATATTTGAATTCCTGAGAAGAATTTTATTATTATTAAAAATAATTGAATTCTTGCGATGAATTTTACTATTTATAAAAATAATTGAATTTTTACGAAGAATTTATTAAAATTTTAAGGAAATAAATGAATTTTGTGTAAAATATTTGAAAATAATTAAATTCTTTCGAGAAATTCTATTCAAATTGTTTTGAAAAGAATTGAATTTCTGCAAAGAATTTTAGTATTTAGAAAAATAATAGAACTATTGCGAAGAATTTTATTATTTATAGAAATAATTGAAATATTTCGAAGAATTTATTTAAAATTTTAGAAAATAATTGAATTGTGTCGAAGAATTTTATAGAAATATTTGAAAATAATTAAATTCTTTACAGAAATTCAATTAAAGTTGTTTCAAAAATAATTGAATTTCTGTAAAGAATTTAATTATTTTCAAATATTTCTATAAAATTCTTCGACACAATTCAATTATTTTCTAAAAGTTTAATAAATTCTTCGAAACAATGCAACTATTTTTATAAATAATAAAATTTTTTCGTGTCATTTATTTAAATTTGATTAAAAATAATTCAATTCCTGCAAAGAATTTTACTATTTGTAGAATTAATTAAATTCTTGTGAAGAATTTATTAAAATTTTAGGAAATAATTGAAATTTATGGAAATATTTAAAAATATTTGAATTCATCAGAGAAATTCAATTAAAATTGTTTTGAAAATAATTGAATATCTGCAAAGAATTTTACTATATTTATAAAAATAATTGAATTCTTGTGAAGAATTTTACTATTGATAAAAATAATTGAATTGTTTCGAAGGATTTATTAAGATTTTAGTAAATAATATAATTTATTCGAAATACATTAAATTTTTTTTTTAAATTAAATTCTTACGAGGAATTCAATTAAAATTGTATTACAAATATGTAATTGAATTTCTGCAAAAATTTTACTATTTAAAAAATAATTGAATTGAACTTAAATGAAACTCTTCTAAAATTCAATTATTTTTAAAATTTTCAGTAAAAATTCTTTAAAACAATTCAATTATTTTCAAGAATATTGAAATAAATTCTTGAAAACAATTAAATTATTTTCAAGAATATTGAAATAAATTCTTCAAAACAATTCAATTATTTTAAAGAATTTTAATAAACATCTTGCCAAGAATTAAATTATTTTCAATACAATTTTAATTAGATTTTATCGAAATAATTTAATTATTGAAAGAAATGTTGATAAAATTCTTGAAATGAATTCAATTATTTTCAAATTTTTTTATAAATACTTTACATGAATTCAATGATTTTCAGTCAATTTCCAATTTAATTATTTCTGAAAATAATAGACTTCTTAAATAGAATTTTACTAAATCTTTCTTAAATAATTGAATCTATGCGAAACATTTATTTATACAAATAATTTAATTTTTGCGAAATTTAAAAAAATAAGTGAATTTTTGAGAAGAATTTAATTTAAATTGTATTTAAAATAATTGAATTTCTGTGAAAAATTGACTATTTATTGATATTATTGAATTCTTTCGAAGAATTTAAAAAAAAATGTTTAAAAATAATTTAATTTCCCTGGAATTAAATTAAAATTGTATTTAAAATAATTCAATTCCAGCAAAAATTTCATTATTTTTAAAAATAATTGAATTCTTGAATTCGATTTTATTAAAAGTTTTTTAAATAATTTAACTCTTTTGAAAAATTCAATTATTTTTTTAAATAATTGAATTTTGTCAGAAAATTTTTAAAAATAATTTAATTTTTCGAAGAAATGAATTAAAATTGTATTTTTTCGTAAAATTTTTTTGAAAATAATTGAATTTTTGCAAAAATTTTACTATTTAAAAAATAATTGAATTGTTTAGAAGCATTTATTAAAATTTTAGAAAATAATTTAATTCTTTTGTGAAATTTTATAAAAATTTTGTTTAAAAAAATGTAATTCTTCCGAAGAATGTTATTATTTATATAAAAAAAATCGAATTCTTCCGAAGAATGTTATTATTTAAATAAAAATAGTTGAATTCTTACGAAGAATTTATTATATTAAAATTTTTGAAAATATAAACAATAATAATTTATTTTGTACTTAAGAAGTGAATTTTTAAAAATTTTGATTATGGAATTATTTGAAAATTTGTATTTAGAAATAAAAAATTTTGTAATTTGAATAACAATAATAAATCGAATATCACGTTCCGTGCGCTAGTAAAAATAATATTTTTAAAAATAAGACTAACTTCCTGCAGTCGGGATTGAACGGATTCATCACCCTGCTCTGCTTTCTCCTCCAGTTGTTTACATTCGGCTTGTAATTCCTTGCATTTAACATCGGCATTGAGGACATTCTCCACAGCTGGCGTATCATCGGCGACAACTTCCTGTTCACAATAAAGAACGTCGATATTCGGTGGAATCGCGAAAGCTCTTTTTTGAATATGACGCAACAATGTCGTTTTACCATGTCTGGAAATTTTTAATTGAAATAAATTTCATACTTTTTACCAATTTGTTTTTTTGTCTCAAATTGTTTTCTAAATAAAGAATAAAAATTAAATAGAGAAAAAATATAAAAATAAAGAATAAAAATTGCAAATACATGGAAAAGTATTAAAATAAAATTATTTAAATTCTAAATTCTTACCCATTTGGACCAACGAGACCATATCGTCTACCCTGAGCAATGAGCAAGCTGGCATTGGAAAAAAGTTCTTTACCCTTAGCTGCAATACTGAAATTTTCCACTTTAATATCAACGGCATTATCCAATTGTTGTGCACCACGTGTTTGAGGAGCACTTTGAGAAACCGTGAAATTTGATTCCAATTCACTGTGACCCTGTCCACCAGTCTTGGTCATCATTTCCAAAGTTCTCTCATATTCTTGTTGTTTTTTCAATTTCTTCTTTTCCTTATGTGTCAACTTTTTCGTCGGCTCTTCAATATCCATGTCGGATATTTTTTCCGTAACCTCAGATACTTTACTGTTAGTAGACATTATTTTTATTATATTAAGAACCTGGACAGCTTCTTCGAGAACGTGCTCGTTTAAGCACGTGGCGCCACCTAACCTCTAAAAACTTTTGTTCACTTTTGTTTCAAGAACAAAAAATGTTGTACTTCACTTTTCAATGCTAAATTTACTAAAAATATTCTTACAAACAAAATTCTAACTTAAGTTTAAAAAGAGTTTGTATTATTAATAAAAACAGGAGAGTTTAACCTAAGTATGTCACAAACGGTGACAGTTTTAGAATCACACACGGATACACAAACGACACAAACACATGGAAAAGAATGACAGGTCTCTCAGTACAATTCTCTTGTTCAAAAAAGAAACAAATAACATTAACTGAAAATGTTACACACTGATTAACTGTTAAATTACTGATTTTTTTTTATTTTATTTACTTTGATTATTTCTTTTAATTTTGAAACTGATTCAAATTTCCCGTGTTGGAATTTGGAAATACAATGGAGCAGCCTTAAGGTTTACATGAAAACGTGACCGTTTGTTCGTTATTGATGAAAATGCGACCTACGATTATGAATTTAAACGACTGTCAAAACCGTTATTGGAGGGAACAAACAGAGTGAAGCCAAAGAGCTCAAAGAGCTGTTTTTTATCAATTAATCAGTTAAATAAAACTAATATTATGTTATTAGTGCTCTAAAAACAATAATTTGTGAAATATTTTCAATAGTACGTTATCAACTTAAAGAAGAAACTTCAATTTCAGTCATGTTTTTCCAAGTGAGTATCTGCCATTACGTTTGTATCGTTTGTATTTACAATTTTTACTTGTTTCTTTTACGCTTTTACTAATTATCACTACTAATTATCATAACTATTTTTCTATTCTGTTTTTTTATTCAAACTGTTATTTATTTTCAAGTTTTATTAAGTTTTCAGTTTCGTAGTGTATTTTGATTAAATTCTTTTTTCTTACAATCTATACGTTTGTTTGTTTGTTTGTTTAAAAATGCCTCTGTTTCACAGGTAAATGTCACTCCTAAAGAAAAGAAGACTGAGTCTTCTAGAGTTGATGTTAAACCGATTAAAGATTTTCATATAACTTTGGCTCCATTCCAACCGCAGACTCGAATTTCTATGGAAACTCCCGTAAATTCCCAAATAGAATGTTTTTTGCACGTTAATAATACTGGAAATCGTTCTCTAAATGTAAGTATATAAGCATTTCTTTTACAACCGAAAAATTTAGTATGAAATATTTTTTTAATTTTATATTAAATGATACGCGGTATTTCATTTCTTATTTGAAAATTAAAAAATTTTATATTTTCAAGAATAAACATCAATTTTTGAATGATTAGAAATTTTAAATTTAAAGCATTCACTTATTAAGTCCATAATATTAAATATTCTTGTTCATTATTATTCAAAATTTTTTTAAAAATTTGTCGCAAGAATTTCATTATTCTCATAAATAATAAAATTCTTTAGAGCAATTCAATTATTTTCAATAGAATTTTAATCAAATTTCTCCAACGAATGCAATTATTTTTAAAAATATTAATTAAATTCGAATATTTTCAAGAATTTTAATATAAAATCAATTATTTTCAACAATTTTGATGACATTCTTTTAAAAAAATCATTATTTTCAAAATTTTTAAATAAAATTCCTTCAAAAAATTCAATTATTTTCAAAAATTCAGATAAAATTCTTTGAAATAATTCAATTATTTTTATAAAATGTAAAATCCTCCGAAAAATTTCAATTATTTCCATAAATAAGAAAATTCTGCGCAAGAATTAAAATATTTCCATAAATATTAAAATTCTTCAAAGGAATTCAATTATTTTCATAAATAATAAAATGTTTCGGAGGATTTCAATTATTTTCAATAAGTAAAATTTAAATAACACTTCTCGAAAGAATACAATTATTTTTAAAAATATTATTTAAATTCAATTATTTTCAACAATTCTGATAAAAAATTCTTCGAAACAATTCAATTATTTTTGTAAATTGTAAAATTCTTCTGAGAAATTCAATAGGTACAATTCAAATTTCAATACAATTTTTATTAAATTTCTGGGAAAAAATTCAATTATATTCAAGATAATTTCAATAAAATTTCTCTAACAGGTTCAATTATTTTTAAAAATTGTAATAAAATTTTTCTAAACAATTCAATTCTTCTCAAAAGTTTTTAATAAAATTCTTTGCAAATTTCAATTATTTTCAAAATTTTCAATTAAAATTACTTTAAAAAATTACATTATTTTTACGAAATTTAATGAAATTCTTCAATTAAAAAAATGTAATTATTTACAAAAACTCTAACCAAATTGTTTTAAAAATATTAGATTTTCTATGAATAATTTTAATATAATTTAATAGGAAAATTGTTAATTACAATTATTAATAAACACGATTATTTTTTAAACTTAAATGAAACTCTTCTTAAAATTCAATTATTTTCAAAATTTTCAGTAAAAATTATTTTTAAAAAAATTTCTTTATTTACATGAAAATTGAAATCAATTCTTCAAAACAATTCAATTATTAAATTATTCACAGAATTTTAATAAAAATCTTGCCAAGAATTAAGATCTTTTCAATACAATTTTAATTACATTTTCTCGAAAGAATTCAATTATTGAAAAAAATGTTGGTTAAATTCTTGAAATGAATCAAATTATTTTCAAATTTTTTTTATACAAACTTTACAGGAATTCAATGATTTTCAGTCAATCGCTAATTTAATTATTTTTGCAAATAATTGAATTCTTAAATAGAATTTTATTAAAACTTTTTTAAATAATTGAATCTCCGCGAAAAAATTTATTATTTCTACAAATCATTGAATTTTTTCAAAATTTAAACAAATAAGTGAATTTTTAAGAAGAATTTAATTAAAATTGTATTTAAAATAATTGAATTCCATAAAAAATATCATTATTTTTAAGAATAATTGAATTCTTGAATTCGATTTTATTAAAAGTTTTTTAAATAATTCAATTCCTTTGAAAAATCCAATTATTTTTTTAAATAATTGAATTTTCTCGGAGAATTTTTAAAAGATTTTTAAAAATAATTGAAATTTTCGAAGAAATCAATTAAAATTGTGTATTGAAAATACATAAGTGAAGTCATGATAAGAATTTTATGATTTATATAAAAATAATTGAATTTTTTATGAAGATTTTTATTATTTATAAATTGACTTTTTGCAAAGAATTTTATTAAAATTATTGAAAGTAATTAAATTTTATGAAGAATTCAATTATTTTCAAATTTTTTTGTAGATACTTTTCAAGAATTCAATGATTTTTACTGCATTGATTTTAAAATTTTAAACATTTAAAAAAAAAAATTATTTAAAAATTTACAGCGATTATTAATATAGATTGTAGATTGTAATTTTTTCGAAATATTAATTTTTTGCTTTGTTTAAGGTAAATGTAACAAAAAGACCTCCGCCGGAACGGAACGTGGATCTAAGTTTCACTAATGCAATGATTGAAGCAAACAGTGAAATAACTTTAGGAATAACTTGGTCTCCTGCAGAAGCCGGTTCATGGCGTGAAGTTCTCCAACTCACCGATGGTCGTCGTGTAAAATACGAAATTCCTCTCGTGATGCAAGCTCCAGATCTACGTAAAAAAGATCAAAAATCACGTCGCGCCGCTAGGAAGCCCCTCATTCAAAAATCAAATACAACTCAACAATCGTATCCATCTAAAAATGTAATGATTCATCAAAAAGAAGATTGTCAATTAAAGACATTTGACAAAAATCCATTGCAATCAAGAATTAAAAGAACAAGAATCGATTCCTATCTCGATGAGCCCGACAAGGAGAATATAGCAAAAGTTAATGAAAATTTCAACGAACTAACAATAATGAACGAAATGAAAAAGCAACGTAAAGAATTTTTAAATGCCACCGCAATAATATCAACCGATGATTTTGCATTGACACCCGTGAAATTTAATAAAGAAAATACTCAAATAACACAAATTTCCCAAACTAATAACGTGAAATTTTCAATGGCGAAGCAAAGTAAGGAATATAATTTTTCGCCTCAGGAAAGTTTTGTGATAATGGAAGAACGAATTGAAATGAAAACGTTACGTCGTGAAACTTATGTGAAAACACCGAAATATCGTGATATGATCACAATTGAAGAACATGACGAGAGTACAGAAGTTTTTGATGATTCTCTATCACCCACCATTGAAGAGAAATTCAATTTTTCTGGTATTATCGACAATATTAATTTCACACCAAAAGATAATGTTTTTGAATTATCGCCAGACTGTGAAAAATTATCCGATTCTGATAGCAAAGCAAATACAACGTTCGAAATTGTGGAAATGAACGACGAGAAAATTATCCTTCCACCCTCGCCGATAAGAAAACCGTCAACTTTTTTGAAACCAACGCGATTAGCTAATAATTTCGAGGCATTAACACCAATACAACCGGCACCAAAACGAAAAGTTGAATTCGCCTCCTCTTCACTACTCTCAATGGACTGTTCAAATTTTGCCGAGACACCGCGTCGATGCGGCAATACATCGTATCGTGATTTAGATACAAGCACCGTTAAGGATATTCTCGAAGCTGACATGTGGGTGAAACCCGAACACATCGTTCCCGTTCGTCGGGAAAAACGAAAGGAAAATTTGAATGACACTTTTGAACTCGATCCGAAGACTGTTCTTGAAATTTCCCCACCTAAAAAGTGTTCAATTTCGAAGAGTTGTACGTTGGAGATTTCACCTCCGAAATCGAGATTTTCTAGACAATTGAGTCCACGGAAACGAATCGCAAAGAGAATTTCCCCGACGAAAAGTGGAAAAATAGTGAAAAATCACGAGACATCGGTGAAGAAGAAGCAACTTAGTAATTCCTTTAAAACGTACAAAACGTACAAAAATCCAATACCTGGAGTGAAGATTGCAAATCTCTCCCTCTCGGGAATTAGTAGAAAAAAATTAAATCAATCTTTGAGTATCTTGAAGGAAACTAGTGTCAAGCTTCACGATCCCAACGATTTTGTCACGAAATTTTGCAATCCGGATCCGTTCGCAGCAACAATGACAGAAGATCCCTTTCTGTCCAGTACTCTATACTACGATGAGAAATGGGTTCATCACCAGGAAATCGAATTCAAAAAATGGTTAAACACATTGATGACACCGCCCGAGCATTTGAATGCAGACATCGATTCAAATTTGGTCGACATCGGAAAAGTGTGGCAATCGTCAAGAATGCAGGAGGAATGTGTTTTGGCAGAATCGAAGGAATCAATTTCAGCGCGTATTCACACGGACTCAAGACTAAATACCCTGAGAAAAGCCGCTTTCATGATGTTCCGCAATCCCGAAGTCTCGAATATTCTCTCGCGAACGACTGTTTGTGTCGAGAAGGGAATCCTCGTCGTAAGACAAGATAGAGATCTCCATCGTGACATTGGCTTACAAAAAGGAATCCTGGAACTTTTTCTCAGCTACAATCCCCTCTGGTTGAGAATTGGTCTCGAGACCGTTTACGGCGAAACAATTCCCCTTCGTTCAAATAACGATCTCATTGGACTTACTCGCTTCCTCTTGAACCGATTTTTCTCCGATCAGTTTATCGTCAAGCAGCATTCACACCCGACTGTGGTTGGAATGAAACTTGCCACTTTCACTCAGAGTATGAATAAATTCATGCTGAAGAAATTCCTTCTTCTTGTCTTCTTTCTCGATTTTGCCAAATCGAACAAATTAATAGGCCACGATCCTTGCTTGTTCCACAAAAAAGCCCCGCACAAGGAGAGTCGTTCAATTCTTCTTTCATTTTCCCGTGAAGTTTTGAGTGGAATCGGCGACATCACGAAAGTGCTGAAAGCCTACGGTTATATTGTCAGTTACAAGCAGACGTATCTCGATGAATTTGATTACGCCGTCAAGGACATGTCTTCGGATCTGAGGGACGGTGTTCGTCTCTGCCGAGCAATGGAGCTAATCACCGGTAATCGGAATCTAACCTGTCAATGTCGAGTTCCATCAATTTCCCGTCTTCAGAAAATTCACAACGTGAATATCGCTCTTAAAGCTCTTCTCGACTCGGGATACACGCTCACTGGCGAAATCGATGCAAAAAGCATCTCCGATGGTCATCGCGAGAAAACTCTCTCCCTTCTCTGGCAGATTATCTACAAATTCCAAAAACCAAGATTCGAGAAAGCGGCAAGAACGCTGCAAAATTGGTGGCGTTCAAAGTTGTGGTACGTTAGAGTGAAGAATTTATTGAGGAATCGAAAAATAATGGCTGCTTGTTGTATTCAACGGAGTTGGCGATGCTATAAGGCGAGAAAAATTCTTGGGCAACTTCGCATCGAGCACCGGATGGAAATGAAAATTAAGAAGGAAGCAATTAAAACGATTCAAAACTACTGGTTGGTACGACTCGAGGGCAAACGGCAAAGGAACCATTTCCTTGTGATGCGAAAATCGGCATTGAAAATACAAAACTGGTGGCGAAGGTGTCGAGAAACTAGAGAGTACGTCAGGGATCTGGAGGAAAAGAAAGCAGCCGTTGTTCTCATTCAGAAAAAATGGAGATCGTACAAAAAGATGGAGAGACAACGTTCCGATTATCTTCGACTACGTTCCGCTTGTTTGACAATTCAGTGTTTGTATCGCGCCAAATTGAGTGGACGAAAAGAGCGAGAAACTTGGCAAACAGTCAAAAAATCGACCTTGGTGATACAGCGACGCTATCGTGCTTTGAAAGCAATGCAAAGGGAACGAGAACAATACATCAAAATTCTGGAAACGGCGACAAAAATCCAAAAGTGGTGGCGATCGATCCTGTTGGTTAAAAAAGACCACAACGCTTTCTTACTGAAAAAATACGCTGTTCGAATACTCGAAAAAAAATGGTTGGAGAAAAAGTACATTAGTCCCGAGCGTCAAGAATTTCTCGACAAAAAAAGAAGCGTCGCTATCATTAAAAACTGCTGGCAAAGATATCGTCAGACGAAAGTTTACGTTCGAGGGTTACAAACCCGCAGACGGTCGATTATTCTCCTACAAACCTGGTGGCGAACTCTGGTCGCACTTCGCAGCTATCGTCGGAAAAGAACCTCGGTCATCAAGATTCAAAATTGGTACCGCTCTCTAAAAGTTGCCAAACAGTTGCAATCGGAGTACGGCGAGAAAAAGGCAGCTATTTTGATACTTCAGAAAAATTGGCGAATGACGATCGCAAAACGAAACTACTGGCAAATGAAATCATCAGTTCTGATCATCGAGGAATGGTACGAGAATATTTTACTCACCCGCTCGGTACGGACCGCCTACCTCGAGAAGAAGCGAAAAGTCCAATTAATCGAATCATGGTGGTTGGGGAACAAGAAAAGGGACGAAGAACGTAGAAATTATCTGCAACTGAAAGAAAAAGTTCTCTGGATCCAAGAACAATGGCGTGGGAAAAGGTTGATGACAGCCGTCCGTGAGGTTTACGAAAGGAAAAAATCCTCCACGATTCTTATACAGTCCTACTTCAGAATGTGGAGACAGCGAAAAATATTCGAGGAACTCGTAAAGAAAGAGAGAAAAGCGATAATTATCCAAAAGTACTGGCGACGTTTCTCAGCTCGAAAACATTATCAAAAACTTCGAGAAACCGTGATTTTGGTGCAGAAACTCCGGAGGCAGAAAGTAGCAAGCGAAAAAATTCGTAGAGACTATTTGCAGTTGAGGAAGACGACTATTTATCTCCAAAGACTCGTACGAGAGAAACGAAGGGAGAATCGAAAAAAACTCCTAGAAGCTTGCTTGTGTATTCAAAAACACTGGCGAAGTCGCAAAATCGGAGAAAAAGTACGCAGGGAATATGAGACGAAACGAAAGTGTATAATTCTCCTTCAATCGATTTGGAGAATGAGGCGAGCGAAGAGAACCTACGAATCAAAACTGGAAACAATTGTTCGAATCCAAAGACAGTGGAGATCGAAGCTACAGACCCGGAGGTTGCGGAAAGAATACGAAACTACGAAACAAGCGACGATTTTAATTCAAAGACGTTATAGGGAGACAAAATTGAGCCGAGCTACCAGAGAGGAATTTCTCCTCTATCGACGTTCCGTAATTAAAATCCAATCAATCTGGAGAATGAAGATCGCAACTCGAAACTATAGGAAGTTGATAAGCACAATATGCACGATTCAATTACACCGGAGATCGAAAATCGAAACCAGAAAATGCAGAGAAAATTACCAGCGACTACGAACTGCGACAATCACAATTCAACGATTCTACAGAGCTTGGAAAATGAGCAAAATCCAAAGATCAAAATTCCTGACAACTAGAGACTCGATTCTTCGAATACAACAAAAATGGAGAGCGACGATTTTCGCCAAAAAAATCCGTCATGATTTCCTTCGTCAAAAAACCGCCTCTGTACTCATACAAACCTGGTGGAGATCTTTAGAAAAAATGCAAACAACTAGAAACTTGTACCTCAGAACAAGAACTACGATCGTAAAACTACAGAGGAGATATCGAGCAAATGTTCAAGGGAGAATTGAGAGGGAAAATTATTTGCAACTGAGAAGAAGAATTATAGTTCTACAAAATTGTTGGCGATCGGTATTGGCCGAGAGAAGGGAACGTGAAATTGAGGCAAGAAGAAGATGTGCTGTGGAAATTATTGAAAATTGGTGGTTGAGCGTTGGGGAGATGAGAAAAATTTATCAGGCTGAGAGAGAGGAGAGGAGGAGATTAAATTGTGCTGCGAGGAAGATACAGGCATTATGGAGAGGTTATTGTGTGAGACGAAAGAATACGGCGAGAATGTCGGAGCTGAGAATAAGAACTGAAAATGCAGCGAAACAAGCAATTCCTGCTGAAACATTGGCTAATCGTCTTGAGGATTCGATCAACGTTTTCTTATTTTCCAATGATTTGGGACGATTGTCGATGTGTCTTTCTTCACTGGGTGAGAAAATTAATTGTTATTAATTATTAATTATTAATTATTAAATTAATTAATTAGAGAACATTAACTTTTTCGTGATCTCTATTCTCTATTTATTCATTTCTCAATTTTTTCTTTACTCTATTTATTCATTTCTCAATTTATTCTTTACTCTATTAATTTCTTTCTCTATTTATTTTTTTCTCCATTTATTCTTTTCTCTATTTATTTTTTTTCTCTACCTATTTTTTCTCATCTATTCATTTCTCCATTTATTTTTATTCTCTATTCTTTTCTTTATTTATTCTTTTCTCTATTTATTCATTTCTTCATCTATTTTTTTTCTCTATTTATTCTGTTGAAATTACATAGTTTCAATTTAAAAAATTTTAACGCAATTCTTTGAAAGAATTCAACTATTTTAATAAATATTAAAATTCTTTCTAAAAATTCAATTTTTTTCAAAATTTTTTTTATAATTAAATTCTCAACATTTCAATTATCTTTCTAAATAGCAAAATTCTTCGCCGAAATTCAATTATATTCAGGAATTTTGATAAAATTCATTGTAAAATTAAATTATTTTCATAAATAACAATTTTCATCACAAAAATTGAATTATTTTCTAAATTAATAATATACTTTGCAGAAATTAAATTATTTTCAAAATTTTTGAAAAATTCTCGTCAAGAATTAAGTTATTTTTTATGAATATGGAGCGAAATTCGTCTATAAAAGTGAATTATTTTCAAAAATCTCAATCTCAATCTTTTTTTAGAAATTTTAATAAAATTCTTTAAAAGTTTTCAATTGTTTTCAAAAATTGTGATAAAATTCTTTAATTCAATAAATTTCAGTAAAATTTTAATTAAATTCCTTAAAAAAAATTAATTATTTTAAAAAGTTGTTAATAAAATTCTTCATAAAAATTCAATTTTAAGAAACATTCAATTATTCAATAAATTATTTATTTTTGTATTTAAATAATTGAATTCTCGTAGAATTTTCTAATAAAAATTTATTTGAAAAAGGAAACTGTAGATAATAATTTAATATTAAAAGTATTATTGTGTGAATTTTTAGAAATAATTGAATTTTGAAAAGGTTTCAAATTAAAATCTTTGAAAATCTGAATTTTTGATACTTTTAAATTAAAAATTCTGTGAAACTAATTTTTTCAACAAATTTTATTTGAATTTTTTTTAAATTATTAGAAGTTTTTATTTTCTAATATTTATTTAAATGAAGAATTTTCGATTAATCGATATTTCACGTAAATTTTGATTTTAAACAAATGGATTTGAAAATTAAAGAACTTTTTCAAAAAATTATCTCTTTTTCCTTAGTGAATAATAAATAATTTCGAAAAAGGCCTTGTTCCCTTTTTTCTCTCTTTAATTGACAATATTTTTTGTTTCTTTCCAGATGTTATAACTCGTTTGTCGCCAAACGGCTGCATCACAGTCTGCAAAGTTGGATTAGTGGATAGAATTTACATGACATTGGTCCGATCAAATAGATCTGTTCCTTGGATGGATGCCTGCACAAGAGCAACTAGTATTTTAGTAACTCTGGCAAAATACCCACCAACGAAACCCTATATACTCAAGGTGATTAAATAAAATTTGTAAAATACGGAAAACTTTTTGTAATTTTTGAAAACTTTTATGTAAACTGCAGAGAAAAAATTTAGAAAAATTCTTTAATTGATTTATTAATTTTTTCTCTTTCTCATTTTTGCAGGAAGATTATATTGAAACATTAACGAGATTTTTGACCGTAACTGTCGAGAAGGAAGTTCCATTATTTTTACATCTTTCGACATTAATTTGGGTTCTAATCGAAGATCCCGATTACGCAGAGGTAAAGAAGGAATTAATTCTCTTACAAAAATTAGTTAATTTACAAATTTTTAATACAAAGCGAATTATTAATATTTATTTTTCTATTAAAATTCATAATCGAGCGCATATATTCTTTCAAAATGAATTTATTTATAAAATATTTATTTAATTATAAAACAATGCGAATTAATATTTATTTATACATTAAAAATATTTCGGAGTGTAAATATTCAAAAATAGAAATAATTAAGTAAAAAGATGAATATTTAAAAATAGAAATTTCAAAATAGAAATATTGAAAAATACAAATATAAAAAAAATAGTAAAATAAAGATACAACAAAAATTTGACGAATATTTCTTTTACAGGCAATTTTAAGCGATTCACGATCAATTTGGCTGTTGAATTCAGTGTACAGCACGATTACAAAGAAAAAGCCAAAAACTCCCCAACCGTCATCGAAAATAAAGGACGAAGTGATGCCAAATTCAAAACCGGATTGGGGATTAAGACAGAAACAACCACGATTATTTGTCAATGCCCTTCATGCGATAACTTCCATTCTACGACGTTTAAACGAGCACAAAGAAAATAGAGAGTAAGAATTATATTTCAAATAATTTTTATGTACGAATAGAACAATTATTTTGCTAACAAAAGACATTAAGATTGTTATCTTAAAGTTTTAAATCAATATCTTTTGTGTAGTCTTACTTCCTTAATGGTTTTTTTTATCTTCTTTTTTTTTACTACAATTACATCTTTTTACTAAATATTTTTTAAACTATAAAAATACATTTTATGTTCATTGTTTTTTATTTGATGTGATTTAGCAAAATAATTTTTGCGTGGTGAATTTAATTATATATATATATAAAATTTGAAGAAATATTTAAGAAATTTTTTTTTAATTAGAAAATAAGTGTAATTAAGTGTTTACTTGTTTTAATTAAATTTATCAATTTAATTAAAAGAAAATTACTGAAATAATGAATATTGTAATTTTAAGTCGAAAATACGTATTTTTAAATAAATTGAAATTGTTATTTAAAAATGGTCTTAAATTAATCTTTCGTCTTTAATTAAATAAAAAATAATAAAAGTAAACAAAACGAACTCATAAAAAATGAAATTAATAAATGAAAATTTTATTGCAATAATATGAATATTTTTGAATAAATTAAAATTATTTAAAAAAATTGTCTTAAATTCTTTAGTTTTAGTCCAATTATCTAATAAATATTAAAAGTATAAGTGTAAAAAGATTATTCATAAAAAATCAAATTAATAAATAAAAATTCATTTTTAGTAATACTTTTATTGCAATAAATATAATAAACAATAATTATTGTTTTGGCGTTACATTTTAACAGTCAATTCTATACATATACATGTGATTATAATTTTAGCGTAAAATAAGCAGATGTCTATCGCTATAAGTAATACGTTCGCTGCGAGTAGGATATTTTGAAATTAAAAGAAAAAAAAAAACAAAGTACAGCAGCTACAACAAAATTCTAATTTCCGAAAAAGGATACGTCTAGTAATTTTGAGTTCATTTTAATTGTTCATATTTACCAAAAAACACTCGTCCAAAGTTTTTTTTTTTATTCATTTATTATTTTTTCTTTAGAAGATTTTTTTTCGAAAAAAAATTAATTATTCTTCATTTAGTTTTTTAAAGACTTAGTTAGTTAGTTTTTTTTAAAGACGAAAGTCAATCTAAAAAAATCTCGTAAATTTCTTGAAAATAATTTTTATACATTCTAGACGAAATAAATAATTATTTTTAATAATCTTACTCGCATTTAAGGCCTAGATTAAACATGTGCTTTTTCTGATAGTTTATTATAATTTTTTTCCCTTCTTTTTTTTTAATTTTCCTCAATTTAAAGCTTACGCTCAAAGTGGCAAATTTTGTTTTTCACTAATAAAAATTAAATTTAATACAAAATCTAAGTATTTTGGCGATTTTGCTGTATTAATATTATTTTTTAACAATTTTAATATTTTAACAATTATAAAAATAATTTCAAAAATACATGTTGAAGTGGGAATTTCAAAAGTCTCGAATTTTACACGAGACACAAAATAATTATTTTTTAAACAGCTTTTTTCATAATTATGTAATTATTTTTCAAACTGAGAACATAGGTAAATTATTTTAGAATCGTAATTTTGAAGAATTTAAAAAAAAATTCGAGTTTCTTCTCAAAATTCCCGATTCAATTGAAAACAGGAAAAAAAAATTTTTGCATTTAAATAAAAGAAAAAAAGGAAATTGAAAATCGCGCTTGAAATTGAATTTCTTTAAAAAAAGCTCCACGTTTAGAATTAAATTCCTGGAGAAAAAAAAAGTATTCGGGGGGTAATAATTGAAAATTTTCATTATAGTGTAAAAAATTGTCTATAGCTGCCATACTGTGTGAGTTGAACAACTAATAAAATTGATAGAAAGGTAGCAGAGTATTTATGTTTGCCTAAAGTCTGTATGTTACAATAAATTGTGTGAATGTAAATTGTATTTACATAGTTCCTTGAAACGAGAAAAAAAAATATGATTAAAAATTATTTTTTCAATTCAATTTTCATGTACAGATCTAAGCTCTTTTATTTGCTTAATTAAATAAGCCTTTTCATCATTGAATTGCTCGTCTTCCGAGCGATCTGTATGGAAGCGTGTGAGGAACTCTATTAATTTCTCTTGATTTCTCAGTAAAATATCCAAAATTGGCTTCGGCTTGTTTGGATTAGCAACAAATACCTGCAAAATTTTTTTTATTAGTTTCGAAAAAGTTTCGATTTAGTGTTCGAAATAATAAAATTCATAATTAAAATTTCTTACCTTAAACACGTGGAAGGCCTCAAACTGTATATTACGAGACTTTTCCTTAAGCATATTCATCATTAGCTTTAAATTGTCTGGATTTGATATATACCGTGTCATGACCTTAAAAGAAAAATATTTTTTTTACAAACTATTATTTTACATTTCTTTCTTTTTTTTTGAAGAGAAAAGTAAAAAAAACTAACAGTGAAATTGTGTCTGTCAAGAAGCAGTTCTCCCAAAAGTTTTAAACTTTGTCGACGGGTCACATAATTCTCCGAACTCAATAACCTCTGATAGTGTGAAAAGACCTTATCGTAATTGACTTCTAAAAATTCAGCGCTCAATATCTTGTGCCTTGTGAGCAACTCCTGCAAATAATTTAAATAAATTTACTCCATAAAATCTAAAAATATTAATTAATAGAAAAATTGTGTTGCTTTGAAAGGAGAGACAAACCTTAAAAGTAGAAAAGGCATCTGAAGCGATATCGAATGTAGAAACTTCGACGTATCTAAAGAAATTATAAAAATCATCGGAATAAATCATTATTTTAGCGAGCGCCTCATATCGAGCGCATTCTCTCAACATCGTACCGCAATTTAACGCAATATCCTGATGCTCGTAACTAAAAGTAAAAAATAATTTTTAATTAGAATTAAAAACCTTTTTTTTCAAAAGCAGGCATCAATTTTGAATAAATTTAATTAGAAATTTTAAAACAATGAGATTTTTGAAAAAATCTCCAACATTTAAATTATTAACTAATTTCAGTTAATAATTTAAATGTTGAAAATTTTTTCAAAAATCTCATTGTTTTAAAATTTCTATTTTTTATTAGAAAAAGGGGACAAATCACCAAAAAAAAAAAAGGTGAAAAAGGGGACAAATCACTAAAAAAGAAAAAAGGAAAAATGTGACAAAATTGAAAAAGGGGACAAAAGGGGACCAACTGTGATGCCTGCAAAAGCAAAAGAAAATAATTAGAAATTAAATTCCATACCCAGACATAAGAGTAAATAATATTTCGGGTTTTGTACAAATGTACTCGACTGTTGGTGATCTCGTGCCAATTTGTCTTCTTAAAATATTATTAAATACCTGAGCAACATCTTTTTTACCCTGAAAAAAGAATTTAGCGAAATAAGAAATAATTTTTTCAATTTCTATCGAATTTCTTTCAAATAAGAATTTTTTTTCTATTATATATTCTATACTAAATTAAGTAAATTCGAAAAAATTACCTCAAAATCTATTCGACTTAAATTTTGAACGAGAAGAAGTAAGAGATTGCTGTTATAAAGTTCTTGTGCGAGTTGTGCTACGACTATATCGGCTTGCGGCTCAGACTCTGCAGTTCCGTACAACATATTTTTAATGTGAACCAAATTTTTGCTAACATCTTCTTGCGCCTGAAAAAAAATTATATTTATAGTTAATTTACGTTCTTTTCTTATATAATTAAAATACTTTTGAATAAATTGAAATTTTGTAAAATTTAATTGCAAATAATTGATATTTTTCAAGTATTTTATTACAAAATTTTGAAAATCAACTTTTGATGAATTTCAATTTGCAAAATTTTGAAAATAATTTAATTCTTAAAAGTTTTAATGAAAAATCATCAAGTGCAAATTAAATTTTTTAGATTTACTTATTAAACTTTCGAAAAAATTGAATTTTTTCGACGAATTTTAATAAAATTTTTAAGAATAATTACATTTTTCGAAGAATTCCATTAAAATTATATTAAAAATAATTGAAATTCAGCATTCAGGGCTCGAAGCAGTGAAAGTATTTAAAAATACGGACATTACGGACCAAAATTGAAAAATTACGGACCATTTACGGACCAACTGACAAAAATAGAATCAGGCCGAATCAAATAAGAGAACATTTTACTTAAAACTAGAAATTCAATTTTTCATAACTATGAAACATGAAGAAATCGATAACTCCGAGTCTTCGACTCGAAGTCATCGATTTCTTCATGTTTTATAATAATTAATAATAATTATTAATACAAATAATTTATAATAATTAAAATCATTATCAATTCCATTAATATTTTTAAGAATTTTTATCTAAAATTCTTCTTTATATCGATTATTTTTAATAATTTTCGAAAAAGTTCTTTGACAATTTTCAAATTCATTTCTTTACAATATTCAATTTTTCCAAATTTCAATTATTCGTAAATTCTTTAATTAAATAAATATTAGAAAATAGAAATTAAAAATAATATTAAAAAAAACTCAATTAAACTTTTTCAAAACAATGAATTACAAAATTCAATTATTTTTTAAAATTCACGCTATATTGCTTTTAATATTCAATTATTATCTAAAATTTTAACTGAAATTCATTTTTATGAAATGAAAATCAATTTTTATTAGAATATTCTACTAGAATTCAATTATTAAAATAAAAAGTAAATAATTTATTGAATAAAATTGAACGTTTCTTAAAATTCAATTCACATAAAAAATCGTTATCAACAAATTTTGAAATAATTGAATTTTCTCAACGAATTTTAATAAAATTTTTAAGAATAATTACATTTTTCGAGAAATTCGATTAAAATTGTATTAAAAATAATTGAAATTCTGCAATGAGTTTTATTGTACCTAATTATGAAAATAATTGAATTCTTGCGAAGAATTTAAATTAAAATTTTCAAAAATAATTAAATTTTTGTAAAAAATTAACAGGAGTTCAATTATTTTTCAAAATTTTTATTTAAATTCTTGGCATAAATTAAAAATAACAAAATTCTTAGCAGATCTTCAATTACTTTCAGAAATTTTAATAAAATTTTTCGCAAGAATTTAAATATTTTCGTAAAATAATGAAAATCTTTGCAGATATTCAATTATTTTCAAAAGTCTTAATAAAATTCTTCGCAAGAATTCAATTATTTTCAAAAATATCAGAATTTCAGCAGAAATTCAAACATTTTAAAAAGTTTTTATAAAACTTTTTTTGGTAGAAATTCAATTATTTTTAAGATAATTTTAAAAAAATGTCTGAATAAAATTCAATTATTTTTAAGATAATTTTAAAAAAATGTCTGAATAAAATTCAATTATTTTTAAGATAATTTTAAAAAAATGTCTGAATAAAATTCAATTATTTTTAAAATTTTAATGAAATTCTTCGAAAAGAATTCAATTATTATAATCTAAGATTTTAACTGAAATCTATTTTTAAATCAATGTTTATGAGAAAATTCTACCAGAATTCAATTATTTAAATACAAAAATAAATAATTTATTGAATAATTGAATGTTTCTTGGAATTCAATTCCTATTAAAAATTTTATCAACAAATTTTTAAATAATTGAATTCTTTGGACGAATTTTAATAAAATTTTTAAGAATCTTTTCGAGGAATTCGATTAAAATTCTATTGAAAATAATTGGATTCCTAAAAAAAATTTTATTATTTACGAAAATAATTGAATCCCCGTAGTAAAAATTTTACTATTTATGAAAATAGTTGAATGATTGCGAAGAAATTTATAAAAAAAAATTTGTTATTAATGAAATTCTTGTGAAATTTTTATTATTTTTTGAAAATAATTAAAAGTTTTTGTAGAATTTTATTAAATTTTTTTGGTAAATTTTATGAAAATAGTAGATATTGAACAATATTTAATTTTTGCTAAGAATATTATTACTTTTGAAAATAATTCAAATTTTGCAATGGATTTTATTAAAATTTTTGAAAATAATTGAATTTTATTACTTTAAAAAAAAAATTGAATTCGTGTGATGAATATTGTTAATTATGAAAATAATTGAAATTTTTTAATGAATTTTAATAAAATTTTTTGAAAATAATTGAATTTTGGAGAAGAATTTTAATATTTCTAAAGATTTTTGCGAAGAATTTTATTACTTTTAAAAATAATTGAATTCCTGCAATCATTTATAATTGCTTCAAAATTCAATTTGTTTTAGTGTTTTTGATTAAAATTCTTCTATAAATCCATTATTTTTAATGAAACTAGTTAAATATATATTAAAAAATTTAACTGATTTCAGAAGAATTTTTTTTAAAAATTTTTTGTAAATCTGAATTTTTTTATATTTCTAATTAAGTTTATTCAAAAATTGAAATTTTACACAATTTGAAATCAAAGTCTTTTAAAGTTCATCTACTTATGAAAATTGTAAACGCAATCGGCTAATTTTGCTCGTTAAAGTCGAATTTTACAAAAAGGACGAATTGACAATAATTACCTTCTCCACTTTTTTGTCACCACGTTCTAGCGCGTTGACAGCCTCTTTTAGAGCCTTTACCACCTCAGCCGGACTTTTTTGAGATTTTCCGAACAGAGGCATTGTTTTATATAACCTATATACCTGTTGGAAATAAAATACAAAATTTTACTACAAAATAGAAAATTCTAATTAATTACCAGTAGGTATTATTATCTTATCAAAGTCATTAAATTTCAATTAGAATTAAAGTAAAAAAGTTATAGATACAAGACTAGAAATTATCACTAAAGGGACGAATAATTGAAGAAAATCAGATAGAGAAAATTGAAGTTTTCAATTTATAAATTCCCGGAATAATCTAACCTATTAAGTTACTTCTCAAATTAAATACCGATATCACCAAGAGTATAATTATTACAACAGACTGCAATCTAATCAGCACAGCGCAATAAAGAGAAAACGAAACCAAAATAGAGTAAAATGACTTCTTATAAACATATACCTGTCACGCACCAATGCTTCTATCTCCAAACACACCAAGTATTTTTCTCTCTCTCTCTCTTTTTAATAAAACACTCAATAAATATGAATTTTCCCCTCCGAAAAAAATGAAAATTGCAATAGGAATGTCTCGAAATAATCAACTATTAAGAAATAATTGGACATCGCGAAAAAAAAACAAGTCCGTTACATCTCCGTTGTAAATCAATAAACGAGAGAACAAACGACACGAAATTACAAGATATAACCTATCTCGGAGAAAAGGTGACGTGGGCGTCATTTGACGTTGTTTGACGTAAACAGCAGACTCACCATTCAATTGAAAAACCTGGATTTAATTTACGCAGTTGCAACTAGGCACTTGCGGTCTGATGTTCCGTTTTTTTTTTAGCAGTTCATTTATGAAGACAGATCAAAAGCAGAGCGAGCAGAGTTATCTTTATTTTTGTATATTAACAAAAATCTTTAGAAGGAATTGCTCATTAAACAAAGTTTTCTAGGTCGATATTTGTGAATCGTATGATTAACACCTTTTTTTCCAATTTTCTTCTTTTCTTCTCGTGCAAATTGCGAATATTTTTTCACGCTTGAGGAGCATTCAATATCGGAAAAAAATGGATTTAGTTAACGCATCTCTCTCCTTCTTGCAGTTCATCGCCCATGACCACTTTACTTTACTGTACCATTTTTACTACAGTTCACACAGCACAATAAAAATGACCTTTAAAAAAGAACAGAAGTCATCGGAATTTTTATTGGTTAATTAATTTTGGATAATTCTTATCAATCCAATCAAATATTCGATAAAATTATAACATTTCATTGAATGGTCAATTTACAATATATGAAAAGCAGCCATAATGTTGTAATACCTACCTTACCCTGAAAATAAATACCTGGGCCTGCCTCACCCTGACTCTTAAGTCCAGTTTACAGTGATTGTTATTTTCCTTGACCTTGATTTCTCAACAAATGTCAATCAAATTACAAATTCCTATAATTATACAATAGGATACAGATTTAACATTTTTCTTTTTTAAAAATACTTTATTTTCTATAAAAAGAATGATTCTTTTTTTTTATTTTTACAAATAAAAGCGCAGGCGTGAAAATTAATTTTTGAAATAAAAAATAACACCACAAGATGGCGGATTTTTGAAGCCGAAAAGTGACAAGTATGTACAGCGTCGAAAAAAGTTTTTAATTAAAAAAAAGCGGCGATGAAAAGTTAGAAAGATAAGAAAGTAAATTTAAACGATTACTTTTATTAATTATAATAAAAGTGTTTTGTTTTGAAAGAAATTGATTATAATATTGATATTATTAATAGTCAAAATTTACGTTGTAAACATAGATTTATTAGGTTAGGTTAAAGGGCAAAACCTATTTTTATGGTTTTTTAATTTTTATTTTATAATTTTATTTTTTATCTATATCCAAAATTAACATTTAATTTGTTTGAATATAAAAAATTTAAATTCGTTAAAATCCGTAACGAAAAGAGTAATTGCATACTGCAGTTATGTACTTCGATTGCCGAAATACGATTGTTTTATGGTGATAATATGTCAAAATCAAATATAAGAAAAATAACAGTTGAGACTACGAAATGTAATATTGACTCTCGACGTCCAAGTGTTTTTGAAAGATTAGGTACTAAACCAGCAATTGCCAGTAATACACAAAATACATCAGATTTTTGTAGAAACTGGGCAGTTAATGGCAGTTGTTCTTACGGAAAAACCTGCAAGTAAGTTCATTATTTTTATATTGTTTCACTTCTATTCTTGTCTTACGATTGTTCATTGTTACCGCTATATTTTACACTTAAAACAAAAAATTAATAGAAACAATCGAAATAATGTTCATTTTTAAAAAATGTTCCTGTTTAAATTTATTTTAAAAAATTGCTTCTTTTATTTTTTTTTACTTTGTCGAAAAAATGCTTTTTAAAGGTAAAAATTTAGACATAATAATAATAAAATATTTAGATATTTTTTACATTAAGAAGAATTGGATAATTTTACATTTTCGAAATAATTTAAATTGAGTTGTTTTTATCAACAGATATGCAAATACTCATACGTTAATTAGTCCATCCAAACGAGCGAAAAAGGATAATGCAACAACGAATGCTTCGTTGGTAAGTTAATTTTGAATTGTTTATTAATATATTTATTTGCTTTTCTCTCGAAAAAATCTTTTATTTTTGTTTATTATAGAAACAGAGAAATATTATTGAACTGATAGAGCAAGAAACTCTGAAAGTCAATTAAATTGTCTTTATTTATTTTTCAACATAAAAGGATATATTTTTCTCTACAATTTCTTCTTAAGTAATAAAAGAAACTTACGGATTCGTATTTTATATTTGAAGTTTTAATTCTAATTTTAAACGTATGTTAAATAATTTTTGTTTTCAATATTATATTTTTCCGTGATTATATTTTTTCATAAAATTCTGATTTTTTGGAATATTTTTGTTTGTAAACAATGGTGAGCTTTAAAATTGGTAATTATTTATGTATTTTTATTTTTTTATTTATAGAATTTATATAAAATAATTCTTTACTAAATAGTAATTAGTAATTATAATATTATAATTCCGGAAAAATTCAAGTCTTTTTTTTTTAAATCAAATTCGCCTTTATTTATAAATTTTCAATTATGACATTATTTTATATTTATTTTAATTCAAAATATAATCTAAAAGTGCTTATAGTATTTTTTTTTTGTGATAAATGTTTGAAAGTAAAGTCGTGAAACCTTTAGGAACATTTTTGACCGTTGACAAGAATTTTAGTGCAAATTTTTACGATTTGTGTAAGATATTATTTCTATAAATAGAAATTTTATGCTTTGACAATAATTATCACTGTAACAGTAAAAGATTGAAAACTCCGTCTTTGAATAGAAGAAGAATTTTTCGTAAAGAAAATGTTTGTGTGTCGTACTGAAAACATGGTGAATTTTTTATTTCTGTTTATTTGAAATTGCAAAAATTTGTAGTGAAACAAAAAATCCTAATTTTATTTAATATTAAAATTCTAATTCTGAATTTTTTATTTTTTTTTATTTAAAATTGCAAAAATTTGTAGCGAAATTGTTTTTAATTCATTTTTTAACATAATTAAATTTTTCAAATATATTTATAATAAAAATCTTTTTTGAATAGTTGGAATTTTGTAAAATTGAATTGAAAATAATTAATTTATTTCAAGTATTTTTCTACAATTTTTGAAAATTTTTCGAAAATTGAAAAACTTATCTTTAAAAAATTATTTAAAAATATTTGAAAAAAATTAATTGTGTAATCTTAAATAATTTTAATGACGAATATCAATTTTTTTCAGCTTAATGAGGATCCATTCAAACGACTCACATCAAAACTTGTGAAGAAGGCGTCGCACAGTCCTGATTTAAATTTAGAAGATTGGAATCAAACGGACCTCGAGTACGAGGACGAAAAGGTTTTAGAGAGACGTCGTCAACTTCTGCAAAGGGAATTAGAAATCCAAATGAAGAAGGACAAGGAGGTGCATGGCAAGGACAAAACCAAGTTTAAAAAGAAAGTTATGAGCTCGTCATCGAGTTCCCGTAGTTCAAGTTCATCCAGCAGTAGCAGCAGTTCTAGTAGTGACGATTCATCATCGACCTCGACTTCCGATTCACGTAAGAAAGTGAAGAAACTTAAGAAAGTCAAGCACCACAGCGCATCTCCCGATTATGATGACGACAAGGATCGAAAAAAGAAGTAACGATAATTTTTTTTTCCCTATTTATCGCACCAATAATTTTTGATATTATATTTTACATATTAGAAAAAATTAATTTTCCTCTCAAATCTTTTTTTCAGATTAAAATTGAAACGACTTGGTCAGAAAAACGAAAAATTAGTAACAAAGAGAAAGCGTAAAGTCGAGGTGATCGCAAAAAAAGACGAGAAAGCAGTGAAGAAAGCAAATCCAGTTCCCGTTCGAAAGCACTCAGTTCCCAGGACAAAATCCCCAGTTCCAATTGCTCACGTCTCAAATAACGCAAAATCAAAGGAGAAAAATCGCAGTGAATCACCAAAACCAAAACTCAAAGAAACCGAGAAGGACAAGCACCATAAAAAATTACGTGACGATGAAATTATCACCAAAGAAATTGTCAAAGCAAAACCACAGGAAAAACCCAAGGAACTTGAGAAAAGTACGAAAAATCGTTTAAACGATGAGAAAAATAAAATTGACGACAAAACGAAACGTCGTTCAAAGGAGCGTGAGAAACGTTCACGAACACCGCCACTCGATCGTTTAAAGCATTCAAAAGAAATGACAAAATCAAAACGCAGTCGAACACCAGAGAAACCAATGAAACAAATAAAACAAGATCACACACCGTCCAAGCATCAAGACAAACGCTCCACGTCGAGTCGATCACGTGAATTGGACAAGAAAGATCGTGAGAAAGATTCTTATAATAAACGTGAACGAAGCAAGGAGCGTGAGGAGCAACGAAAGAATGATCAAAATAAAGCAAGACCCTCATCGAGTCAAGACGATGGTCACAGAAAGAATATCACCAGGGATTTCGATGAGAAAAATTGTCCACGTCAAAGAAGTAAGGAGCGCCGTGAGAAGGATCATATTCGCAACGATCATCGTGACACGCGCCTAAATCGCGATCAAAGAGAAAAGGAACGTGACGACATGCATAGGGATCGTCAAAGGGAACGTGAACGCGAGAAGGAACCGCCGAAAATTCGTGAACGTGAAATACCCTCATTGATGGCGACCGCGGCTCTAAATCCCTTAGATAAGGGTGGTCAACGTTACCGGGGCAATAAGGATCGTATCAAAGATTGTAATATCGATAAAGGAAATTTGCGTCCCGATCGACGGGGTGATCGTGATAAGGATCAGAAAATAGAACGCGACCGGAGTTCACAGCGTTATGATGCGCGTTTCGATAAGGAAATGCCAGTGCACAAATTAATGGATCGTATCGAACGTTTCCCGCGCGATCGATCAATGGATCGTATTGGCGACAAGAATGTAATGATGGAGAGGGAGCAAATGTACGAGAGAGATCGACATCGGAGATTTAATCCACGCTTTGAAAGGGGACATCCCGAGCATAAGGATCAACATATTCCCTCGTTGAAGATCGATCGACGTGACAGCCCACGGGGAAATATGGAAATGGAGAGGAATTTCGATAGGAATTATTCCCGTCTACCTCCGGAGCATTGGAATGAGGACGAGGATCAGGGATCGCATATGGATTACAGGGATCATCATCCACATGAGGATGATCGACGAAAGGGGGTCGATACCAGACGTTACAGTCCCTTCAACGAAAGAAGGGGGAGAGAGGATCGTGGACGTTATGGAATTCAAAACGAGAGGCAATTCGACGATCTCCATCATCCTGTCTATCCTAGTGATAAAATGCGAGTACGAGACGAAAGTAGCAATGACAATTGGGAAGTTCATCATGATATTGAACAACACGGTGTTCGCGATCGTAATTATCAGAGTAACGATTGGGAGGAGAGAGAGTGGAGAGGTCAAAGGGGAATGTGGGAGAGGGAGAGTCTTCCTCGTTCGGATGCACACGAGGAGGAATGGTCATCGCGCTACGACAGTCCAATGTCCGATTGGAAGATGAACGAGAATCGAAAATGGGATAATCAGCCGATGCATATGAGAGGATCGTATCGCAATGATAGAATTAAGGACATGGAGGCTGGTGAATCGAATCATGGAAAGAGGCGTTCGTACAACACGCCGGAAATTAGGGACGAAATACCGGTGCATGTGTCGAAACAAGGAGCATTGCATAATAGTATGAAGGACGAGCCGATTAATAAGAAACTCATGGAATTGGCTGAAGGGAGACCGAGGAGAAGTCGGGAAAAGTCGTCGGACAGTTTTCAAAAGAAAATGTCACCGAAAGAGAAGATAGAGGTGAAGGAAGCACCCGTACCGGAAATAAAACGACCTAATGTGGAGGAATCTTTGCAGACATTGCACACTGAAAGCGATCTCAGTGACATCAGCGATGATCCAGACGATATTCTCAACATGGACGATGAGGTAAAAATTCCTTCATATTATGGAGGAAATTAATTAATTATTTCTAATTAATTTCTAATTAATTCTAAATAATTAATTTTTAATTAATTCTAAATAATTAATTTCTAATTAATTTCTAATTAATTCTAAATAATTAATTTCTAATTAATTCTAAATAATTAATTTCTAATTAATTCTAAATAATTAATTTCTAATTAATTCTAAATAATTAATTTCTAATTAATTCTAAATAATTAATTATTTCTATCCAAAAACCATTAATTAATTAAAATAACTAGTTAAAGATGAACTTTTAGCAGACTTCGCACTCATCTACTAAAACCTACTATCTGCTACTATTTACTACTTTTTTTACGTTATGCTACTATTTGGGTACATTTTTTAGATTTCAGCCAATAAAAGCCATTATTTCTGTTTTTTTTTACAATTTCCACTACTTTAAATTCGCTAATATTAGAAATCAAAAAACTATTCTCAAAAATTAAAATCAAATTCTTTAAAACGATTCAATTATTTTCAAAAAATATTCGAAATTCATTTTCAATATCTAGTATTTTCAGAAAATTTGGAAAAGGAATTCAATTATTTTTAAAAAATTGATAAAATTCAATTATTTTCATAAATGATAAAATTTTTACATGAATTCAATTAATTTAGAATAGCATTTACAAAAAAATTTCGAAAAAATCAATTAGAAAATTTATATACAATTTTTCACAATAATTCAATTACTTTCACTAGAAAATAACATTTTTCATGGAAATTTAATTTTTAAAAAAAAATTTTTGATAAAATTCTAAGCAAGAATTCAATTATTTTCATAAATAATAAAATTCATCGAAGAATTTCAATTATTTTTAATACTATTTTAAATTAATTATTTTCACATTATAAAGTTTTTCACAAGAATTCAATTGAGGCCTTGGATCCAATAACTCGCCCGACGCTCGGAGGAACGCGCAACTGCCAGTCAGTGAGCAGTGAGCGCCTCTGGGCCACTCACTGCTACCCGATTGGTATTAGCGCGTGCCTTCGAGCGTCGGGCGAGTTATTGGATCCAAGGCCTCAATTATTTAAAAATAAAATTTTCATAACATTTATTATATTTGGCAGAAAATTAATTATTTTGAAACAATGTTTATAAAATTCTTATGAAGAATTCAATTATTTTCAAGAATAACAAAATTTTTCACAAAAATTGAAATCTTTTTAAACATTTTAATATAAATTTTCGCAATAATTCAATTATTTTCGCAAGGTTTCATGAAAATTCAATTTTTTAAAAAAGTTTTTAATAAAAATTCTCAGCAAAAGTTGAATTATTTTCATAAATAATAAAATTCAACGAAGAATTTCAATTATTTTTAATACTATTTTAAATTAATTAATCGAATAATATTCAATTATTTTCACAAATCAAGTTTTCCACAAGAATTCAATGATAAAATTAAATTTTCAACATTACATATTTATTTTATTCTAAAAAAATTATAAAATTTTGACGAAGAATTCAATTTTATTTTAAAAAATAACTAAATTTTTCACAGAAATTCAATTTTTTTTAAAACATTTTAATAAAATTTTTCGCCATAAATAATAAAATTTATTCTCAGGAATTCAATTATTTTTTAAAATTTATATAAAATTCTTTGCAACTATTCAATTATTTTCATAAATAATAATGTAATTATTCTAAAAAATTTAATTTCAATTTCTTCGGAAAAATTCTTTCTTAAAATCCTTCAAATTATTTTTAAAACATATTTTTTTTTAAAATTATTTGGAAGAATTCAATTATTTACCAAATTATTAGAATTTTTCACAGAAATATTATTAGTTTCAAATATTTTAATAAAATTCTTTGCAAAACTCAATTAATCCCATAAATAATCAAATTCTTTGCAAAACTCAATTATTTCCATAAATAATAGAATTCTTCACAGGAATTCAATTATTTTTGAAAATTTTAATAAAATTCTTAGCAATTATTCAATTATTTCAATAATTAATAAAATTCATCGCAGGATTTCAATTATTTTTAATACAATTTTACAGAAATTGATCGAAAAATGTTATTATTCTTAAAAATTCCATTTCATTTCCTTCGAAAGAATTCAATTATGTCGATAAATAACAAAATTATTCCCGAAAATTCAATTATTTTGAGACATTTTAATAAAATTCTTTGCAACATTCAATTATTTTTTTAAATAACAATATTCATCACAAGAATTCAATTATTTTTAAAAGTAATAAATTTATTCTTGGAAATTCAATTATTTAAAAAAATTCTAATAAAATCATTCGCAAGAACTCAATTATTTTCATAAATAATAAAATACTTTTTATGAATTCAATTATTTTCAAAAAATTTAAATTAATTTTAATGATTTTCAATATCTACTATTTTCATTAAATTTCCAAACAGAATTCAATTATTTAAAAAATTTGTTGTAAAAATTTTCGTAAGAATTCAATTTTTTTTATGAATAATAAAAATTTCACAGGAATTTAATTATTTAAATTAGAATTTGCTTAAAATTAGTCGAAAGAAATCAATTATTTAAAAATTTTGATAAAATTCTTCGCAAGAATTAAATTATTTTTATAAATATTTAAATTCTTTCATGAATAATAAAATTCGTTGCAGGAATTGAATTTATTAACAGGATAAGAAAGAAGTAAATATTTTTGATGAAAATTAGGAAAAAGTCAGTCAAAATTAAATATAGAATGGAATTTTTGTCAGTTTTGTTGATGTTTCTAAAACGAGTTGTTTTTTGTCGTCAAGTTTAATTTCTCGATAGCTCCTTTTTTACTACTTTTTTTTAGTTTGAAAGATACTTTTTGCTACTTTTTTAGAATTAATTATCGAGTGCGAAGTCTGCTATTAACGATAAACTGTACCATAGTCAATTTTTTTCTTTCAGGTAATTGAGAAGGTAACGAAGAAATGTATCGAACCTGTCGATCAAGACTCTTCTTCCAATCAAAATCAAGATGTTCCGCAAGTTCCTCCTAAACAAGCGACGGAAAATGTTATTTTCCCAAAGGAAAAAGAGACTACTGAAACGATTACTTTCAGGTATTTTTTCTTAATTATTGCAATTATAATATTGCAAATTTTCAAATGAAAATATAATGAAAAAAAAATCTGTTTCAAAATACAAAGACCATTGTCTTTGTATTTTGAAACAGATTTTTTTTTCACTTTTAGTACTCTTTTTACAATTTTGAAAATCTATTTTTGCTTTAGCAACAAAAATATTGAGGACGAGAGTATGGAGACAATGGACTTTGAGGAAATATCTGACGGCGAATTGGAGGAGGATATTAAGACGAGTGGCAAAGGTTTGGGCGACGCTTTGGGAGTTGATTGGGCAAGTCTTGTCAATGAATCGCAACCGCGACGTTCGCAGAATCAGGACGTTACTCAAAATCGTTGGCAGTGCAAAGCAATTTTCCAACGTATTGGCATCTCGGTTAAAACTGCCGGCAATGAATTAGTGGAGAAGTTCATCAAGAAATACGGCGATAGCGGTAATTTTTCTTAATACTTATATATATATATATTATATATTTTACTTAATAGATTAAGTAACCTTTTTAAATCTATTATGTAACTTTTTTAAATTTATTAAGTAACTTTTTTGATTCTACTGAGTTTTTATTAATTTACCAAATCCTTTTTTTTGTTAATTAGAAAACGAAAAACTCTTCATGGACGATGTCGCTTTAATGCATACGGCTTTGGTGCGTAAACACCTTTTTGACAATTCCACCTATGGATTAGTCTCCGGTGACGATTTACTCTACAGGTAATTTCTATATTTTATATTTAATTATATATAATATAAAATTAAAAGATGATTTGTATTAACTTTGGAAAAAAATTATTTTCAGCGGCAAGTGCGAGAAAAAAGAAGAAAATCCAGAGGATTTGAAACCGTGCACAAATTTATATGAAGAGGCGAAAATGCTTTTGCAGCAAGCAGCGTAACGACAAACGTTAGTTCACGTTACTTTCGATGCACTAATTTGAAGAGGATTTGTCGATTTTGCTCACTGCGTTCAAAGCGTTTAAATTTATTTATATATATAAATATAAATTTAAAGAAAAAGGACACATAACACTTTAATCAAAGACAGTTAATGCTCAGGTGAGAGAGAAATTATTGCTTCATTACTATAATAATTTTAAAATTTAAAATAAGTAGACAAATTTCGCTATAATTTTCAAATTATTTAAAGGAATGTCAAAGTCGATGCGACTTTTTCCGACATCGATTTTTGACATCTTTAAATAATATTCTACAAGTGAATTTTTTTTAAACAATTTATTCGGTTAAAAAATAAAGAGAATGAATGAACTATTCACTAAAAAAAAAATTAAATCAACGAACAAAAGAATTTTTTTTTTCATTTTTCATAATAAATGAAAAATATATAAAGATTGCTTACATTAGTATGAATGTGGATTTTAATTTTCTTTTCTTTTTTTTTTTTTTTTGAAAAGAAGTATATATAATGGTCACGAAATTCTCTAGAACTTTTGAAATAGAATTTAAGAGTATTTAAGAAAAGAGAAAATAAATTAAAATTAATGTTATACAAGTTTCGATAATTGTATATACTATATAAAAGAAAAAGAAAAAATATATGTTATGCAAAGAACTTAATCATTGTACAATGTAAAATTAATTAGATTCTGCGAATCGATTGTAACACTTGACTTTCTGTACATTATTTGACGATCTAATTATTTGTTAATTGAAAATGAAATATTTTCACTGATGCCGCTATAATTTTTATGAAAAAAGCAATCTTATGGTGCGATAATATCTTTTTGCAATATTTCACGAGCCTTGGTGCAAAACGTGTTCGGTGTCAACTAAGTTTGTCAAAAAAAAAACAAAAAAAAAAATTGAAATTCGTGTAAATATACAAATACATATTTCGTATATTCTCTTTTTTGTTTGCCTCATAAAACTATGAAACTACCATTAATTCTAATACAAACCTTCAAAAAATTTTTCTACTTCTGAAAAAAATTAATTTTTTAATATTATTTAATTATTCTAAAAGTTTTAACGCAATTATTATCTTGGTGAATAACAAAATTCTTCACAGAAATTCAATTATTTTTAGGATTTTTAATAAAATTTTTTAAAAAATTAAATTATTTTCAAAAGTAATAAAATTCTTCGAAGAAATTCTATTATAAAAATTTTGAACGAATATCTCGTCAAGAATTCAATAATCTTTATAAATAGCAAAATTTTTCGCCAAATATTCAATTATTTTCGTAAAAATTTAAATAAAACTCTTTGGAAAATTTCAATTATTTACAAAGTTTTTCGAAATTCAATAATTTTCAAATATATTTTCATAAAATTTATCAAAAGATTTAATTATTGAAAAAAATTTTTATTATTATTTGCATAAATAATAAAACATTTTTTTTTTTTTGTAATTAAATATATTTTCCTTATTTTTGATTCACAAGAAACTATTGTATTTGAAGCAGAGAAAATTACACACATTCAAATATTTTCATTTTCTTCACATTTTAACTTTTAAAGTATTATTTGATTAATTGAAAAAATGAACTACAATTAAATTACCTATGTTGGAATAATTACATTATTTTTAAATTAAATTTTAAGATTCTAACATTTGGAATTAAAGAAAAGATATTGAGTATTTTCAATTATTCAAACAGTAACAGTGAATACCAATAATTACAAAATGTACAACTAAGAAATTGGTATTTTTCTTCTTTCTCTTGTTACGACAATTGTCAACAGCACCAATGCAATTATTTTCACAAGCTACGATTTCAAATTCGAAAGATTAATTTTAGAGGAAGATTTATGTACGAAGTAAACCCGCCGATGGACCAAGAAGAGACGAATTACAACTTACGTTCTCCGGTGCTTGTTTTATGGAGAACAAGGAACCGAATAGAACATGCTGAATAACTGGAAATTTTGCTAAAACCTGAAACAAAAACTCATTTTTAATATTGATAATTTAATTATAAAATTAAAAAGAAATAAATTTCAATTTAGTTAATGAATGTAAAAGAAAATATTACCTCAGCTTTATACATTCTGATAAGACCACTATTAACTTTAGACCAAGACGAGACTGCGCTAACATTCCAAAGTTGATTCGAGTGTTCAGCGAATGGTCCAGTTTTTACTTTACAAATATAATCGATGCATCCAAGAAACATGTATTGTTTTCCATAATTTTCCACGACGCCATGATCGACAAAATGTTGTGGCTCAATACGTGGATGACCATTTAACTGAGCGCTTCCCCAAATAAATGGAACAAATTGAAAATCATCGAGACTCCAAACGCCGTGACTTCCGGCCGGTTCCATTTTATAAACTAATTGCAGCCTTCGAACAATTTCTAAATATCTGTTTGTAGAAAATTTAGAGAAATAATATTAATAATAATAATATCAACCTAAATCAAATAATTTCCATATAATTTCCTTCAAATACCTATTGAATATTTTAAGTGCAACTGGCACTTTATCTTGTTCTGTGAAAGCTCCAATTTTAAACATACAACACAGAAACATAATAAATGTCATCTCGTGACCTGTTCCGTAATCAATACGTGTTGGATTTCCAAAACCCTCGAGTAAATATTCAACTATTTCGGGAATTGCTTTGTGTATATCTTCCGGTAATACTTCTTTTAAATCGTCAATGGAAGACTACAAATTAATAATAACAATAGTAATAATAATAAAAATAATAATCTTATAACAAAAATTTACTGAATTAATTTAAATTAATTTTTATTTAAAACAAGTATATTTTAGTTTAATCGTTGTACTAATCGTTTTTAAATGTTTTCAATTTTAAAATTACTGTACTGAAAATAATTTAATTTTTGCAAAGTCTTTATCAAAAAATTTGAAAATAATTAAATTCATTTCACGAATTTTATCAACATTTTTTTCAATTAATTGAATTTTTTCGAGAAAATGTAATTAAAATTGTATTGAAAATAATTTAATTCATGGCAAGATTTTTATTTTAAATTCTTTAAAATAATTTACCTGTTTTTAAGAATTTATTTCAATATTCTTGAAAATAGTATAGAGTTTCTTTTTTAATAATTATTAGAAAATGTTGAAAGTAATCGGATTTTGTGAAGAATTCCAATTATTTTCAAATAACTATAAAATAATAATTGAATTTTTCACAGAGTTCAATTATTTAAAAAAATTTTAATAAAATTCAATTCAAGAATTCAATTATTTTCATAAATAATTAAATTCTCGCTGGAATTCAATTATTTTGAGTACAATTAAATTATTTATAAATTCTTCGTAAGAATTCAATTATAAATATCAATAAATAGTAAATTTTTCCCAGGAATTCAATTATTTTAAATATAATTTTCATAAATTTCTTCTCAAAAATTTAATTATTTTTTAAAATTTTGCAAAAATTCAATTATTTGCAGAAATAATATTTAATTTTTTCGCAGGGATTCAATTATTTGAAAAACTTAATTAATAAAATTCTATTCCAGAATTCAATTATTTTCATAAATAATAATTAAATTTTCGATGTACTGAAAATCATTGAATTCTTGTCAAGTGTTTATACAAAAATTTGAATATAATTGAATTTATTTTAAGAATTCTATCAACATTTTTTCAAATAATTGAATTTTTTCGAGAAAATGTAATTAAAATAATTGTATTGAAAATAATTTAATTCTTGGCAAGATTTTTATTTAAAATTCTTTAAAATAATAGAATTATTTAGAAGAATATTTTTTAATAATTTTTACTGGAAATTTTCAAAATAATTGAATTTTATGGAGCACTTCTTTTAAGTTTTTAAAATAATCGTGTTTATTAATTAATTGTAATGAATAATTTTCCTATTAAATTATTCATAGAAAATAAAATTCTTTTTAACAATTTTATTAGAGTTTTTTATAAATAATTAAAAGAATTTAATTTAAAGAATTTAATTTCGTAAAAATAATGTAATTTTTTAAAATAATTTTAATTGAAAATTTTTAAAATAATTGAAATTTACAAAGAATTTTATTAAAAACTTTTGAAAACAATTGAATTGTTTAGAAAAATTTTATTACAATTTTTAAAAATAATTGAACCTGTTAGAGAAATTTTATTAAATTTATCTTAAATATAATTGAATTTCTTTCCAGAAATTTAATAAAAATTGTATTGAAAATAATTGAATTTCACAAAAAAGAATTTTATTATTTACAAAAATAATTGAATTCTTGCCTAGAATTTTACAATATTTATAAAAATAATTGAATTGTTTCGATGAATTTTTTATCAGAATTATTGAAAATAATTGTATTTTTATTAAAACTCTTAAAAATAATTGAATTTACTTTATATTTTTAAAATTAATTGTTTTCTTTAGATAAATTTTTATTAAAATTGTATTGAAAATAATTGAATTCCTCCGAAACATTTTATTATTTATAAAAATAATTGAATTCCTTTGAAGAATTTTATTATTTATAAAAATATTTTAACTTTGCAAAGAATTTTCTTATTTTATGAAAATAATTGAATTCTTACCGAGGATTGTATAATTCATAAAAATAATTTAATTGTTTCGAAGAATTTTATCAGAATTTTCGAAAATAATTGAATTTTTTGAAGGAATTTTATTAAAAATATTCAAAATAATGATTTTTTAAAAGAATTTCATTAAAATTGTTGAAAATAATTGAATTTATATTAAAATTCTTGGAAATAATCGAATTTAATTAATATTTAAAAAAAATCTGTATTCTTTCGAGAAATTCTATTAAAATTGTATTGAAAATAATTTAATTGCTCTAAAAAATATTATTATTTATGAGAATATGGAAATTCTTGCCAAAAATTTTATTAAAAATTTTTGAATAATAATAAACGAGAATATAATATAATAATAAAAGCAACAAAAATAAGAATAGTACAAATAAATTTAATTAATGCATTTGATTTTCACCTCTTGTATTTTACTGTGCCAAGTACGAAACGCTTGATTTCCAAACCGCTGAGGCTGATCAACTGGTGGAATTTGAGTTATCAGATCATCAAATTTATTCAGCATTTTCATCATTTTTTCAACAATTGACGAAGTCTCGGTTTGTGCATTGATACTTTTTCCTTGAATCGATTCATTAATTGCGAGAATAAATCCTAAGTATTCCTGCAAAAATTAAATAGGTATGAAATGACAAATTACAAATTTTAAATAACTTCCGTTAAGAAGTATTCTAATTTTACAAAATATCTTAATTATCTAATGTTGATATAACTACACGTACGAAATAAGCCTCGGATTTTTGCCAAACGGTCATATCATTTGGATTTTTGATTCCTTTCGTTGGCACAATAAATTCATGATCAGCTGCATAGAAAAACAGAAAAATTTAATTTTCAATTTCGAAATTAAACACACATGCAATAAATAATAGATAGTAAACAATACGGTAAAAAAAATGAATGATAAAATTAAAATGTTAAAATTACATTTTTTTGAAAATTCGACAAATTTGTTTGTTGTTCGAAAAACAAAATTGACGAAAGAAAAATGTTTTTATGAGAAAATATTTACTTACGAGATAATTTAAAATCTGTTTTTTTAATATGTGACATGTTTTTTGATTAATTTATCCACTTTTTTCGACTTAAAAGAAACTCAATGACAAATAGAAATTTGTTTATTTAAAAATATTCGAAGGTATTTTGTATTTTCCTTCAGGGCTATTTTAGCATTCGATGAAGCAATTATAATTAAAACAAAGTTCCAGGGAGAAAAATTAAATAAATTAATTCAAATAATGATTTAACTGCGATAAGAGCAGCTTTTAAACGTTTTAAACTCTTTTTTAAATGAGTTAACCTCAAAATTATTTTCAGGATTTTTCAAAAATGCGCCTTGATTTATTATTTCACTAATTATAATTTCTATTAGACACGACCTTCGATATTTAATTTAATATTTCAATCTAGAATAAAATGGAAGAGTTTATTTAAAATATCGATCAACGTATTTTCTCAAAAAATTAATACAAAGCATTTAACAATATTTTGACATTTGTCACGTGATCGCACTTCGATTGCGCAGATAATTTTGCGCTGCTTTGCGCAGAACATCAAAATTAAGCGCTATTTTTCAAATTTTTTTTTTTTGTAAGAAAAGAAATTTTTCCAAAAAGCACATTTTATTTTAGTTCTCTAAATTCAAATGTTTTATTATGTTGACAATTTAATGAATTTAATTTTACTCAATTAACTCAATGTTTTACAATGTCCGAGGTAATTAAATCAAATTGGTGGAAATCAATTGTGTGTTGTTCTGGAAAAAAATCTAATAATCAAAATACTCAAGATATATTTGGTCCAAGTGAGTATATTGTAGAAAAATTCGTTGTACAACGTGTGCCTCTTGGTGTATTTAAAACGACTAGTAGCAATAACGAAAAATCTTCTTCATCCTTTGCTAAAGTATCCGAAGAAATTTTGAAAAACCTGGAAAAATTAAATTCGGAGGAAAGTGATTTGAGAGAAGGCCGTTATTTAGAATTTTCGAAAAACAATCAAAATTTCAATAAAAAATGGTTGTTGCTAGAAAATATTTCCAAAGAAAATTCTGACATTATGTCGCAGAAAAATGACGATTTTCCGGAAAATATATTTGCTCCCCGAAGTTTTTCCGAGTATACAAAAACATATATTTTAAATCATTTGTCAAACGCAAGAATTCGCAGCAAGGAAAACGAAAAACACGAGAATAAAATTATTTCCAATATGAATTCGATTGAAACTCCAGTTGAAGTTCACTATCAAGTTCCGAATTTACAATTGAAAAAAAATATCAATATTTCAAAATCACAAATTTTCCAATCATCCGATTTGTGTGAAAAAGTCACAGACGATTGCCCGGAAACGACACTTAGATGGAAAATTATAATAAAACACAATCAACCGATAGAAACTGAAGATGGAAATTTCAAGAACTCTTTCGAAAGTATTTCAAAATCCGCAAAATCCTTTTAAGAGAATATTAACGAAAACTAATTTTCTTTAAAAAAAAAAATTACATTGCTAAAAAAATATTTTATCTAGAAAGAAATTTTTACCACCTATTATAGAGTAAATTAATTTTTAATTTATTTCTCTAAAAAAAAAAATTTTACGATCTATTTTTAAAAATTATAGCTTATAATATTAAAATCACCAATAATTAGTTAATCAATCTAATGTTGACGAATTAAATTTAAACATTAACTAATTAACTTACTAACTAATGAAACATTTTTTGTTACGTTCTTTACAATTTGATGAATTAAATAATTTTTTAAAATGGCCTTTAATTTGCTTCATAAGAGATTCATTTATGAAGATTCGTTGATTTCATCGGAATCTGGATTCAAATTCTGCAAGGCAGTCAGTCTGAAAAATAAATATATGTTGTCGTCAATTATTTGACAAAAAATCAAACATTGAATTATATCGAAAATTAAAATTATAAAGATACAAGCATATATTTAATTGATTATTAAAAATAATGGATTTACAGAAGAATTTTAATTAAAAACACTTAAAAAATTGAATTTTGAAGAAGTTACAAATAAATGCAGAAATTCAATTATTTTCAAAAGTAATAAAATTCTTATCATAAAATTCAATTATGTTCAATATTCACAAGAAAATATCGACAAAATTCTAATTAGGTATTACCTTTATAAATTAAAAAATTCTTCTTCAAAATTGAATTGATTTCAAAACTCATAATAAAATTCTTGTCAAAATTTCAATTATTTAAAAAAAATTTCCTCATTTCAATGATTTTCAATACCTATTATTTTAATAAAATTCTTCACAAGAATTAAATTATTTTCACAAATAATACAATTTTTCACTGAAATTCAATTATAAGTAAAATGTAAAAAAATTCTTTACGAGAATTAAATTATTTTCACAAATAGTAAAATTTGTCACTGGAATTAAATTATTTACAAAATTTTAATAAAATTCTTTACAAGAATTAAATTATTTTCACAAATAAATAAAATTTTCCACTGAAATTCAATTATTTGTAAAATGAAAAAAATTCCTTTTAATAAATCAATTTTTTCATAAATAATAAAATTCTTTTTAGAAATTCAATAATTTTTTTAAATAATAGAACTCATTGCAGAATTTCAATTATTTTTAATACAATTTTAATCGAATACATTGAAAAATGTATAACTATTCTAAAAAATTTTATTAAAATTCGTTAAAAGAATTCAATTATTTAAAAATTTGTTAATAAAATTCTTTATAAGAATTAAATTTCAAGAAACGTTCAATTATTCAATAAATAATTTACTTTTGTATTTAAATAATTGAATTCTCATAGAATTTTCTAATAAAAATTGATTTGAAAATGAATTTTAGTTTATATTTTAGATAATAATAGAATATGAAAAAAATTTTTAAGAAATTACAGTAACAATATTCTTATAATATAAAATAATTATTTTAACACTCGATCCTCTTTAATTATTACAAAACATGAAGATATCGATCACTCCGAGTCTTCGACTCGGAGTGATCGTTTTCTTTATGTTTTATAACAATATTTTTAAAGTTGATTAATTTCAAAAATGTCTAAATTTGAATGTTTTTTAAAGAAAAAAAAAACAAACGTCTTTATAAAAACTAACTTCAACTGCGGACAGAATAAATGAAAGAATATAAAGATTTATTAATCTTTATATTCTTTCATTCATTAATAATTAAAAATTAAAATTAAAGATATGAAAAATTAAAATTAAAGATATTGAAAATTTTAATTAAAGATATTAAATATTAAAATTAAAGATATTAAATTATTGTAAAAATACTTTACCGGGGTCGTTTTGAATCTTCGGTGTTTTCTTTAGATAAATCGGAAAACAGGGTACGTCGTGTCTGTAATGAAAAAATAGAATAAATACTTAATTGTGAATTACTTTTTTCGATATTTCAATATTATAGAAAATCAAACTTACATTGTCGACACTTTTATTTTGACAACATTCTGGATTGCAGTTACAATTACTACAGGATAAATTATTTTTCCGACAACTGCACAAACGTGTAGCGCATTTTGTTTTACAGGCGCATTTAATATCTCCTTCAGAAGTTCTTTTCGGTGCCCCTTGATTTTCAGCCGGCACAGTTTTCGTAACGTTCTAAAATAAAAGTAAAAAATATCGATTAGACACAAAGGTAAAATAAAAATGTAAAATTATTAAATATTATTATTTATTATTCATTA